TAGTGAGTATACAGAAGTGAGTAGTGTATATACAGAAGTGATTAGTGAGTATACAGAAGTGAGTAGTGAGTAGTGAGTACATCGTAGTAAGCAGGACGTACGCTACAGTACGATCTCCTCTTCAACCTCATAAAGCAGTCTCTAGGTAGTAGTCCCCGAGCAGGACTCCGTCCCGAATACTGTAGATATATATATATATATATATATGCATGCACACTACTTCCCTGTGTACTCCCCTACCTGAGCAGCATCTCTGGACGAGACAACTGCGGGTCTGTGTAAGCCATCGACTGTGCATCTCCAGATTGATGCTCCCATCTCCTCCTCCTCCTCCTTTTCCTCCACTCCAGCACAAGCGAGTCTAGTCGAGTGACGATACTGTCTCTACATTCATACCGTCCTGGATGCCAGCGGATCCCGAAGAACACCTGCTCGACTCCTTCTGTTTCAACCCGTGTTCCAGTAGACGCGCCTGTTCTCTACCATTACAAATACACGAAGGACACCTGCTCGACCACTTCTGTTTCACCCGGTATTCCAAGAGTCGCGCTGATCTCTACTCTACCTTTACAATATCTGTTCTTGTTGTACTGTGGTCGTCGTGCTTCCTGTCCTCAGCATGTGCTTGCTTACTCGGCTCATGCGTAATGCTCATTACTCTTCAGATCCCGCGTGGCCTCGCCATTAACGCCTCCGCTATGCACCCATCCCGATTCCCACCAGGAGAACTTCCAGAAGAACGCCCGGTATCTCCAGGGCAATGCAACACCTCAATACTTCCACGGCATTGCGGACCTCAAAGACTGAATACAGCGAAACCTCGTCGCAAAAGCTACACCTTGATAACCCACGTCGGTTGGCTCTCAGAACTTCTCCATAAAGCCCTTGCGTACAGTCCACATCCGAGCCCTCTTGCCATAGATGTACATGGGTATCGTGAGGACCATACACGCAATCTGAATGCCCCCAATGGCCAGGAATGTGCTCTTCGGTCCTTCGTGCTCCAACCAGCTCGCAAAGAACAGACTAAACACCAAGCCATGGAAAATGTTCTTGCTGAAATTGAGAGTCACTAGAGCTTCACCAGCATACTGCCTGTAGGAATCCACGCAGAACGTAATTGCCGTGGTCGATCCCAGGGAGCAACCGAACGAGATGACTCCGAAAAAGACCGTGGGCACGATCCAAGCATTTCTCTCCTCGGCCGACCAGCCAAAACCCATCAGACCGATGGCTGTGCTGATGGCGACGGGGATGGCCATGACAAGTCGAAATTCCGGTTCGTACACACCGCCATTCTTCCGAGACATGTACCGGACGATGACATCCGACACCTTTCCAGCGACTGCGGTACCCAGAATGCCGCCCACAAACGGTGACACGTAGACCAGTCCGGCTTGTAGAGAGGTAAAGTTGTAGCTGTCACGACTCTTGTAGATATCCGAGATCGATTCAGACAGCACAATAAGCCACCCGATCGACAGCGAGTATACCAGTGTCGACCACAGAATACTGGGGTAAGCGAACAAGATGAAAGGCCGAAGAGCGACCAGAAACCAGCTCGATTTGGAGAGCCTGCCGTTCCAAAGCCGCAGTGTCTCGACATACGACTTTGGCGGCGATTGTCGAAGCTCTGTTGTGTAGCGCGCAAGCTTGGGAGATTGCATTCCTTCGTCGATGCTCCTCGACCTTGACTTCTCCAGGTCGGAAGGACCGTATTTAGAGCCAGGCAGCGTCACATTGGTGTCCATTCTTGCCAATTCAGCCTCCTGCTCTTTGGACTCCTCGTGGGGCGGTTCGGGAGCCTCATGATGGCTGAGGTAGTCGCCGCCCTTTTCCAATTCAACGTAATATGGGGAGTTGAGGTTGTGAAGATGGGGAACGGAGACGTCATCATCAGGAGACGGGTGTCCAATATTAGGGATGCCAGTAGGAGGCATGAAGCCTGTGGGGAGTCGGACTGGTTTACTATTCTGAGTTCCGTCCCAAGGCCCAGAGAAGGTGCGCGGATCTGGTGTCGGCGGCATAGCTAAGCCAGTGGGCTTGAACTTCTTCCGAGGAAGCGCGGCGGGCGCTGGTTGTTGTATCGGGGCCGTTGTTGGTGCTGAGCCTTGACTGACAGCCTCTGAGCTGTGGCCCTCATTGGCACCGTCTGTCATGGGTGACGCATCACTGTTCTTTTCAGCGGTCTTGGCAGCACTTGAAGTGCTTTTTATTGAAGGAACAGTGTTGGAGGACTCGTTGGGGTTTCTCTCATCAGGCTGTGCCGGCTCCTCGTCTTCCAGGCTATCCTCGAACCGAGCATGTGCGTTGTGGTCAAGCAGCATATGCTGTCTCGCGGTCAAGGGTTTCTCGACAGCAGCAGCTCTTTCTACTCGACCGAGAGATGCCTGGTCGTTCGCAATGTTTTTGTTGTGCAGGGGATGGAGAAGGTTGGACAGTGTTCGATGAGCAGCGGGTCTTCTTGCTTTGGGTCTCGGAGTTCGATCCCAGAAGGTTTCAGGAACAAAGAAAAAGAGGAGGACGCCGCCGAAGCCCACTACGATGGCCACAACCCTATGCAAGTAAGCAGAGAGGCCAGTTGAGAAGGGGAAGGACTCACCAAAATACCCATCTCCAGCCTTTTGCATCGATGAGGACAGCGCTCACCAGAGGTATCAAATTCTTTCCTCCTAGCAGCAAAAGGGTGTATATCCCCACTCGAAACGCTCTCTCATGAAGAAAGAAGATCTCGGCGATAGTGGCAGATGGCAAGCATTCAACCGGACTCACAGATATGCCCTGGAAGACTCTCGCAGTGGCCAAGTGGGCATAGTTGGGTGCCAGAGCACACCAGACGGAACTCAGGACAAACATGACGGCGCCGCCAATGTAGACAGGACGCTTCCCGTATAGGATCGCTGTGGGCGAGAAGATGACACTGCCAACCCCCATGCCCATCATGTACAGACCTGTGGTCAAAGCGACTTGCGAATACGAGACGTCAAAGTCCTCGGCGACGTTGTTGAAGCCCGCGGCCAGAATGGGCGTCATGCCGCCGCCGATCATGCAATAAAATCCGAGGGTAAGAAGAGCACTGTCTCGTCGCCAAGTCGGCCAGTTGAGCGGATCGTTCAGCGAGTCATCTGGCTGAGGGTCCAATATCACTTGTCCGTCCTTCGTCTTCTTCTTAGGGCCCACGGAAGGACGTCTGGGTGATAGTGGCTGGGCCGGCATGGAAGAGCTGCTCCTGTTCCGGCCCTGTTGGTACTCGAGACCGAGCGGCTCATTGCGGGTCGAGGAGAGCAGCAGAACGGTCCCAGGCACCTCCTCGGTTTCCTTGTCGTTCAAAATCCCCAATGTCCATTTTTCTAACTTGGGTCCCGACTTCTCGTTGACCGGTGAAGGACTCGACGAAGGCCGTGCTCGGGCACAGGGTCGTCCCGGGGGTTCGATGGAGGATTGAGTGGCCGACTGCTGAGCAATGGTTTCATTCCGGGTGACGGTAGAGCGACCTCGTTCGGGGTGGCCCCTGCCGGCCATGGAGATATGTGGTGAGGGAGGGCTGTATGGCTCAGACGGTCACTAGAACATCGACTGCTTCCATTGAGCAGTCTCGCACCGCAGACGAGTGTCCAGCATACAAGGGCCGATCAACCACGCCCACAATGATTTTGGGGAGAACGTAAAGTAGGACTAGGGTAGCGATACATTCAGGAGCCCAACGGTCGTAGGGATAACAATATGATTGTAAGGGATAGGTGAGGCACAGCGGCAGAGAAACGTGATGTGAAGACGCGGATGTCGACGATCAGGCAGTGGGACGTGCAGCGGCCACCCACAGATTAATTCTGCAGGCTTGCGCGGATGTGGAAGGAAAGAAACATGACTTGCATCGTTCGAATCCTCCTGCCCTGCATCCAGTCGAGTCAGATGGCATGGGCATCGCCATACGAGTCCTGGGTACTGGACCAGGTGGCATGCGCCGGATCAGCTGGTGGCTCATTCGTGCTCATTCTCTGCGCGCCAAGTTCACCACCACGTCACATTGCAGCAGCTAAGCAGATCATCTCCCCTTCTTCCGGGATGTGCATTGCTGGCGACAGCGGTGCTGTGCTGCTTGTACAATAGAAGGAATCGCAGTTGTGTGCGGCCCAGTGTCTGGTGACCCAATGTGCAACGACGTGGACGACCAAGACGACCTCGTGCACCGCTCACTCGGTCGATCTGCGAGAGTCACCGTGGGCGGCGTCAGATGACTCGACGGCCTCACCGTGTCGACTGCCCCTGGGTCACGCACTGGTCGCCGTGCTATTTTCCTCCTTTGGGAATACCAAGTCACAGATCAGGTCAATCAAGACGATTCGACCCATTTATTCCTGCAACAGCCCGTCCCTAGCCTTCTGGTGTTGTTGCGGTGAACCCAGGGCAAGGCTTCATTCATTCCGGCCATCAGGGGCCGTCTAACATTCTCAAACAGGCGAGCGATACTGCTGGTCAATCGTCTTTATAAGATCTCGCTAGATATATCGCCTCACGCTGCCCACACCGTGTGAAGCTCTTCTCTTGTTGCCCCATGCTTCTGCCTGTCATGCTGGGCCACCAGAAGTCTATTCGTGACACAACCCATCCAGACACGCGCCATGTATCGAAATCAAACAGACCTCGCCCGTTTCATCGTGACGTCGTAAATGGCCATAGAAGAACAAGAAAATGGAAACAATTGCCCCTTCCAAAAGACCCTTCCAAATCAGACACGGCCAGGTACTCTAGCCGTACCGAGCGCCAAAAAGTCCTAGTCCCAGAGACGTCTCGGTCTCCTTGCCGCTGCCATTATTCAGCACTTCCCACATTCGAGGTCGCCATTCCCCTATCACCCCCTTGCCTTCTTTCGTCAGCTGTAGACCCTGACCCATGTCTTGCACTTGTACAGATCCAAGCATGTTTATACTGCCAAACAGATACCGGACGCGTCCATCTTGTAATTTGTCCTTCAAAAGCTTTGCACACATCATGTTGACTTCATCGCTGACTTCGTCGACAATCGTGGCGATGATGTCAAACATTGAAAGGATAACATCTTTGGCCAGAGCTTGCCGCTCTTCGCTCCCTTGCTGCTTTGATGCCGCGGCCATTGCTGGATGTGTTGCTATCGACGCGAGACGGACCAGAAGTTGCACCTGTTCAGACTGGCCTTGTTTGGAATTCGGTCCACTACCCCCAGCTAAGATCAATGCTGGCCGTTGTAGACACACCATCTGCAGCATATACTTCAGATAGCTCAAGCATGGCACGGAACAGGCGCTCGGTCCATTTTCTGATGCGCTCATGGTTGGAGTAGCAGGCGCAGGCACCATTTGAGGGGAGTTCGTCGTCGTGGTAGGCCCGGAAAGTCCAGGGATTGCTGGGTGACCGGTGGTGACCGGGGTGCTTGGAGCCACTGAAGCATACGCTAGCGACTTGAAGAACTGAGATAACCGGTCGATCAGTTGTGACAGGAATCCTGCGCTCGGCACGGTGTCTTTTCTGCAGACCTGGAACGCGCGCTCAACGATGGAGCCAAGCTGCTGTATTTCGCCCGGAAACGCTGCCGCCAAAGGACTCGTCGCTTTACCCAGCGGCAACTTTGGCGATGCCTCTAGAAATTCATTCTCAACCTTGTGTCGGATCGAAGAGGCTACCTCTGGACCAACTGTTTGAAGAAACTGAGCGAATCGCCGATCTTGCCCTTTGCTCGATGGCCGAGGTGATATTTGCATCGTATTTTGCAGAGACGTGTGGAGAACATCCGCCAACTCGTCGTGATTTACTCCCGATCCCTTCTCGGCAGTGCTTTCTGGCGTGCTTCGCAAGCGGAGCTGAACGTAAGGATGCGAGAAGATGTTCATGGTCTGGAAAAGGGCTCGGAGGTCGGTCCCGGTCAATTCTCCGTCGCGGCAGTTCAATGAACGACTGAGTGTCTTGAGAAACCATTGTCTAACCCCTCCGGACAGGACGAATGAGCTCGAAGTGCTGCCGTTCACGAGCAGCGACAGGAGGAGAGCATCGAATTTCGGTGAGAAACCCTGCAGTCCAGCTTCGCAGAGGACCTCCAGGGCGGCCTTGGGCTCCCTCTGCACGTACTCGTACCATCTAGTTCGCGTCTGATAAGCCGCCCAGTCGGGTGCTGTGCCCTTGGTGGATCCCAGCATCTGGTACAGCAAGGAAGCAAACGCCACGTTCCTCCGTGTTCCGTGCTTAGAGGTGGCAACTGCTTCTAGCAGGGCGTTGAAGCTTAAGCACCCGGTCGAGACAAGGCTCCGAAGAAGCAATGGGCCCCACTTCGAATCCAGGCGAGGTAGAACTCGTGACATCCATTTTTGTATGAGCCGATCGCCTTGGCCCTTGCGACATAGACGAAGCCGGCTCAAAAGTTGGCAGAATGACAGCGTCGTCTGGGGATCGTCCCCAAATTTCTGCTGCTTCTCAATGCGATCGACTAGGACCGAGAAGAGTCCATTCATGGTTTGCTCGTTCATGTTGGTTTCTGACTGCAATATGGCCTCAAAGTCCTCAACGAAGGTAGCGCCTGCCTGCTGCAAAGACTCGGCGATTCCGTCACTATACGGCGAACAAGCCGCAACTGCCCGGCCACGATCGCCCCTGACCAGGTCTTGTTGTAGTAGCTTGATCGCGGGCGTCTTCGACGGGAAGGCGGTGCAAAGGTCCAGCAATGTCGAGGTAAGTAGAGGCATGGTCGGTTTCGTCGGACGCCAAGTCATATAGACTTGACACATCTGCTTCTGTAGAAGTTCGAGCGCGCCAATGGAGGAAAAGGCGTCTGCATGAAAATGGATCGTTGCCACAAGCGACGCTACCAGGTCATCGTTTTTGGACGTAGACAAGATGCCCACCACATCAGCCAGCACTGCTTCGTCCTCCATGCTTTCAAGAATGTGCCGAATCAGAAAGAACTGCCCTTCGTTCAGGACCATAGATCCAGGAAGAGCCGGGCCGGTTTGCTCTGCCTTGGCGCCCTCGAGAGCCCGAGCACGAAGCCACTTAGACACCCTTGTCCGTAGGGTCCATGGCAGGGAATCAAAAGCCGGCTCGGCGACGCTCGGTGATGGAGAAGTTGACGCAGAGTTTGGACCGGCTAACCCCTGCTCAATAAAACGTATGCATTGCCTGAAAGCGGCCTCTTCGGAGTTGAGATCAAAGCCGGCGCGCTCGAGGATTGCGCGCCTCAGATTGACAACATGGTCATCGGCCTTATCCAAAGATAGGTCTAGCAGAAAGTGGGTGGCTTCAGGGTCCTCCTCTTGCGAAGTTCCAGCAGCTGATCCAGAGGTGGAATATGTATCGATACCGACCATTCCGTGTTTTGGAAGGCCTCTAACCATGAGCCATTGCAGGTATTTGCTGATGCTGAAACAATCGGACCTGGACAACTGCGCAATCAAATGCCTCAAGTTTTGAGAGTCAGCGGTCGTTCTTCTCTCCTTGTAGGCCGACAGGAAACTGAGGAGCGCAGTATCCACATCGAGGCCCTCCCGTTGCCAACGTTTCACCAAGCGTGTGATGAGGTATATTCGCGTCCTGGAGCAGCGAAACCGGGTGCATGACCACTCGAGACAGGTTTGCATAAGAAGTGCAAAATCAGAGCAGGCGGCCTTCAGAGTGTCTTCAAGAGCCATCAGATTGTATGGTACTCGAGCCGCGTCGAGAACATCAACGATGGCTTGATCAGGCGCTCGAATGGACGAAATTTCCGCTTTGTTGTAGCCCATCGCCCTTTTGTTGATGCGATTCAGTCCATCAAAAAGTTGACGCTCAGGTGGGAGAGTTTGGTCAAGGCAAGCTCTGATGATTTCAATGCTCTCTGGCCACCTGTCTGGCATCAAGAACAGCGCGGAACGTGCAAACAGGAGTTCACGTATCGCAGCACGCAGCTTCTGCCGCAACGGAGCTATCGTCGGCTCCTGGGCTTTGTCCAGGGAGCAAAACTTGTTGATGAGCACTTCGACGAGTCTGCTACCTTTTCTTCGATACTGGCTCAGGTCTTGCTTGTAGATGTGAGTAACCATCAGCCAGAACGGTGTATGGCCGACATCAGCCGAAGCAAGAGAACGCAAAATCCAGTCCAGGTAGTGGTCTCGGTCCAGCAGATTCTCCAGATAGAAACGGGTGGTAAGCCGCAAGGCATATTGAATGTTTGATTTCCAATCCGGTAAGCTGCTCCGTGCAAGATGTGCTTCCAAAAATTGCTCGACATTGACAGTCCACTCACGCAGCCACTTGGTCTCCGTGCCGACCGCAACAGTAGGAGTTGTCCCTTTGCGCTTCAGAGTCCGAATTTCGTTTGCACACACGCACTTTGCAAACCAAATCGCGCGGCTCAGAGGGACATCACTCTGCAAGCATTGATCCAAAAGCGCTTGGCCCCTGATACCCTGGGGAATGGTCCTACTCAACCGTCTCAACGGAACATCCGCATTGGCCAAATCTGCTATCCACGACTTTCGTTTCGCTTCGGTCAAGGTGACGCGCGGGGGCGGTTTGAAGGTCGAGACCGAACTCGTTGTGCCGTGGAGGCTCTTTTGGTCGAGTACGAGCGAGAACAAGACGGACAAGCTGTCGACGCCTGACTTGTGCTTGAATGCGTTATAAAGGGGTACTCGCGCAGTATTCAGCTCCTTCTCTGTCGGAGTTGGCGCTTTATCGAAGTAGCCCGTCTTGACATTTGTGTCACTCAAAATGTCCTCAGCATGTTTCCCAGTCCAAGGAAAGAAGCCTGCCGGCTTGCGAGGGACAAAATGAGGTACCGCAGAGGGGAGTTCTATCGAATCCGGTGTGTTGGGAACAGGAATGTTGACCCGAGATCGATGAGTCGGTTTCGGCTCTTCCACGGCGTGGGACGCTTGAATCGCTCTCCACGGCCTGGGTGGGAGTTCAGGCACATCGTCTTCTCCCTCGCCGCTTTCCTCGTCCTTCCCCAGGGAATTGCCCGCTCTTAGCCGGATCGCCGAAGGCTTGACCCATCGCAGCTGGACAGTTCTGTCCCCACCCTCGGAGTCGGCTGGTTGTGTAAGGACGGGAGCGATAGTGTTGTGGCTGGAAGGCTGTTCAAGCAGCTGGCCCTCTCCTTCCATCTTCCGCCTCTTCGCCGGTCTGTCATCCCCAATATCCGACATCTGCCTCTGCAGCCCCGAAGGTCTTCTGTCCAGCGGTGAGAAGACATTGCTCGTACTCCTCCTGGCAGGAGGTCGACTCAAGCCCGGTGGACGTGGTAATTGAGGAGGAGGCCGCGGTCCGGCCAGGGGAATAGATGTCATGACCTGGTCATCTTGAGAGAGCAGGGCATTCAACACAGGAGCCAAAATCTGCGGACGATGGGCTCGGGAGATATGGCGTATTGTCTGACCAGAATGTCAGGCGCAGGGTTTGTAAGTGAGGTGGACGGCTCAATGTAAATGCTCCGTAAATGCCGCGGAGATTCGTCGGCTAGCGGAACGAAAGCACAGTGGACTCGGGTGGGCGGTGGAATGCCGGACGGACGCAGAAACTTGGTTGATATCAATCGTGTATCTATAAGAGAGTCGGCTTCGTGGTGTATAGGGGGTGGTGGCCTTTCGAGAGAGAGAAGGAAGGAGAGGTTGCGATGAGGTCGAGGTGAGGCGAGTGAGTGCCAATGTTCGTAGGGTTGGTAGGATGTGGATGGGAAACGTGGAAGCCGCAGCGCAGCTGATGATGACTGAAGAGCGAAGGAAGCGGAAGCCTATCGGCAACCTCTAGGCACACCAAGAGGTCGACAGCTTGCCAACACAGCCAGCCAGTGGGACAGCCGGCCAGCCAGGCACTCCGGGCGTGGTCTACTGGGGTACGACGCCTAAGGCGCCACCATGCCGGTGCTACTTTAGCCGGTGAGAGATGACGGGATAAGGAATGTCGAGTTTGGGGGGACGAGCGGGGGCTTTCTTTGTGATCAACACAGTCCGCAGTCCAGTGGACGATGGTGCGCTACAGCACCGCCCTGCTTCGTGCGACTCGCTCTATCTACGGGAACGATGCCGAATTTGTGTCGTCGCTCTCTCATCGACCGCTATCTGTTCACACGAACTGGTCTGGCGGGTCGGTCAAAATGGTGATGCAGAGGTGGTCCTACGTCCGCCCGGTGAGGCGAGTCGAGGACTCTATGCCTGCCTAGCGAGGTAACCGCGTAAGACACTGAGAGGAGGAGTGGAAGCGTCGAAGGCGAAGGGCGACGACGACTGCGATTATTGCGGCTGACTGATCAAAGAGGGAGAGCGACCTGACAAAGAGGGAAGATGAGGGGGCTTTGGGGGGCTCCGGAAGGCTTGGGGGGGCTTCACCCGCACATCTTCCACACCCTCCACACCCACGGCACCCTCCTTCACGCAGTGGCAGCGGCAATCGGTGCGCCGTGGGCAACATTTCATTTGCCTAGTACGAGGTCAACAGGACGTGGTGCGTGTCAAATCTTTCCGTCGCCGGACTAGCCGTGGTTGATGGCTGCGGCACGGCCGCGGTGTGCCGCTCGATAACAGCGTCGCTATTCTCCTTTGTCTTTACTCCGTAATCACTCGTGCCTTGAACGTCCTTCATTGCTTCTGTCAAGCCATGTCCGTGGCGCGGAACTTCCGACTGGTGCAACGTCTCTTTGTCGCCGTGATTTCCTCGGCAGCTTCCATCGGAGACACGTTCGCAGGAATATCGTTTGCAGATTCCACATCTGGGTGACATCGAACATTGGCTCACGAGCTAGCGGCGTTCGAGGCCCCAAACCTTCAGAATCGAAACGGCAAGATCAACAGATCTCGAGTGGGAAGCAAGCACTGGTTCCCGGTCTCCGGGTAACGCTTGCGGCACGTCACGATTCGCTGTTGTGCGATGGAACTGGTACGTGTACTCCGTATGCTCTCACACTCTCCACCCCTATCGGTAGCCTACGGAATGCCTGATGTCGTCGATGTCCACCCGCCGCAACTGATACTGTGTTGAGTACAGCAAGATGCACCTTCGAATCCTATCTCCCGGCCAGCAACTGCACCGCATCCGTGTCCTCGGGAATTTCAAGAGATCTTGAGTGCCCGGAACTCATGAAACCGCTGCACGTAATTGGCGACGTCTCCTCCGACTATGCCCACGCTGCCGGCCCGTCTTCTGGTTGGCCTACAATTTCCAAGAGACTGTCAGAAGGGTCCCGAGGTGTGCTGACTCCCTGCATCCAGCTCGCTTCGGGCTCGGGTGCGCATTCAGCTGCATGAAAGGGGGACCAATGCCATAGGTGAAGGAACAATTGATACAGCGATTGCTTCATCTCGCCGTGCTGCGGTAATCACGGACTTGTGCAGCGTATCGGTCCCTTGCCACATATGGATAACTTGACACAATTCATTACTGATAGGTGTGCATGCAGAACTGCATCGCAAGAGCTCACGTCCACCGTTCATCCGTCCTCGTCCACTGTCCCACCGAGCAGCGGAAGGGTTTCGTCATCAGACGCTTTGGCTAGCCTTCGACCTTCACTCGCTCTTCTGCCGCCAATATTCACGCTTCTATGCCGTTGCTCATGATGATCCGAGGTCCTTCTTCGCTTCGCATGCGAGCTGACGCCGATCATACTGCCAAAACGGCTCCCAGCCGCCCCGAGCTGCACGTCTTCCTGGGCCTCACTGAAGGCATTCTGATCCGCTTGGATATCTCCCTGCAAATCATCCGGCGCTGGTCCAAACGTCAAATCCCCCCCAGGTCCATTCCCGTTTGTGCTCGCTCGACTCCTGTATGAAGGGAAGAACTCAACGCGGTCGGGAAATGACGTTGTGTGAACCTGGCTGGAGCCTGCCTCCGTTGATAATGAAGGGAACACGTCGCTTGTCTTTGTCGAGGACTTAGAACGCGGTAGCCTTTCGGATGCTGGCTCCCGAAATAGCCGGGCAATCTTGGGGTTAGTCCAGATGCTGTGCAAGGACAACTCCACGCCGGGCACGTAGCTTGTCCTCCTACTCCGGCTTTCATCCGTGGAGGCTCGCCCTGGGCGCGAAAGCGCATTAGATAGTCGTCTCTCCAGTGTGTCTGTTCCGCCAAGTTCACGACTCTGCAGGCTGGACCCTCGGCCACCAGGGCTGGGGTTTCCGTCCTCTGAGCTGGCAGACGAACTCAGATTCTCGTCCCAGATAATCTCATATACCACATTCTCCGAGATGTAGCGAGTGGAGCACCGGCGCATTGAGCTCGCGGCCTGATTCGATCCGGATACTGATAGGCGTGGTTCTAGCGCCACCACCTCGGTATGAACAGGTGGCGCGAGAGCGCTCGTTGAAGGGCGGGCGTCGTCTTTTGTGCTTGAAGTCGAGGGTCTTCGTGAATTCGGTGCGACCTGCTTCGTCATGCCCGGGTCCCCAAGCGCGGAGAGAGGCGCGTCGCTGTAGCTCGTGATCGTATTAAGAAACGAGGTCAGCAGTCCGTTACTGTCTCGACTGAACTTAGGCGGCGGGAATGAGGTTAGCGTTGTCGTTTGTCTTTGAGGCCTGGCTGTAGTTGCCCGGCGCAGAGTTATCATGGCTGGGCTGTGGTTCTCATAGGTGGTGGAACGACTGTCTGCAGTTGCTCTCTGGGATGTGTCATTGGCCGGCACAAGGGTGGCGAGCCCGCGGGTCGAGGCGGCTTTAGAGGAAATTGTCCACCGTCTTGCTCTTGAAGGTTTGCTTTGAGGTGCATCGCCAAAGGTTTCAACGGTACCTTGTTCAAACCGGGGCTGCACGGTTGGCGAAGAGTTGGTTTTTCGTAAACTGCGCGCCCGGGGACGGCAGCCCGTTGGCTGGTTTCTGCGCCTGCGACCTTCCGTTTCGATGGCAGCCATGGGCGGGGAGGACGTGTCGTGCGGCTCATGCCGGTGATTCCTGTGTTTCATGCTTAAGCTAACATGATCATCGTCTGGTGCTCTGTATGGGACTTCCTTGTAGCCTCTGTGAGACACTGTGGGGGCCGATAGTGTATCACTCTGCAGGCTGCTGGGGGCACTGTTGACGGAACCGGGAGAACGGGACGTAGTGGGCATGTCGTCGCGCTGTCGGCTCGTCTATACTGATAAGATGTGGAGGGATAATGATGCCGTGCTGGAATTCGAGGTAAAAGGTGCCGCCATGACAAAGAGGACGGATTGGGGGATTAGTTTCGGCATAGTTGGGCGTGTGCCTCCTTCTGCAGCAAGCAGTCCATGCCTTCGAGATTGGGAAAGCAGGTCCGTAAGCTCTGGAGCTGGGGCAAGTGCACTCGATTGTGTCGTGCTTGTGGCAGGCGCAGCATGCCTCGCTCTTCTCATAGAGGAGGACGATTCGTCACCTCGGCCAGCGGCATGTTCATTTGTAAGAACCCATTTCCTAGCGGCCTGTATCTCATCCTGACTGAAAGCGCAGATTACGGCATTCGACGCCCATCGAAGCCTCCAGAGCCCTGAAACACAAGCCCGACTTGCCTTCTGGGCCAGTCCAAGTACCTGGCCCAAACAGGATCGAGCATGCTCGAGACATCGTTCACCAAGCTGTATCCCCAGCCGTTTACCCACCAGTGATGGTCCATGCAGCGGAACATGGCAGCCCAGTGGGCAAATATTGCCAGAGCTAGCGGATTGCTTCTCTTGAGGCAATGGATGAAGGCTGGCGGTGCCATGATCAACCACGAAAAGATGTGGCCATCCCATTCCACGACGGAGCGACATCTCGAGATGTCGCGTAACTCCTCCATCTGCTCGAGGAGCAGACTTTTGGTTGCGTGGGGCTCCTCGCCCTCCCAGAGCGATGTCAGTTGAGGATCATCAATGGCGCTGCGGAGGATACTGAAAGCATCAAGGACATCCGGGGGGTGGGGCGGCAAGTCTTCCGACCGGGGATATCGCAGAAGTTCCTCGATGTCTCCCTGAAGCCACGTATTTGTCTCTCTGATCACCGCATAGATACCCCTCAGGATCATGATGACCTCAATAAAGTCCCCGGTAGGCGAATGCAAGGGGAGGGAGACGCCGGGCGACGACTCACCCCGGCCAAAATCGAGTTTGACATTGTTCAGGCCTTCCGGGAGTCGCTTGGAGGCGAATGCCCATATCGTCAGGAGCAGAGACACTGAAAATATCGCTATGCCATTATCTCGATTTGGTTTGCTGACCTCTGGGATAAAGCCGGCGAGCGCAACGTTCTGGTGAGCCAGCGCGATCCTCGAATACTCGGCATACGCGTCCGACGACCTCGGCTGCAGGGTTGCTTTATGGAGCGCTGCAGTGGCCATAAGCGCGTGCAAAAGATAGTCATGGCGCAAGGCCTCGGCGAAGATGGTGTCTCTCCAAACTGCATGCGACGCAAGTCTCGAGGACATGGTCATGTAGGTGCGGGTCGAGTAATGCTGGATGAGCTCCAGATCGAGCAGATCAAATCGTTTCTCCGTGTTTGGGCCGTCTTGCACTGTCGCCAGCGGTGATGAGGGCTTCGGAGTCGGCAGTGTCCCATGGCGTGGCTTCTCCGGATCTGATTGCTGATAGTCGAAACTCCTCGGTGTCGATGTGTCGTAGCTGGGCGCGTTGCCTGGTGGCGTCGGGAAGCCGTCGGAGCTCGTGTCCAGGAATGAACAGGCGATCTGGCGCTTCACACAACGCTGACATTGAGGACTCGTTTCATCGCACTGGGGCCTGGATCAGTAACAACACCAACAACACTGCCATATCCACTGCGAGCCTCAAGGGTAAGCGAGATGGCACCGCTACTGCACACCAATTATGGAGCCTCGGGACAAACTGGGGAACAAACTCACCTTGACTCTCCTGGCCTTGCATTGTCTGCATCCATGGTGGCTTTTCGTGTGCGATCTCCGTGAGGGCATTTTGACGGGCCTGCGACGTTCCAATCTTTCAAGACGCCGACCATGCACATCACAGGAGATGAAGCAGAGGGTAAAGCTGACTTCTGAGCCAAAAGGCGGAACTCGTATCGGATTCCGTCACGCTTGGCACCACGCGAAATCGCCTTCGTGTTCGGAAAGCCGCGGGCAGCCCCGTAACAATTGACCATGAAGGAGTCTGCTATATCAGATGGGCATCGTTATAGCTAGTCAAGAGTGCACATCAGCTCGGCGTCATATCGAGGCCGAGACGACATGACGACCCGGATAAGCTGGAAGCCATTATGCGGGCCAAAACACCAAACACGAATGCCAGGACAGAATACGCGGCTAGCCTTTTCTAATTGGGTCTCACCCAGGCTGTGCTGTGCCCTGGGTCTCTTCTATATGTCATTGAGCCTTCTAAAATACGTCTACGTCCAGTCTGTACAATGCAGGTCGTGGCATCATGATTTCTCTTCGAATGCCTCCGGCTGGTCGACAACAGGGCCTGAACCCGAGCCGCTTCTCTTGAATTTTCTCATGGGCTCGAAGAAGAAGCCGGGGTGGAAGAGGGTCATTAGGACACACGCAATCCCCACCATCCTATAAGAGCGAGTTAGAATTCGAGTCACGGTTGCCTGGGGGTTTGCAGAACTTACATTCCATCGAGAATTAGGAACTCGGTCTCATTGCGCATGAGAGCATTGCCCCAACCGCCGGCCATTTCCGGAAGACTGCAAGAGCCATGGTTAGCAGAGACCCAGAAACAACAACAGTCAAATCTTCGTACCGGTAGATGCAACGGATGAGAATCGTCGTGTACGCCATCCCGATGGCAAAGCAGAATAGGCGGAAATTGCGCGCCTCGTTGGGCACGGCGGACCGCTTCTCATACTCGCTTCCCGCATGGGCTCGCGATTTCGTTTTCTTAGCCCGTTGGAAGCGAATGTAGTAGTCGAGTATCAGGAGGCCGCAGACGGACATTGTCGCAACCTGGAAGGCGATGCCCGCAACGATCAATCCGTTTCCCGCATCCAACAACTTGGGGTCTGCATTATGGTCGCCCGCACTTGCTGCGATGCCGCCTCCAATAGCCTGCAGAACAATTGATCCGAAATCGCATCCGATGAAGATCCACGGGTATAGTCTAGGCTTCAGCCTCGAGTTTTCCGCTCCACAGTATATCACCAGGTGCTTCAGCGTCACGTATATCCCTGCAGCCAAGAAACTCGGTGCCAACACCAGGCAGCATATCTGTGTCTTGAACCCTGCACCACTCCAAGGGTTGTTGTGCATGATGATCCGCCCGACATATCCTACCGCCTCTCCGAAGCAGCCAATGGCAAGAACGGCCAAGTATGTCCATGTCCGCCTCCATGTGCCCAGCGCCAGTTGAAGGAAGAGGCAGATGCCAAAGAGGGCGATGAAGAATGAGTTCACCGAGAGATTCGGGTAGTAGCCATATGTCGTGAGTGTGACGGGGCACTCGGGCGTGACTTCGGTACAGAAGTCGCGGACTCGATGTGTCGTCTCGTCGGCCATAGTGGTTCAACTCGAGGCGTTCTAGCCCACGAGAACAAAGTGGCTGAACGGTGGAATGACTGGGGGAACACAATGGGAGGTAAGGATTCGACTGTGATGGTATTCTAGACAAAATGGAAGTCAAGAACAGGAGAAGCAGGAGGCAAGAGGTACTTCCCAGCGATGGCCACCCTGACGACTTCGCGGCCATGTGGACCCGCTACCCATCGGTTCCTCCAGGCGAGGTTCGATGGAACCATGGGCACATGGTGATGCATCTTAGTGCTTAGGGCCTCTTGAAAGGTCCGTTTGATGGGCAAACGACCCAATGTGATTCCGATGTTGCAGGCGGTTCGACGGCGGTGGATCTCACGAAGACGCAAAAATTGCACCTGGTGGCCGAAGGACGCTCTAAGCGAGGTCCGATGGATCAAGCGCCAAGTTATTTGTTGCTCAGCCTGCTCTAGGCGACGCTTTAGGCAAAGTTTACGTCCGGATGAGCAATCTCCCGGGCTGCACTTGGGAGAGCCTCGGGCACGAATACGCAGCCGACGCCAGATGTATCGGGTACTCGTACTGGGGCACCTACCGGGCACCAGGCACTCGGGCTCTCGGAATCACGTGGTGGTCGGCCGACTTGCCCGATGGTCCTTCACACCCGGCATATTACGGTTGCGGCGGCCCTCCGAATCTATATTTGACCAGCGTCTCGTTCCACCATTCTTCCTACAGCATTCTGCTGATTAGAGATGGACCGTCTGTCACCTCTTCAAGCATGTTTTCGGCATCTCGAAGATCTCTGTCGCGCTCAAGCAGCGCCACAGTACGTGCAGTAGTCGCTGCCTCAATCTGGATTTGAGCAGCCGTTTCCAATACTCCTAGCCATGACGGACAGGGCTTTTCGGACTGTCCCTGGTGTACTCGCATGGAGCATGGCATCGATCACCTGCTCAAGCACGAAGAGATTTCTCAAAGGTCAGGGGATGACACAATGTGCATTGTTCAACCGTGGTTAGTCTGCGATCTTCTCATTAAGAGCCTTCGAATGGCGAGCATCCATGCTAGGATCGGGCAGTCCGTTCGCTACGAGCTCCAGCAGACGGCCACACGAGGCTTGAAAATCTCCTGGCATCCCCTTTAGTTTCTTCACATCTGGGAGAACAAGCCACAGCTCGACGATTGACAAGTCTGCTTCAGCACCATGAAGAGCTCCGGCTCATGATTTACATCGTCAGGAATGCCACGTCATCCAGTACCTTAGCCGAACCAGGAGTATCACACGCCTAATTAAATGCTCTACCGGCAAAGGGAGAATACAGGCCCAGACACTATTGAGGACCACGTTGTCATCTCAGTATACGTACTTGAAGAATATCTTCACCTGGCACATAAGAGTGATGCTCAACGCTTCGAAAGATAATTTCAGCACAACCTCCCATACCGGAGCGAGCAGCCCGCACTACATCCGTTCCATTTCAGGACACGCTGAAGGATGCGGGAACGGTGCCACAGTGAGATCAGTGCAATGTTTGACCAGGGACGTTCTCATTCGGCCTGCACTACTCGAGCTTGATGAACCACACCCATGTGGTAGGGATCCATTCAGCCTGCAACGTGTGCTTGCGTTGAGTTGTCGAGAATCTCGGTGAGAGTAAGTACAAGACAACGAAAACAAGCGCTTGCGACAAAGCCACATGTGGGCATGCGGTGTTCGATTACACGGGGACGTATCACATCACTCATCCTATTCCTAAACATCACGTTCCATGTATCAGGACCAAGCAAACTTGGTCTTGTATACGAATCTCCGTGAAGGCGGCTGGATAGTCTTGATGAATTTATGACCTTGACCTTTCCTCAGACCAGGTAGGGAAAGCGAATTATCAGTCTTCGACCATACTCAAGCTCCACAGCAACGACTTGATCGAAAGTAGGTTTAGCAGGTTGTGAGTTCACATGTCTAGTCCGGGTTTGTTGCTTTGACGATGTTGCGCAACTAATGAGGTGAACGCTGACAATCTCTAGCGGTCTGCGCAATCCAGGAAGGAATTCGTCGGCGGGTTAATTGCCATGGAATCAACTTAGGGTCTACAGCTTATACCACAAGTTTCCCCCCTCGCCATCCACTATTTGCGTACCACGTCCGAGGCGGTAATCGCTACCTTGCATGGCCTCGAACTTTCTGCGCCATGAACCCTCCTCACAGATTCCCCACTGCCAAGCGACAAGAGGCTGGAGCGTCCATCCGCTGCAACGCCGGTGGAAGGGTTTTTCACTTTGACGCCAAACGCGCTATTCGAGGTCCAATGGAGCAGGCTATCGGACTGTGGAATCGTCTTCACTCCAAATCAGAATTTGTAGGCAACTTGCATGAGCGTCATGTGTTCGGTCGCAGGAAGAGTTGCGGGCGCTTCAAAGCTGTGGCTCAAAGCTACTTTTGACATCGACGCATCGCCTATCGAAACGACATGAAACGACTCATCCACGCCCGTGTTGGCCAGCTCGAGAAGGTTCAGAAATGGACGCTGTGCTGACCGGTCGAGCCTCCACCACAAAGCACAACCTGCTGGGCTCACCCTGTACTGTAGCTGGACGTATGGCCTATTCCGCTCACAATGAGGTAGAGATAAGCCCTGTTTTACCAAGCTCAACCAAGCATTTCCAGTTATAAGAATGCTTACAAGGGCTTCGACTTTGACGCACATGATGTTGATTGCTTGCCTAGAATTACTTCACATGTCAAGGCTCGCCTTGGCCATACCTATATGCTCTGTACGTTCAACCTAGGTATACAACGGACCATACGACACTTACTCCTTTATTCTCCGACTCACGGCCACTGGCCGAGGGTAATCTTCAACAGTTCCTCTGTGTTGTTCATTGGCCAACATTCCGTACCGGTATCCCCATGGCCTAGGCTGTACCGGTCCGAGGTCAATTCAACCCCAAATCATACCCGTTGCCCTTTTCCAGACTTCGCTTCCACGCAGGCCGTTCATGAATGCGAGCATGCCATTTCTCAAGCCGAGGGTATTTCGTGAGATCCACCATGCCAGCCGCAACGCATTGATCAACCGGATAACTCAGGATAAAGTCCGCCCTCGCCGGCGCGGTATCACCCAAGAAGTAATCCTGCCCCTCGAGCTGGTCGTCGAGATACCGATAGTACAAGGCCAGCTCGGGCCCGGAGAACTGGTTCCGGATCTGCGAGTGCACCAAGGCCATCAGCCACCGGACGAAAAAGGGCGTCATCTTACTGGCGAACAGGAGGATCAGATCCACGAGCATGACGGGCCCCAGGCTCGCGGCCGCGAGATTGCACAACTGCTCGTCACGGAGGGTGTCGTTTTTGGCACTGCCGTCGCCCTTGAACTTGCCGGCCTTGTCGTACGTGTCGATCAAGTACTTGGCGATGACGACCGACTCGACGATGACGCGCCCGTCGCCGGTCTCTAGTTGTGGTGCCTTGCCCAGGGGGTGGGTCTGCTTCAATGCCGGAGGAGATCTTTGCTCCACGCGCTGGTGCAGTTCGAGGTTATATGGGATTTCGAGCTCTTCTAGGAGCCAGAGGATCCGTTGGGACTGCGAGTTCTGGGCACACACAGTGAGTAATGGGGACGTGGAGAAGGGGAGTAGCCCCGGGGAAGAACCTGACATTCATGTGGTGGAGGGTTGGCTTTAGGTCTGCCATGATGTATGGTTGCCGAATAGATGGCTGTGCCAAGACGAGACAGGGTGGTGCTCGGGGCAATATACGGTACAAGGACTTGCTCAGATCTGAGGCTGAGAACAGTTCGTGGTCTTATAGAGAGAAAGACACAGAGACTGGAGCTCTTTGCTTGGATATGGCGGGTAGCACGGACGAGTGTGCGTGGGCGAGTGCGAAAGGATGGCAACCTTCATGGAGCAGAAGCGAGGTAGATTTATAGTCTAGCGGCTAGCGAGATCGCAGAATGCCTCATGCAGCTACAGGGAGCTATCCGAGTGGGTTTCTGTGATCTTGACGTCGTTCAGTCTTGTGAACACAGCATCGAGGTGAAGGCGTGCATGGTGAGTGGAGCACGAGCTCCAGCTGCGGTTGGTTCGGGAATGCCCATCGAATGCGAACTAGTGGCTTGGCACAAACATCCGCGCGATCTGGCTTGGAAATTGTGGTCAACCCGAGGCTGATTTGACATTCGACCTTGCATTAGATATGCGGTATGACTATCGTGCCTGTGGTAATGATTCCTTTGCGTATGCGATGGACCACTACCGGAGGCTGCAGCTCTTTCTACTCCGATGATCCCAAGTCGACTACTCTCCACAGGTGCGAGCAGGTAACTCAAAAACCGCAATAGCATCGCAGGCTTTGAAGACGGACGGAGATATACCGCACCCTCAAGGTCTTTTCTACGCAGTCACGCAAGCTGTGACTGAGAGGCAGGCATTCCGAGTTCGCTGGCGTCGACTTCTGATGCCACTGGCCCGTGTACCACCCCTTCTGTGCCACTTTACCTCGATGGTTCGTGTATTCAACTTTGATGGATAGTTCATATCGTTGCTACGATTTTCGAATCCGTGCTCGGGGTCAAGTCATTGCCACCGACCTTCCCATCTATTGCCTTCCTTGCACCGCAACACACGGATCAATTGTCGTCCATTTCCCTCGCACCGTACAATTATGAGGCACATCAGCCCGCAGCTTATTCGTCTACCCCCAACTGTCCGTCAAGCCCAACTTCTTGCACGAGATCTAGGTTTACCTGTTTTCCATCGAGATGGCGGATGCTTTTGTTGAAGACTGGGAGTGCTGACAAGGCTGATGTGTCAAGCATCATGCGACGGCACTGCTTCTTGACAAAGTTCGTGCCCTACGGAGAGGTTGGTCTCGCAATGAGGTGGGCCATGCCTAGATTTTTTGCCTAGAGGGTGATCGTCCTGACCATTACTGCTCAATTAGCAGAGACATATGATCGAGGTTGGTATACGAGCAGCTTAGGCGTGCCATATCTCCATCTCGACCAATATGAGATCGCTGGACGGATTATGCAGAGAAGCACCGGTGTGCCCACTGCGAGGACGCATATTGAATCGAAAGTTTATTCTCATGACCCGAAATGAATGAAGACGTTGGGAAGCTAGTTCCAGGTGTAGTTCCCGTGGACGGCGCATCCATCTAGTTGCACTTGCTTAGAAAAATACCCCTCGATGGCGGCCTGGTTCAGCAGCCGAAAGAGTGATGGTCGCCGCGTCTGCCCAAGAGCAGAGGGAAGAAGGTTCAGGTTGCCATTATCCGTAGTGCTGGGTCATCAATGGTCACGTGGACAATCGCCGGATAATCTTCGGCCCGGCGAGGCTCGGCAAGCCCCGCCATCGTCATCTGGTCGCCGACTCGACCGCGAACTCGCTCCAGGCTTCAGACATTCAGCACTGAACCACGATTAAGGGCGAACCGCACTGCAATAGACGTGGAACCCTGTACTCAACAAAGCACGCCGACTTGATCTGTTCTGACGCAGTGTCACCCTTTCCGACCAAGCTACCTCAGCTTCCGATTCCTGGCTCTACTTGCCCACCACGTTTATCTTCGTCGAGATTTCTGACCCATTACACCAAGATGTCGGGCCTTGAGAAGGCTCTTTTTAACCTCAAGGTATGTCTAATCGCTTGACCGTGCACCTTGATTCCCCGTCAACTCCTGGCTCGCAGACCGTTGCCGCCGTGTCCCAGTTCCCAAGCAAACAATATTAATCCCAGAGACATTCCTCTACTGACTCCCATCACTTGCAGTTCACGTCCAAACAACTCAACCGACAAGCCGCCAAAGCGGACCGCGACTCGCGCGCCGAACAAGCGAAACTCAAGAAAGCCCTCACTCAGACGCCTCCCCAGCCCCAGATCGCCCGCCTGTACGCCACAAATTCGGTGCGCAACTCGCAGCAGAGAATCCAGCTGCTGACGCTCGCGGCGCGGATCGACGCAGTCGCCGCACGTGTGCAGACCGCAATTACCATGCGTACGGTGACGGCTTCGATGGCTCAGACCGTGAAGGGCATGGACGCTGCGCTGAAGAACATGGATCTCGAGAAGATTGGGGCGGTGATGGAAAAGTTTGAGTCACAATTCGAAGACCTTGACGTCGTCTCGGGTTACTACGAGGGTGTGGCGGGCGGGGTGGAAAGCCAGCAGGTTGGCGTGGAGGGCCAGGGCGAGGTGGACGCTCTCATGAATCGTGTGGCGGATGAGGCGGGCGTTGAGCTGTCGCAGGAAATGCAGCAGCAGGTGCCTGAGCATGAATTACCGACCGCCGACACGGCGAAGTTGGAGGAAGGGTTGGGTGATAGGTTGAGGGCTTTGAGGAATTGAGCGAAGTGGGTGCGATTGTGAGTGCGATTGTGTGCTAAGTTGGACTCGATGAGACCTTGAATTCATGTCAGGCCAAGTTAAAGTGCTTAACGCATTACGGAAGTCAAGGAATGGATGCGGCGTTGGCGTACACGATCTTCTCTGGCAAGCCGATACAAATCTTCTGTTTGGCTCGCGAGGGATATTCTCACCTGACGGATTATGTTGAGCCAGCAATGATATGGAGTACACGCCATCAATGGAATGACAATTGCTACCGTACCTCTGGGGTTCTCACTGGGTCCTTCGACCTCACACCACGGAGTCGAGGGATGACCAAGGAGCGAGACAAGTGTCGCATCAGAAGTTCTCTGGACTCGCCCGCGAGCACAGAGCAAACCCAGTGCCAGACGGGGAATCTGGTCGAGTCCGTGGCCTCCAGTCTACCACTGCGTGCACCGGCGGCCCTGCATTTCTATCTATTTATCCTTCTGGTTCTGCTGGGTCTTCTTCACGGCCCTCTGCCTCTCCTCACGCCTCTTCTCTACAAGCTCATTATCCCTGATGATCTGCTCTTTGGCCCCCTTCCAAGGCTTCCGCCCGCCCATGTCGAACAGTCGCCACAGAGCCGGCGAGCACACCCCTGCCTTGCACAGTCGGTAGAACCTCCGATCCTGCCACCAGAAGCGCCACGCCCGCCAGCTGAACCAGCCGGACCACGAAAAGTGAGCGAACACACCCGTCCCGGCCGTCCTGTCCAACCACTCCATCTGATCCGGCAGGCGCAGTATCACAGGCAGGAGTTTCGTGTCGAATCTCGACCTCCTGACGACGTCGCGCCTCCACGCCATATGCTCTCTATGCCAGTCCTGCATCTCGCCCAGGGGCGGCAGGTGCGCCTTGCCACGCCACACCTGGGAGACGGCAAAGATGACGAGCTCGAACTGCACGAAGCCGGGGAACGCGATGCCTCCTTGGCCGAGGAAGGCGAGGCTGTCGCGCACGTCCACGTCACCGTGCAGCGGGAACGCGTTGCGGTAGAGCACCGGCGCCTCGTCGGCCACCGGGTAGGGGTTATATTCGCGCGGCGCGCAGGGGATGGCGGACTCGTATCCCGTCGTGTATATGATGGTGTGAACGTCGTGGAGGAGGCGTCCGTCCGTCAGGAGGACCGCGTTCGGTCCTTGGACCTGCTGCAACGCGGCGACCGGTTCCGCGAAGCCGCTCTCGAGGAACGGATAGATGGCGTCGGCGATCAGCGGGGGTGTGGTGGTCGCCGAGGGCGCGGGCGTCAGATTCCACTCGCTCCGCTGCTCGGGAAACGCTTTCCTGGACATGGACCCGATGGCGTTGTCGAAGAGCCAGTCCCATACTCGGGGAAACCACTTTGTCAGGAAGATTTGCAGGAATAGCACCGACAGTGTTTGCGCCTGGTCGTATGTTCTGCCGTCGGACGTGTACCGCGAAAGCTGCCGCCATAGTTAGACACACAATAAATATAGTGAGCGCGAGCGCATATCCCGTGCAAGGTAGGACAGGATAGGATAGGATAGGACAGATGGGATCAACATGGGGCCTAATTACTGTACTCACCAGGACCATCCCGTTCTTGTGCGCGACGTACACCTTCTTGGCATGCGGCGACAGCTCGATCACCAGATCTTGAGCCGTCGCGTGGAATCCTATCAGCAGGACGTTCTGGTCCTGGAACGTCGACGGGTCCGGGAAATCGATCGAGTGAAGGATCGTGCCTTGGAACGTCTCGATGCCTTTCAAGCTGGGACGTCTCGGGAGGACGAACGAGCCAGGCGAGACGGCAAGTTTGTCAAAGTATTCCGTATGGGAGGTGCCGTTCTGGATATATTCCACGGCCCATTTGCCTCGCTTCCTCGAAAACGTCTGTACGTCCGCGCCGAAGCGGATTCGAGGGCGCAACTCGAACGCGTCGCAGTAGTCCTCGAAATACCTCCACATCTGCTTCGCCGTCGGGAAGTCGTCGACCTCGTCGGGAAAGGGAAAGTCGGAGATGGCGCTGCGGAACCGGCTACTGTTGAACACGGTGTTGGCTGTGGTCGAGAGGCTGGTGTCGAACGACTGCTTCCACAGACCTCCTACCCAGTGTCGCCGCTCGAAGCCGTGCACCTCGAATCCATCTTCCTTGAAGTTCTTCAGCGCCATCAGGCCGAGAGGGCCCATGCCCACCACCGCCACCGTGACTGGCATGGTCTGTAGGCTCGAGGGAGTGTACAGACGGTAGTGTTAGACCCAGGTATGTGCCACTATCCTGCTCATCATATACTCGAGGATATGGCCAGGCTTCATCGACCCTCTAACTGCAACTCACCTTTCTTGTAACAGTGGCATTCTGACCTCGACTGCCTTAGGCCGACTTCTGACATCCTCGTAGCTAGAAAGATAGTCAGCCAAGCTGCTGAAGCAGTAGGATTGTGGAGGAAAGGCCCCCGGGGCCTAAGGCAGTTAGCCCTGCTAGACGTCGAGCCTTTTTCGATGACCATTTCAAATCGGAGTATCTGGTTCAAGAAATGAGGACCATGGCCTGCCTGAAACTAAGGGTACGATGCAGCGCAAGAGTCGCTGTTGTGTGGACGCCTTATGCGCGGCGCTCTCCATGTGAGGGTCCATAATCATTAATTCAGCTTTGATCACCTAGACACTTCAAGGCTTACCGGGGTACAGTAATCTCGCAACGAGGGTTGAAAACACGGCAGCCTTACGAGCACTCGTCTCCCACATTCAACACCCCAGCCGGGTCCCGGTACAGATCTTGATCGAGGATTGATCTTGACAATCGCTTGTTGCGTCTCCTCCGATCGCAATAAGCGTTTTACGACGTCTCATGACCGTCGCTCCGGTTAAGAAAGCCGAAATAAGCGCGGATTTCGGTTATGTGAACATCAGCCCAGCCTGGACGGCGAGGACACGGTCCGCGTTCCGGGTTCCAGTTTTGCCCCATCTGACGTTATCCTAGGCCATAACTCCCAGGTCTCAAGGGACGGGTGTCACGATCCCCGGGCTCTATAACGTTCGTTGTCGGAGAAGAACGGAGCAAAAGGGAAAAGAGTATCGTCGCCGTGCAAAGAAGTCTATGTCACCTATCCCACATAATGGCTTGGCCGGATACTTCTACCCGCCTTTCGGCCTTCCTCTCAACACATATTAGCTGGAGAAGGTTAACAAGGAGAAATTGGAACTGCCCCCTGCGTCCTGCATGCTAATACCCTGCCGGGTGGATCTGTGTGTGGTGAAAGTCCGAAATCTCCTTCGTTATGGCCTCCCTGACGATGGATCCGCAGAGCTTGGCGTATGGATTCGTCTTGACCGCGAGCTGGCGGGCCGTCTCGTTGCCATATCGTCCCCCCTTTGCAAGTTCTCGACTCGCGGCTTCCTCAAGGTCCTGTTTTGATAGTTCATCTAGGCCCCGCACGTTCGCTAGCATTTTCCGGTTCTCCTCGGACTTACTTGCCAGGAGCAACAGATATCCTCGGTGGGTATGTGCTGATGCGAGGGTTCTCGCATCCATCGTAGAGAGGGCCGTATTTGCTTGCGTCGGGGTCGTCAATAAGATAGCTTGCGCAAGGTCTTCAAAGATCTCGGCTACGCTCGCTGGGTTTTCAGACAGCTTTTCGTCGGCTATGAGCATCCGGCGCGCTTGTGCTCTATTGTTCCATGCTGATGCGTAGGAGCCGTCGCTTTCGATGATGGCTGTCAATCTCGATACTGCAAGTTCGATCTCGTTCGGTTGAGGTTGGTCGTGGTTTATTGAGTTGAGGGCAAAAAGTTCTTGTTCCTGGAGCGGCTTCAGTCTGCTTGGCGAAGAGGTTGGAATATTGTTGTCGATTTCGACAGTGCTAGTTAACGATGATTCTGGGTCGAACAGAGCCGCCAAAACACTGGAGTCGTTCTTGGTTAATCCACGTGCCATCGTTACTCGTGGAGGTTTGGACTGGTAGGATGTGTCGGGTGTTTGGATGACTTGCTGCCAAAGACTGAATATGAAGACCTGGTCAGTCGCAAAAGCTGCATGAAATATTCACAGACCGAATCGCGAAATGTGCAGGAGCCGAGTGCCTTCCGAGCTCCATGGTCCGTGTTCAAAGCCGAATTCTTTGTTCGTTCTGCAGGCGCTTACTTGCGGTAGAGTCAATGGCCGGACCCGGATGCCATTCCGTGCCCACAAAACAAGAGGAGTTCAATATGCCATGATAAGGATGTCCGCCGTTCATTCAAACAGCCGTTGGCATTGATCCGAGTCATAAGCCTGTATGTTATCCTCTCTTGTTCGGTGTTCTCCAACATTCTCTGGGAGCCAAAAGCCGTATCGGTCTGTTCTTCATACCCTCACCACTAAAGCGACACCACAAGATGGCCCCCATTGCTTTGGAGCCGACTTCTGTTTCAGTTCACGGACTGACGAAGAAGTTATCACACGGAACTGCTCCCATAATAGGAACATTGCCAAAGAATTCCAAGACCATAGCAAGTTATCGAGGATATGACCACGTTGCTTGGTGGGTTGGAAACGCCAAACAGGCGGCAGCGTTTTATGTCTCTCGAATGAGCTTCGAGAGGATCGCGTATCGTGGGTTAGAGACAGGTTCTAGGGTGACTGCTTCTCACGTTATTCGAAACGGGGATGTCACCTTCGTGCTTACCTCACCATTGCATGCGCCAGACGCGAAAGCCGCCTGGCTCAGCGATGATGACAGGGCACACCTGAGAGTGATTCACAACCACTTGAGAGCCCACGGAGACGCTGTGCGCGATGTTGCGTTTGAGGTGGATAATGTTGCCGCAGTGTACGATGCTGCGGTCGAAAAAGGCGCAGACCCAATCGAACCCCCCAAAACAGTACACGACAGTTACGGCACAGCCAAGCTTGGTTCCATCAAGACATATGGCGATACCATCCATACCCTGGTTGAGCGGAGTGGATACTCGGGGGTATTTCTGCCCGGTTACCGAGCTGTGACAGAGATCGAAAAGACAGCCAAGTACCTCCCTCGAGTTGATTTACTCGCGATTGATCATTGTGTCGGTGAGTGGGACACCGAAAAGTCGAGCTTCTCGCGATGAGATGAACGATTCGGCTGACAGTTGGCAGGCAACCAGGACTGGGACGAGATGGAAGCAGCCTGCGAGTACTATGAAAGGACATTGGGCTTCCACAGGTTCTGGTCAGTCGATGACAAGGATATTTGTACCGACTATTCCGCGCTGAGGTCGGTAGTGATGGCAAGCCCTGATGAGAAGATCAAGATGCCCATCAATGAGCCGGCGAAGGGTATTCGTAAATCGCAAATTGAAGAGTACGTCGACTTCTACAATGGCGCCGGTGTTCAGCACATTGCTCTGAGGACAGACGACATCATCACAACCGTCACGAACCTGAAAGAGAGGGGAATCGAGTTCATTAGCGTGCCGGACACTTACTATGAGGCCATGTCAAAGCGGCTCGCGCACGCTGGCATGAAACTGAACGAGGACTTTGCTGCCCTGAAAGAGCTCGGAATCTTGATTGACTTTGACGAGGGCGGGTATTTGTTGCAGCTCTTCACTAAACATCTGATGGATCGACCGACTGTGTTCATCGAGATCATTCAACGGAACAACTTCTCAGGGTTCGGCGCAGGTAATTTCAGGGCGCTTTTCGAAGCGATTGAGAGGGAGCAGATGTTGCGGGGCACTCTGTGATCATGGGTGAGAAGATGCGCGGCGGGCTGCGTCGGCATTACTTTCGTACATGTTCACGCATGAGAGTGAATCAAAGGCGCTTGTATTGGTAGCTCTGACTGCAGTCCGCATCTGTCCTTGTAGCGATTTGTAGTGACAATAAAAGGAATGAAGGAAAAGATTCGGAAGCCACTGAATCACCGGCTCAAGACCGAGGCAGGCCGTGCCAGAGGGGAAGATAGTTTCTCCGTGCCGCAGCTTTCAGCCCCACCTGCCCGGGACCGTCGTTGTTTCTCCGTGTCCGCGCGTTCCCAGATTCTGTACCACAGTCCATACCAATAGGCACTGTCACTTCTTGTGTTGGGAATAGCAAGGGAATGGCATGACTGACAGCAGTCCGGCGCAGACTCGTGTTAGGCAAGCCTGCGACCCGTGCAGAAGGAAGAAGGTGAGGTGTCCGGGAGAACGACCAAGCTGCGGCTTCTGCACCCGGCTCAATCAACAATGCAGCTACACGCGGACAAGCCTCACGCCTGGATTTCGAGTAGAAAAGGTTACACAAAATGGTCATTCTCATGTAAAACATTCCTGAAAACGTCTCGAGGCCACTAGGCTTATGACTCGAGCAGGACGATGGCCGTTTTGCGGCTGGGCATCGGGTCCAAATGTTGGAGGCACGGGTGGATCAGATCATGGAGGCCGTGAAGTACGTCTGAGCCGTTTCTGAGGGTCTACGTTGCTGATAGAATAGCACGCTTGTCCAGCTACAATCCGGGGAGCCCTCGGCCAGGCTCCCAGCGCCGTCCACTCCAACGCCGAGCAGCACCGCGAATCAGCTTGATGAGGACCGTGTTGTACGGGGAGGCGTCGCCGTCTTCGATCCCATGCTAAGGTTGACTACCTCCTGACCCTGGGACACCCGATCTGACTGCTTATAGTCCAGACCCTCCGCCAGAGGTGCTTCAGTCGCTGGTCAAGCTCTACGTTGATCAGATCGCAGACCAGCCCCTGCCCCTTTTCGATATCCAAACGTTATCGTATCGCGTGCAGAAGTTCCCGAAAAGCCTGCTTAGAAGCTTTCTTGCATTGACTGTGAGATATTCCGACGACGATTTCTTCAGAAGTGGTCGGTCGAATGCCGTGGAGTTTTACAAGACATCTGCGTCCAAGGCGTTGTATGCCCGGGCTGCAGAAGCGATTGGTGACGTGGATGTCCTGCAGGCTTTCTGTCTGCTCTGCCTCAATGAGATTGAGGGTGCGTCCTACATTTGGTCTCATTGCATGTTCGAGCTAACGGGAATTCTACCAATAGATGGAAACATGAAAAGAGCCTGGATGACTGTCGGCGTTGCCGCTCGGCTCGCTGTCTGTTCTGGCCTTATGAGCTCCACAGCCAAGGGCGCGGTCGTAACCGCTGACCATTCTAGGTGTTACTGGAGCCTCTTCATTCTTGATCGCATGCATGGCAGCAGTTTCCGGAGTGTACCGGCCATATCGACCGATGATGCTGTTCCCGAAATGCCGCCGTCCGCAAGAAGACCAGAGTATTTAGGGCTGACCTCACCGAACGACCTCGAAGAGCCTCAAGCCGCAGAGCAAAAGGACGCCGGCATCAACTCCTATGCCCTTCAATTGTTGTCGATATGGGGCCGCCTGATGTCGTATCTAAAGACGATCAGTCAGGGCGTTCTTGAAGATGCGTGGACAGCGAACTCGATGTACCAGCAAATCAAGGCCGAAATGTCCCGGTTTGAAACAGTCCTGCCCGAAGTCCATCGGTTCAAGAATGCGAGGTTTCGTGAAAGAGATATCTCCGAGCTGGAAAGACATCGGCATTACTGGGCGTCATGGGTGTTCACACAGTGCATCTACCACGCCACGCACTGCACTCTGAATCACCCTTTTCTCCATATTGCCAGGATTCGGGGTCAGAGGAGGCTTCGCTCCCCTTCATTCCTGCAACACGCCAGCGACCAAGCAGCTCTGCACTCCGCCTGGGTCGTTTTGATCCTGAGTTCGTGCGAAGAGCGAGACTTCAAAATCTACGACCCTTTTATTGGGCATCTAGCATCAATGATCGCGACCGCTGAGTTCCTGCTCCAATTCTCCAAGGACGAAGCATTGGCAGCCAAATCGGCCAGCAATTTCAGTATACTTCGACGTTTTGTTGAGAGAATGGCGACCAGCCATCCTCATCTTCAGCACACTGTAAGTCACATCCGGTCTTGTAGTATCAGGGCCTAATAGCTTCACAGAGTCTGAAGCTCAGCCGGCTGGGACAATTCGCGGCGGCGCATGTCGAGAGGGGTTCCAATCAGCCACCAAAGGTTGAGATCGCGTTGTTGTGGGATCTACTCGACTACGCTGTATCTTCATCTCCGAGCATTGATGGCGGCGAGTCATCTGACAACGTAGAGCTGAACGTGAATACTCAGTTCCTCTCACCCGTGAATCCGGACGTCCCTCCAGCGCCACTGGCATCAGAACGGCTGCGAGCTCGGGGGCAAGAGGCCCTTGACACCAGCTTTTGGGATGACAGTACGTTCGAGTTCGATATGACGGACTTTTCCAACATACATGGGCTGTCTGATCTAAGCATCCCGAGCGAGACATGGATTGGCGGTCACCTTTGAGGCGATGATGCAGCACGTTATCCACGCCAGCTTCACTTGAACTGCATTGTGCTCCCAGATTCGAGCGGTCCTGAGTAGTCAGAGAGAAGTCATAGTCAATCAATCCATTCCTCAGGCTTCAGAACCACTGTCCTCACTTCCCCCTCACCCAGTCTCACCATCGAATATTTGGAACTTAGCAAAGTGTGATGACTTCTATCTCGTCGTCGATGGTGTTGTATGTTGCAATACTGGAACAACGACGAGAGTCTGCAACCCGTCAGGATTTGCGATATTGCAGACGTCCGTTCAGCCGATCTCGATGCCATTCATGGCCTGCCCCAACCTGAGCATGTTACGTAGATGCGATAACGGATATGATTTCCGACATGCGGAGAAGGCAGCTTTGCATCATTGCATGCTGCTCGCAACCAGCTTGTACGATTCGAACGCTCGTGTGAACCCTGTGTTTTACTCATTACTTTCAAAGATATACCATGGCCGTGCCTCGCAGTGTCCAGGGATCCGTTAAAGTCGCCTCACGAAGCGTATTTTCACCAGGCAGGCTTATATGCCACAACTGCGAGCAGTCTTTCAAGGTCCCCAGCTACCAGAGACGCAGGATCAGCAGTTATGGCTACACTCAGTCGAAGGCGCTTGTCTACTCCAAGTATGGAGAGCCGCAAGACGTCCTGTCACTCCACGGCCACTCGATATCACCGGCGTCTGGAACCAACGTCGTCCTCCGCATGCTCGTCGCGCCCATTAACCCTGCCGACGTAAACCAGATCCAAGGAGTTTATCCCGCGAAGCCAGAAATGAATACCGCTCTGGGAACATCAGAGCCCTCTGCGGTAGCAGGAAATGAGGGTGCCGCGGAAGTGATAAGTGTGGGCTCTGGAGTGAAAAGCCTAAGTAAGGGAGACTGGGTCATTATGAAGAGCACAGGAATGGGCACATGGCGGACGCACATGGCTATCGACGAGAGCAAGCTTATAAAGATCGACAACAAGGAGGGCTTGACGCCGCTACAAGTCGGTACTGTGTCGGTTAACCCATGTACGGCTTACCGCATGCTCCTTGATTCCGCGAAATGGAGCTTTCGCGGGGACGAATGGTTCATCCAGAACGGAGCCAACAGTGGAGTCGGGAGAGCTGCGATACAGCTCGGCAAGGAATGGGGCTTCAAAAGCATCAATGTCATTCGAGGTCGGGAGAATAAGGAGGAAGAACAGAAGCTTCGCCAGGAGCTCTACGATATAGGCGCAACCAAGGTCATCACGGAAGAGGAGCTTCAAGGGCGAGAAATAAGAGACCAGATCAAAGAGTGGACGAACGGTGGCCGCGAGCCCATCCGAGTAGGGTTGAACTGCGTGGGTGGGAAGCCGGCTACAGCACTGGCGAAGTTCTTGAGCCCTGGGGCAACCATGGTGACGTACGGCGCGATGAGCAAGCAACCCGTCATGTTACCAGCATCGCTGTTGATATTCAAGGAGATCAATTTCAATGGCTTCTGGGTGAGCAAATGGAGCGATCGGCATCCCGACCAGAAGAAGCAGACCGTGGACGATGTCCTGCGACTCACGAGGGAAGGCCGCTTCAAGGACATACCCGTGCAGGAATGCAAATGGGGATGGAAAACGGAAGTCGATATCTTGAAGGCAGCTGTACAGGGCACGCTAGGTGGATTCAGACCTGGTAAGGGCGTTTTTGTGTTTGAAGAGCCATGAGCAAATAATCTGTTACCAACATTTCCGCTATAAGTGCTGCTTCAACCAGTTTTCTCACCGTGATTCTGGATCCCGAACTACAGGATGTGCAGTGTGACACCAAAGTGCATACATGTAGCTGATCGAAACCATGACCGACAGCGTCCGCAAACCGCTTACATATGCACTGGTTACCGCAGCATACCATGCAGATTCGCAGGACAGGCGATCTTATCTATGAGAGTCCTCCAGTCCAGAACAGCGAATCTCTTACACATTGGGCTACAGGGTTCCGTGTCGTACCAGAGGCACTCAGTGCTGCCACATCGTAGGCCAACCCAAGCAGTGGCGGAAGCGGTCGGAAGCGTACTCGTTGAGTGAGGCCGCGCACAAAACGCTATCAAGTCACACCTCAAGTAGTACGGCGTAGCTTGCGGCGGAACATCGTGCAGTAGTTAGGTACTGTACGTTGTAGCTGCAGCAACCAGAGCAGCCTACCTAGGTACGCTGAGTCAACACATGCAAGGTATTCCCCTAACGTGTCCGTCCTCTTCCCCCTTCATACCCGCAAGTCGTGGCAAGGCTCCGCAATTCCACCAATCATTCCCATCTCTTTACCGACATGCGCCCCAATTCCGCCATCACACAGCTACCAACACCATAATCTGACCTGAAACTTCAGTCTATGACAAGGGCGTGCATATCTGTGGCGTTGTTCTTCCGTCTTCTAGACGACGTGGGGAACGAGCGAAACGGCGTTGAAGGTCCGTTGTCCCTACGAGTACAAATACCTGCTGGGAGGAGTTCCACGATCAGAAACCACTCTTTCGAAACTCTCATCTCTCCAGAAATTTTACTGCACGCCCAAATATTTAGATTATGGATGCCGACCAATTTAGAAAGGCCGCTCACGCGGTCATAGAAGAGAGTATGTCGCATCCCTCATGCTTGCGGCCTCTTGACTTCATACACCGGAAAGAAACTGACCTCTTACAAAGTAATTTCATATAACCAAAACCTACCCAACTACCCCGTCCTCCCCAGCATCAAACCCGGCTTTCTGGCGCCTCAGCTGCCCACTTCAGCGCCCGAGAAGCCCCAGCCATGGACCGAGATCCAGCCCGACATCGCGTCGAAGATCATTCCCGGCATCACACACTGGCAGTCTCCCAACTTCATGGCCTTCTTCCCTGCCGGGGTGACATACCCCTCGATGCTGGGTGAGATGTACTCGGCCGCATTCACCGCGCCGGCCTTCAATTGGCTGTGCAGCCCCGCTTGTACGGAACTGGAGACCGTGGTCATGGATTGGTTGGCCCAGGCGTTCGATCTGCCCAAGGAGTTTCTGAGCACCGGTCCGAGTGGCGGGGGCGGGACAATCCAAGGTAGTGCCTCCGAAGCGATTGTGACTTGTATGGTGGCCGCGCGAGAGAGGTATCTGCACAGTAAGTGCGATGCAGAAGGACTGAAGCCGGGTTCTCAGGAGAGGGAGGACCGGATTGACCAATTGAGGAGTCGGTTGGTTGCTTTGGCGACGGACCAGACGCACTCGTCGACGCAGAAGGGCGCACTGATTGCGGGAACGAAGTATCGCTCCATCCCGACGAAGTTGGATAATGAGTTGTCCTTGCAAGCGGAGGATCTCGAGGCTGCCTTGGAACAGTGTAAAGCTGAGGGCCTGGAGCCCTACTACATCACTCTCACCCTGGGGACAACGTCAACATGTGCGGTCGACGACTTTGCCGGTTTGGCGTCGATCCTCAAGGCCCACCCGAATATCTGGGTCCACGTCGACGCAGCCTACGCGGGCGCCGCACTAGTCTGCCCGGAATTTTCCTCGAAATACTCACCATTAATGGCCATGGCAGACTCATTTAATATGAACATGCACAAGTGGCTGCTCGTTAACTTCGACGCCTCATGTCTGTTCGTCCAGAATCGGAACCACCTCACCAGGGCGCTGTCCATCTCCGCGGCTTATTACACGAACAAGCACTCTGACAGTGGGATTGTTACGGATTACCGGGACTGGCAGATCCCGCTGGGAAGACGGTTCCGGGCGCTGAAGATCTGGTTCGTCGTGAGAAGTTACGGGCTCGAGGGCATGAGAGCACATATCAGGGACAGCATCAAGAGAGGCGAAATCTTCGCTGACCTAGTCCGTGGAAGAAGTGATCTGTTTGAACTGGTTACGCAGCCAAGATTCGCCTTGACGTGTTTTCGAGTCAGGCCGTCTGCCTTGCCCGCGCAGACGAGTACAGCAAAGACCGACACAGACTTTGTGCCTCAACAGGCGGCAATGCAACAGCAGGAACAAGACGCAAACGACGTGACGAAGCGGATTGGAGACCTGATCAATGAGAGGGGCGAAATCTTCATTACATGCAGCAGCTCGGCAGGAAAGTCGTTCATACGAGTCGTGAGCGGAAACCCGCTGGGAGAGGAGAAGTATATCCGAAGCGCCTTTGACATTATCGTCAAGACGACCGAGGAGGTGTTGGCTTCAAGCTCGACCGGTCAGGACAAGGCGAAGCCAAGTAACGGATACGCACATTGATAGACATTCCTAACTTGAGATAGATCGCCGTTCTGAGAGCCTGAAGACTCGTAGAAAGTGAACCGCGGTTGAGGACAAGAACACGTATGTTGGGTGATATCTCCCTTTAGCTGTGCGATGCTGGTGTGGAGGTAAGTTCCTTTGGGTCCTGTAAGCAGGATCAGGCAAGCACAAATCGGTGGTGACAGTGTAAGCGTGCTTTCTGGGAGTCGATCTGATGCTTTTCTTCCCGTCCTCGAACGACCCAAAGTGGAGGAGACGTCAATATTGTTCAGACAGGAGAAGCGGTTTGCTGCGTTGCTCCAACAATGCTTGGAGGCGACGCGTTGTCACGACACGCGTAAAGTGGTTTTTCCCTGCGTCAACTTCCCCCTCCATACCTACGAAAGAGTTGCCAACGCTAGGATCTCCTTCTCTACTCTCCTCATCCTTAGTCGTGCAGATGGAGGCATTCGGGGCAGGTCCCGGCTACACTGATGCGAATCGCGCATTCCTACAAGCCTTCCTCGCCCGAAGCGTCCTCACTTTGGACACGGCCAGACCCATCATCGCAGCATGTTCGTCCTTCCAGGAACGCCGCGAAATGCTGCCGCAGGATGTCACGGTAGAGGACTTGAATGACTATATTGCAGACGCGAACCGCAGACTTTCTCCTCTCGACCTTGAAATCCGAAGTACTTTCCACCAACAAACACGCGAACGTGTCTACGCCTTGGTCAACACCACGAGTGACCCTCTCACACAGCTTGCCACAACGTATACGCCCGACGAGATTGCGTTCGTCAAGAACCTTCTGGACGCCATGTTTGACGGGCAGAATAACAAGGGCCGAAGAGAAGCCATGTGCATCAGCGGCATTGATGCGATCCAGGTTGGACGGACGCAGAATCGGCGGCAGACAGGAGATGGAGACGAGAACGCAACACAACCCACCGCAGGTGTCCTCAACGGGAAAGATGTTGAGACCCTACTTCAGAAGCTGGTGGACGAGGGATGGCTGGATAAAAGCCGAGCTGGGTTTTACAGCCTCAGTCCGCGCGCGTTGATGGAGCTGAAGGGCTGGCTCGTCGACACATACAACGACGAGGATGAAGACGGAAACAAGAGAGAGAAGGTCAAGTTCTGCCATGCTTGCAAGGATATCATCACAGTGGTACGACCAACTATGCTCAATGCGCGATTTGAGATGTTGGAGGCTAACTGGTGTTTGTTGCTCGCAGGGTCAAAGATGCGCAAACCGCGAGTGTGCCTGTCGAATCCACGACATCTGCAAGACCAATTTTTTCCGAGTGCAGCGAAATGAAAGATGCCCTCTTTGCACCACTCGATGGGATGGAGAGCACTTTGTGGGTGAGAGAGCCATTACAGCATCTGACAGCTATCGGACCGGCCGGAGACGAAGCGGTGCACAGAACAGACACAGATCACACGCCAACGAAGATGACAACGACCAAGACGGTTGATTAGACATGCCACGGCAACGACACGTAGGCATCACTGCACTATAGCCAGCGCGGGCGGCAGGGCTCGTACCTCTTGCAGCAACTTCGGCAGCCGAATCCGAAGGATTCCATCTGATGAGCACTACATATTGTCGTTGGGAGCAAGTCCATCCTCTGATCAGCCGGTGGTGTACCGTGCATTCCGCGGTGCGCAAGATCTTCCCCCCCCTCGCCACGCGAGCGACAGCCCCAAGCTTGAATCCGAGCCTTCCAAGCCTGGAGATGACATTGGTGGCGCTCTCCCAAGCTACGCCATCCCGGCAATGGGCAGCTTGTCGCCCGCCCCCGCAGCTCCCCACAGTCGCACCCAAAGACCCGCGAAACCCAGTTTAGCAAGTCGACGAGCAGCTTGACGCCATTCAACCTGCTCCGGCATGGTCTTCGACCCTTCCTCCGCACCCTCTTCAACTCCCCAGCAGATGACGTTGTGGACGTGGTATCGGCCCACCAGATAGCTCGGCGAATGGACCTATGACCGTGGAAGGAGCGGCCAAATCATGACAATGTGACTACTAGGATATACAAATCAAGCAGGACTCAATGGTACGATGTAACTTTCCGTGTCATATGGAGCTGTACCGGTGCTCCGCGAGGTGCCTTGCGTTAGCCTCGTACAGCTCATATACCGGGTACAGTTGGAAGTGACCTGCTCGTCAAAATTCTCAGTAGCACAGAGGCTTTCTGTGACTTCCTCGAAATCTTCGAAGCTGGTCTTGCTGGCATATGGACGGCCGACATTAACAGCGAAGAATTTTTATGCGCCGTGCCTTGCGAGGTGTGACCGAAGATAGATTTACTCACGATAGCTTCACTTGTACTTGGCTTGTGCAGTTACACGCAAGATCGAGCAGATGCGCGAGACCTTGGGAGCCACGGTACGTGGACGACACAACTCCATGAGCGGACGGATCAGACTGACGTGAGCAGATGGCTGGCAGAACGTACATCTCTTACCTGCTTCTCACTCTCCTCTCGGCCGCCTTCACGTCGGCTCAGTCCGGTAATGCCTCGACAGTTTACCAGACTCGCTTCAACGGTGTGACCTGGGACGCCACGAACTGGGTGCTCGCCACGACCGTCCTTGACCAAGGACATTATCAATCTCGTGTTACTGTTGCAAACGGATATCATGGCATCAGTGTAGCTTCGCTAGGCCCTTTCTTCGAGGTCGAGTCCTCAGTCGACGGCGACAACGTCAGTGGCTGGCCGCTCACCACCCGCCGCCAGACCTTCGCGACAGTCGGTGGATTCTGGGATTCTCAACCAACACTCAATGGCAGCAATTTCCCCTGGCTGTCCCAGTATGGGTGGGATACTGCCATCAGCGGCATCCCTCACTGGGCCGGCATCGTGGCGGACCTGGGCGGTAACAACTATCTGGCGGCGTCGACCAACAGCAGCACCATCAGCAACTTCCAATCGAGCCTAGATATGAAGCAGGGTCTCAAGAACTGGGCTTTCACGTGGACCCCAGCGGGCGGCCATGGGTCATTCAATGTGTCCTACCAGATGTTCGCTCACAAACTCAACATCAACCAGGCATTCGTTCAATTGAATATCACGGCGGCAAGAACGACTAACATCACGATCGCGAATGTGATCAACGGCGATTGCGCTGTCCGGACAACTGCTGGGCCAAATGGTGTCGACTCGGGCATCATTTACAGTTCTGTCCAGCCTCAGGGTGTACACAATGTGACCGCCTACGTTTATGCTGGCCTGAACACCACCGGCGCCACAGTTCGCTCTGTCCAGCAAGGTACATTCGAACGCCCATATGTGGGAAACAACCGCTCTTCAATCGCTTCCGGGCTGGATGTGACGCTCCAAGCTGGTCAGGTTGCGACATTCACCAAATTCGTTGGTATCGCTTCAACTGATGGGTTCCTCCAACCTCAATCAGTAGCTAGAGATGCCGCACTCGCGGCGCGATCCACTGGCTATGCTGAGTCGTTGCAGTCTCATATTGCGGAGTGGGCCAGACTCTTCCCGCCCTCGTCTGTTGACGACTTCTCCTTTCCAGAGAACGGGACCTTGCCCGAGGATGAGTACATCCTTGACGCGGCCATCACAGCAGTGGCGAACCCGTTCTATCTGCTTCAGAATACGCTTTCAGAGAACGCGATCAACAACACCGTTAGCGCCGGTGATTCAATCAACAGCAACAGCATCTCAGTTGGAGGTCTCGGTTCTGACGCATATGCTGGACAGATCTTTTGGGATGCTGAGATCTGGATGCAGCCGGGCCTTGTCGCTGCTTTCCCGTCCGCCGCGAAGGGCATCGCCAATTACCGTGTTCAGCGCTACCAACAAGCTCAGAGAAATATCGGCACCGCTTTCACCTCGTCTAAGAACGGTACCAATTTCACCTCGGTGGCGGCAATCTTCCCTTGGACAAGCGGGAGATATGGTAATTGCACAGCGACAGGGCCGTGCTGGGACTACCAGTATCACCTCAATGGTGATATTGGGCTAGAGTTTACGAACTATTGGATCACATCCGGTGACACGGCCACTTTCCAGAATGATTTGTGGCCCATCTATGACTCTGTCGCCTCTTTGTACTCTCAGATCGTCGAGAGAAACGGAGATGACTGGGTGCTTCGCAACATGACCGATCCCGACGAGTATGCGAATCACATTAACAATGGCGGCTACACTATGGCCATGATTGCCACCCATCTTACCCGTGCGAACCAGTTCCGTTCTCAGTTCAGTTCAACACCTAACAGCACGTGGGACGACATTGCTGAGAACGTGTTCATCGGTGAAGACGCGGATTCCGGTGTCACCTTGGAGTTCGTTGGCATGAACGGTACAGGTGTTGTAAAGCAGGCAGATATCATCCTGAATACCTTCCCTCTCTCCTACACAGGCCAGAACTACACGGCCAACGACTCGCTTAGCGACTTGGACTACTATGCGGCAAAACAATCCGTCGATGGCCCTGCCATGACATACGCCATCTTCTCTGTTATCGCGAATCAGATGTCACCCTCTGGCTGTTCTGCCTACACCTACGAGCAATACGGCACGCACCCGTACGTCCGAGGCCCATGGTTCCAATTCTCGGAACAAATGGTCGACAATTGGAAAGAGAACGGCGGCACCCACCCGGCGTTCCCATTCCTGACCGGTCACGGTGGCGCATTGCAAGTCGTGCTGTTTGGCTATCTGGGATTTCGACTTGTCCCTGACTTTAACTTGCACATTGATCCCAACCTCCCTCCTCAGATCCCACAGATCCGATATCGCACTTTCCATTGGTACGGCATTCCAATCCAAGCATTTTCTAACCAGACGCACACCATCCTTACCCGCAACGACTCTATCACGCCGGCTGAGGGCGCCTTCCCGAACGCCACTTTTGCGAATGCTGCCATCCCTGTTGTTGTGGGACCTGTCGGCTCTGCACCACTTTCGACCCACGAACTCTTACCCAACTCAAGCATTACTGTCCCCAATCGACAGATCGGACGTATTCCCACGACTCAGGATAACGTGGCGCAGTGTCTTCCCGTGTCCTCGCCCGACGACTTCCTCCCGGGTCAATTCCCAATCGCGGCGGTAGACGGCGCAACCTCGACGAAATGGCAGCCCGTGTCCGCCAACCGGACGAGCTCCATCACCGTCACTCTCCCACAGGGCTACCGTGTCCGGAGCTTCGAGTTCAACTGGGCCCAGGCGCCACCGTACAACTACTCTGTCCTCTTCCACAACGACTCCCTCAGCAACCCGTCCGCTGCGTCACTTCCCACGGGTGCTGGCGTGCAAGTTGTGGCGAACAATCAGCGCGTCAACATCACCGACATGTACAACGTGACTGAGCTCAATGCGATCGAAACCGTCCAACACAACATCACCACATTCGCCATCCCACAGTCCGCGGGGGAAGTGTACACGGCCCGGTATGCGACGCTCCGCATTTGGGGGAGTCTCTTCAACGCGACCGCGACCGCGAGGAATATGTTTGGCGATGGAGCCACGGTTGCCGAGTGGAGCATCATTGTGGATGACCTGCCCGCGCCGCCTGTCCCCGGTGCGACGACGAAACGAGACGTGCCTCTGGGCGGAAATCTGAAGGCCAGAAACCTAGATCTGCTTACCAAGCTGGGCCACGTTGCTCGAGCACAGGACATGAACAGACGAGGCAGGACGTGACGGCTCTGAGCACAGCAGTAGATGGAATGCACGATGAGAAAAGCGATTGAAATGCCATAGGACTAATCGGTGATGTTTAACTACCGCATGACATTTGTCGTCCAGTAGAACGAGTGAATATCCACACGAACGCACGAAGAACTAATTACAGTAGATACGGTAGTTGCATACAGTACTCTTTCTCTCGTGTTCGGACCTTCAAGGCATAAGAGCACTCGTTTCGATGATCGCCGTTCTGGTCCTCCGGTTCTCTTTCTCGGTCAATCTGTCGCTATTCTGGAGCAAGGGAGCATTATGCACCGAACCACAACTGCAAACACAGACCCAGAGATAGTGTATACAGACATACGGATCTCTACAGTAGTTCGGAGTAACGGAGTAACGGAGAACATGGCATGGAGGCTTTGCGAGGAATCCGCTCCCTCTTCGAGTACGTACGACACTGTCGTAGTAGGTTAACTAGTACCTAGGTACCACAAACGGTACTTGTACATGGTGTGTACTTCATATGTAGGAGGGAGGGGACCGCAAGGCGACCGCAAGGCGACCGCCGCCCGCTCGTTTCCTGACCATAACCCTGACTTTAAGCCTGACCTCGTCGCTACAAGCGATTTGCCCCCTCGAGTCTGGCCGGATGGACGTTTTGGCGAGTGCGCATCTGCATCTTGATCTCGAGCTTGGAACTTGTATATCCCGCTCAGTACTCTGCCGTTCAGACTGATTGCTGGGCTGTACATCAACCGTTCCAAGTACGATACTCCGTACTCAATCCGTACTCACTTCGTACTCACTCCGTGCTCAGTATAGGTCCTGTCTCTGAAGAACGGGTCCAAACCCCCCAACTCTGTCTGCGATTGGAACATAGCATCTCCCTCTCGCTTAAGGTTCCGTGTCTTTTCTCATATTGCGCTTCCTGTGGTTCTGTAGTCCCATACGCGCGGCCCTATATTTGAAATAGGGATTCTCGTGATAAACTCTCCGAAGGGTGAGAGCAATCGTCTCGTCGTTGTCCGATTTGTCGCCATCGCCATCGCCATCGCCATCGTCATTGCCATTGCTGTCGCCACCGACACCGCTCCCGCCCCTGCCACCACTCATCCAGCCCCTGAACGTTAGGCAATCCTACTGCGCTTCCTGCCCGCCGGCACCGCCGCCCTCCATCCTACCCCTCGCCTCTCCCAGAAGCGCTTCCTGCATCTTCCGCAACTCGTCCTCTCCCATCTTGTCGAATCCGCCGAAGTTGCGCATCTTCTCGCCGCGGCCGATCCTCTTCTTTTGAACTTCCTGCCATTCACCGACCACGCCGCGGCAGCCTTCGATGTATGACCCGAATCCTAGGTCGGTTAGGGCCTGTTCCACGTGCTCCACGCTGATCGTCTTCTTGCTCTCGCGCTCGGAGATTTCGTTCGACTCGGAAGACAACATGCGCAGGAATTCCAGCGAGCAGGAGATGAGCATGTCGCGCGCGGGGCGCGTGAACGTCATTTCCCCTTCCCTGCCGGTTGCTGGTGATCCATCGTGCGGGATCTGAGCGAGAATCTCGGATATTATCTTCTGGACTGTGGCTTTGGGGAGGGAGAGGTCGTCATTGTCTGCGAGGTGCGAGGTTAGTGCGCTGGTCTCGCGGTCCAGGTTACTTGGAGGGAAGCATACTGCCGAAGTCTTTGTCGGACATGATGGCCGATGTATAGTGCGGGTGTGGTATGAATGTGGTGTAAAGGTTCGTAGAGGATATGATGCCTGTTGGTGACCCATGGGTCCAGCCCACCGAGTGTCAGGAGGAAGAGGCAGTTAAATAGCTGATGCAGAACAACATGAGCGCAAGGCGATCCTTGCCGCCTAAAGGGGAAAGGCGTCACTTGTCTTGGCGGGAAGGAGCCTTTTCCGTTCACTTCAAAAGTCCGTCACAATGGTTTTCACTTTCATTTTCACTCTGGGTTTTCTTCTTCATCACTTCCAACTCGTTGCCATTTGGTGAATATTCACGTTTTATGACGACGACCACATCTTTGTCTGATGCACTGGCTGTCATGTTGAGCTTGGTTCGGGACGCCATGGTGACTTCCACGCATGCATGGTACGTGACATCTCCCATACCAAAGCTCTTCCTTTGATGATGAATTCTACGTGTCGCCCCTATCATACCAGATAAAATATGGTGATTACCTGTCCAAACCCAAACCGGACTTTCTGAAAACCTTGCAATCTGCTATCTTATTTCTTGTTCTCGCTGCGACGTGGACCTCCACTGACATGGTGTAGACTCAGGTTAGGTACATACTCCCGAGACCAGACCACGCTTGAGCAATCGCAATGTATGTTAGCCCTCAATTATCAGCCTGTAGCCTCCTCGATATGATGAGCAATCTTCATGTACTATCAAATTCGGACACGCGATGACGAATAATCTGGTTCGATTACCTGAACTCGACCATTACTTGGGCTTTCTTAGTCTCACTTCCCCCCTGGAGCATTTCCTGACTGCTACTAGGACAGCCATACGTCGTCTTCCGCATGACTTTGTAAACCGTGTAAGAGTAAGCTGAAATCCCCGTTTTCCTATGAATTTTCCTATGATGAACACACCACTCTTCCATGCTAAACATGAAGGTTCTCTTGAACCTGGTGCTTAAGCCTGTGTATTCATTTTCATCTTTCGCCTGAGTCACAAGTCTTTCCCGTGGACATATCTCGTTGCATACTTAGATACCTGATGCGCTAACATATTACGAACAGGTGTGTGGGATAAACTCGTTGCGACTGGCTGGTTCTGTACCGCAATCCCATGCCCTCTGAATCTATGATGGCCACTTCTAGTAGTCGTTGTCGATGCAGTCATTTGTGTCGCCATCGCAAACACTGGAGACATACTGTTCAGGCCATCTGTTGAGAACAGCCCGCAGGACGGCCTTTTGACAGCAATGCCATTACCCAGGAGCTGGGTTTTCCCGCTCTCATTTGACGTAGTCTTTCAGCTTTGGGTCGTCCCAACTTCAACTCTGTCAGCTTCGCACGGAAACGACTGTCTTCATTGCATACCTTAGGAACGATCCTGACAACTCTTTCTCGGCGCTAACAGCCAGCTCGGCGATGATGTTCCCTGGCTTCTCTGGCGGCAGTAGTTTTCCGTCCTCTTTGGCACTCCGAAACTTCTGCTGGTCCTTCTCGTCCATATTGGATAAGAAGCTCTCCCGGATATCTTTCTGCATGGCAGTATCCACCACGCCGGGTCGGATCGCCACGGTCGTCACATCCGGCTCTTCATTCTTCAAGGTCATTGTGAGGTGGTTGATTGCTGCTTTGGAAGCGCCATACGCTCCCCAAGACGGATACGCGTTCTGCGCGGCTCCAGATGAGGTGAAGATGATGCGGCCTTTTGCCTGTCGGAGCCAGGGGAGTGCTTCACTGATCTACGGGTATCAGGTGTTTAGTGGCGCTTCTTGTACCCGGTAGTCCTTCTGGATTTCATAAAGACGTAGATGTAAACGTACCGTAACCACGCAACTCGTAACGTTCACCTTGAATACTCCCTCCCACTCCTCACCTTTGTTGCCTGCCATCTGAGCCACTCGCAAACAGTTCGGTTGAGGATCAGCGCATCAAGGCTCCCATGTACTTCATAATGTCGTACCAGTCCCGCAATTTGGCCCAAATCCGCCATGTCGCACTGGACCGCCCGCACTCGATCAGGATGCTCTCGCTCGAGTTGTCGGAGAACATCGATATTGCGCCCCGTCACGATCAACAGGTGCTCATCACTGGAAGAAAGCAGACGTCTAGCGACAGCCAGGCCGATACCGCCGGTCGCTCCTGTCAACAGGATCGTCTTGGCTGAAGGATGCTCGGTCTGTTCAGGCGAGACAACGAGTGCATCAGGTTAGCCTTTAGCCTGGACAGAGAAATGGTGAAATGCCTTGTACTGCTTTGCTTGCAATTCTCTTCGCCAAGAACGCGTAGAAAGGCGGGAAGTCGAGACATGTACAGTACGTACCCGGTGCTTCGAGATCCAGTCTCGTGAGGGCCCAAACCATGCGGTCGCCATTCTGATCCTGATCCCTGGTGGGGTTGTATCTCTTCAATTCGTTATTCACGAGGTTGGCTACGATGTGAGTTCACCTCCAATGGATTATGACTTGGAGCGACGTCGACTGACAATGGCACCGCGTCCGCGAGAAGAAGTCGAACGGACATTTTTCGGACAGAATCTCCAACAAGGACTCAAATTGACGTCAACCCAGCAACTGGGAGCTTTCGCATCCCCTTCGACGCCTCCCTCCCTCCGACATACACCCCCGCGGCTTGCCAACGAAGGTCGAGAGGACCTCAGAAAACCCCCTACAGCAACAGACGCTGGCACACGCCTGTACGGCTACTGTACGGAAAAGCTGGACACCTACAAAAGCCGAAAAGCGGGGACGGTTGTTCTGGAGTAGGTTCGGGCGCCGTCAACGTGACTCGGTGGACACCATGTAACACAGTCTGGCTTCCAGGCGGGCTGTTACAGTAACAGCGGAATGACTGTCTCGACCGAGACCGCATGATTTTGTCATCAAGTCCTCGGATTACATTTTCTATCCCTAGAGGCATCGCATCTACTTAGGCATGGGACAGTCAGCAGCTATGAGAGACTGAATCGAAGGCATTTATTTCAAAGATCGGGGGGTATTGACGGACATCAGGCAGGGCAAACCATTCAAGACATTACTTGATTCCATAATGGCTGTCACTTTCGAGAGGCTGGTGCGCTTTCGAGCCCCGGATGGGCAGACATACTACGGCGAGGCTGGAGCAGAATGGCAATCCGACCTCAAGGGCAGGGAAGTGCAGATCTTCTCAGGCTCAGACCCGTTCGAACATGACTTCCAGCTGTCGGACAAGAAGGCTGTCATCTCTGAGGTGAGCCCTGCGGCGCCACCCAGTCCGAGCTCCAGGCGCACGACTGACGTTATCGTAAGGTTCTGTCACCATTGGAGCAGGTCCCGATCGTGCTCGGGATCGGTTTGAATTATAGGAAACATGCCGAAGAAGCTGGGGTAAGATGTTAGCGAAGTTACGCCAGTGTGGCCTGAGCTAAACAGTCTAGTTCCCCATCCCAACCTTCCCGGTCGTGTTCACCAAATACGCAGGTAAGCTACCGCTCACAAGTGTGTTTGATCAAGGGGTCTGACCGCAGTGGCACATTCGAGATACTCTGGCTGGCCCGTTTGAAGATATCCCGATTCACCCGGAATCCCATGAACTCGACTACGAGGGCGAGTTGTCAGTCGTCGTTGCTAAGGACATCAAGAACCTGTCCGAGAAGGATGACCCTCTCGACTGTGTCCTTGGCTTTACTGTTGGTAACGACGTCTCATCCCGTTATTGGCAGGTCGCCCCTCGGTCGGGGGGTCAGCATGGCCCCGCGAAGTCCTTCGACAAATTTGCCCCCATCGGTCCAGTCATTGCTTCGTTGAAGGCTGTGGGCAACCCTGAGACGTTGAAGCTTCGCACCTGGATCAATGGCGAGATCCGACAAGATGGCAGAACGGATGATCTGATCTTTGGCATCAGTGCTATCCTGAGGCACATCAGCAGGGGCACGACCATCAGGAAGGGAACGGTCATCATGACGGGCACGCCCAGGTAGGTATTTATTTGCTCGAAGCCGCGGCATTTGTGCATCCTTTTGAACACTGACATTGACACTTCTAGCGGGGTGGCTGCGTTCATGAAACCGGCAGCATGGTTACGGGACGGCGACATTGTCGAGGTCGAGATTGAGCATATCGGCAAGATCGCGAATAAGATGGTCTTCGAGAAGTGATCCGTCGTGCCATGATCGGACGGCGGAGAGATTTCACAACCGGAAGACCAGGCTAGATGCCAGGTGGACGATCAGGGCCTATGGGAATCGCTGCCTGATTGACGGATAGAATAATCGACCGCTCTGACATTGACCGTTCTGCCCATCTGCTAGGTCTTGACTTTTCTAGCTTGGAGTAATAATGAACAATCGCTCTCGGTGGAATCAGCATCAAGAGTCAAGACTGGGCTGCAGTGCAGGCAAGCGCATCGCGACATTCTCCTGTTTCTTCGTCTCTGCCAACTACAAGGGCCGAAGCTCGTTAATAATGGGATGACGACCCATGGGTCCTGCTTGTATGATGACCAAGATGGCGGTTATGGCTTGGGCATTTGGCGTCATGGCTGGCCCAGACTCCCTTCGAGAGGTGGGAGCGAGTCGCGTATCCCGGCCACTTTTGTGGGTGCGCCGCGTGCGTTAGCCTGCGAGCTTCACGGTCCGGTCGGAGTCCTGAAGAGAGAGTATGTTCGAGCTCGAGAGTTTCTGCGGTGAAATGAAGACTAGGGACGTGCCCAGTGTATATATGTCAGGGCTGAGTAGACGGCTGGCCTGGTCATGAAGACCAAACTCGCCGAGATGTTGACTTTTCAACATAATGTCTTCTCTTGGATTGCCGGTATGCCGATGATCAGTCCCCTCAAGACGTCGGTCAGCATCAACATGAGATGAGCTGTGATGTGGGTAGACGTGCTCAGAGCCGCAGAGCAAGTCAGCGGATGTGCTATGCCATGCCATGCTATGTATCTCTGTCCGCCCAGATCTGGTCATGGCGCATTGTGTCGCGTCATCTCATACAATGTCAGTCCGATACAACTCGACACCGTCAAGGAATGAAATGATTCTTCAGGGAGAGGCCCGAAAGATTGAGGACCAAAGAGTCACCAGAGTTGACAGCCTATACAATGACGACGACCGTGGCGGAGAAGGGCGCTTTAAGAAGTCCATTCGAAGCAAATTAATTACATCTCTCCATTGTTACTTTTCACAACCCTGCAATGCGAGCACACGGGACGGTCCATTACACCCTTCCATATCGACCCCGTATAAGGAATATATCGCATCTGGGGAATATACATACACACTAACTAAGGCAGTTGTATATCACCCGCGCGTCTTGTCGCTCTCTCCTTCACCCATCGACAAACGCAACTCACCTGCCGCCACCCATCTCGCGAAACAATCATCTCCTCTCTATTCTTCCCATCGACTCAAATGCCCATCACTCGTTGACAACATGTCCACCATCATCATCGGAGGCGGCATCATCGGCCTCTCCACCGCATATTATCTCTCCCTCTCCCGACCGGCCAGTTCAACATCGGGGGATATCCACATCATCGACTCGTCGGCAAGCCTCTTCACCTCGGCGTCAGGCTATGCCGGCGGATTCGTGGCACTGGATTGGTTTTCACGGCCCGTGGCGTCGTTGGGCGCATTATCCTTCCGGCTGCATCGCGAGTTGGCGAACCAGCATGGGGGAGATCGTCGGTGGGGGTACGCGGGCAGTCATGTGTATAGTTTGAGTGAGGGCGATGAGGAGGTAGTAGAAGGGAACGAGGAGATCGATCCTCTGGGGACAGATGCGCCCGAGGGGCAGGACGACTGGATTGCTGACGGGACGAGTCGGGCGCGAGTCGCGCCGTTGGCTTCAACTTCCGCTTCCACGTCGACTTCGAATCCAGACCCGGCCAAAACTCCACCTACAGTGTGGACGCGCCGAAGCGGCTGGACGTTCGAGACGATCGGTCGCCCAGGGGACTGTGCGCAAGTCGAGCCACGGGAGTTGTGTGAGTTCTTGCTTGAGGAGTGCAAGAAACGAGGTGTGCAGGTTCATCTCTCGACCATGGCGACAGCGGTGCTTACTGATGATGAGGGAGTGTTGAAGGGGTTGAAGTTGCGGGCTACCGGCGTTGACGCTGGACAGCCACACGAGCAGGAAACGCAGCTTGAATGTAAGAATGTGGTGATCTCAGCCGGGGCGTGGACGCCGCGCGTCTTCAGCACGCTGTTTCCGCAGAGTAAGTTGCGGATTCCAATCGAGCCGTTGGCTGGACATAGCATCGTGGTCAAGTCACCGCGGTATATGACACCGTACGCGGACCTTACAGAACGGGAGGGAGGCAGTGACAATCAAAAGTCGATGTGCTATGCGATATACTGCGGTCCGGGTTCGCGGTGGTCATTTGCGCCAGAGGCATTTGCCCGGCTTGCTCGCGACGGGGAGACCGAAGTCTGGGTCGGCGGACTCAATGATAGTACGCTTCCCCTCCCGGAGCTTTCGACTGATGTCAAGGGGATGATCAACCAGCGCAGTATCCAGGATCTGCGCAGGACGACGGTCGAGTTGACGGGACTTGCGAAGGGAGGCGGCCAGCAGAATGAAGATGATCTGGAAACGATAAGAGAAGGACTGTGTTTCAGGCCGATAAGCCACCGGGGAACCCCCCTCATCAGTGCATTAGACGGTAAAGATCTTGGCTTGCGGGCCGGTGGTAGTGGTGTCTATATCGCCTCTGGCCACGGTCCGTGGGGCATAAGTCTGAGTCTGGGAACCGGGAAAGTCGTGAGTGAAATGCTGATGGGACAAAAGCCAAGTGCAGATGTGCGTGGGCTTCGCGTGGGCCGGTAACGATAGCCATGACAAGATATCATTTTCTTAGACCTACTTGGATGTTGTTGTTTTCCCTGGCCACTGAAAATTCTTGGGATAGGGTATCGCGCGTCAACCCAATGCCCAACATACAGTCCGTCGCTGGGGCAGTCCGGGTTCCAGAGTTTATTGCACCATCCATCGTCTCGTCGTCGATGGTACAGTACAGATTCGACTGCCACCAAACTCTTGCGGCCGCGACCAGAACAATCAACGGTCAAGCTCAAGCTGAGCTGTCTTCACATCGCAACCGGAGATTGCGACGTGTGCCGTTGGGCCGCTTGATGACAATTCTATTCGTCCAAAAATAGGAGAGGATCATTGTCACTTGCGCTGGAATGTCATCCGACCTGACACTTTGCTTCTTGTCCAGGTTGATCGTTGAGAAGCAGCATGTGACATACCTTGCCGAGGAGGGCAATGTGGCTATCAGCTAGTCGGGGCTGAAGTATCTCCTTCGATGCGCTTGTCCAAAGCTGTATCACGGATAGTTGCAGCTCGGCTTATACCTCGTCTTGCTGTTTGATGTGCTTAGCTCGGATTCGCACATGAGCAGGCGCAAACATCGCAACGTTTCGCACATTTGAAATTTCTTTGACAGAACAAAATCCAGCTGGGAACGCTTTACGATGAGTGCATGCCTGTGAGTAGTCTTTCGAAGCATGACCACCTAGCATCAATTCCAGCTGGTGCTGACATCCGACCGATAGGTCTGGAAGCCCAGTCCGTTTGTGGCTGGCATTTCGGTACAAGGCTTAAGCCTCGTGCCTTTGATAATTCAGGGAATGGTTGCAACATGATTCCGGCAAAGGACTAAGAAACAATCCTCGCATCGGCACACATCGTCAAAAGTAGAATAAGTTGTCGGAAGCTGGAGGAAGTCGACGTCGGCTCCGGAACAGATTTCATCCGGCCCCAAGGCTGAGATGCGGCACGTGACTCGGCCTTCGACCATCAATCGCAGTCCCGCAGCTTTGCAGTTCAACTTAGCACACCCAATGTAAGGTTTATCGACGAGGGGTGCAAAAGCAGATAGGGTTCCCCGTCGCACCGATCGCTGATGCGCATCGGTCGAGGTCATCGTGACTATAGGGATGTCACCCTAAAGGCCTACGTGCGGGCCCTCCTGCGCCGCTCGCACAGCAACTTCCAGTACGGGAACCCATATATCTCGCTCAACAACGAGATCCGCGTGCAAGATGCTCTGTTCAAGCAAGCAGCGCACGACGAAAGCCTGCACAAGAGCACGAGAGCGTGGCGGAACTATCGTGAGCTGCCGGTGTGCCCCTTCGCCTACTAAGCTAATATTTCGGGCAGACAGGTTGAAGTCCGCCAACCATGGCTTCACAGTCGTTATCAAGGACAATATCGTAACCGTAGAGTTACCTACCACCTGCGCTTCGAAAATCCTCAAAGGATTTTGTCCCTCAGAGAAGGCCACCGTCACCAAGATGCTTGAAAAGGCCGGCATGGTCATGGTCGCCAAAACCAACATGGACGAATTCGGCATGGGTTCACATTCATTGCATTCAGCGTATGGCCCAGTGGTCAATGGTCAGGCGGCGAAAAAGGATCATTTGTCTGCTGGCGGGAGCTCTGGTGGCAGCGCCGTGGCTGTCGCCGCCGACTTGGCTCATATCGGGATTGGCACGGACACTGGAGGCTCGGTCAGGCTGCCGGCGGCTTACATGAGTCTTGTCGGCTTCAAGCCTTCTTACGGGTTGATATCTCGGATTGGCGTGATACCATATGCAAACTCTCTGGATACTGTCGGAATATTGGCGAAGTCTGCCCTCGATATCAGGTTGACATTTGACTTTCTCCAACAGCCAGATGACCGAGACCCTACTTGTCTGGACAGCAATTCCCGACAGCGAATCAGAGCCGCAAAGCACAAGAGAAGAAGAGCCGTGTTCGCGTCGAAACTTTTCATCCGGAGAGTATCCTATCCTGCGACCGGGCGGCAGGATCATGAACTGGCTTCCCTGCCTGCCAGAAACAGGAACAGAGACGTACTGGTATCTCAGAAGTACTATACCCGACGCATAGGAGTGCCTCTCGAATACAACATTGCAGAAATGCATCCCCTGGTGCGCTGGGCTTGGACGGCAACTCTGAGTCACCTACGAAATCATTACAAGTTCGAGATTGTCCCCATCTCTCTTCCATCGACGAAGCAGGCCCTTTCGGCATACTACGTTTTGGCACCAGCCGAAGCTTCGTCAAATCTTGCAAAATACGACGGCGTCCGATATGGCCATGCCCGTACCGCCCAGGCCGATGCAGGCCCTGGCCCTCTCTTCGCTCAGTACCGCTATGAGAACTTCGGGCCAGAAGTCCGGAGAAGAATCCTCCTTGGCACATATACCTTGAGCGCCGGGGCAATGGACAACTACTTCATCCAGGCTCAGAAAGTCCGCCGGCTAGTCCAGCAGGACTTTGACGCGGTCTTCAGGATGCCCAACCCTCTGCACGACAACAGCGAAGCAAACATCAACGGCGTGGACGTGATCCTTGTGCCGACGGCGCCGACGCCTCCGCCGTACGTGGAAAACTTGCAGCACCAGAAGCCTGTTCGACGATACATGAACGACGTCTTCACCGTGCCGGCAAGTCTGGCGGGCCTGCCTGCCATATCAGTGCCTGCGCCAGAACATCCCGACCATCCCTGGAATCCTGAGGTGGCTATCGGGATGCAGGTCGTCGGACAATACGGCGACGACTTTGGAGTCATGTACTTTGCGCAGAACTTCCTTTCGAACTTCCATCGGCTGTCCATGAGACGCACGCTCGACACAAAGATACTGAGATAGCTTTGCAATACATGCGGTTAACGCTGCCTTTGATATTTCAGTGTATTACGTATGCCCGTAGCCATCGTCACCATCCCCGATCCTCATGTTGTGGAATAGCGCCAAAGTGTCGAATGGACAATAAGAAGGCTGCACGTCCGCTCTAGAGGGGGACCCAGGGACCGGAAGGGCCGGCTAACGGTGCTACCATCTGAAAGCCTCAGGCAAACTTCAGTCGTAGGGAACGCGTATCATCTGTTGAGGCGGAGCGAATCGGTCCAGCGGTTCAAATTCGCCGGCCACGACGCCGGCCTCTACCGTGCGTGATAGGGGTCGCATCACCGATAGTAGCGAGACGCGCCAGTCTCAAGGCTTGTTGCAGGATTCGAATGAGAGACAAAAATCTCTGGGTCGTTCGTACAATGGGAAATGCATTCCTCAGTTGAAACTGTCAGGCCTAGGCGAAGATAGCGAGAGAAAGTGCACGACACACGATCGGGCATGTGGCAATTGCAATGCATCGATTGGTATTCAATGAAACATTCGTTCAAACGTATCTCGTCAGGGCTGCATTGCGCTGTTCATCATTCCGGGGGATAATACCAAGGCGAACCCCATCACGCTCACATCACCATGGTGTCGTCTCCATCGTCCCTCTTGTCCTGATCATCAACCTGCATTCCGCTTCCAGCCGGCGCATCAGTACCCGCACGGTTCCTGCCCGCGAGTAGTTCCCGCCTCACCTCGGGCCCAATGTCCTTGTGACCTCGGGCAAGCAACAGGTCTAGCAGAGCCTCGCGCTGATCCTCGGTGATCTCGTTCCTGTAGGTCTGCGCGAAGATGAGGAGACTCTGATGCCACAACACCGGCAGTTTGGCCTCCTTTGACGCCAACGTCTCTTCGTCTTGTTCTTTGGACGCGCGGAACCGCAGGAAATGGAATACGAGTGCGTCCACGACCTTGTACGGCAAAGCATACTTCTTTGCTAGCAGGACGCGGATGAAGATGTTTGCAGCGCCGGCGGCTTCGGTGTTCACATTCGACGTCTGCTCGGCCGAGATCTCGCACAATCGAAGGAGCGCAGCTGCAGAGTGCAGCACGGGGATTTTGATCTTGGCCAGCACCGAGGAGATGATGTGAGCCTCTCGCAGCGTGCAGCTTGATTGCACAAGCGGGAACAGGAACCCTTTGAAGAATGCCGAGGGCCGGTAGAAGGCAGCTTTGAGCGCGTTGTAGAGGTGAACGTTGAGTTTCTTGGTTTCCTGGATGTCTTCCCTGACACGATCGAGGAGGATGGTCTCACAAAAGTGTTGACCCGTCGCTGCTGGGGCGGATATGAAGATCTTTGTCGCGCGGTAGACGGCGTGTGGTGTCCAATTCTCGGGTCTGGTGATGCTGAGCAGATCGGGCCACTGGGGAAGGGTCGGGAGGACTTTGAACGGTTTGGGGAGGGGCCCGGATCTGTAGCGACTCATGATCTGCCCGACTTTGGTAAACGTGTCGACCACCTTCATTGGGATTTCCACGGCGTCTTCGGGCGCACCTCCGCCTAGGAAGTGTTTGCTTGGCTGGTCTCCAGCACGTGCTGCATCGAGTGCCTCCTTCTCGGCGATGCGTTGCAGGATTATGTCTGCCAGGTTCCTGGTCTCGCCCTCGGGTTTCTCCTCACCTGCTGCGGGTTGCGATTTGCTTTGGCCTCTACTTCGATCCGCTGTTGAGAGGTTCGCTAATGACGGCGCAAAATCCGCCAGTTCTTCCCCGTCGTCGAGGAACTTTTTGTAGACCGCCATTTCTTCTGGGTCCATCTCAACCCCTGCGACCGCTTCCTCGTCATCCTCAGGCACCCATTCCTCCTCCTCTTCGTATTGTTCGTGTGCGGCAATATCTGCGTTCTCGTCCCCATCTTCTCCAGCGAACCTCGAGTCGTAGGCAAATGCTGCGTTGGTGGGTGAGACAAGTCTGGCGCCAGCAGCACGATGGTCTGCTTCGTCTTCTTCTGCAAGATCCTGTGCAATGGCCAGGATCTTCCTCGAAGACCGGGCATCAATGTAGCCGTCGCCTCTGGTATCTTCGTCCGACCTCGACTTCCTCTTTCCTGTGATGGACTTCGTCCTCAATCTCCCACCAGAGGTTGTGATGTCGTCTTCGAGGGGTACATGTCGCCGGGCAGTCGCCGTTTTCGACATAATGAATGTTGGTTCGATGACTTCTCGGGGCTAGACGTCAAGTAAGCGTAGGCATAAAAACGGTCAAGATATGGAGTACTCATCGAGCAGAAACGCAGAGCCACGAAAATTGTTTCGATATTGAATTTTGTGGAGGGGAACTTTTACGCGAGCCTGATCTTAGTCATCACCGCCAAAACTTGCACTTTACGGACCCGGACGTATGCGATATCGTACAGACGTACTGGTGTCCCATCATCAGAACAAGACAGGTACGCAAGTGCCCCTGTATCTAGGGATTTGACAAGGTCCGAACATCTTCTATGGCTTCTTGAGAAACATATGTTGTTTGATTGAGATCTACCGCAAGTAGACGCATTGTCGCGCTCGTTTCAGCACCTGCACATGCAGAGAACTGTTGGTTTCACAGTCTCCCAAGATTGATTCCTCCTGTTCAGGTGGCATGACTGAATCCCCAGCCCAGGTACCAACTGGAGCAGTCGATAGGTCACGAAATTTGCCCTCGATATATTCAGAGACTCGAAAATATCGTTGCTCGCGCGCCACATTGAGCTGACCATGCCGTAGTATCCTCTACCCTTCGTAGCTTGAGTGCTCCAGACTCCGTTTTTTGGCAGGGCCTCCTTACGCAGCGGGCCCTCAGTCGTAGCACAGCCGGCAGCCTGGGCAAATACAGATATCTCGGTGTGTTGCCGCATACAGCTGGAGCCCTGTCAATATCTGGGCAGTCGTCTCGAACGGAGCTAAAGTTCGCGCAGAACTCGATACCCGAGTTGAGCAATGATGATGCTCGACATTCTGCAGAGCGGTGAGCATACCTCCTGACGAGGACGAAGATGAAGGCATCAAACCCACCATCCTCATGTGGAAGTCATGTCCGAACTTCCAATAGCATCGAGGCAGAGCGACATGTCTGTGATCGAGTATTGGTGCATACGGTGTGTCAGTCATCCAAAGAACCAAGGCGTTGACGTACAATTTCCAGATGTGCCTGGCCTTGAGAAACAGTAATTGGGCAAGCCTGACAAGGCAATAGACTCACCGCCAGACAGCTATCTGCGCCGCTGGAGTATGCCTTAAGCGAGCGATCTCAGGAGTAATGGTGGCACAAAGCTCGGGGAGCCAGCCTGGTTGTGAACGCAACCAAGCCGACGATCTGGCGGCAGTGGGATATATGTCGACATCATACACCAAAAGGGCGCATTCGGTGATGAAGGCGGAGGGCAGAGCGGGTCTACGTCGGATCGTGGTTGACGTGAAGGAGCGACCAAGAACAGAGGATCTACTAACTTTTATGCAGGCTGCCAACTGTTTGACGATGGGTGCAGAGATGTGAAGGATATGCCGGTGTCCGCTGTCACGTTCGGCGACTGTCAATCAACGCTCAGATTCCACCAGTGCCTGCTCAGTGCCGGAGGCTTGGGTCAAATGCGCTGGTGGAGATGCTGGATGCCAACGTCCATGAGCACAACAGGCGGTCAGTATACTCCGTGGTATATGCGCACTGCAGTGCCTCAAGGACCTTCAAGTTTATCTCAACTTCAAGATCATTGGTAATTCGCGGCGACGAAAGAGCTACGAGCTACGAGGGTCTGGATCCCTGGGACAGCGAGCGCCATTGTTTTAGAGCCGCTAACTGCTTCTCCGGCTAGCTCCATGTGCGTTCCGGAGAACTCCGGGGCGCTAGCAGATAAAGGGGATCTAGCCACGCGCACGGCTCCCGTGGCTCCTTCGTGTCGCTCGATCTTGTTCAGTTATCACTCGTAGCTCGTACTCTGGGTACTCTGGGTGAGGAGCAGCCTCTGCAACTCTCGAACCATGGGTTCCTCCAACCATGTGGCTGCATTTGCGGTTTCCTGTCCTTCCCGTGTATTTTGCCCCTGCGCTTGTTACCTTGCTGGGCGTGTGCATGCAGACGATTTCAGGTTCGGCGTGCCTTTCTGGCTTCCTCTCCGCTCTAGAAGACCACTCTGTCTTTTGCTGTTTCATTCGCAAATTCCTCACGGCTCATCGCGATGGGGGCGATGGCCGAAGAAACGCAACTCACTCCAACCTAAGTTGAAATTGAATATCTGCTTAGGTCCCGTAGCACTGTGAGCGGAGGTTCATTTATCATCCTCTCCTGATTCTATATAGCTGTAATTATTGCGGCTTGCGACAATTTACACCACTGTTCGTCTCAATTCCAGTTGACACAATCCGGCCCCTCCGTCTCCATCGGGTAAGGGACTCAATATCATTCAGCCCTCGTCAGATGCTCCGTATCGACCCTCCCACTGCGGCTGCTCATTCGATCTACCACTTCCCCATATCTCGCCAATCCCGGCGTCTTAGTCACGCAACGCAACGCAACCACGCACTGCGTGCGCATTGCAGATATTTTACCGGCTCTCGCGTTGGCGCCGCATCCTCCGGCGCAGAGCGAGCGCGAAGTAAGAGGAGAAGAATCGAGTAGATCTCACCAATCTCCATCTCCATGGCCGTCTCCAACTTTTTCAGGCATTATTCACATCCCACTCATCTTTGCTTTCCTCCTTATCCTCTCCTCGAATCCTTGCCATGATACCTCGACGTTTCAAAGTCGACCGAACCCCTGCTGTATACCACGGCTCGACCGAACTTTATAATCTTACCAATACAATTTAAGCCTGCGCTCACCTGATCCCTGCGCGCCCCGCGATCTGCTTTGTTTCTGCCGGCAATCCGCGAACCCCCTAAACGCCGTCACCCTCCTCCCTTTTTGAGGTTCCTTCTAGAACTGCAACCTCCAGGTCCCGAGAGCCGCAACGTCCAACAGCGACTCGACTCTATCCACGTCCACGTCCACCACCAACTTCGCCCTCATTTCCCACTCACTTCCCACACTTCAACTCTTGTCCGACCTCCACACTCGACTACTCGGTCCTCTGACAGCAGTCATTCCTGCCCGCTATCCAACGAGATCACGTCTGCAACTGTTTATCGCCTGGGCATCTCTCCCTGAGACATCCTCCTCTCCCGAAAGCGCCTGCGCCCAATCGCTAGACCGCCAGCCTGGAGGAGCATCGACCACTACGAGACCCAGCGCCTTCCCACCTCCCCTGCCTCTTCACTTGCCCAATGTGTGGCTCGCTCCACTTCCGATGCAAGATCTTGATGCCTTGCATGACCAGAAAATAGGACTCCGTAAACGTCCAACGCGCACCGCTCTTTCCCACTCGGCCGCTCGACTTTCAGGAAGACCGGCTGCATAAAGAAGCGCCATGAGTACCTTATTTCAGCCCGCTCCCAGAAACCCTTTCGGCTCCCCCGTTGAACCTTCACCGAGACCTAGGTCTATGGCAATTCTCCCGCAGAATACTAGCAATGGTAATACTTCGCCCCAGTCAGTTCAAGAAGATTCTATCATGACCTCTCCGGCTCCTCCGAACATGGGGCCACCTGGGCCGGGGCAAGGAAACAGTCCCGAGATGGAACAGGGGCAGAGCAACAACAATATTTCCAACGGCAACAGGGAGCAAAGCTCCTTCACTGGCGCAAACAGCAGCGCCGCGGCAGGCGCTGCGGGAGCTTCACAAGGACCAAAAGTAGTCCAGACAGCTTTCATCCACAAACTCTACAGCATGCTGGAGGATAAGAGCATTCAGCACCTCATCTCCTGGTCAAACACCAACGAGAGCTTCGTCATGTCGCCCTCGAACGAGTTCTCGAAAGTCTTGGCTCAGTATTTCAAGCACACCAACATCTCCTCTTTCGTGCGGCAGCTAAACATGTACGGCTTCCACAAAGTCAGTGACGTTTTCCACACTGGTTCTCCGGAATCGGCACTGTGGGAGTTCAAGCATGGCAACGGCAGCTTCAAGAGGGGCGATTTGATGGGTCTACGAGAGATCAAAAGGCGCGCCTCTCGTCACACGTTGATCCACCGAGATTCCTTTTCAAATGCCAAACCAGGTGTATCGCAGCCGGGGACACCTGCTGAGGTCATGCCGGATACCGACCAGCGCCTGGCAGGTCTCGAGCAAGCGTTCTATGACGTGCACGCAAGACTGCAAAGGACAGAAGAGAGCTACTCGTTGCTGAGCTCGAGGTACTCGGCTCTGACTGAAGGACTGGTGCGATGTCACCAATGGACGCACAACCTCACTAGCGCAATCCAGAATCTCTCGTCGCCAGAATCGGCTTTGCATCGAGACATCACCGACATGCAGAAAGAGATCGCACGACAGCTGGAATATGTGCGGGCTCTGGAGGCCTCTCCAGAGTCTTTGCAGAATGGCCGACAGTCATTTTATCCCGGCAGTTCCACATTGGAACCGCCGCTGTCGCCAAGGGGATACAATTATGATAGCCGAAGATCCTCCGTACAGATCGAGCCACAGCATGTGGGATTACGTCCTCCTGTCCCACCTATACCACCTCAATTTTCTTCCTCACCACGCCGCTTCGGCTCGATCAGTATACCGCACGTTTCCCCAGGATTCAGTCGGCCGGCTCTCCCGCCCCAGCCGCCGCCCAGCGTGCACCCCTTAGCATCCGTGGTTACGCCACCACCAATGAATTTGGCTCGAAGGCACACGTCGGCTGATATCCGGGAACACGGCTGGCCGCCCGCCAACGGCAATGGGTCCCCGTATGCCTCTGGGCAGTCTTCGGTCCAATGGCAACCTTCTTCGCCCCAGCAGGCGCCACAAGCGTCGGGAGACCAGGCGATTCGTGAACAACTTGCCTCCTACGAGATCAACGGTCCCAAAAGGACTCCTGCAGTAATCCAGGCGAGCCAGCCGACGCCGCCGCTCACATCCAGCTCCGAAGCACCTCCAGTTGGGCTGGGAGTGGAAACCGCGTCCTGGGCACTAGGAGGAAGCAGATTCCCACGGCCCAACTTCGAGCTACATTCAGCGCCGGCCACGCGCAGAGGTAGCATGGCCACCCTACATTCGCTGCTCAACCCTGCGGAGACAGCGGAGCAGGAGAACGAGGACGATAGTCCTGGCCACAGTCGCGAGGATGACCGCAAGCGAAAACGATTGACCTGATCTATACATTCTCCTTGGGGCGGCATTTCTTCTTTTGGCACTGAAAAGCAATGATATCGCGGAGCTGAGAACGGCGTCTGCTCTCACGTTGTTGTCGTTGTATATAACGAGGTGGTGACGGATGCTAATGAACAAAACCAAGATTTGGTCTGGGTAGTTTTGAAGGAGGACTTTTGGATTTAGCGACACTCATCTTGGACATTTCTGTGGTGGCTGCTTCGTTCTTGGTAGCCCGCGTTGATTTTTTGTGGAAGGCTGAATACTTGAGCGAACGAGAATCTTCGCCCTAAAGTTACGAATAATGCGTTGAGGACAGCTTCAGGAGCCTCCTACCTTTTGACGCGGATCTCTCATGCGCGAAATATCAGGCGGTTGGCTCGGTGCTGTCATCGTACAGCAAACCAATAATCTTGGATACTGTGCACTGCATCCACGACGTAATGGTATGTCGAGGATTCTTCCGCACGCTCGTCTTCAAGTGAAGAGTTTTGCGCTCGCGCGATTTCAATCGGGCTTGCTGCCCCTTCCCTTGTTCTTCTTTTGCTTTTTTGCAGCTCTTGAGGCGAGGAGTTCGTCCAGGTAACTGCCAGCCCCGCGCTTCTTGCTCGCCTTGACTACGGCGGATGGTGGTTGAGTAGATATGCCAGTGTCGGTGCTATTGAGACTGGGACTCGCTGCTTTCTGTCCAACCAATGACTCGGGCGCGGTGACCTCCTCGGTGTCCCTTGTACTTGCAGCTGTCTGAGAAGAAGCGGACTTGGCGACGTTATTCTTGCGTGTGCCTCTTCTCTTGCCCACCGTCGCCCTCGATTCGTTCTCGTCGGAATCATCTTGTTTTCCAGACCGGTGCATCTGCGGTCGGACTCGCCCAGCTGTTGCATGATGCCTCTTTATTTCCGTGCTGCTTCGGGCTCCATTGCGACCTCCCAGCAACTCCTTCCGCAGGAACATGGTCGTTGGGTCTGTTACCGCCGGTCGTGCGGTCGACGTCGACGTGGACAGAGACGAATCGGGCGCATGGTATCCTACCCCGCCAGTGTCGGAGTATCGGTCCTGATGTTTGAGCAGGTCCCTTTCGGCCTCCTCGTCTTCCCACTCCGTTTCACGGTCATCGCAGCGGTCGGTCGAAGTGAATGTGAACCCACTGAGCCATGATTTTGCTAGACGAGAGGCTTCGGAGTAATTGAGGCGGGCCCGGTTCGCGGCGATGTCTGCTTCTGAGGGGCCTGGTGCGGTTCGCCTGGCTTGAGCTTTAGAGGCCATAGCGGTCCTTTCTATGGCGCTACATCTGAAGCGTCCTTGGGTGTTCCGCTGGGCAGATGCTGAGGTGGTTCCTTTCGATGATGGTGATGAAACTGTTGGTCGGAATTTGAGGGGAGGGAAGGTGTGCCGGGATGGGTGCGAACTGTGGTTGGTTGGAGTTCCTTACCTAGTCCTGTGTGGGAATGACAGACCCTTGCAGGCTCGCCTGAGGCTCTCGAGGCGCTTAACGGCTGTTGATGGTCGCGCCTAAAGAGAATCTCGGGCACGCCCGCAAAACCAGATCTCTCATTGGTGCATTTTGGCTGCGACCGATCGATATCATCCGTCACGTTTCCGCGCCCGACCAACATCCAAACAGTGTACATTTCCTGAGGTAGTATTGGCTAATGCATGAGATGACACCACGTTGCGCCTATGAATAGCTATGTCGACTTTGCCGTTGGAGAGTGATCGCGACCCAGGACAATAATATAAAGCGAGAAAGGTAAGCTTGAGAGCAGCTGTCCGAGGACCAGGTCATTTCATGCCCAGCACTACAATAGAGCACGTCTTTGTGTGCCTGTTTGAATCATGGTTCGCTTGTCTCTTGCTCTGCTGCTCGGCCGGGTCGCGAGCTCTGCCTCTGCGTACCTTCAATACTCAACCGTGACAGGGTACTTCTTGCAGGATGACAACTCGACCAACGCAACCACATTTGACTACGTAAGTGAAGGTGGCAAAGATTCAGAGTGGCCCAAGCGGCAGAACCGAGTCAAGAACGGATGCGCTGACAAGCGACTACTCGCAGACTGCCACGAACTTTGGCCTGATCAACCAAACCTACCCGACCGACGGGGCAAACGGCGCCTCACTCACGCAATGGCAACGATTCGCCGGCCTGATCGCCAACCTCACAAAGACAGCCCCGTCGAACGTGCAGTACAAGCTCCTCTTCCTCGGCCGCCACGGCGAAGGCTGGCACAACGCCGCCGAGTCCTACTACGGCACCCCGGCCTGGAACTGCTACTGGTCGCTCCTCGACGGTAACGCCACAGCAATCTGGAGCGACGCCCACCTCACGGACAACGGCATCGCCCAGGCGCAAACGGCCCGCGACTTCTGGCTCTCGCGCATCCAGCTCGAAAAGATCCCCACCCCGCAAACGTACTACACATCGCCGCTCTACCGGTGTCTCTCGACCGCGAACCTCACGTTCTCGGGGCTGCCCCTCCCCAAGGACCAACCTTTCATCCCCACCGTCAAAGCATTCCTCCGAGAGGGCATCTCCGAGCACACGTGCGACCGCCGCTCCAACAGGACCTACATCCACGCCGAGTTCCCGACATATATCTTCGAGGCTGGCTTTCCTGAGACAGACCAGCTCTGGACGGGCGTCACGGCCGAGACGTCCACCGCGCAGGACGCCCGGTCCAAAACGCTGCTGGACGGGATCTTCGCGGCCGACAAGTCGACGTACATTTCCTTTACGTCGCATTCCGGCGAGATCGCGTCCCTTTTGCGCGTTCTCGGCCATCGCACCTTTTCGCTGAGTACTGGGGCTGTTATTCCGGTGTTGGTCAAGGCGGAGAAGGTTGCTGCGACGAGCACCATCTCGGCGCAGCCCTGGACGGCGAGTCCGCACTGTACGGTTCCTCCTGTGAGTAGTGTTAGTGGAGGTGCGAATGGCGGGTGTGTTTGTCCCGGTGGTGTTGCGCCGGTTACGACTACGTTGCCGCCTTTTGCGGCGAGTACGTAGGTGGATGCTGATCAGGAGCGTGTCGAGCAGCATTGTAGGCGTACATAGTGCGGTAGACTGCGGCAGATGGCTAGATCTGTGCGCGCGAACTACCCACATATCGAGATGAAGATGAATATTAACCTGAGTATGAAGATGAACACGGGATATTAACATGTATATGAGTTGAGAATCGAGAGCTGGACGCGGACATGGACATGGGTGTGTGGTACTTCGCCCAACAGTGCCATCAAATATCTACTCGATGTCCATGGGGAGCTCGACCTCCTCACTCCACATCACCTCACATCACCTCACATCACCTCGCCTCACTGGTGCAGATGGGATGGACAGAATGTGAATTTGAATATGAATATGGCCGGTAAATTTAGTGCTTTTCTATGGGGATTCTGGTGTAGATGCTGTGTACTGTCCTGTGTCCTATCCTGTGTCCTATCCTGTGTATTTTCCTTTATCCTCTGTGCTATTCTAGATCTTGTACGGTATGCTTGTCCTCAACCACAGTGCGGTCAGAACTAGTGGATCTCAAACACTCTCACGTCACCGTCCTCTGTGCTCTCACGATGCATGACCCCATGCACATAAGCGTAGCCCTTTAACAGATAGGGTCCGTTCTCCCTTTCCGACTGGGGTCGGGCTACCAAAGGATAAGTACTTCCCAAAGGGGCAATCACTGCATCCCCCGGCTGCGGCACGCACACAGAGCACCCTACCAGGCCTGTGGAGGTGACGAAGAAGCCGGCGTCGGGGTATGCGAAGTCCCAGACGGGTTTTCCGAAAGCGGAGCCGTTGCCTTTGGCGTCCGCGAGCGCCGCGAGGTCTGTTGCGATGTAAAGCGCGAAGAGTTCCACGGGGAGCACGAGGCACAGGTATGCGACGAAGTTGTGCAGAAGATGGTGCGGATCCGCCGGGTTGGCTTCGGCGTCGAGGCCGAATGAGAAAGCCATGGCCACGGCTGTGAGGAGTGCTGTGCTTACCGGTGAGGGGGATGGCGGTCGCTGACCCCCGGCTAGGAGGTCGAGGATCCTCGGCCACGTTGTTTGCAGCTTCTCCTTGCCTTCGGCCGTTTGTAGGGTCGCTGTACTGAAGTACCGTTCGTTGTAAGGGCAGACTAATTGAACCGTGTCGACGAAAATCCCCGAGATGTACAGGACGTTGAGCTGCTTGTCGATGCGCCACCGAGGTGTGGTGTCCGCCGCGGGTTTCCAGGGCAAAGGCTTGCCGAAGCGGAAAGGGTTGCGAAACAGCATAGGCCTGTCCCAGCGGGGGATCCACGACGGAGACTCGTCGCCCACGAGATACAAGAGGACGTCGGTGTTCCGAAAGTGTAGAAACGCCGCCTCCACCGAGTCCCGGAAGACCTCGACGGTGGACTTGTCATAGTCGGGGTCCAGCAGGGTGGCTTGCTCGCTCGGTCTAGGAAGATTCATCAGCCCGTGGAGGCCGTAGATCATGTCCCGCGCGTCCTGGCACGCGAAATTGGACGCCAGGTACAGCATGAAGAGCCAGTTCTTGGGCTCGCGCATACGCTCTGTCGTCACTGTTGCGGTCCACCAGCAGTGCGTCTTGGAGAAGCCAAACGTGTTCGAGAACGCTGTGTCCATGATGATGTACCCGGCCACCAGGTCTACGTGATCCCATTCAATTCTTTCTCTACCGCATTGGACGATGCGGTTTGTGCTGGCGTTTATCTCTTGTATGATCCATAGCCGCGTGAAGTACGAGTGGGAATAGAACCAGATCAGAGCCCGCCATGTGGCGTCGCAACTGAAGTCGCATTCGTTGGGCGGCGGCAGAGCATGGCGGTTCTTGTACAGAATATCGTGGTACACATTGCTCAGCGTGCTTAGGTTGGCGATCTCGAGCCCAAGGCGCTTGCAGAGGAAGTTTGATATTGCCCGGATCGAGTCTGTGGCTGCTTTCGCCAAGCCATCCGGTGTGTCCGGCCCCAGCCATGTTAGCACGGCTTCAGCCTTTGCGTAGATCTGTCGCATCTGCTTGACTTGTTGATTGCGCTCGCGGACGTTGGTCTGATGCATACTGGAGCGGGGGTGTGGTCAGAGTGGAAGAGCGGGAGTAACAACGTCACGAGGAGAGGAATGCGCCCAGTTCTGGAAGTAGGGCTAGCTCTGCGGTCCGTACGATGTGTCGTGGATTACAAGTCCTCGCCAGAGCTGTCACGAGAAGACACGAAACAGTAGCTTACCAAAGACAGTCAATCCACAAGAACCTTGATCGATCCGACCTTCGCAGGTGAATCAGTCCGCTGTGTAGGTTCCGGCCCACCTCAAGCCGTTTCCCGTGACATTTGATGGTTGCTTTCAGACTGTGATCGCCCCAGGCATAGGACACTGCTTCATATGCAGGAGGTCTGGTCCAATCTTCGAGGTGGAGCAGGCACGATATGGGCGCATCTTCCTGGCCCGGAAGAAGTTCCAATACTCTGAACGACGTCTCGGTCTCAAGGTTGATGAACTGATAGGGACTTGTGGGTACAGGAGAATACTCGGTCATTTTGAGGGTCTGAACGTCAAATGCATATATCACTCATGGAGAGCTCGTGAGCAGAGATCTCGCTTACTGCAACCTTCTGGACCATCTCAGTCTGAACGTGTCGGACAATTGAAGCTCTCGCAATTGCTAACGTGCTATGGTACCGTGGCGCACTGCCATTGGCGGACTTGTCGACCTACCGATGCCCTCCGCCCAAGTGTTGCAGTCCCCGCTCCCATCATAGCGATAACATAGCCATTCCGGTGGCCTATAAGAATCCGAATATCAGGTTTGAGTAGGTCTGACTGGACGTGGACGCTTTTTAGCTATCCCCCGACTCGAGTCACCTGACCCGAGGAGAACGATCTCTTCGGTTTCCTGTCGGCAAACTGTCCTCTGTGGCGCTGACTTCCGTGCCTCCAAAGCTACTCTTCAAGATGGCTACTACTGTCCAGAAGTTCAAACTTGTATTCAATGTTCCAGTCTCTAGCCTCGAGGCATGCAAAACCGCCATCTTTGCTGCCGGAGCTGGCCGCTTTCCCGGGCCGGGGAACTACACAGAATGCTGCTTCACCACCATGGGCACTGGCCAGTTCCGACCGGGAGATAAGGCGAATCCTCATCTCGGCACAGTTGGGAACCTCGAGTACGTGGAGTCGGCAAGGGTTGAGACCCTGTGTGTTGGCGAGGACACTGTGAGAAAGGCGGTTGAAGCCCTGAAAGTGTATGCTTGCCTCCTTAATCGATCTTTTATCCCGATACCCTTCGTATCGGGCCGGGAGAAGTCCACCCATAATTAGTTTTCATTGTCAAAATGCACTCATAAGTATCCTGACATGTCTCTCAGTGCTCATCCGTACGAGGAACCTTCATACGATGTGTACAAGATGGAAAACTTCTGAACCACCGGCGCTTGCTCTTCGCCGAATGCCTAGAAAGATCGCCGCTCCACAATGAAAGGGAGGCGCACGGAAAGCAACATGGAGCAATGACCAGCAGGGCAATAGGATAGATCTTTTTGACGCTTTTGTTGCAATAGTGGCCTCTGTCAATCATTGAATCATGGAGCTCGAGGGAGGAGTAACTCAAGAGAAAAGGAACAAGGGGCTGTTCTAAGGGAGAGGGGAGGTCAGTAAAATACGCCGAGTGTAAAATGAGACATACCATCCGTGCATTTGGTGAATGCGTGGGCGTTCAACTTGTGTAAGCTCCCAATATCACATGGACTAAGGCGCAGAAGTACAACTCTGTCACGTCAAAGCCGCATGTAACCGACTAATATCGCATTGTCAGACCGGACTCGCCATAGAGATAGTGGCGGAAAGGCCAAGGTGATTTGTAAAGGCTGTAGGTTTGAATACGCCCGCACTTCCTCCGTGGCGACGCCACTCGTACCTGCATAAACAGACGAGGTCATACTCTGTACAGCTGATCGGGCTATTTAGCCTGCTCGAATACCCGCCCCGCCCTACGACGAATATCCAGGGTCTTAGCCCGTCGGCTGGAGTCGGAGTCCTCACGCTTCGTCGGTTGACCTTGACTCAGCTGGCTGTGAAAGAGTATCAAAATTCTTCTTTGAGCAATGGGGCGTCTGTAGCCAATAGGGCGCCCAATCCTAGGAGAAGGAAATGCCCACTGGTAGATCCAAAATGACCTCAGATCTACTCGAGTGTTATACGCACCCGCGAGTCGCAAGTTCGCAAGCTCGTCAGGGCGACCCGCAATAGTGAACATCACAGAAACCCGTCGGAGGGGGATTGCAGGCGAACAGAGGCACATAAAAAGATCTGGAATCTCCTCCCACGGATATAGAGCACCTCGACTCTCGACTTGCGGTATCACTTTCTACACGCACCAGAACCGCGCCGCAATAATTTCTCTGCGCCCGCAACTCCACGATCCCCCCAACACCAACGTCCCACTCCAAACGGCGCAAGATGTCGAAACTCACCGACTTCAAACTCCTCTCCTTTGACGTCTACGGCACTTTGATTGACTGGGAGAGTGGCGTTCTACAAGGCTTGAAACCCCTCATCGACAAGGCGGGACTTACGAGAAAGCAAGCTCTAGAGCTATACTTTGAGTTCGAAAGCACCGAACAGGGCAAAACCCCGGACAAGCTGTACTCGGAGCTCCTCACGGCGATATACCCGCAGTTTGCCGCACGGTTGGGTCTTCCCGCCCCTTCTGACGAAGACAGCAAGGCGTTTGGGCAATCGGTCGGCAAGTGGCCCGCTTTCCCGGACACGGTCGATGCATTGAAGCGATTGGGGAAGCAGTATAAACTCGTGGTCCTCTCGAACGTGGACAAGGAGAGCTTCAAGGGCAGCAATTCAGGGCCGCTGCAGGGTGTCAAGTTCGACAGGATCATCACGGCGGAGGAAGTCGGGTCTTATAAGCCGGATCGCCGCAACTTCGAGTACATGCTCCGGACGGTGAAGGAGGAGTTTGGCGTGGAAAAGCACGAGGTGCTGCAGACGGCGCAGAGCCAGTTTCATGATCATCATACCGCCAGGGAGATGGGCATCAAGTCCTCGTGGATCGAGCGGGGTGGCACCATGGGCAACCGGGACTCGGCTGTCTATGATTGGAAGTTTAAGACCCTGGGAGACATGGCGGATGCGGTGGAGGAGGAGCTGAAGGGGAAGAAGAATTGATTCCGGTGTGGACTTCGATCGCAGATTATTACCTTCTAGAAGGAGCAAGGTGCTTCTCTGATGGTGCCTTTGAGAGTAGATGCATTGGATAATAGCAAGTAGAAATCCTCTCGCAAGTAATCCCATTGTGTTGATGCACTGGATATTTGCAGAATCGAGGGCGAACGGCCGAAGAGGCAGCACGCAACGTGACAAAGTATTCAACCTGCTTGCATTGAGCCGTGTTGATCCGTATTGCTTGTTCCTGACATAAGTAAAACAGCGTGTGAACGCATGCATTGGCTCGATGAGTCTTGCGAGGTGGTACTGGTGTCTTTGGGTACACCAGTAGACACTGGGGATATGAGGAACTGTCTCTATTGTGCTCCAAGGCAATGCAAGCGTCAAAGATGGCATCGCAACGGAACAGCTGTGAAGAGAAGTTGAAACAACCTTTGGCGAAGAAAACGCTCAGAGTGGACCGGTAATCATGTAGATACTCGAATAGTACCCTCCGCCTCTCACCTTGACAAGCAGCGTTGATGCCATTCGACATGAGCCCAGCGCTCCGGACGTGCCCTCAAGGACGCAGAGACGAGCGGTGTCATCGACGACATGTGTGAACTACATGTAGATAGGTATGTCGGCACGGCGTCCCCTGTTCCTTCTGTCCGCTGTGAGTCCTCAGGCGGCTTTCCACGTCCCCGAATGAGTGATAAATCCCTTACAAACGACCTGATTGCTAGAACACAGAGCGTAAGCTGACCTTCTGGCAAAGACGCTTAGAGACGACATCTCCAATGCCTGTGTGAAGATGCAAAGAGAGAGTCGAGCTTTCAAATTAGCCGTCGTCGCCGCCAAGACGTGTGTCGGCTGTGGTTGCCTCAGCCTGGTGTGGCTTGACTGTGGCGGTGGCTTCATGTTACTCCTCTGCAATTGCGGCCCGTAGCTCCCAGTTCCGAGACCGTGGAAGCTGCGATAACTGCAGCTGGTTCAATCGTCCCTTACACCAGTCCACACGTCATTCTCTCCTGATCCTGTGGGCAAAATGTATAGGTTGGGTCGCCGTGGTCTAGGTCCCGCTTTCAAGGCCTTCAGAGTAAGTGTCACGGTCTCACCGTTGATCTGAAAGCGTGGTTGACGGAACCGACAGGATACACCAGTGCGGAGCTCGATCCAACAACAACAACAGCGGAGGAATCTTAGCATCCACGAATACCTCTCAGCAAACCTGCTGAAATCCTACGGCATCGGCGTGCCCAATGGAGAAGTTGCAAAGACACCAGAGGAGGCTGAGGCTATAGCGAAGAGCATCGGTCGGTCAAAGTCGATGGTGAGCTGGTGAGAGCCATGGCTGACATTGTCTTTCAGGCGGAGATGACATGGTGATCAAGGCCCAGGTCCTGGCAGGTGGCCGAGGCAAAGGCACATTTGACAATGGCTTGAAGGGCGGCGTGAGGGTCATCTACTCGTATGCACACCCGCCTTTTGTTTGAGGGAAGGATCGAACGCCCGTTGACCCCGAACGCAGACCTACAGAAGCAAAGATGTTCGCCGGACAGATGATCGGTCACAAGCTCATCACAAAGCAGACGGGCGCCCGAGGCCGCATCTGCAACTCTGTCTATATCTGCGAACGCAAATTTGCCCGCCGAGAATTCTACCTCGCTATCCTCATGGACCGCGCTACCCAGGCGCCCGTCATCGTGGCATCCTCGCAAGGCGGTATGGATATTGAGACTGTGGCTAAAGAAACACCCGACGCCATCATCACCACACCTATCGACCTCAACAAGGGTGTGACGGACGACATTGCCAGAAACATTGCCACCGAGCTTGGATTCAGCGAACAGTGCATTGAAGATGCCAAAAACACAATCCAGAAATTGTACAAAGTCTTCATGGAGAAGGATGCGACCCAGATAGAGATCAATCCGCTCAGCGAGACCAGCGACCATCAAGTATTGGCCATGGACGCCAAACTGGGCTTCGATGACAATGCCGAGTTTAGACAGAAGGAGGTCTTCAGCTGGAGAGATACCACCCAGGAAGATGCTGATGAGGTCAAGGCCGCAGAGTATGACACACCGGTATCCACGCCCCGAATCCACGCTAATCATTCACAGGCACGGCTTGAACTTCATCAAACTCGACGGCGACATTGGCTGTCTCGTCAATGGCGCCGGCCTGGCCATGGCAACCATGGATATCATCAAGCTCAACGGTGGTTCACCTGCAAACTTTTTGGATGTTGGTGGTGGTGCTACGCCTGAAGCCATCAAGTCTGCTTTCGACCTGATCACCAGCGATCCCAAGGTTACGGCCATCTTTGTCAACATCTTCGGAGGTATCGTGCGGTGCGATGCTATCGCTCAGGGCTTGATTAACGTTGTACAACAAATGAATTTGAGGTTACCCATTGTATGTCGATTGCAGGGCACAAACATGGAGAAGGCAGCTGAATTGGTAAGCCTTCGGAGCTTCTGATGCCACAACCGTACAACTAACGTGTGGCACAGGTGAACAACTCGGGCCTGAAGATCTTCTCCATCACGGACCTGCAAGAGGCAGCCGAGAAAGTGGTCGACTTCTCGAAGATCGTGAAGATGGCACGTGAAATTGATGTCGGAGTTGAGTTTTCTCTTGGTATCTGAGTCCCCATGAGTTGGCTTTGGTTCGTGGTTGATAGCTATCAGGGTCTCCTCCGTAGCAGAAGTGTGGGTATCATACTCCTTCTGCGCATATGAACAACACATGTTACAACATACTCCTCCAAGCGACTTCGACCCTGCTGTGTTATTAGGCGCATGCTCATTGCTGGTAGCGCCTGCGCAGACCCCGTGGTTTCCCGCTGTGCGGTGCCGGGACGTAGGAACATACTCAGTAGAGGACTCTGACCACAATCGAATTTCTTCACGGTGTTCCGCCCTCCCAGGCCCTTCTTCAATCGTCCCTCAAGATGACTCCTTGTGCTAGTCCACAACGGCACGTTCCTTTCTTCCCACTCGTTCTGCATCCAAGTGGTGGCCTTTATTCACATTTGGTGCCACCATTCCCCAGTGGCCGTCCAATCCGTGTCTCTGGTCCACTGGGCGGAACGTTCCGACGTTAAAAAGAATCAGTATGCATGCGACGATACAGACAGCGAAGAGGACATCCCAGGGTGGAAAGGACTAATTAAGACCAAGGAAAGGCATGATGTGGACAGTCACTGGTGGTGGTGCAACTGCTGAACGTTTCGCCGTCAGTCTATACCGCTCCCGGAGAAGCGGTATGATCGACTGATGCATTAAGAGCTCGTAACCAGCTGGACCCTGTAAATAAGGTATCCCGGTTGGGTGGTTGACCACTGGCAATGACCCAAGTGATCCATCTAGGCTAGGACGAGACCTGGCGCCAATGCCTCGTATGTGGTACGAGGTACAATGTGCGTATAAGTGCTGTCGTTGCCGCTGGTGCCATGGTGTGCAAAAAGACACAATGTGACACGTCACGTATACATACCTGTATATTCGTCTAGGCCAAAAAGTCAGATACCTACAGTATCTTTGTACTCCGTACATGTCGTGGACAAACGGGGATTTGAACCCCGGACCTTTCCCAGTCACATATTGACGTGTTATGCGAAGGGAAAATCATACCCCTAGACCATTTGCCCCCCCCGTGAAAATGCGGTAGAGTTTGTGTTGAACTCTGACAACATTTTGAGCTGAATTGTCCCAGTCAATACATATGAATTTTTATTTTCATCACTCTCCTCGGCTGTATGTTGAAGCCGGTTCCATAATCCCCCACCACTAGCTCGCCAGTAGGAACTTCGCTAATGCCTGGCCTGCTGACCCAGCCTAAGCACGGAGTACAATAGTCAAACGACGATCGGCCGCCAATTGCCACGGGTATCCGGCAAAGGAAGTTTCGTCTCCTCTCGGGATTTCGCCCACGATCCCCTCACATCCTGCTGGTATTGACAGATCATAAGCAGCGAGGCCCCGGAAAGTTCCTGATTGAGCTCTTCTCGTACAAATCTTGGTTTGGAAACTCTTTGGGAGTTCGCGCCACCGAAGGCGCATGTCAAGGTTTGCGTCCTTATCGTTGATATGCCATGGACGTCGAGCGAGCCGACCTACACGCACAACGACGCTAGGATGAGACTGACTGAAAAATACCAACCCTCGATGTGCGGCTATGCTCAAGGTCGGTTGGCTGGCCAGTCAACAGCGTTCTGTGCCAGCAGAGGTTGCGGCGAGGCGCAAGATGCCCGATGAGGCGCCACATTTGACTTCTCTGTCCATGGTCGCTTCGATTTCGTACCACGGGTCGTTTGCGCCACGAGCCCGACCTGTCGGCCAGGCCTATTATGGCGGCAACAAGAATGGCGATCTGGACGATAGAGCGAACATGTTGCCCCGTCAGGATGGTTGGCGCACGCCTTTTGTGGACGACCAGGGTCATCGTGCCAGCCAGCAGGATGGGACGGGTTATCCTTTCCCGCAAAGTTCAGAGGCAACTGCTTCAGGAACAGATGAGAAGGGTACGAGCCAGGACAAGACCGAAGACCCCGGCGAGGAGAAGCCTAAGAACCTCACCTGGAAGCAGCGGATGAAGCATGTGACGTGGGCTTGGTTCACGCTTACGATGGCGACGGGCGGCATCGCCAATGTATTGCACACTGGTACGTCTTCGTCACCCACGCACGGATGGTACCGAGCTCAGCTAACCGACGAGCTACGATCACAGTTCCTTACCGCTTCAGTGGTCTCCAAACTCTCGGCGTCGTGGTGATGCTCCTCAACATCGTGCTCTACATCATTATATGGGCTATGATCATCACTCGCTTCACCCTCTACCCATGGACATTCCGGTTGAGCTTCACCCATCCGACCGAATCTCTTTTTGCTCCAGCCTTTGCCGTCTCGTTCGGCACCATCCTCATCAACATCGTGCAATACGGGTCCGGGAGCGTGGGACCGTGGCTGAACCGCGTCGTCGTGATCCTATACTGGTTCGACTGCGGCTTGGCCATGACCCTCAGTATAACCATCTACCTTGTCCTGTGGTCCACTCAGACCTTCACCATCGCAAGGATGACTCCGATCTGGATCTTCCCGGCCTACCCGTTGCTCATCATCGGCCCGCACGCCGCCAACCTCTGCTCGAAAGCCCTCGACTCCAACCAAGCCATCCGCATCCTCGTCGGCGGCGTCACCATCCAGGGCATCGGATTCCTCGTCTCCCTCAGCATCTACTCGGCGTTTGTGTACAGGCTCATGACGCAGAAACTGCCCGCCGAGCCCCTCCGGCCGGGTATGTTCGTGTCGGTCGGCCCGTCGGCTTTCACCGTCAGCGGCATCATCGGCATGGCTGAAGATCTGCCCCGAGTGATCGCATCCTCGCCAAACTCCACCTTCATGGACGTGCCCGGCGTGCTCGCCGCCCAGATCCTCCGACTCGTCGCCAACTGGACGTGTCTCTGGCTGTGGGGTCTGGCGTGGTGGTTCTTCTTCGTCAGTCTACTCTCTAACATGGCGTGTCTGCGAGGAGACCACCACATGCCCTTCGCCATGACGTGGTTCAGCTTTATTTTCCCCCAGACGGCGCTCACGACCGCGACGTTCGCCATTGCCGAAGCCTTTGACGTCGGCGCAATTCGCATCGTCGGCTGCGTCATGACGGTGATCCTCATCTTGGTCTGGTTTCTCGTCGTCGGTTGCATGATCCGGGCGATCATTAACAAACAGATCCTTTGGCCAGAAAGGGGCGAGGACAAGAGCGAGGGTGGCTTCAAGGCAAGGCCCGATGATTCGAGTGGTGGTTCTACGGTGCGAGCCAAAAAGGACGCGCATGCCATGGCGGACGGCGAATCCCCCCCTCAGCCTGGGAGAAGTGGCGATGAGGGTCAGAGATCGCAAGACGGTGACGCTGCAACGCGGAATGTCTGATGCCAAGTGGGCGATGCTGCAACATAGGATGTCTGATATGCGTGGCTGTGATAGCCATGCCGGCTTGGGTCCTAGATTGCGTCTCGAAAAGGGAGAAACTTAGGCTCGCCATGCCTCCAACACAAGAATCCAAGACGAGGAACGGGCCACAAGAACAAGGAGCGCAAGAAGGGGAACGAGTCACCAACATAAGGAATCCGAGAACAGGAACGAGCCACCAAAGCCGGGAATCCAGAAGAGGAACAAGGGACGGACACAAGAATCCACGACGAGGAACATGCCTCCAACACAAGAATCCAAGACGAGGAACGGGCCACCAAAGCCAGGACTCCAGAAGAGGAACAAACCACCAGTGGTGACCAGGGGTGTCTCGAGATCTTGGATTCGGGGATCCCGCCTCAAAGAAAGGACGAGCCTTCCCGCGCTTGACACCGGTGAGAGCGCCAGGCCCGACGCAATACGCATGTGGTGTACGAGGGGTGTCCGACCCGCTTTTGCGATCCGTCAGCAGCGTGCATTCTATGCTCCCTTGCACGGCAGGCTTGCGGTTTCACTATGCATATCGAACAGAAAAAGAGGATCTTGCTTGGGCGTGGCTTGGTTCAAATTGGTTTGGTGGCCTTCTCTGCGCAGCCCTGGGTATAGGTGGACACTGTTGCACAGGATTTGCTTGCTTGCCGAACTGTAGGGATGCTACGTCACTCAACTTCGCATGAAATTAGTGGTTGGACTTTCCGTGAAAGCTCGAGTTGGCATGGGGACGAGCAGGTTGAGTTCCCAGTTGACGGAGAGGACACCGCGCAAAGACGTTTCAAATTTGAGAGTCCAGGCGGGCAGGGCGTGGGCAGTGAGGCTCGTGAGGCAGTGAGGCAAGGATGGGACAAGGCTCAAGAGAAAAGAGGTACTGCAAGGTCAGTATTCGTGCACTTTACTCGGCATAGCGGACGTGGACGGATTTGGTTATCAGAGCCAGGGGATAGTGAAGCAAGAGTACAACACGTACGATGCTGTACAAGACCGTCCAACGCAACGAGAGTACTCTGTACAGAGCATATAATTTACTTTGATGTATCGCGGTCACGACACCTCTCTCTCAATACCAGATACATCAGATATCTGCCCGCCTGTACATGCAAGCATATTTTCCGAACTCCGATCTACTTATCTCATGTCAATTCAGATGAACACCGATTTCCGCCGCCACTTGACCTTCTTCGGCTCCAATTCTGGAGACAGAAGCCCAATGCTTGAGGTTGAACCAGAACCAGAACCAGAACCAGCTCCAGTCGGCACAGCCGGCGCCGTGACGCTGAGTCCGAGCAAGTTCCTAGTGATGTCTGATTCGTCCACGTCTTCCACCGCCGTTGTGGTCGTCGAAATCACGCTCGCGGCGTCGGGTTCGGGGTCGACTGCGTTGGGCGGGTCTACGCGGTGGTATGTACCGACCGAACCGTTCAACGTGGAGGTGGATTGCTGGACCGCGAGCCTGCGCCACGGATTCTTGGAGGACAAGGCGTAAAGATTTGGTGTCGGTGTCGGTATCGGTATCGATGTCGGTGTCTGTATTGCGCCAGGGTCTGGTTTCGGCTGTTGCTCCGCTTCGCCATGTGGCTCTGATGGTCCTGGCAGTTCGGAGATAGCGGGCCTGGACCGGGACGTGGCCGCCGCAGCGATCGCCGGGCCAGCTTGCTGTAGAAAGTCCATCTGCCGTACGCTCAGTTGGCCCTGCGATATGGACAGACCGAGGCCGAGGCCAGAGTCGTCGTCGACGCCGATGCCGATGGTGGCGTTGGCGAAGAGAGCGAGGTCTTCCGTTGCGTCTGGGGTGGTTTGGTCATCTCCGGACCGTGGACGTAGCGAAAGCTCGTCAGACTCGTAGCCCTCATCGCCGTCTGCGAATTGAGGTGATAGATTTCGCAATCCACCGCGCCGTGTGCCGGTCCGCTTGTCCAGATTGAGATTGACTTGGCTGCCATTGTTGCTGCGTGATTTTGAGCGTATCCTTTTGGTGGGGCTGCGTGGAAAGGGCGGCTTCTTTTCCTCCTCGTCGTCTGCCTCGACTCTGAAAGTAGTACCCTTGCCTGATTTACGATCATTATCAGCGTAGGCCGGCGGGCCCAAATTGCCGTTCACGAAGACAATGGGCGGATGAGCCATTTCCAACCGCCCAATGTCTCGGTCCAGCGCACCCAGACAGTTCCCCAATGTTTGAAGTTGTGACAAAAACTCCTGGTTCTTCCATAGCAGCCAGGCGACTCGATTCTTGGGTGTCACCGTCTGACGGATTTCGAGGTCCTTTCGGCATGCTTCGATCGAGTCACGAACCAACAGAAGAGCACTATTAGTCTTTTCGATACTCTCCTCCGTCTCCTGAAGTAGTCGAGGATCCAGGTAGTGTGCTTTCGAGCGAAGGAGCCGTCTGGCGATGTTGATGGCACTCTCGGCCCTTTCGATATTAGTATGTAATTGCCTGACCTCGTTCGGTACCTCTTTGTAGTGCGCTGCGAGACTGATTGCTTTGACGAATGAATTGAACCCCGAGAAGATCGAAGTCGCAATCACGACTGGCTCGGGCATTCTGCTCAAATCGCAGTTTCGAGGAGCAGATAGATGCTTCACTGGTGGCGGGCGCCCCAGGTCTTCGAGAAGAGCTCAGATGTCAGTCAGGCTGATGAAACTTGGATGGAAGCTAATCGATCCGAGGGAGGGGCATGTTCCCTAAGCCAACGAGCCCGGGGCCTGCAGGCAGAGTCCAAGTCATCCGCGATCACAGGCCCTGAGTCATCCTTAGCCAAGGCGGGCCAGGAAACCCGTGTCACGGTGAGGCTTCATCCTTGGTCCGTCCGTCCCGTGCGCAGCTTTAGCAAGCGTTGGCAATCAGATGGTGTCGGGTCCAGGTCGATTCGACATGTTCGAAGCAGCACACAACAGCTGAGGGGTCTGTCGGCAGTCAGGCTGGAAAAGCGGCGAGGGGAGGAAACCTCGTCCATTCCAGCAAGATACGAGGCCTGAATGGTAAGGGGATGTGAGCTCGCCTGCAGGGAGGATACGAGGGACCGGCGCCAGAATCGGGATTGGGAAGCACGAATCCGGCTCTGTCTGTGTCGTATTCCTCAGCCTCACCCCGCAAGTCCAGCCACCACCTTTGAGGCGAGCCTATCGTGCTCGTTGGCGTGAGACATGGTCGGCTTCGAAGTGATCATAGTCGAACCTGGACGCGTTGTAGCAACACATACTCGGTGAGAGCGAGCACAGCTTCATGAACCCAGCGGCATACGCACAGGAGTCGGGAACACTGTTGGCATCAATCAGGCTGATCTAACCAGATGTGGGCTTGGGCTCGCGACCGATGCACACACCCTTGCTACTCCGTACTTCTGTGATTTCGGGTCGCTCATGACGGAGCAGACCATGAAGCAATCTCTGGATGGCGTCGTATAGCGCCAGACCACCAATTATTGTGTGCCCATCCATGTACGTCGTGACAAATCTCGTGTTCACACTACTGCAGAAGCTGCCACTCAAGGACGATGAGTGGCCGGTCTAGTTTGCGGGCGACATGGTCCGTGACTCTTCGAAGCTGGGGCTGGATCACGAAGACATGCTTCTTGCCCTTCTCGCCCCGCAGCGGCTGGGAGGCTGCTCTTCGTGCGTTGGCGGCGTCGCTCCAGTGAAATCTCCACTCTGTGGGCTGCGACAGCAGCAACAGGCCCAGCTCCTGACCTCGCTTACAGAGCTTGACCAGGTGCAGGTGTCTGTCTTTATTCGTTTCCGGTCGGATGTAAGTCTCCACAACGGAGTCCACGTCAGTGATCAAGGCGTCGATGACCATCTGCGAATGTGCTCTTTGCTCGGGTGAGTCTGCCGAGCCGAGGAGGGCCGCAGTGCTGGTCCTCCATCTCGAGAGACTCAATCGGCTTCCTGTAAGGCTGTTAGCACACAAAGTGACAGAAGCATGGACATGGACGCACTTTGGTCATCTTTGAGTTGATCTGCGGACGATCGCAGAAACGTCGTTACCATTTCTGGCAACAAAGATCGCTCGGTCACCCCGAAGAAGTCGATTGCATCCAAGATCTGTGCTGTAATGAGACTGGTAATGGCAGAGGACCGCGAGTGTCGGTCAACCAGCAGGGCCTCAAAGTCCACATCGCTCTGAGCCATGATGCCACTGGGTAGATGGCTGGACTGAGTGGCGGGCTCCTTTGGTGGGTCACTCCTGGCTGGCGTATCGACATAATAATTGTCTGCGTGATCTTCTATGGCCTTGAATAGGGCGGCAACGCTTTGTTTGATAGTTGCATCATCCTTGGGTTGCTCCAGCACGTTTTCTGCTGTGACTTCTTCGACAGATCGTTCGACAGCTCCACCCTTGGGCTGGCGCAGTGTGCTATTCAAATAGCCAGGCTTCTTGGAGCTTGAATGGCGAGGATGTCCCAGCGATGAGGCGGCACCAGAGTGATGTCTCTTCCTGAGCCTGTCTCCCATGAGGAGGAAGAGCACACCAAGTGCAATGAGGGCACCGGCAACTACACACCCGATAGCAACACCCGCGACAGCTCCGCCAGGCAAACCACGGTCTGATTCGTGGACGATCACCTGCGAGCCGGTACTTGACGTCGGTGTACTGCTGGTACTAGCGGTCGCATCAGACAATGTTGGCGTGCCAGTGGTGGAGGTTGAGTCTGCGGCAGGCACGACTGAAACACTATACAATGGAGTATAGGTAATTTCAAACGAGGTATAACTGGTACCACCGGGACCAGCATCCGCCCCAGAGAGGGGGACGCTGACACGAGTAGTCACGGGGGATGGTGCAGACTCTGTCAGAACAACGACCGCTGGGGTATAGATGACTGCAGTCAATGCAGAAGCGGTAGAGACTGGTGAACTGTCCTCCCCGTAGACAGTACTAACTCCAATGCTGACCGATATAGTCGCTTCGGGAGCTGAAGTTGTTGTTGCCTCCGTAGAAGTAGCCGTGGACGAAGTGGTGGTAGGTGTGTTGTCCTGCGGCAGGGGGCTCCGTGCAGAGAGAACAGCCGCAATGGCATTCCTCATCTTTTATAGCGTACCTAACAGATCTTGTGATTCCGACTCACATAGACTGTGAATTCCAGATTCGGGTTGAAAAGGACTGAAAAGTAAGATGCGGCTTCAGAAGCAGGCTGAAAGGTCGACAGTCAGCAGGTCTTATGGGAAGGAGTTGGACGTCCGTCTGGATCTATTCGATCGCCAGCGTCCTTGCTCGACGAGCTGGTGATTGAACCCGCCGCTTTTGACGCAGGATACGAGTCGTTGAGGTTAAGCGGCTGGGTGGCTTCGTGCTGGCTCGTGTTGGCTCGTGTTTGTTTCCAGCCAACCACAAGTTGCACGCGGAGCTGATTGAGTTGGAATGCGGCCGAGAGACAGGATCACAGTGTCCAGCCTCATTTAACGATCGAAAGCCAACAGTGGAGAGTCTTTGGTTCCCACATGTGCCCTCTAGCCAAGGGTCCAATCTAGAGTAGTCTTCTAGTGCGGGAGGCGGTCCTCACACCTCGAGAGACAATAAACTCGTAGCCGTGCGCCGTGGACTTTCCTTCGAGACAGAACTGCATTTGAAAGCAAAGCACATGCTGTCTTAATATCCTGTCCACAGCCTGGACATAATGGCGCAAGCTCGAGCGCCGCTGTTGGTAGGGATCGATGTTGGGATGACCTGCACGGGTAAGGCTGCGAGACTGGTGTCGAGCTGGAGCTCCTGCTTATTCTGTTTTAACCCAGGTGTCGCATACATCATCCAGTCTCCAGCGATTGAGATGGTAGAGCCGCGTACAATCCAGAAATGGTCAGGACGCGGCGCCGCCAAGGCCGACAAGGTGGGTGTCGACCTTGCGGTCTACGAGGACGTCTCTTGGCTGATACTCGCTCAGGTACCGACCTCACTTTGTTACCGGGGCCGCGAAGTAGTCTGGGGTTTCGACACCCAGCGAGACGAAATCGATGATTCCGAAGTCCATGACTGGTTCAAGATTTTCCTGGACGAAAAAGAGTTTGAGAAGTTCCGCTCGCGGGGAGACGACGTTCCACCGTCCCATGGCCACGTGAAAAAGTACTACCGAGACTTCCTGAGGAAGCTGTATGCGCATATCAAGAAGATCTTGAGCACAGAGCTGCCGGCCCTAAGCTTCGAAGACGAGACCATCCAGTTCATCTTTTCCGTTCCCACTACCTGGAGTCCTGGAGTTGCGGAAGACCTGAGGGTATTAGCGAGGGAAGCGGGTTTTGGCCACGATGGTGCCAATCACTCAGTCGAAATTGGGTTGACCGAGGCAGAAGCTGCAGCTGTCTGCACGCTGGGGACCGAGACCGAAAGATACTCAGTACGCTCGTGTCCTTGTGTCGCAACAACAACTGACAAGCCCAGAACGGTGACATTATGCTCGTGGTCGACGCCGGCGGTGGCACAACAGTGAGGATTTGTCGTAATCGTAGTCATTGACGGCCACTGATGCGCTTATCAGGATCTCGCTCTTCTCAAAGCCGAACTTACGGCAGGGAGTAGACCGACTTTAAAGCAGCTTGATGACGTGCGAGGTGCGTATATGCTTTCCGAGACGAACTCGTCCTCGCTGACAGCCGTTCTCAGGAGACGAAATCGGAAGCGTCGAAATCGACGTCGCCTTCGCCAGGCTAGCACAGGATCGCCTTGAAGAAGCCGCACCGTATATCGATCTCGACCCGAGCACCATACCAGCAGTCGTCAAAAAGATGTGCAAAGGCGCATTCAAAATCGTAAAAGAGGAGTATGGAAACGAAGACTCTGTCCACCTCGCCGTGAGCACCATACCCATTCCGGACATGTCCAACCGTGTCTCATCGGAAGTTGGTGGCGTCCAAAGAGGCAGGCTCGTCCTCAAAATGTGAGGAAGAACATTATGCTCTTCCCACCAGCGCCTGCTTGGGTGTCGGCTGACGGAATTTCCCAGGTCCGAAGTCAAGGAGATGTTCGACGTGCAGCTGGAAAAGATGTACAGGCTGATCGATTGGCAACTGAACCGGATGCAGACGGTGGCACCGCACGATCAAGTGGTAACTAACCGCCTGGAGGGGTTCACGTTGTGTTGCTGATAGTATCTAGAAATACCTGGTGCTCTCAGGAGGGTTGGGGAGCTCAGAGTACGTCTTCAAACAGCTGGAGAAGCGGTACATCCATGAGCGGCCGAACCTCTACGCGCCCCATTTGAGGATAGTCACCACGAATTACCCGTAAGAGACCACTGCAGCATATGAAAGCTATAGGCTGATGGGGTCAGACACCTTTCTGTTGTCAAGGGCCTGTTGATAGACAGACTCCAGAAGCTCAAGTTCACCAAGTCGGTTCTGAGGGCTCGAAAGTGCCGGCAATCCTTGGGAATCGTCTGCGAACAGTTGTATAATCCCAGTCAGCATAAAGGAGCGAAGCTGAAGGTCGATCCGGTGGACGGCTTGACGTATGCGGTTGACCAGATCAGCTGGTTTGTCCGACAGGTAAATTCCAATCCGATTGTCCGCAAAGTCTCGTCAGCTAAAAGTGCCAGGGTGACCTGATAGAAAGCGAGGCAATCGAAAAGCCCTTCTATCGTAACCTCGCCAAAGGGGGATCGCGTGAGCCATACAGTAGCAGGATTGTGATCTGCAATTCCAGGACCGGCTCACTGCCGACAAGCCTGAAAGATGGTGCGTCTGCACTTTTCTCTGTTCCAGGTGCCACCGGACTGACCAACCACCGCAGATGGAGTCGAGCTGTGCTGCGTCATGAATTCTGATCTGTCGAAGATTGACATCCAGAATTTCGAGAAGGTCAAGAAGCACTGGTGGCAGCTAAACAAACAGCCGTCCTACTACAAAGTCGCCTATGGGATCAAATTCATCCTGAACGCCGCCAACATCGAAAGCGAACTGTGGTTCGATGGCAAGAAATATAATGAGCCTAGTTCATTTCGCGTTCACTTCGAAAGCGGCATGTGGCGACCTCGGCCAAAGGAGCACCTTTCGGGCGGCGGCGCGGATTTGGCATCGTAGCATCTTGAAATGAGCAGGGCCCTTGACAAACAACCGGAGTGTGTTGGATTGTGTACATGTGTCAATTCCTTGAAGGCTCTTTCAGGGACCATGATAGATCTCGTGATGCCGGTGAATACATGTAGGGAGTCGAATGCGCAGGCACCGCCAGGAGTATGGACATAGACGGCCATGTACCAATGAGCGGTTACTCTTTGAGCAAGCTCGGCAAGGCAGGTGTAAGGAGCCGTAATTGGTTCGTCGCCCTCAATGGCGAGCAAGCACGCAATCGCCATATTGGGATATGGGATCAGGAACCGCGAGAGGGAGCATGTTTACCCCTCCCGTAGGTCCGCTGTGAGATTTATCCTTGTTTCCGATAAGATCGCGATCCTGGACCTGGTGGTGAGACAGTCGACTACTGCAAGACTTATTGATACAGTAGCATTTCCGTCGCGTGGAACTGGTCACAGACCAGCGACGAGAGCCAGTATGTCTGCCATCCAGAAGAACGTAGAAGCAGCCTCCGAAGCGTATTCCTCCTCGTTCACCCAGGGGCATCTCGCTCTGCCACCAGCAAAGAAGTATCTTGTCTTAACGTGCATGTGAGTCACGCTCAACAGCCAGATCGGAATTTCTGCGACTCTGTGACAGTATGTCTCCGCTCTCGGCCGATGCTGATCGTCAATCAGGGATGCTCGCATTGACCCAGCCCAAGCCTTCGGAATCAGCCTGGGAGACGCACATGTGATCCGCAATGTGAGAAGAGCTCCAGCCCAGCAAATGCTCTCTGGATCAAGACAGATCGCTACGCGCGTTGGAAAATGGAAATGTCTGCTAATGCTACACAGGCAGGGGCGTCTGCGCAGGACGCATTGCGGAGTATCATCATTTCGCAGCAGCTGCTCGGCACCCACGAAATTGTCCTGGTCAAGCACACTGGCTGCGGCATGCTGACATTCAAGAACGAAGATGCATATGGCTTGGTTGAAAAGAACCTTGGGTAAATCTTTCAGAACCCAGTTCTAGCGCCTGACTGACACGGCGTAGATCCGAGGCAGCTGCGGAGCTCAAATCCCGCGGACTAGACTTTCTTCCGTTCCCACAGCTGGAAGACGCTGTGAAAGACGACGTGCAGTATCTCAAGAATACCAAACTGGTGCCTGACAGCGTTGCCATTAGTGGCTGGATCTATGAAGTCGAAACGGGCAAAACTCGCAGAGTCGTGTGATGCTGTAAGACCGATATGCCACAAGAGGATTTCCGGAAGGTCATGATGATGCTGTGTACTGAAAGAGCTGGGTAGAGAGAATGCCCTGGATGAATTGGCCTGTTAATTGTGCGAGTTTTTGTTCTGTGAATTTTGTTAAGCTCCAGTAATCCTCAAGCAGAGTTGCAACTTCTTCGCAGAGTCCGTCGGTTGGGTCCCTGCCGCATTGAGGAGCACCGTGCCAGCCCGAGAAACAAAAGCAACAGACGAGCGTTGAAGCCGCTCGTTGAAGCTGCGTATGGTCGGCCACACTCACAGATGAATATTTGCGGGTTCGATTAGAGTTTGCCTGATGCCATCGAACACAAACGGGGCGGATTTTCTCTCCCATCACACATGGAGATTACCACGGTCGACGTACGGAGTACTCGTACCTCCGTGCCGGCCAGCAGGATGCATATGGTGTTGCCGAACCGTACCGTTCCGTCTTAGCGATCGCAAGCCAGACCTGTTTGTAGAACTTGAGCTACTCGAGCAGACCAGACGGAGCACGGAGGCCTGTCTCACATGCTTCGAGAAGCTACGAGGGCTCAACCAGTCTGAGCACCCCACCGCCGGCGGGGTCGCTCGACAGGGTGGCGAGACGGCTTTGACGTGGCGTGAGCGCTTATGTAACGACTGCCCTGGTTGCGATTCGCCAGCCTCGATCTTGGTCCGAGATCTTCGGCACGTCCATGACGAGTCCTGGGACAGAGGAGGTACCCTGCCGAGCCTGCTGCGCCCGGACCAAGACACACGGTTCTTGGACTTGCGTTGTCCAAGACATGATCAAAGACGTAGTCCAAGAGTTGAGCGTTGTAAAAGACCCAACATGTCTCTTCGGTCGCATCGCACATTCTCTGCTTGATCTGTAACGATGTTGACGTTCTGATTGCACAAGATAAGGATATTCAGTGTCACTCAACAACTCACGTGGCAGTTGGATGAGCATGGCGCAACCCGGTCGTGCCAGTCTCGAAACCCCCCAGGATGAGCCTAGACCGCTAGAGTCGCATAATCCGAGCGACAGCGACAAGACCCTCGCAGAGCGGGCGATGGGAGGCCCAGCATCGACAATAGAACCTCCTCCGGCCAACCATCCGACATTGGAGAAATTTACTTCGCTGACCCATCGCGATGCGCGAGAACGCCTTGATGGGCCACCGGCTTTGCCGTTTAACATGCGAGACCACAAATTGTCTGTCTCCATCTTTACGCTTCTGGTGATCGCCGAGTGTACCATTGTCCCCCTGGTTCTATACTATGGGTTGAAGTATGGCACCACCATGAGATCTGGTAAGTGCCGCCTTCCGGAGAGCAGGCAAGCCGAAGCGAGAGACTGAGAATGTTGCCAGGTATTTACTTTGCCATCATTACCAGTCTTTTTGGCTTTGTTACCGGGTATGAATTCGGCATCCGAGCGTGGCGCTTAATTCGCGCGAGCGACGAGTACCGGCCATTGTTTGGAAGTCCACGATTCTGGGGATTCGACAGTACTCACTATGTGCTGACGATTCCCTTTACCGTGATGTTGGTCATCATGATCATCTTCAGTATTCCCCACCATCCTTCGGTGAGAGCTCTGTCGCTGCCAATGCCTGTTGGTATGATCGTGACAGGCATGATGTTCGTGATCAATGGATGGGCTGCGCAAAGACGTTGGAGGTTGATGTACTTCAGGCTTAGTTCGCATGTGAAGAACTCGATCTGTCCTCCTCTCACGTTCTGCTTGTTGGAAGACATCTGCGCGGTGGATGGGAAAGGAGGAAAGAAATTTCGAACCGCGGCTCTAGCCAGATACCAGGCTTCGCCTCGCTTTCGAGCGCTGTTGCTGCAGTTGCTGTGGTTCTGGTCCATCCCTGCGATAGTGATCGGTGTCGTACTGATCATTGTGATTTACGTTACGAGTGATGACGTGGCTTATGGTAAGTCCTCTTCCAGTCATACTATGCCGGTCGAGACGACTGTCTCCATGTCGATTAGCTGTGAAATCAGATTGCTGATGCGTCTTTGCGAGAAACATTAGGTGTTGGATGGGGTATGCCTACCATCTGGGCTCTTGTATGGACATGGATTACCGTCGAATGGGTGAGGAGAGCATTGCAAGTTGAAAAGGAATGCTGGAAGCCAGAAACGTCGCAAACAGTGTAGTTGCGGCACGCGGCGTAGGCTCTCTTAATATGGCGCTGTGTTTCGCAGTATCCAAATATGGCATGGCCTTAGACGAGATATCTCAAGACAGGCTTCGTGGATAAGCACCGGGATCTACTTGTCGGATCCATTCGAGCGCGCGCTGAATGTATTTGTCCTCCTTTGTTCCGAGCCTTGAGGCGGTCTCATCGTGCGGTTGTACAAATGGGTCGATCACTGATTCGACGATTTCAATGGTAACGGCTCGAGCTTCACCAGCCTTCTTCAGACATAGCTCCAGATCGCCTAGGTACATTCCTTCGGCTGATTCGTCGATGAGCTCAGAGATGTGGCGAGTCCGCCTGAGCAATGTATCCAGTTGAGCTGCGTAAGGCGCGGCGTTACCTTGACCAGCTGGGAATTTCTCAAGCCGTTGCTTGATCACCACATGCACACTTTGTGGAATACGGTTCAGCACTTTCAACGCTTGTTCCTTGACGCCTGCAGATATGGCTGCTCGATCACTGTCGCCATCCTTGTCACCGGTGTCATCGGATGCACCGTCGTCGCTCTCTGCGACGCCTAGTAAGTCGTCGTCAACAACGTCATCTTCCGGGTCCCATTCTTCTAGTTCTTTGACCGCGTCTTTCATCAAGTCGAGCCACTCTTTCGCTCTCCTGGTAACAAATCCATGCACTCCTTCTGAAGCCAGCGGAATCAATTTGTCGCAGTCATCCCAAATCTTGCCTGTTGCCTCTGTGAAAGGTTTCTTTGCCGAGTCCTGAAGCGATACTGTCAAATTGCTATCACGACTTCGCATCTCTAGCAGCTCCAAAAGTGTTTTCATGTCACGTAAGGTTGCCGCAGCCAGATTACGGCATTCCGCGGAGAACGAAGGCGTGAATAATTCCGGTGTTGTGAGTAACGCAGCTGTTACAAGGGACGTGAGGATTGACTCATTGAGGGGCGCTAAACACGTCGCTACCGCACTCGCCGTAAAAGGAGCTGTGATAGCCAGTAGCGACAGTTTAGTGACTTGAGCTCGGAGAGTCGTCACGGCAGCGTGCAGAAGGACCAGAGGCGAGGGCGCAGTTGGCTCTGTGCGAGGCACCTCGAACGGAGCGTTTGGAGACAAGGAGGCCGCAAACCGCTGACAGAGAGAAATGGAAGTTTGTAGCGTTGCAGGCAGCGAGGCCTGCCCTGTGGCACTCATTAGTCTCGTCGTTGAGAGATCTGATCAATATGGCTATCATGAGGACGAGAAAAGCCAGTCGCTCACCAACGCGTAAAACAAATTCAGCGTGGGGAAATGCGGTGGGGAAATATTGATCCGTGGCCGAACCACAACTGACGTCATCGCTCTGTGCTCTTTCTCAACACCTGCGCATTCTCCCGAATCTTACGCGTCTCTATACCTGACTCAGTACCAGTACCGTTACCGTGTCGTGCGTGTGTGGTTTACTCCAAGTTCAAAATGACTACATCGTAGTATATTGTCCTGTCGGCATAGCAACCATGATCTGAGCAGCGACGTGCCTGTGCAGAGGTCGAGATCGCTGGGCGATTTCAGGCTCGATCAGAAATGGATGGAGTACGAGCGTCAACTTCGTCAGCTGGTGGTCGTCGAGATACGCGACCCAGTGTGTTCCACATCGGATGGTTATTGCCGCCTTCCTTGGTACGGTCGGGGCAGAGCCGCGGCACGATGGAAAAGGACCATGAGCTCTGTGATATGAAGGAATCTCCCTCTAGTCTTTGACCTTGGCTGAGCAAGCCACGTTGCGACACTTGTTCATCGAGCAGCCATGACCCGAAATTGGCAGCAAATCGCGTCGACTGCACAAGAACTTCTATTAATTGTATACCTAAAGTTTGGCGTCTTCCCCAACCACTCGATCACTCGCTGATCGACGTACGCTCTGTACCGAGGACACGTGGTTCGCGCACAGAGAAGCAGCTGGACATCACCGAGCAAATAGCAAGTGAACTGGTAGCTCGGCCGAGAGACGGAAAGCTGTCTTCGGCGGAGGTCACTGAAGCATTTTGTGGCCGAGCTGCTGTTGCGCACGAATGCGAAACCATTTCTAACGCTGCGAGTCGGTTTCCTGCCTGCTAATCATACACCATCTAGATCAATTGTTTGAGGGCCTTCTTCCCTGATGAAGCACTTTCACAAAAGCTCGACGGTAACCTCGCGGAGACAGGCAAGCCGGTCGACCGTCTACACGGTCTCCCTGTTGGGAACAAGGACATCTTTCACAGCAAAGACAAGAACTTGACCATGGGCTGTGTTGCATGGCACAATACGCAAACCAGCACGAGTACTGGACGTCCCATCAATTGTTTGATGTCTCCTGCGCCGCTTCACCAGGCTTTCCTCACGGCTTTCCAGTGTGGTGAGGGATTTCAGCCTCTGAAATCTGCTAGATTGTCCCAGCAGTATGCTCCCATTCAAGAAGATGCGCGTTGACACTGAGAAAGGCAAGAAGGATATAAGCTACGTGCCCACGACCAATGTGTGGCAAGATGAATTGGGAAATCTGTAAGATGTCGTCCTGGCCGTTTTGATCTGGGTTCGGATACCCGCCACTGACATTACATAGATGATTCTGAGCGTTGGAAGAGCCAGCCGATCACTATCCAGCTTGTGCGACCACAATCCAGCGATGGAGAGCTTGTTGTCGTGGCAGTAGTTGTCGACGAAGTCTGCATCGATTGATAGAAGGCATCCTACGCTCAGGCTCTGGGCCCTTGCTCTACCTGCCGTCCTTTCTACTAGACGCCACAAGTCGTCTAACGCTCTTCGAAAGGATCTCCAGTACCAGCAGGCTCGACTCGTACGGCTGTTACCAGCTGAAGCCGGGCATACGTCCTTTGGACCATAACTCACTCCTGCCTCGCCCGCATGTCCATGAATGTGCTCCTTTTGCATGGGCCAATCGCCAAGTTGCATCTCTCTTGCCTTTTGGAGCAGCGTATCAGACACGTCTATTGGATATTCAAGCACTTCCCCGGCCTCGGGATGCGCATCTCCGCAATTCGTACATCGTATGTCGTATGCAGTAACGATACAGCTTCTGTGAGCGGACTTCCTCCGTGGCATTGAGTCAAAGAGGTAGGTGAACCTCGCTGCAGGATCGTCCAAGTCCGAGATACCTTAAAGACAGCTCAACTCCCCTCCACAAGTCAGTGCTTCAACAGCAGGTCGAGAACAAACTTCTGGAGACTACGATATACCGGACATGTCCCCTCACTCCAAACCACTTCCCAGCGTGGACACCCACGACCCCCACCGGCTCTGGGACTCGCGTCCAATCTTCAGCCACGTCGCCTCTTCGACAGGGCCGACACGCATCGTCGCCACAGCGGGCCAAGTCGGTGCTGACCATAACCGCGTCGTCCCCGCTGACATCGATGAGCAAATCGCGCTTGCGTTCAAGAACCTGACGCGCTGCCTGGAGGCCGCAGGCGCCGGAGTCACCGATGTGTTCAAGCTGGTGTACTATATCGTGGACTACGACCCGAAGAATCGCCGACATACCAAGCACCTCAAGGCGTGGTTGAAGGGCCATAGGCCCGCAACCACGCTTGTGCCGGTGCCAGCGTTGGCGGATCCGGAGTTCAAATTCGAGGTCGAGGCCTATGCTGCCGTCCGGCAGGAGCCGCTGCGGAGTGTGGATGTTGTGATTGTAGGGGCCGGACTGAGTGGGCTGAAAGCCGCGTACGACCTGCAACAGAAAGGGGTGAGCTGTGTCGTTGTGGAAGCGAGAGATCGTGTGGGCGGGAAGACCTGGTCCGTGGATCCTTTGGGTCAAGGGAAGTTCATTGACGTGGGCGCCGCTTGGATCAACGACACAAACCAAGGGAAGGTGTTTGAACTGGCTAACTTTCTCGGCCTGGAGCTCGTGACTCAGAGGACTGAAGGGAGTGTGATCCAGGAGGACCTTGCTGGGGCGATGGGCTTGTTTCCGTACGGTGGGACGCCCTCAAATGCGCCAGAGCCGAACGGCATCGCCAACATGGTGTACATTCGTGAACTTTTCGAGAAGCTGTGCCAGCAGATCGACATTCGAGACCCCGTGGGTTCGGGTGGCCCATTCGACAAGATGACTCTCGAAGAATGGTGCAAGTCGGAGATTCAATCCGAGACCGCATCCGCGACTGTCAACCTGTGGACGAGAGCGATGCTTGGTCTGGAGGCGTCGGAAGTTAGCGCGCTGTATTTCTTGGATTACTGCAAGAGTGGTGGCGGGCTGCTGCAGATGAGGTCCGACTTCAAGCACGGCGGCCAATATCTCCGGTTCATCAAAGGTGAGCGATTGGCCGCCCATCCATATTGATTGATTAATCGGTGGATGGACGCAGAGGCTGACCATCGGCGATAGGCACCCAGTCGATGTCGCTTGGCCTGGCGGACAAGCTGCACCCTGGCTCGGTCGTTCTCAATTCGCCTGTCCGCCGCATCTCGCAGAAGGCAGACGGGATCTACGTCTCAGCAGGTCGAGGCGACTTCACGTGCAAGAGAGTCATCGTCTCGGTACCGACTGTTCTGTACAAGGAGATCACCTTCGACCCGCCTCTGCCTGCCGCCAAGGTTGAATTGGGAAAGCACAACGTCCACGGCTACACGCTCAAGGTCATGGTCAGTTACTCTGAACCGTGGTGGCGCAAGAAGGGACTGTCCGGTGCCATCATGTCCTTTATGGGGCCCATCACGACGTGCCGCGACTCTAGCAATGACGAGATCGGACAGTTCAGCTTGACGTGCTTTACCAACGGCGATTTCGGCCGGAAGGGCTCTCTCCTGCCGCAACAAGAGAGATTCAAGTCTATCGTGGCTCACATCAAGCGCCTCTTCGGGCCATACGTGGACGTGCCGGAGCCGATTGCCATCACGGAGCACGAATGGGCGAGCGATCAATGGGCTCAGGGGTGTCCATGTCCTTCGTCGCCGCCAGGGATCATGACCAAGTACAACCACGCCTTGAGGACGACGCACGGGAAAGTGCACTTTATTGGGACGGAAACTGCGTATGAATGGAAGGGATACATGGACGGTGCCATTCGATCTGGTGAACGGGGAGCGAAAGAAGTGATGGAGGCTTTTGGACGAGCGAAGCTGTAAGTGCAGTTATCACTACAGTACCCAGCACTCGGGAGAGATAAACTCACCGCTGGCCTCGTGTCATTTGGCTCTTAAGTCTACATCTGCCTCACAGTCTCTGACCACGCATCACTCTGCTGTGCACATAAGTGTTCTCCTATTAAAATTGCGAACATAATTCGCCGTTATCGAGGCGTCATTACTTACTGTGCCTTACCAGCAGCCCAGCTCCATCCTTGAGCAGCCCCCATCGACGCGATCATGCCAGGTGTTCACTGCGTATCTGCTTACCTCTGGCGGCGCCCCTATTGGTGGTTTCCCGCGGCCCAGGGGTCGTCCGATGGTGGCTTGCAGCCCTGTGGCTGCTGACTGGGTTGGCGACGGGGGCGGGCGGCCTATCGATTGGGCGCCGCGTCTAGCGGACTCCGCGTTAGCATGGTGGAGATGGAAGCCTAATTGATCACTGAGCCAGGGACCTGCGCGTGTCGCTCCTTCCCTAACGCGGGCCTCCTATATCTCACCTCGCACTCCCTATTTTTGTCTCGAGCACTCCGTACCAAAAATTACGAGTACGCCCCTGAGCGCAGGCACCGTGGACACTCATTTCAATCCTCTTCGATTCGTGCTCTTCACCTTGTAATAATTTCACCTTTCACAACCCCAGTCAGTTTTCTCCGAGAATCGCAGGCAGTAGCGAGGCAGGACCGCAAAGATGGGCTACAATACTCAGCTTCAGAGCAAATTCGCCCACAAGGTCGGCGAGCCTGTGCCCGAGTTCAACACTGAGTACGTTTCCTTCTCCTCGCGATGGATCCATTGGTCTTCCCACACATTCTACGGACGACAACAGGCTGCCTAGATCACCGCTGACTTGTGGTTCAGATTCCCCGCCCACCCGGGCATCGTGCATTTCCCAATCGCCTTCAACACTCTGGCATGGGGCCTCGACATTCTCTACTTCGTCACCACGACGTTCAAGCCCGAGTTCCTGACCAGCCGCTTCGGTGCCCCCACGACGTTGCTTGACATGACCCGCGTCTCGTACTTCCTTCTCTGCGCCGGCTTGATCACCACAGTCCCGGCGATCATGTCCGGTAACATCCAGTTGGTGGGCATGATCAAGAAGAACGGGGGCCCCTGGGAGAAGGACGCGACTGGCAAGGCCAAGAACACAATGGTGCCGAGAATCAAGGCCACCATTACGCACGCCATCATCAACGATCTGATATTCGTGGCCAATCTGTATAGTTGGTATCTGAGGAAGGATAAGGAGGGCGCGATCAACCTTGGCAAGATCCCCAGCAACACGAACTTGATCATCAGCGCGGTGCTCCTGCCCTTCTTGATCATTTCGGCCAAGATCGGCGGCACCCTTGTGTTCAACCACGGCGTGGGTCTAAACCTGGGAAGAAAGAAGTTCGAGTAGAGATCCAGAAGAGTGGTTGGGTATCTCAACGCCGCTCGCAAGAGGTCGGAAGGAGCGAGGAGCGGACATTGATGTGACGCCGTGACGTGAAAGTTGCTGCTCGAGTCTTTTCTCGGGACACCGCTAAGATGGTTGCAAATTCTGAGTTAGCAACCATCTGAACCAGGGTACGCATTGACGAGGTGGTGGAGCGGTTCACCCGGTACGAGTCGATGCCAACGATCAGTGTCATGGTTCTGTCCGGTAGATGAGTGCAATGCGCGGACGAACATGGTAGGGTGGACGAATAAGAGTTGTCCAGGACTTTTCTGCGCATGGAGTGATGAGAAATAAGCGCTACAGAGTTGGAGCAGGATATTACAGTACGTAGTGAATTCTTAATCCTTCAGAACGCACCACAGATACGGAGTAAGTGGCCGGAGATCTACGAGTATGTGGCCACGCCGATTAAAAGGGATACCAGTCCATGTCAGTATCTATCTTCCAGCCAGCGCTACTCAAAGTTGCATGCAGTGCAGTTCGCTGCGAGGTAATGTGATAAGGACTACTTGATTACCGTACAGTCAAGCAAGAGTATTGCGCAACACATCGTTGATGGGAAGACAGTCGAGACCTGACACAGATTCTAGTCACTCACTCACTCACTCACTCACTCACCCAGATAAAAAGACACTTGACGGCTGAAGTAGTGGAAAATCTGCGCGCTGCCCCGTTTGGCCTCAACCCGCGCCGCATTTTAGTCGACTCGCCCACGATTCACCCTCCTCTCACTCCCTCTCACCTGCCACTCACCCGGCGCAGCCTTCTCGTCGCCCGGTCCTGGACGGTGTCCTCTTGTGCGCGCTTCTCTGCCTGCCCTTCATCACCCTCTCATCCAACCAGGACCTGAAAAAAAGGTCCCGGTGGACCATGACCCATTTTTGGGTCCTCCTGAATCGGATCCCGCGACTTGTGCCACGGATCCTGCGATTCGTGCTTCTCGCCCTGTCGGCCATCTAGGAAGCTTCTTCTCCCTTGCTGTGACATCGATTCTCGACTCCCACGCGCCCAGACCCAGAGACTACAGAATGGCGGGCGTCCCCGTTTCCCGCTGACATTTCCAAGACAAAGACCACGATTGCACTCTCCGACGTTACGTCCAGTAAGACTCGCGTGCGTTTTTGTTAGGCCCATTTAGGAGATCACGCTCGTTGCTGATGTCGTTTTCTCGCCGGCACTTGAAGTCCATGAGGGAAGATCGCGCCCTGAAGGGACTTCCTTCACCAGATGAATATGGTGCTCGCAGCGAGCACCTGCTTGTGGCTTATCATTATTATCAACCTCTTCCGCGTGCGTGGGTACGGAGAAGCAGAGTTTGTCTTCTTCATAATCAATGGTGATGGCGATGATCGGCTTAGGGTTCGTCATTCTTGGCATCATAATCAACACTGGAGGTGTTGCGGGAGACAATAGATGGCTATATCGGTTTCCACCTTTGGTCCAATCCGGGAGCTTTTGATAAGGGATTCAAACGCCTGTGCTCGATCTTCATCATTGCGGTATTCTCGTTTTCGGGGGACCGAGCTTGTTGGACTGGCAGCGGCTGAGACACAAAACCCACGTCAAACTTTACCCAAGGCTGTCCGACAAGTGTTCTGGCGAATTACTCTATTCGACACTGTGGCCCTACTGATTGTCGGCATTCTGATCCCAGATAACGAACCTCAACTTCTCAACGGCTCTTCTAGCTGTGATGCTAATGCGTCTCCGTTTGTGATCGTGGTGCGCGATGCTAGGATGTCAGCGGTTCCTTCGATCACAAATGTTGTGATCCTTATCTCGGTCCTATCGGTCAGAAACACTTCAACCTATGCTCTCTAGTCGGACACTGGCAGCACTTGCAAATTGTGGTCAGGCACCCAGAATATTTGCCTATTCCGAACGCTGCGGGCGACCGATGGTTTCGCAGGTAGCACAAAAGAGTCTGGCTCTCGCCGTTCTGGCAATGATGATCAATACGTGGTAGGATGGCACGGCCCGAGTCGAGACCCATCCGTCACGTCCACCCCACCATGCTGATGACAGGTACATACCTGTACGAGTAAGGTCTGCCGTGCCTCGTAAGCGAGTTGCGGGTGAGGTCTAAGACGGAGGGCAATTGAACTGACCCTCTCTGTCCGATTCATGTTAGAAGCCACCTTTAGGTCGTGTTCCCTGCTGGTGAAATAGGTCGAAAACCAATCGATATTGATAAGCCTTGTTCAGAATGGATAACAAGGAAGATCCAGCCGGCGTATTCTGTGATGACTGCGAGGATGTTTTTTTTTCACTCGAGCAGTGCAGGCGTATTGCTCACTGGGAAATTGTAAAATTGAGGGTCACGGAAGCAAGTGTCAACCCCAGGCTGTCTACTCTGCATATTCCTCCACGGCAAGAAGCCGTTGAGTTCCTGGCGGTTTCTGCATTCGGAGTTGCCACCTGCGTCGAGAGCTGAAGAACTTCCACAAAGGATGCAATCCGACGAGAACAGCATTTCACCTCACCCACGGGATGATTCTTCAATCGAAGCTGATACCACTCCGCAAGAGTCAAGCCAGGACGTGCACCCCAGCAACGAGACTCTCCCTAAAGTTGAAGTAGATCAAGTCACGCAACAGGACGATTGGTGTGGCGAGTCCGACGACGATCAGATTCGTCTGTACCATAAAGGCGACGTCAAAGAGTTCCAGAGATACGTGGCCTTGAGCTATTGCTGGGGTAAACAGCGACAGTCCTACGAGACGACGAAAGCCACGCTGACATCGGACATCGATACGACGAGGCTCGAGAAGACCATACAGGACGCCATTCGATACACGCGAGAACTGGGGATCAAGTACCTCTGGGTCGATTGCCTGTGTATTGTCCAGGATGACGAGGTCGACAAGAAGGAGGTGATTGGAAATATGCGACAAATTAGTCCAAGATGAGGCCGTGACCATCATCGTCGAAAGTGCCAAACGGGTGTCCCAAGGGTTTCTGGAGAAGCGAGCTGCCCGGGGTATTAGGCTACCTTGTCATGTGAACGACGACGTCCGCGGAAGTATTCACCTTCTCCCGGTCGAGACTGAGAGGTCGCCAGCAGGAACGCATGAGCGGGCGTGGTGCCTCGAGGAAATGCTCCTGTCCCGTCGGAAGCTTATCTTTGGCCGGAAAGAGCTTCGGTGGAGTTGTCTGACAGAGCTCAACCGGACGGCACATCCTAGCAGCATCGAATACGAGCACTTGGATCACTACGAGATGTCACTTAGCGCCTGGCGTCATGGCAGACACGATGTTTCCGCGCGTTCTCGCGAGCTCATGGAGTACAGTAGAATGACACGATCCGGACGTTTTGGGGCTCACAACAGACGGAGTGTGGTCCACAGCTTGGCCATGTTGTTGACATGGTCGGTTCGGCCGGAAAGGATGCCCGATCAAGAACCTGAGCATACTCCGTACCTCTCGACTGGTTTAACCGAGCGTGATTATGAGCTACTTACAGTACTGCTGCGCAGCCGCAGCTCTCGCTTACCGCGTACATATCTTGGGCAACCTAGCCCGGATTGGTGACCTTTTATTCTCGCATCTTGATAAACTTATGGAAAAGCACCGCCGCGAGAGCGCCCCGGCCCGGTCCAAGCGCTTCTTGGGACCCCTTTAAAGGTCTCTTCTTTATTGTTTCTAGGCTATTGTTGTAAAGGATATATTATCAAGTAAAGCTGTTGAGCTAATCACGTGATAATGGCAGGAGGTGGCAGACTTTGGCTGATGGCAGTGGTTTAGATTCTGTATATTCTATCATCATCGAGAAGCGGAGGCTACAGTAAAACTAGAGTAAGAAGTAAATACTCCGCCCCTCTCACGTGACTGCCAACCAAGGCAGTGGCACTCGGCCATCAGCAAGCACTTGGCGCGCACGCATAGGAATCTCAGAAGACGTCGACATCTCCTTTGTATTTCATCATGCTTACCATGTAGCCTCGTCTTGAACATGGACGACCTGACCGACCTCACAGGCTGCCGACCACCTGGTCCTCCGCCGCTCTTGTCAGAAACCCAAATGCTCCAGCTCGCGCAGCAGGGTTGGTTATCCTTGCGTCTGCCTGCACGGCCGGCGGAGACCTTGGCGGACCTGTTCACCATTTCGGCCGCCTTTTTCGATCAGCAGGCTCCCGCAAAGGCGAGGGCGTATCCCTCCAAGTCCGGCACCGAGTTCGGGTACTACAGGGTCGAGAAGGAGAAAGAGTACGTCACCTTCCGCTGTCGAGTCCATACGGCTCCCTGTTCCTCTTCCCCTTCCTCATCGCAATCCACGACAGTCGTCCCCGCGTCACTGCACAGCTTGGAGGATGCCGCAGCCCGAGCATGGCAAGACTGTGCGCTTCTTCTGTTCCGCATCCTGTGTGACCTGGCGCGATGGTCGCATCTCGACCCGTCGTCCGTGTGGGATGACATTCTCGACGGCACCCTGACGATGCCTCCCGCGGAGGACCAGATGACATATACGCTGCTGCGGCTGTTTCGGTACGTCCCCACGACGGGGGTTGCTGAAACACACACCGACCTAGGCTTGTTGACGCTCTGCGTGGGCGATCGGGATGGGCTGGAAGTTCTGGATCGACGACGGTCCACGGACGACCGCCCCGTCTGGATCAATGCCGCGGGTGAAGCACGTACGGCGACCATCCTGGTTGGGCAGACGCTCCGGGCTCTGTCGAATGAGACATTCAACGCGGGCGGACATCGTGTGGTTGGCAACGCGGCGGGAAGACACAGTGTGGTGTTTGCACTCCGCCATTCGTCAAGACACGATGTGGACTTTGGTTTGTTTGGTGGCCAAGGGCGTGTCAGGCCCAGCGAGCTGTACAGGTGCATTGACGTCGGGAAGGTCAATATTAATACTGTCAAGAAAAGGAGGGATGCCCAACGAGCGGATGACCTCGCGGGCAGACTCGCGAACGAAGCATTGCGGTGTAACACAGTAGACAGAACATAGGTAGTTATAGAATCGACCGTCAATTATTCGACAGGCGGCCAAGTCGCGGCTTGAATGCTCTCGTGCTGCCGTGGTGATTATGTACCTCCGGCATGAGAGGGACGAGGCATGGAGCACTCTACTCGTGATCTACAGTATGTTGGTTACAGTCGTAGGTGTATGCGCATTGCTCTAGAGGGTACATATCTGGCATTCTTCACATGCTTCTGCCGAGCGAGCTGTGAGTATGTACAATGCGACTATAGTCATGGGGTGCGTGCCTGAGCTGAACAGCGACCGTCCTCGCTTCCACGACCGTGTCCGCGTGATGCCGCAAATCGAACAGATGATCGAGATCTACAGAGCCTTACATCTCCAGGCATAGACACTCCGTCTACTCGTACCTCCCACCTAGTCAGACGAAGACACTCCCTACTCGTACCTCCCGACGAAGATACCAGGATTGATCTCTCTGCGTCTATCGTCATTTGGTTTATTTAGCCCTTTGCTCCATCCACCTCGAACTGTGATTTCCGATACACGAACCATCCTTCTGCAGCCAACTCATCCCTTCACGATAAGCCTTCCCACCGAGTCTGATGTCCATGCTTGTCTTGTGTCAGAGTCGCCGGCTGCCTGAAATCCTCGCCGGTCCCACGCCCTGCCCAGCCTCGTGTTCAGCCGCGCCACTCTACGGCGTGCACAGAGCTGACCGTCTCCGATTGTCAACACGCATGCTCTCTGTACCTGCCTCGCTCTCCCCCAGTGACATGTGAAAATCCAATGTCGCCTACGAAAAGTTGATCCCCAGTCCATGTTGCAGTTGTTGCGACTCGAATTCAACAGCTCCTCCTTTCGAGTTCCTTTCGAGTTCTGGCCTCGCTCAGCGTTGATTATCTTTCTTACTTTGCTGCCGGCGCTGTCGACACACAGCCACAATGGCAGCGCAGACGTCCACACCGCTCCCCTACACGGCAAACCCTCTTTTACTCATGTTCAACGACGTGCTACTCTTCCTGCAGATCACCTTGACGTGGCCGATAACAGCTGGTCTGCTGAGTATTGTGCTACCTCTTCTTCCGGGGAAGTCAGGCCCGCTAGACGAGCTGGCTTGGACGGGGCCAAATCTGTGGGCGCTGTTGCAGCACTTCATCCTCATCCTTGCGCAGATCTTGTTCTTGTTATCACTGATCCCGTTGGCGCTTCTCGTGCTGCCGGTGGTGTATTTCCTCTACATCACCGGGTTTGTGGTGGGGAATCAGTGGATTTCTCGACTGCTCAACGGTCCAAGACGACAGGGACTATTCCAGTCGCATCCTGATTGCGTGAAAGGAGACTGGCCAGAGCATGAGGGTGAGAAATGGGTCTTCATCAACGGTGTTGCCGTAGGGTAAGTGGCAGACATTGCCTTCCTTGGGCTGTGAAGCACAGAGGTACAATGATTAGGTCGAGGGTAACTAACAGTCACGCAGAAGTCATTGGCTGCAATCGAATCTCGACCTCCTTGCAATGACATTTCGGCGACCTGTATTCGGCATACACAACCAGACGTGAGTGTCCAAGCTGCGTTCGTCGTTCCTCCAGATTGCGCAAGCAGCACCGTATACATGTTACTGTACTAACGTCCTCCGCATAACAACAGCCGCGGCATCATCTTCGATGTGCTCGAGTGTATCATCCAACGAGACCTGAGCTTCGCGACAACCGACATCCGCACGGCATATGCCGCGTTACAGGAGATCCTCTCAGACGACAACATTCACAAGGTGGTCTTGATCCTCCACAGCCAGGGCGGGATCGAAGGTGGCTTGGTGCTGGACTGGCTCTACGACACCGTCGCCGCGGACCAACTCCGCAAGCTGGAGATCTATACCTTTGGCAACGCGGCGAATCATTGGAACGCGCCCGTCATTTCAACGTCGACGGCGAGATCGACCCGCGAGGCGCCAACCACAAATACCTCCGACGGCGTGACCAGCCAAAGAATCGTGCAACACATCGAGCATTACGCCAATGAAGGCGACTACGTCTCCAAATTCGGCATCCTACACTTCCGCCCGGACCAGGCGAAGCTGATGCCGCCGACGAACGCGGTTCCCGACGGGAATGTATCACCACCACCACCGCCGACTGCTCAGCCTCGCGCGTTTCCCAACAGGAATGTATCACCACCACCGGCAACGCCGACTCCTCAGCCTCCCGCGTCGAGAAGTCCCACCACAAAGACCAAGACCCAGACCATGAAAGTGAATGCCAAGGCTGCAACATACCCCTCCTCCAGTGCCACACGGACGCCGAAGCTGAGGACCGCCTCCACCTGGGTCCCGCGATCCCACACGTGGACCACGTCACCTCACACGCCCATCGAGCGGCGCCGCGATCTGCAGCACGCGCAGGAGAACAACCGGTTCTTCGGCCGGCTGTTCAAGCGCGCCTCGTCGGGCCACATGCTCAACCAGCATTACCTGGGCAATATCTTTGAGATGGAAGGTCTGGACCCGCGGGATCGCTCACGGGGACGAGTCAAGAGTGGGAATGCCTTTATGGATCAATCAGTCGATATGGCTGTGTTGGAGCAGTGGGATACCGTGCAGGCGGTGGCCGAGGGCCTGTCCGAAGACCGAGACCGAGATGGAGGCGGAGATTCAGGCGGGTTTGTCGAAGCTAGAGCGAGTACGAGTGCGAGTGCGAGTGCGAGTCCGAATGCGAGTATACCTGCCACGAACGGAATACAGATCAAACAGTTGAGTCGGCTGTGGGGGTATTGTAATGGAGCGAGTCCGAGGGATTGATGTTAGAGTGAAGATGAAGGCGGGTTCGGGATACAGTATACTGTACGATTGGGGCTGGCTAAAAGTCGAGTTCTGAGTGTGAATTCTGAGGCGTGAGTCCGAGGCGTGAGCTGTGAAATGCGACATGCGAGGCATAGCCTTTGTGGTGTTCATGAGACTGTAGAAGGATCGATGTTGATTGGTCACGGCGGTATACTACAGCATGGCGCATCGAAATAATATTACCTACCTACCTACCTACCTACCTACCTAGCTAGGTACTAATATACAGTACAGTATCAGGTCTTTGACGCTGGTAGCGAAACCCAGTACTGTAACTACTGTTCTGTGTCTCAAGCGAGATATTCGCGTCATGGTCTGATCTCTATACAGTAATTATATATTACCCGGGGACGGAATATTTGGCCAGCTACAATATACTGTAGCTAGCTAGCTAGCTTGCTTGCTGGCTTGCTGGCTTGCTTGCTTGCTTGCCTGCTACTTGCTGCTTGCGACTGCTGCTGCCGCTTGCCTGCTACTTGCTCGCTGGCTAACTGGCTCTGTATCTCTGTCTGCCCACATGCCACGGATAATACACCAGATCCTGTCGTCGACTTGACTTGACTCTTCATTGGCCTATTTTTTCTCCTATTACCCCTACGACCCTCCTATGGATCACGTAGATACTTCAAGTTTGCCTAGATATCTCGTTCTTCCCAGGCACCGTCCGGGTCACGGGATTCTTACGTTTCCTATATACATTACGTATAGAAAGTCCTCGTTTTGCTCCCACTCCTCCCCAATTCTCACTGCCAGCCAGGGAGACTCTGGTTCATCACATTCATTCAATGCTCACTCCCGGCAGCCCGCCTGCCCGCCTGTCTGTCTGCTTGCTTATAGAAACCCCCCAACCCCGCCCTCAAATCTCTCAAACAAACCCAGATCAAACGTCTCGGCCACCCTCGCGTACCCGGCCCCATTCGGATGCAAGTAATCGCCCCCCTGCAGCGCGTCGGCCAACTGACTCGGAAAACTCTGGTTCCTCAACACGGCATCAAAGTCGAGGACCGCGTCAAAGGTGCCCGAGTGGCGGATAAAGTCGTTGACTTTCTGCCGCGTCTGTTCGCGCAGCGGGTCCGAATACGACTGCACCGTCGTGTTGTAGTCTGGGGCGGAGAAGGGCGTGATGGTCGCGCCGAAGAGCGGGATGCCCACGGCGTGCACGCGCCGCGCGATCTGGATGTACGCCGAGATCAGGCCGTCGTAGAGACTTGTTTGGTTGGACGGCGTAGGGTCTGCGGTGCCGATGTCATTGACGCCCTAGGTAGACGGGTGTTAGCACGTCGATTGCTTTAGGGCGTGGTGTGTACAGAGGCTCTACTGATGTAAGATCATGGATCATGGGTTCGTCATTGTCGATGATTGATGGCGATGAAGATCATCCTCCATGAAACCCGCCCATGCACGCGTCCACACGTCCACGGATCCAATCAGGGAAATGGACCGGGAACGTCATCTCCTGGACTTCCATCACCCGTGGAGAAATATTGTTCTCATCAAATCATGGAGCTCAGCTTACCTCGAAAATCATCACCCACCGGATGGCAGGGTGGGAGAGTACGTCGCGCTCGAGGCGCGAAAGAACGCTCGGTCCTAGTCCGTCGTGAAGGATCCGGTTCCCACCTGCGGCTTGGTTGATGAACGAGATGGCGGTGAGAGTCGACGAGTTCGACGCCGCCATCCGCGCATACACCAGGTCGGGCCAGCGGTTGTTCTGGTCCGTGTCGCTACCGCGACCGTCGGTAATGCTGTCGCCTATGATGGCCCAGGTGCGGTAGTCGGGAGGCGACCATGCCTCGACCGCGGAGAGGAAGTACCTTTAATGGTGCAGAAGTTAAGAGTTACGTCCTTCCAAATGATAATGCTAGCAGAAAGACAGAGGGAGCATGCGTATGAAGATGCAAATCCAACTCAGGGCTGGTCTTACCAATGCGCCGTACTGTTCAACAACGGCCCCGTCAAATTCGTGGCACCGACTTGATTGCCCATGGTAAACCACGAAGTCGCCCTGCTGCCGGGGTGACTCGTAATGGCCGTGCCGTTCTGTCCTGTCGCGAGATATAGCGTCACGGAGATGGTGGAGAGCGGCTGCACAGGGAAGTTCAACGGATCAGACACGGCCAGAGCACCGTTGGGGATGGTGATGCCGGGGTGTCCACCACTGAATGTCACGGTCTGGAGGGTCGAAGGTTGGACTGCGCTAACACCTGAGGACGCATTGAATGGTAAAGCTACAGTCATGGCCGTGATGGGCAGATCGGTGAGGCCAAAGGCATTGGAAACTCGGATTCTGATCTGCTCGCCGCCAGTCGACATATGTAGTGTCTGGCGGATCGTGCTGTTGTAGAACTGGGTGGTCGTAGTGTTCTTGTAGGAAGTGTCAGTGTGTATCCTCAGACGCCAGGTCGGATAGCGGACTCGCAAGCCTTGAGCCTCGAATCTCAGATCCTTACATATGGAGGCGGAGGAAGGTTCGTGTACTCGGTCAACTGCGGCATTGCTGCCCAGGTATCGATCCAATGGCCATTTGGTATGCTAGGGGTAGTGACGAGAGCTTGCCTAGCTTGTGGTCTGGGCAGAGCATTGCTGATTGCTGTGAGGTAGGTGAAGAGTAAAACGAGAGTAGAAAGTGACAATCCTTGGACACCCATTCTAAACTCACTTACGAAGCTCAACCTGGTCGCGAATCCTGGCCGGCAACCATGGGAGCTTCGAAAGCTTGGCCATAGCATTTAATATAGCTATCAGTGCGCAAGCCCCTCGTAGCTCTTGGTTGAGCCTAGGGAGGAGTATCTGGGGTATGCATCAACGTCGTGTGAGTTTAGGCTAAATCTGAGGCTTGATATGGCCGTTCGACCGCCTCTGGTTCCTCACATGTTCCTGCATAGACCGGCAGTCGTGGGTGTATACCTGTGGACCGTGTAGCTTCGTCATCACGGCAATCATGTTGTCTGGACCTGCCTGAAGTGGCCTGGGCAAGAAGGCGGATGAATATGCAAGGACACCGTGTGGAGCTCGAGGGGGCAATGATCGTCAGTTCAATGCTGTGTAAATAGCCGCAAGCGATTTGAGCCGCACAAGCAGAGAAGGGCCCATACGTCCGCATCGTACTGGGGTATACGACTGTGTTGCGGGGTCAGAAGTACAGCTGGAGCGCAGCTGAAGCGCAGCTCAAGCGATGGTAATGGCAGGGTGACGATGATCTCAGTTGTTGCAGGCTACCCGGAGGAATGTTCTTCCGGAGACCGGAGAAATGATCTTCCAGCCACCGGACATTTGGGACTGAAGACTCGATGAGTCGTCTTGAGCAGTTCTCCGTTTCTTCAAGCAACGGATTCTTCCGCGAAGGTGGTCGTCAACTTGAACAGAAAATTGAGTCACGTTTGGGAAATGGCAGAGGGTACAGCACAGTAGAGCAGAACAGACCTTTCACGCTTTGTTCTTGGCTGGGTGCTTTTTCCGAAACGAATAACCGCCAGGACTCGTAATTAATTGGAATGATCAGAAGCTGAATTGCTGAGGCTTCCTTTTTTAACTAGCTAAGAGATCTCGAAGGCCCCTCGAAGGCTCACCGAGTCGGAGGAAAACCAACTGAGGCTGTCTCTCGAGACAAGACCAGTTGCTGGTGAAGTCATTCGCTCTAGTAATAACATTCAGTCGTCGATGGCGATTGCTGTCCCATCCTAATCCAATCCGATACCAGATCGAGTCATTTATCATCTTTGAAGATGGCGTATAAAAATCGTGAGTAGACATGGTCTATCTGAACTTTTGGCGTTCTCTTGTGGAAGCTGGTGACGCGACAGGCCAGTCGATCACATGCGGCGACCGCCAGGCGAGCGGCTATGCATCTCATAGCCGTCCGTTCGCGGTCGGGCCTTCTCGCCCGGGAGAGCTTGAGCAAACTCTCCCTTTGGTGATGATTTTGGCCATACCAACACCCCAACGTAGATCAAGGCCACGACGACGGCGAAGACGCTGTAGACGGCAACCCCAGAGCTAGGGACGTTATCGGTGCCGAGGGAACCGGCGGTCCTGAATCCTAGGCCGCCGTTGACGACGCCCAAAAGCATCAAGACACGACCAACCCAGCGGTGCACGTGACCTGAGATGCTGCGGTTGCCGACCTTGCGGAAGTGGAGATGCTGAAGTAGGCCCAAAATCGGTTGGAAAGCGACCATCCACGCGACGAGAAGATAGCCGAGGACCATGTGGTAGCCGTCCAGATTGTCAACCTGATGTCCGAGTCTGACTCCTAGGCTGAGACCGGCAAGCATGAGGATGATGGTGACAACTTGCAGTGGAGCGTGAATGTGTCGAACTTTATTGCTATATGGCAGATAGAGTGTCAATGCTGACAAGGGGAACAGCACGACAAAGACCAGAGACATGATGGTGGCGTGGCCGATTCGGACACTGTTGTCGGGGCCGCTGCTCACAGTTGCACCCGATGATGAAGGGTCGGAGCTTGCGATAGGGTTGGAGACTGGGCCAGTCGCCGTGGCCACCGTACTGGTGGTAGCTGTGCCAGTCTCTGTTTCGGGGGCCTGCGTTCCACTTGCGGTTTGTGATGGAGAGCCGGATTCAGTTGCTGATGGCGCTGCCGCCGCCGCCACGAACGGATTTGAAGAGCTGCCACCAATACCTTGAGTTAAGTCCAGCGTGAAACCACCAGTGTTTCCATGCTGTGAAATTCCGGCGCTCTGATCGGTCGAGTCGAGCGGGTCTCCGTCTCTGTAGGCAAAGATCCAACTGCTTGAGCTATCGGTTGCACTCATGCTGCCCCCACTCCAACTCAGGCAGGAGTCGCAACGGATGTTGGCCACGAGAGTGCCATCTGATGTGATACCGCTTCCTTCTAGGACTGAAATGGACGCGTCCGGGTTGAAGTCGGGTTGAACGTGGCCAGTACCTAATCTGGGAGAGACGGTCACGTTCGTGCTGTCGGCGGCATAGACGACGAGCATGTTGGCACCAGCCATGCGCGAGCCTTGCCCGAAACCGATCCATTGTGTCCCGCTCGGCGCGCTGATCTGGACAAAGATCGAGCCGCTCCCTGACGAGGCTGTATCTGAGGGAATGTTGACCGATAAAGCATATTGGTCGGAGACAAACTGTGCGAACTGTGCTGCCGAGCTAGCCACTATACATGTCCTCTATCAGAATCAGCGCTTTATGGACGGAGGAAGAGCAGCCATACCGAAGGCCATGCTGGCCAAGACGCTTGGCCGGACCATCGCGTCTTGACACGAGACGAGCCGACGTTGATGAAAGATGGGATACCCAGGAATGGGACAGAGGCTCAGGGGTGATATGTATATGTGCTCTGTAAGAACGTGGGTCTGCGAGAACCTGAGATTTATCAAGGGGCTACTCCTCTGCCCAATTTAACGCGTCACGGTAGGTTTTCGAGGTTGGGACGCGCGAATGGAATCCAAAGGGTTTTTAATGGCGTTCCCGTCTGGAGTCGAGGCGCAACGAGAGGCCGAAAGTTAGAACCCCTCGAATACAGGGCAGATTGCACAGCCAGAGTGCGGGATTGCGTGTCCCATGGCTTGCCAAGGGGCTGGAGTACCGCGACAAGTGACAAGGCTTGCCTTAAAACACTAGCCGCCCCCTGTTACAGGAATCCCGTTCCCGCCCCTGGCAGATGCGCATGGCCATTACGCGGCACCTGCAACAGACTTATCTTGTCCCTGGTGAATGGACTGGCCATCGGTGGGCCAACATTATTCTTGCATCACCTCAGATCGGAGAGATGATCTGTTGCCCACAATCACAAAACATGCTCGCACCACCCGGACGGAGTGACCCCGGAGCGTTCAGACGGACAAGGCTGGATCACGAGGAATAAATAGAAACAACCCACACGGGGTCCATGGCAAATTGCCGGAGCCGGTGCTGAAACGGGATGGACGCCCAGAGGGGCAAGCGGGCTGGGCGAGTCCTAGCGAATGGGCGGGTCCAATCCGCGAATCCGCTTGAGCTTGAGCCACGCCTGTCCGGCTTTAATGCGCTTAGCGCGCCTCTATCGCACTAACAGAAGGCTTGGCGACAATTCCTCTCCGCGACGTCAAGCCGTCCTCGTAATCTATAACGAATTGGTTGGCCAGCAGCGTGGGAAGAGCTGGGCAGTCGGTCGAGTTACGAGTACGAGTAGGAATTTGCACGGAGTCAAGCCCATGTCCATGGTCGCGATGGGTGGTTGGCTATCTTGACACCCCGACCTGGACCGGCTACAAGGTACCCAGTCAACGTGTTCTTCATCCCGAGCACCGTGAATCAGAGGATTCTGCGGCAAGTCAATGCGTACGTCATGCTATGGACGCACGAAGACGAGTGGCGCCACTTCCTTCGGGGCACAGCGACGAGGCCCAACTACCGTTGACAGTAGTGGCCGTTGTCTAGATGGTACTCTGTACGTTAAAACATGATCGCCGTGACTTCGACCCAGCTACTCCATTCTCTGCGGAAATGCTCGGCCGGCGACCGCTGCCCAGATCTAAGTTCTGACCTGGCTAGCAGAGCAAAATAGCTAAATTGCCTGTTTGGGAAGTTCGTCAACCGCTTTCCGGTCGTATCGTCAAGGAGATAACACAGCGCAGGCAGGCTTTCCCGTCCCTTCCATTTCTAATCACGAACACCAGCACAACTTGTGTGACCACTTCTGAAAGGCATGGAACTAGTCGACACCCAATCATCATACTTGCGGTGATCGACGCTAATGCAATCAAACCAAGCGACGAGTTATGAGAGAACTTCAGCTGCGTAGTCAACATGCAATAGTCAGCCGTGCAAGGACCAATACACGCAGCTCATTGCTTTTGGAATCCGTGATCGTCTTGCTTGATTGGTCGTCAAATTGCAAGACAGTGCTTCCTGTTCCATCCCACAGAAGGAAGATTAATCTCTGCACTGACCGTGATCCTGAAGCCGGTGGTTGCCCGGCGCCACAGCTGCTTTGAGAGTGTGAGCTGTCCTTGTCGTTCATGATGTCAGCGGCCTGCATGCGTGCAAGCAGTGGACATTTTTCGTAATACCTATGGCCCTTCAACCCAGCTGACGTGCATGACACCCCGAGCAGAAGAAGTAGGTCAACTCGTCTTCAACATGATCTCTTTGATCATCTCGTTCCCAAGTCTTACAGCGTCGGGGAACCGGGGAGCAAAGTATTGCTGGATGCTCTCGAATCGGTCGCGATAAGCTTCAAATGCGCCAAACGAGACACAGTCGGACCACGCCTACATGACGACACATGTTGTTAGCGCTCAACATTCATGCATGCATCTATCACTGTGCCTTCCAATCTCGGGCAATTGGAGGGGTGATTTCAAATCACCATGCCGACCGACGACCGATAATCAATTCCACATCTGCGTATGAAAGGAGTCGGGTCCGGTCCGAGGGTGAGGACTTACTCTTGCCGCGAAAGTGAATTCGAGATCGTCTGAACGGAAAGTGTTATCCTCGATCGCTGTGTTGATGACCTCATCCAGCATGGTCTCATTGCGAAAGAGATATTCGGTAACGCCCAACCATATGCGGAATAGCTGTTGGTGGGACCGTCAGAAATAGAAACGTGACAACTTGCGATGGTAGGGCCACTCACAGGTGTAGAACAAATCATATGGTCGTACGGGACAATGCCGAGTTTCCACCAACAATCAACAATGCCCAACAGGCTGAGGTGGTTGTTTGGCGTTCTTTTATCTGGTCTTTTCGAGAGCGAGAACTTGTCCAGTACTTCATCGCCCAGCAACAGATTCTGATTCGCTGCGTCTTTGGAGAACACAGCGGCACCTGCAGTCTTGATCCTGCGAGATAACTCCTCTCGGTGACCGCCCAGCATGAGCTTGTAGAGTTCTGTGACCGACTGGGCATACTGGCGAATTTGCTGCTTAGCGGCAGGGTTGAGGATTGCGAGACCAGCGTAGACGTGCCACTTGTTTGCATAGATTCGCAACGTGATGTTGATCTTGACGTTCTCAATGCCCCCGACGTATCGGTCGATCTCCCAGGGAAACTGATTGTTTGCTGCCCATGCCGTGCCCATGCTCAGAAAGGCCGCATGCGTGACAGCTTGTGTGTCTGCTGTGATCCGATCATGCTTTTCGCCCGAGAGGAAGACGAAAGTCGAGTTCAGACAAGATAGGACCCGAACACAGAGATCGACACTCTTCTGTGTCGCGCGGTGTTGGATGACCACAAGAGGCTGACCCGCTGGGTCTACTGCTGGCCCATGTAGGGAATGGCAAGAGACGATTTCAACATCACCGGGCAGATACTTATCAAACGCAGCCAGCTCGGGGGCTTTACAGGAGGTCTGTCCACCAACTATAGCGCCAACTTTGGTTGACGGACCATACTCGGCGACGATTTTCTCAATGAGCTCAGCCTCGACGCTGTAGATGATCCAGTCGCTTGCTCTGGAAACAAGGTGACCATTGGGTAAGATATTTATTCCTTTCTATCTTTTGTCAATCATGTTCATCAACTCTGCTGATGACACGAACCTCATTCTCGTACTCTTCCCGGAGTGTTTGGAACTTGTCGGGACGGTCACAGGCGTTGACTCTACGTGCGATCTATCAGCCCTAGCACCTGACTGTGAAACAGGAACGCGTTTGATGTCTGCAATACAGGAGTCAGCTGAGGCTCACATTTGGAATTGATTGGACGGTGGCAATGCGGGTTGATCTTCAGACAAGGAAAAAGTAAGGTAGCGAGGAGTTTACATCAGTGATAGACGCCGGGATAGAAGGCAACATCAGAATGATGAAGCTATATCGCGAACGACCATGCTCGAGCCAAATGCACTCGGAGTCATCATGCGATGGTGAGGATGGACACAATTGGAACGTACCTGTCTGAAACCACATCGAGGCGTATCTTTAGAAGACTACGCAGCAGATGCCTACCTCCAGCCTGCTTGACTAAACCTCCTCGCATACATGCGACCCATGTCCCCCATCCCAATGATCCCAACCGTGATGTGCTCCATGGCAGCAGAGGCAAGACCGAAATTTTGCGTGTCTCAGAATTCAAGAGCTGTGCTGGAGAAAGAGCAGGTTGACGGCACAAAGCCGAATATGCGCTTCCAGTTCATCAAGAGGTAGAGCATGACTCACACTACCTGGCGGAGATGTGCCATCTTTATCCACGACTGATGTGTAGGGCTTCGAGCTGTTCTTGACAGAAAATCTCCCGACACGAAAGATTTGTTTGGCCCTGACGCGCGTTGGCGCCAAGAGGTGGAGCAAGCTGACTGGCTAAACCCCGGCTCCACTGCGACCGCACCACCATTTTCCACGTTTGAAATTCATTGACAACGAAATTATTTCCAACCTCCGCCTTTACACCGACAACACCACCAGTGACTCCTCAGAATGGCTCCCAAGAAGAAGATCGAGCGCGCCGCAACCGAGAATGTCTCGCTAGGTCCACAGGTCCGCGAGGGTGAGTGAACTGCAGGACCTGACCATGTATGAGCTGAGGGCTGATTTGAGATCTCGTCGGACAGGTGAACTCGTCTTCGGCGTTGCCCGCATCTTCGCATCCTTCAACGATACCTTCGTCCATGTCACCGATCTTTCGTAAGTGAAAAGAACAAGAAACGTCGAACGACACTTCCCAGGGAGGCTCAGATGGCCCATAGGCTAACAATCTGGATGATTCCAGTGGCCGCGAAACCATCTGCCGAGTTACCGGAGGCATGAAAGTCAAGGCCGACCGTGACGAATCCTCTCCCTACGCCGCCATGTTGGCAGCTCAAGATGTCGCACAGCGCTGCAAGGAACTGGGCATCACTGCTCTGCACATCAAGATCCGAGCTACCGGTGGAAATGGCACAAAGACCCCTGGTCCAGGTGCCCAGTCAGCTCTCCGTGCTTTGGCCCGCTCAGGAATGAAGATCGGAAGAATTGAGGATGTAACTCCCACGCCGTCTGACAGCACGAGACGCAAGGGTGGTCGCCGTGGTCGTCGTCTGTGAATGTGTGTGGGACTCGCTCGTGCATGGCATCTATTTTACTACTTGCACACCTTTGCGGTAGAACTTCAAACTCTGTGGAGGCAGGAATGTTTGAAATCGAGCACAAATACGCGAAGAACGGCTCCTCTGCCTGGTCTTCAGCCGGTGGCTTCCTTGCGACCAACGGTCGCATGGGGAAGTCCGGAGGCATGATGAAATAAATCAATGAAAGCCAAAAAATTCTCGCGACCTCCTCGTCCCGTAGACCGTCACCCTCTAACTACAGTATCCCGGCATCTTCAAGAAATAAGATGGCCTCGACCTTGATCATCCTCTCGCTCCCGCCCAAAACCTTTGTAGGCTTAGACTTGCTGTCCTTCAACTCCTCACCCAACTTTCTCGGCATCACGAAAGTTCCGTCAGGCCTCCACTTCCTGTACACAGGGACTGACGCGTCACTGTCAATCCGCCACGGCAGATGGCTGAAACTTGGCGCAACTGCAGAGACTCATGTCCTAAGTTGGAATAGGGATACTGAGAGTCTTGAATTGGTGGGCCAGAAGGATCCCTCCGCGCAGAATGCAACCTCTTTGGCCTCAAATGGACGGGGTCTGGTCGATTACGTTGCTCTACAGAATGCGACATCAGACTTGGCCGCTCGCGAAGCCGAGACTGAAGACGCTGATGATGGGAAGAATCGCCATTCACCAGACGAGGGCCGCGCAGGATCCACAGACTGGCCTGCCATGACCGCTCATGTCACTCCTTCCTTACTCAATCGCGTGCTATCCTCAGACTGGCTTGTGTCATCGGTCTCCTCGGCGCCAGATGATACCGAAACCGTTCCCGGCCTTTCGCATCTGGAGGTCTCCAATGTCCTTGACCAACTGCCGCTCAATCTTCTGTCTATCAACCTCAAGCAGACCTGGGCCGAGGGCGACGTCGGTCGAATCAGAACCGACCGGGCACGAGATCGAAGCTGGTACTTGAACCATCTTATCGAAAATGTCACCCCGGAGGGCAAGAACAGAGTATTCGGTGCGCGAGAAATACTCGGCGAACTGCAATTCTGCTTCCTAATGGTCCTCACTCTCGCAAATTACAGCTGTCTGGAGCAATGGAAGCGCTTACTTTCTGTCTTCTTCACCTGTCAAACGGGGTTGGATGAGGTCGAGGAGTATTTTGTGCAGATGCTCAAAGTCCTACGGCTACAAGTGACACATGTCGAAGATGTCGAAGGCGGGCTGTTCGATCTCAAAGACGAGAATGCCAGTTCCTGGTTACGGTCGCTGTGGGCAAGGTTCAGGAGTGTGGTAGATGAGGCGGCCGAGGGGGAAAGGGAGATGTTGAAGAAAGAGGTTGCCGACCTGCAGAAGTTGTTTGAGGACAAGTACGGTTGGCAGAGTGAGCGGGATCTTTTACGGCGCGGGATGTTGGAATTGGAAGACGGCGAGAGGATCGAGGTGACTATGCCCGGTGTTGATGAAGATGAGGAAACCGGCGAGTATGCTCCAGTTATTGTGGAAACATAGAGCGTCAGCGAGGACAGGCGCCATAAATTTCGATGTCGACGACTGTCTGCAACACAGTACAATGGAATACCCTATTGAACTGAATAATTGTGTTTCGCTCGATTGGTGGACGCAAACCCTTAACTGGGTAGCCGTCACGTCGCAGTTGGGCGCCGCTTTGCTTTCTATGATAGCACAGCAATTTCACCCTTGATTTTGCCGACTCATGCATGCTCCGTTCCCCTCCGTCAATGCTGGAACAAGCCCAAGCTCGCGTCACGGTCCTGGAATCCACATGATCCCCAAGGCGTGGACATCCTCGCCGGAATTCACCAGCATCACAACCGCAGCACAATCCCCAGCCATTCCATTCGCACCACAACCGCCATCGCCGCGCACACCCGCATGAGACGCTCAACGATACGATTTTTGATACCGCGCCCTGGCGCCGGGACCACCAAACTTCTTGGGCTCACACCGTCTGTTGTCCGCAACCAGTAACGTACGATCATACTGCACCAGCGCCTGCTTCAGCTGGTTCTTGGTGTACTCGTCGACGTATTTCTGGTAGTAAGCCACGATCGACTTGGCGATGGCCTGGCGGATGGCGTAGATTTGCGAGGTGTGGCCGCCGCCAGTGACGCGGACCCGGATGTCGACTTCGCTGAAGCGCTCGGGGCCGAGGATCAGGAGGGGCTCGTAGACCTAGAAATCGCGATGTGTCAGGATCTGCCTGGGACGGTGGTGGTTGGAGCGGTTTCATTCTCGGATAAGGTGGTGGACGGATTTTTAAAGTGTTAAGTTCGTTCTCTTTCGCTGTCTCTTACCTTGAAGCGGAGGATTTCAGGTTGAACGAGGTTGAGGGGTCGGCCATTGACTTTGACGAGGCCTTTGCCTTTCTGTTGCCGCATTATCTGGTCAGTCCTTGAATTCTTTTCTTCCCTGTTTGACGCTAGGAGGCGGTATACTGGGGTTGCTGACCTTGCAGTGGGCGACTGCCGTGGCTGTCTTCTTCTTGCCGAAGCACTGTACACTCTGAGGGGCCGACATGATGACTGACGGCGAGCGCAGAGTTGATACAGTGGAATGGTAGTGTGTCGTGCGAACTTTCGTCGTGGTCGAGGAATTTCGCAGCGCAAGTGCGGTGGGCCTCGCCAAGTCCAGTAACCAAGCTAAGCCGCATTTGGCGCTAGTGGAGTTTCTTCCTCCCGACAAACGAAAGCAAGCTCGATGCGATGCGACTTCTTCTTTTCGCCGGAAGAAACATTTTGATATCGACTCATCCACCACTTATTAGGACGGTTAAGCCTCGCGGACTGTCGGCGAATCTGTCAGCCGGACGTCTCCTCGGTCTCTGATGTCAAGATAGCACTAGCCCGCCATGTCGCAAACGATAGGCAAGGTATACTCGCTTCTTTCATTCAGGCCTGGAGAGTAGAACTAATATTACTTGGCAGACCCGTCTGGCCTACTCCCGCACATGGCACTACATCGACGTAGGCAGTGACTCTCGCTCGCTGGGCCGCGTGGCTTCCAGCATTGCGACTTTCCTCATGGGTAAGCATAAACCCATCTACGATCCTTCGACCGACTGCGGCGATTACGTCGTGGCCTGCGGCTGCCACGACATCCACGTTACGGGCAAAAAGCGCCAGCAAAAGCAATACTACACGCACAATACGCGTCCGGGCTCGCTAAAGCAAATGTCTATGGAGAAGATGATCGAGAAATGGGGCGGAGGTGAGGTGTTGAAGAAGGCCGTTCGGGGAATGTTGCCGAAGAATCGACTGCGGGACAAGAGACTGGCGAGATTAAAGGTATTCGAGGGCACGAAACATCCGTACAAGGCGAATATTGTCAAATTTCAGGGCCGACCATTCACGGGGGATAAGCCGGAGACGGGCCCGGTTATGGCTGCAATTGAGGCAAGCAAGGATGCGAAGGAAAGTTCTTTATGAGGGGAGATGGAGCTGCTTTGCATCGCAAGGGCGTTTGGGAGAACGACCGGCAGAGAGAAGCGTCACTTTGCAGATTTGTATGAATATCATTGCGGGTATGTGTACACTTTGCTTTATGGTTTGCTGGATGACGCCGCCGAAAAACCCCAAAACTCCAACTCGTCCCTCCTGTATCTGGCTGGGTTGGTCTACAATTTCGCGGATGGTACAAGCTCATCTCGTGCAACTGTGCACTTAATCAGACCGTTGGGGTCCGACTGCGGAGCGTAGACTTCCGCATCTTTACCGGTATTCTTCAATCCGTGGTGCCAGCTAAGGTCGATTTCGAAGTAGTGCTTGTTAGGCAGTGAGTAGTCGACTGTCTGAAGAAGAGGTTGAGCAGCCAGAATCTGCTCGCACATCTTGTACATTGTGTTCTGCACGCTCGGGCTCTCCTCGAGCGCGAAAAGACGGAAGGTGATCTCTCGCGCTTTGCTCCATGTCTCATCGAACTTGACGACGTTCTTCTTGACGGCCTCCAGGCTGGAGAAGGTTGACCAGTTCCAATTTGCATCCACCGATGTGCTGAGGATACGATCCCAGACTTCGGGGAGTGTGGTGAAGTCGTTGCGGACAAAGGAGTGGAATTGTGAGCCCGTACTCTTCAGGACCAGCAAGTCGGAGATGCCGGACTTGAGCTCAATGCCCTTGCCTTCGACAACATCTGCTTGTACCAGTCTCTTCTCGCTGCTGTCGCGGAAGAAGGAGTGAGGATGAGGCTTGCCGTCTATGGTCATGCGCGTCCACCTGTGTTGGATGATGCTGATGTGGGCCGTGTGGATGTGTTTGTAGGTTTGGATGAAGTGGGTGCCCAGAATGGAGGCGAAGAGCTCAGGAGGGTGGACGGGATTCTGCTTCGCCATAATGTAGGTAGTGTTCTTCATCGTGTCGGTTGCGACCACGACGCTGTTGTCGGCTTTGGTGTATCTACCTCGCGTCAGCATTGCTCAGATCGTCAATGACCCGGAGGACTCACGATACATCTATCTCGCCCTCCAACAACACGCAGACAGTCATCTCGTAGACTGTGTGTGTTTTTGTGGCTTCATCTCTCTCCACCTTGTACAGACGGATGTTGTCCTTGCCATAGCGAGCTGCTGCGAGTCTAGGCATCTTGGGTATGTGTCTGGACTGATGCTACAACGGCTGCTGGTGCTTCAGTGGCTCACAGTAAGCTTGCTCGTTTTGGGTGAATAGATGTCTTTGTTCGCCGTCTCCTCCGTATAGTACTGGTCACAGCTTTATCTTTATAGAACAATGGCATCGACTTTCTTATCGGAGGGGCAACGCGGTCAAGAGCAAAATTGAACGACGGGAGTCACCAATTGCACGAGCGTACATCGCCCAAGAGTTGGTAAAATGTTGATCACAGATTCCTTGAGCGCAAATGATTGGTGTACCGAGCATGAAGCTCGCTCGTAGTCGCAATGTCGTACAATCCCCAGCCTGACGGAGCTCGCCGAGGCGCGCCGGATATGCACACAGGAGCTCGGCCTGCAGATGCGGCGCTGGCAAACCGATCTCGAATCTCACCTGACGGGCTCAGCAGCGGAAAACAGCGCGTCAGTTCCTCGCCGTCGTGCATGTGTATTTCAACACCGCCTTGATATGACACAACGGGTGGTCTACGAGTAGGTACCTAAGTGGTCTGTTCTGCTGGATTCTGGGTATGACGTTAGCGGTGGGGAGGGGTCCTCAAGGCATCTGACAGGTTCAAGTTCCTTTTGCTCATGCTGAGCCGGAAGAACGACGAGGCGATGTGGTCAGTGATTTAGTACGAGGTACCGGGCAATGAGCAAAAGGGAAAGGAAAGTCCCGATCATAGATGCACCGGCGATGTTGACCAAGAGTGGTCAGCAGCGGGAGGCAGCATGGAAGCAGGCTTCCAGTGGCTTCCCAACTCGCACAGCATCAGAGGCCTTCCAGGCACTGGTGCCCCTGGCATGCCCCTACGGGTACCGCATAGGTGCCACAGTCACAGGAGCTGGCTAGATCGAGTGCGGGGAAAGCCTCCCTAACGTTAACGGGTCAAGGTCGAATCTGACTCGGCTGCGTTGGCGTGGCTTGACGATTTGGCGTTACAACTTCAGACCCAGATGCATGCACGATCTGAATTGGGCTGTGTAGAATGATAGACCTCCACCAACGTCGCTCATTTCTCACATCTTCAGTACGACGCATCCGGCCATCACGAATGAACACGACAGACCATAATAGATTTCTCTTCTGCAACGACTCGCGCGCGACCGCCGCCCTTCCCGTACAAGGCAGATCGACGGTGACCACGGGTACATTGCACATCGAACTGCCGCTACACAGAGGTCATGAACATATCACCAATTTTACAGCTCCTATAGACCGATAACCCCGATTTATCTCGACCTCTTCGACTGACCAGTCATCTCTTTCCTTTCCCGGTCGAACCGGTCGAACCGGTCGATGCCTATGTGTGTTCTTCGCGCTGCGATCGGTCGACAACCCGCCCATTAGAGGGACGATACCCTTCATGGCTCGATGGCCTCTTCAGACCAAGCGTCAGGATACTCGGTGACACCCACTCAAGGACGCTTCAACATTCGACACACCTCTAGGAAGAGCGATGACTTTTCCGCCTTCACACGTCCCTCGGTCAAAGATGGCCGCTCGTTATCTGGAGGAAGTGCACAATATGGTCAGAAAGCCTTTATCTCCTCCCTCACCCCGACCAATCCTCCCGGTAGCTTCAGCACCGACCTGAGAAGCGCCATGCAGTCGGGAAGGACGACGCCTCAGACCGAAGTTGCAGGTGTAACCTTCTCGCGGTTGCCACCACCATACAAGGACGGGGATGGGCAGATTACATCCGAGCAGCGACAGGCTGCAGTGCGTGACAAGATTGCAAAGGAGATGAAGATAAAATTGGGGACTGAGAACATGCTTGAAGCGCTCCTCAGCAAGAACAACAAGCAGACAAAAGAACAGCGACAGCGGGTGGAGATGGAGCTGGGCTCTTCCAACAGGAAGTTGGCTGAATTGAAGCAAGAACTCGACCAGGAAATCATGCGCTCTCAGACTCCCACGACCCCTCCGCAAACCAGGCTCTCCAGCTATTTTCGAGGCAGTCCATTGAAAACCCCTCCACTTGGTCAGAACCAGGAGCAGATGCTTGCGGAATCTATCGACAGCGAATCGCCCACAGTGGTCTTGACTGAGACGCTCCAGCAGCTTGAGGCGGGCGGAATGCCTCCAGACTATTACATTGAACGCGCAAACGCGCTTGTTGATCTCCTGAAGCGCAATCCGGGCCTGAAGTATGACCTCGCCTGGAAAGACTTTAGTGTGCGTGTTCAAATGATGTTGCTCAGCGAGAGCTCAGATGTCATCGCCGCAGGCTACAGAGTGACTCGCCATGCAATCGCCGATCGCAAGTCGCTACAGACCATTCGAACGCTCCACACCGACGAACTCGTCATTTTGTCCATGGTCAAGAAAGCCAATGCCTTACTGGAACGAGAGCAAGCCGTCAAGTTTGTACGAGCGTTCTTGGACGTCAAAGATGGTGTCTATGAGATATCTCGCGCCGTGGTCCGAAGCATAGTTGCCGTTGCCGAAGCTGCTGATGACCGGTTGAAGGATATCTGCCTGTTGACGTTGGCAGAGCTTTTCACAAAGCATACAGAACTTGTCGTTTCAGCGAACGGCATGAGCACCCTTACCGAGGCGCTGGCAGATGGATCCTTCCCTGCCCCAGAAGGCCTGGTGGCTAGCTTCCTCCATATCCTTGACCACCCTCAACAACGCAAGTATCTGCACACTGGCCGAGAGTTCGAAGCAATGTTTGCGCCTTTCACCGACCCGTTACTGCTCAATGGCAATGAGGAGAAGCTCAAAACGTGTGCTCAGGCAATTGCCGCAATGCTCAAGACTTGGCCTGGCTTCCTCCTCCTCGCCATGAATGGTGCTTCACCTCTGCGGTCGCTGATAGATTCATTGGTCTACCCCATCACTCAGTCGCGAGATATCGTTCTGGAACTCTTCTTTGACATTCTCCGTATCAAGCCGCCTTCTTGGTCAAGCTCATATCTCGCGGGCAGGAGACTCACCACTTACGGGAGGATCAACACATTGCCGGCCGAGCAGCCCTCGCAACGACAACTGGTGGATTACAACGCCGAAGGCAGGTTTGATTTGACGTGCCACTTCTCAGCCTTTGTGTTGGCCGCCCTCTTGAAGGCTGGCCTAATCCCTGCTCTGGTAGATTTGATCAAGCTTGAGGAGGATCTGGCGTTGAAGAGGAAGACGACACTCCTGCTCACCGAAGTGCTGAAGCTTGCTCACCACACCTTACCCCAGGCTATGAGCTCCGGCGTTCAGGTTCTAGGCGACCTTGTGCCTAATGTGCCAGATTACGGCTCCGAAAAATCAGCTATCAATCTGAGCATGATATACCAGATTGACAGCATCAATCGCGCGCTCAACAAGACCTCTGCCTCAGCGTTCGGGCGAGGCGAACATGTTGATGAATTGGCTGTCGGACCACAGACCAACGAGAGATCCAAATACACCGCGTTGATGGACGGCGACCAATTCCGGCAAGCCATGGCCGACAGTCAGGTAACAGGCCATTCGCAGTATATAAAATGGAAATGGGAAATAATCCAAGGCCTGGTCGAAGGTCCGCTGACAGTCCCGAAGAGGTTGGAAGAAGCGATCAGATCGCCGAAATTTATGAAGAGGCTTGCGGGATTCTTTCGCCCTTTCAAATACAGGTTTTCCACCATCCGGAACACCAGGCCTAACCAACGCTATGTTCGCACGGGTTGTGCGTTGATGAGAACGTTGACTCAAACCTCAGTCGGAATCCAATATCTCGCCGAGAACAAGCTGTTACGGCAGATTGGAGAGTGCCTTGCACAAGTTGATCCACACAGCGGGATCACTTCGTCGAATCCATTGTTTGAGCGTCATAACATGGCTGAGACTTTGAGTGGGGGTTATTTTGCCATGCTCGGTGCCTTGAGCCACTCTGCCGAAGGAATGCGGCTGATGGAGCAGTGGCACATGATGGATATTTTCTACCATCTTGTCGAGTTAAGAGATCGCGATGACCTGATTCGCGCACTTCTCGGAAACATGGACTACACCCTCGATACACATCTGCGGGTCATCCTTTCCAAAGCTCTAACATCTGGAGTCAAAGACATTCGCCTCTTCGCCACTAAGCTTCTTCGGCGCTATGCTGTTGGGCGGGTCCAGTATTCCTCTGGATTGCAAGACCGCTCAAGCTCTCACTGGGCCGTGCGACTTGTGCTCACACAGCTGTACGACCCAGACGTCGAAGTCTGTGAGGTCGCAGTCAAGATTCTGGAAGAGGCTTGCAATCAACGTAGCCATCTGGAGTATGTGGTCAAATGCAGGCCATCGCTCGATCACCTGGGCGAGCTAGGAGCGCCTCTTCTCTTGCGCTTCCTGTCCACCTCTGTCGGCTACCGATATCTCAACGGGCTCGACTATATCACGCAGGAAATGGACGATTGGTTCTTGGGCCGCAACGACGCGTATGTTGCCCTGGTCGAGGCTTCTATCCTGCGAGCATATATGGACGGCAACACCCACAAGGTGCAGTTCAACGACGAAGCTGTTGTCGACTTGCATGAAATTGGGATCGCACCCCCGCATTTCTATCGCGAACTCGCGAGGACGGAGGAAGGATGCAGATTGCTGAAGCAGTCTGGCCATTTCTACGAGTTTTCATCCACCATTCGAGATTTCCGGCTCGACGAGGAGGATCCGGAAGTCCTGACGAAAGTGAAAGGGTGTATGTGGGCCGTGGGCAATATAGGCTCGATGGACCTGGGCGCGCCATTCTTAGAAGAGGCGAATGTGGTCAATACCATTGTGAGGATCGCAGAGGGGGCGGAAGTCATGTCGATGCGCGGCACAGCTTGCTTCGTCCTCGGTCTGATATCACGCACACTTCATGGATTCGAGATGCTTGCAGAGAGCGGGTGGGAGACGACACTAGACCCGCGAGGACGATCCCTTGGTCTGTGTTTACCCCGTAATCTCGAGACTTTGTGCTTGGTAAGTCCGGATACTCGTGATCTGGATGTTCCCGTGCTGACTGGTCAGAAATCGATTGGGTCTTCGACTGTTCCGCAGTCGCCATCGGCACAGGACGATGTCAAATACAAAACCGCTACAACAGACGACAACCCGGTCCGGGCCAAAATACTCAAGTCCATTGTGGAGATGGGTAACTCAGTCATGTACAAAAAGGCCGCTGGCGATCTCCATACCCTCAAGGTTAAACAACCCAGTCATTTCGGCGATACTGAGATGTTTCGAAAGACGCTGGTCATTCTGGAGAGCCATCATTACCGCCTGCAAGCACGGCATTACATCTTGAACTTGTTCAACAAGGGTGTGATGCGGAAGATTATTTTCGATGAAGAGATGGGCGACTCCACCGGATCCGACACGGGATAGGGGAGCCAAGCAGGTGAGGCAAGAAGCTCGTCGAAGCATGAGAAGAACATGGATCAAATGATCACTATGGTTTTCCTCGCGCCCTGAGGCTCGTGTCCACCTGGGTTAAAGTCTGTACTGTGTACGAGTAGGAAGGCAGCTTCTGGGCATCGGGTCTGAAGCGGGCGAAACAGGGCGGCGGATTAGATGTTATGTGGCCATCTGCCAGAATCATGAATTGGGTATGGTTTCTGCTCGGCGCTGGTGGAGCAAGTGTTGAAGGACGGCCTGGGTGCTCGTCTGCATCCGGTAGCAGGTAGCAGTCGTTCCAGTGGCTGTGGCTGTAACCTTCAGTGAGATGGTACTCGTGTCGTCCAAGTGGAGAAAGCCGGCGGCGAAGCGCGTGGATCATTCAACCACTGCAATAAAGGACTGGGTCCTCCGTAAGTACTTCTGGGGTCATCTGCTCCGAGAAGAATGCGAGTTAGTACCTAGCGAGTACTCCGTACTGTGATACCTCGTACTTGTCCGCTGTCTCGGAGCTCGCTCGCTCGCTCGCTCGGTTGTCATGTGCACATGTGCCACACGACAAGAGATCGATGATGGCATGGACTCGATGCGGCATTGTGCGCTGCCAAGCCTTTCACGGGCCCGCCGGCCTGGAGCATGGAGGCGAGGAGCGTCGTGGAGGGTTCGCTGAGCGTTCACTGAGGGCTCACTGACAGCTCACTGAGGGTCTGCTCAGCTGCGGTCCTCTCATTCTTCAGGGTCCGGTGCCGCAAGCGATTCCCTTTTCGTGCTGTGCTACATTCATCACCGTTATTCTCGATCCCTTCGTCAAGTCCAGATCCCGACGTCCCCTCGACATTGTGCCCGCATCTCGGTTTTCTGTGGCGAACAACGTCTCTCAGTTTGCGGCCGTCCACCACGGCCAATCAATGATTCCTCCTTGTCGCCAGGACGCTGATGGATCCTTTGTTGCGCCATGACTCGTCCTGCTCATCACGCAATTAGCCATGCCCACGGTTTGGTCTCTCCACCGGCCGGGCACCACAGTCGCCGCCGCGCTGGCTCTGCTGGCCTCGGTTCCTGACATATATGCGGATCATTACTTGGGTCTTCGAATAGGCGTGCGTTTACCGCAAGCTACCATACCACTTACTGAAGTCTGTTGAAGTCTACGACGTCGTTGATCTCTCGATTTGGCGGCCGTGTTCATGCACCTTGCCTGCTTTACCCTTACATTTCTCTGCCATCGTCCCTACAATCCGCCTTCGTTGGTGGATCTTCTTGGGTTTCATTCTCACGATATATTCGACTGTGCTGACTTTGCGCCTGCCCGACTGGCTTTGCCTCGAACACCCTCCAACGTGCTGAGCGCGGCCCAATCCTGCGACGAGCACCCCACATATCGATCACTCGAGCAGGTCGATACCCCCCATTATCACCAGTCTCGGGCAATTAGAAAGAGTAGACGTACAAGGCCGGTGGGCAGTGGGGCTATACATATGGACTCGACTTGGAGTCGGCTTTGACTATTCCTGGTTATACAGAAGGGGACCATCTTGAGCCATTTTGCAACACGCCCTCAGCAGTTGCGCAGATGAGTGATGGACTACAGTCGGCAACGACGACCCAGCAGGGGCTCGATGCCCATCAGCAGGCCCGAGATGTCGTCAAGTTGTTCCAGTGTGAGCACTGTTCATATCCGCTCCGTGAGCCCATGACCTTGCCATGTGGCAACACCCTATGTCGCCCTTGTCTTCCGCCGCTCTATAAGCGAGAGAACATTACGTATCCCGTGGTCGAGGGACGATCAGAAGCCTTCTTATGTCCTTTTGAGCCCTGTGGGTCGGAGCATTCGGTGGGCGACTGCGCAACGGATGTGACGCTCAACAAGATAGGGGACATTGTCAAGACTTTCATCTCAAGCTACAAGTCCAAGAGTCCGGAGATCTCGCTTCTGCTGGAAGAGAAGCTGAATTGGCCACGAATGGTTGAAAGTGCGATGGAAGTCATGCCGCGGTCACGTGTCCTGCACGGAGGACGTATCGTGTCGACCTTTACCATGGCAGACATGGGCGAGTTGGACTTCCACTCGGGCGTAGCATATACGCCTGTTGACAGAGGAGCGTCCGACGCCATCCGAGCCGTCGATGTGAACGTTCTGGAGAATCTGAGAGAGGTCGTCCGACCGGAACTGGAATGTCAAGTCTGTTATCAGGTCATGCTGGATCCTTCGACGACCACGTGTGGCCACACCTTCTGCCGAAGGTGCCTTTCGCGGGCGATGGATCACTCGAATCACTGTCCGATGTGCCGTCGCCTGCTGCCACTGGCGCACACACAGCAGGCAGAGTCCAGCAATAAGAGGGTGGCAGACCTCATCCACCATCTCTTCCCCGACTTATTGACAGCAAGAAAAGATCTTGCTGCACAAGAAGACATGATTGATGAAGAGACCAACTTGCCCCTTTTCCCCTGCACGTTGGCGTATCCACGGATGCCCACGTTTTTGCACATTTTTGAGCCAAGATACAGATTAATGATTCGGCGCGTGCTGGAGAACGGCACACGCAAGTTTGGCATGTTGGCGTACAAACCTCAGCGCGAATATCAACCAGGCGGCCCACATTGGCAAGAGTATGGGACTGTCTTGTTCATTGACCGTGTCGAGGTGTTGCCTGACGGTCGAAGCCTCCTGGAAACAAGGGGATTGTACAAATTTCGAACTCTAGAGACAGCGATGCTTGATGGTTATCTCACTGGGCGAGTACAGCGCGTGGATGACATTAGCATCCACGAGGAAGAGGCAATTGAGGCCCAAGAGACGAGTGTAGCCACGCCGCTGGAGGACGATGAGCTTGGTCGAATCCAGCGATTACCCACCCAACAACTTCTGGAATACGGGCTCGATTTCATTCAACAGGCGCAGGGAAGGTCAGCGCGCTGGCTGCATCAACGCGTGCTCGCTGCGTATGGGCAACCCCCAGAGGATGCGGCAACCTTCCCATATTGGCTCGCGAGTGTCCTCCCAATCGCTGAGACAGAAAAGTACACACTTTTACCCGCCACGAGCGTGAGAGAACGGCTCAAGATTACCGCCGAGTGGATCCACCGACTCGAGCAAGCGCGATGGTAAGTCAGTATTTCTTCCTCCTTTTCTCAAGTGGGGCCCGCCTCGCCTGACATGGTCTGTGCCTGAAGTGAGTACGAAGCGGAGCTGGCGAAGAAATCTCGAGAGGAGCAGGTTCGCGACGGACAGATCACACCCGCGCCAGCTCCACAAAGTCCTGTCACCGAGGGCCAAGTCAACATGCCGCAAGCTTCCGAGGTTCCGGCTCGGTCAGGAGAAGCCCACCCTGCTGAAGTCAGCGAAGCCGAAGGGCATGAGAGCGAAATGTCTGGGCCTGAACCTGCCAACGGTTCAATTCCACAAGGCTGATGCTTGTGAGACAAAGTACTATGGGGGACCCTGCTGCCCGGTATGATTCGAATTGCTGCAGGTGGGGAGAGTATGAGAGGGCGATTCCTATGCACCAATGACACCGGCTACCAGGCGACCAGATTGAGGCGATGGGTCTGCACTGTCCATGAATGCGAAACTGACTTCTACCAACCTGTGCAGGCACCAATCTTCTTCCTGCATTGTCTTATGACTAGCCGCTTTTACGAGCATATTGGCGGTTGCCCTATTCTTGTGCATACCTTTCTTCCACGAGCCGATGATTAGACGCATTATTGTCATGAGCGACGGCAAGCGCATGGTTGAACTTGTGGGTGGCATTTCCAAGGCGTTGATGTTGACAGGATGTGTGATTTTGATCGGCCTGAGGGTCATGATACCCCTTTTTGATTTAGCAGCGGTGGTCCCGTTCAGAGGGTAGGCCCGAGTGCCTGGGCAAGACTTTATGATGAGTTGGTAGACTCCGTTGGTGACTGCGTGTTCCCATGCAAAAGTAGAGGATGTATTAGAAATTTCCCCGTTGTCTGCATGGGCCGATTCTGGAACTCAACCCAGGGCAGACAATGTCAGTGAGAGACGCTCCTTCCTGGGAGGAGGCTCGATTCACGAGGCTGAACTCATATCGCTGCGTCCACGAGGCTGAAACGCGTTGGAACGAGCGCCTCCCGCATCAACTGCAACCAATAGACACGGGGTATTTATGCTATGACGTCACTTGAACTTGCACTCCGTTTGTCACCGATTTGTTACCTCGTCCTCACCTGCTTCTCCTTGCAAGCTCAGACTCGTGTTGAAAGAGCGCAGCTGCGAGAACTAGCTTGTCGTGTATTTGGGTTCAATTTCTTTTGCAGTCATCACAAGGAACAGCAGCATCATGAGACTACCGCGGCCTCTATCCACCGAGTACGTGATTGCGTCTGTTGGTCGAGACATTCAAGCTGCTGCTCGATCAAGCTATCCATCAAGACACACACCATTCGTGCAACCGTTCAGCACGTCTCCCTGTCTCTTACAGAAGAACCGCATCTTCACCCCGTTCCGCACACCGCCCCAATTTTACGATGCTCTCCGTCTCATATCTGCCAACAATACGCTGCTGTTGACGCTCTTTACCACCTCAGCATGCACACCTTGCCGCACGATAACCCCCTTACTCACCTCGCTCATCGAAACACGTCCTCCCTCCCCGGAAGATAAGTACTCGCACCTCGCGTTTGCAGAACTCGAGCTCGACTCACCCGACATGAGCAATGGCAAGATGCTCGACCTGGGCGTGCAGTACGCAGTCACCAGTATGCCAACGTTGATCGGATTCGGCGGCAGAAGAGCAGAAAGAGTCACGGAACGGATAGTCGATACGAGGATGTTAAGCAACGAAGGGGTCATGGCAAAGTGGATCGATGAGGAGATGAAGAAGGGCGATCCATTCCCAGGCCAAACGGGAACTGGAGGGCTTTTGAGCAAGATATTCGGATCGTGATGGCCAACGGAACAAAAATCTTCGACGAAATTGAGGAACTCCTCGATTTACAGGGCGCGGCTTGCCACCAGCTACGCGACAATCCTCGCCGAGTCAGTGAACGACAAAATTACAGGGCGACCTTGGCCCAAGCGATGGAGCCTTGCGCGTTCAGGTTACAGGTTGATTGAAAGGGCTACTTTCCTTGCTCAACTCCAGGTCGACGCAAGCCGCACCCTCCCTTCCACGCTCACACATCAGGTTCCTTCCGAATGACGGCTCAGCCCAGTCGACTCCGACTTCTGTCCTGAACCTTGGTTCTTTTCACCCCCTCTTTCCGAGGAGTTCTTGGACGAGCAGCGGGCTCAGCTCGTTCTTTGGTCCCCAGACCGCCTTCCGCTGGCCCGCGATTGTCTCAACGTGGTCGAAGCATACCACCGCAGACCAAGAAAATTTCTTGAGCCGTTGGCGTTTCGTCACGGCCCGACGAGAACTACTCCACCCTCTTCTTGGGCGAAGCTGCTTTTTCCTTAGCAGAATGCCGGAAACGATGAATACCACGATGTGCGCGTACACCCTACGTCTGGCTCCAAGAGAGCGGGCCTCTTTACAGCCTCCACTGGGGTTGTTGTGGATTTCCTCCTCAGCGTCGCCATTGGCGCAGAGGTCCTCGACCTCTTTGCCGGTTTCTCCGCAGCTGCCAGCCGTGGGCCACTGCTGTCGCCAAGTTGTGGTTAGCCTCCGAGAGCTCCAGCCGGTTACAAATAGAGAACGGGAAACCAGAGCTGGAGGGCTATCAGGATCACGCCACATTCAGAACCGAGACTAAAGTCGCAAGCGTCAATGCGTTGAGCACGCCACTGCAAGTTCTTGGATCTGCTCTGAAACTCCAGTACTAGGTCCCTGCAATCAAGATTCACGAGTTGATGCTGTCACGGGCCTAAACCACCTTGGACGGGATCATCTTGGCGTATACCATTTGCACTCTTTGTTTTACCCTGGTGGCACATAGTGGCCAAACTTCGTCAGTTGACTCTCTCTCTGAAGATGGGAAGCTCCAAGCTTGTAGTTGGTGGGTCGATTACTGCTCATATGGACCAACATCTCAGATTTGCCGGGGCACGAAAACAACGAATGTTGCGAAAAGGGGAAGCCAACTTTCCTATCAGACCTTATGACTAATTGTGGGGGCACACGAGAGGTGGCTGGAAAGAGCTCAAGAAGATGCACCCTGTATGAAGGAATTACTTCGTGAGAGCGCCATCCCAAGGCGAGATTGACATGTCCGCCGTTGACTGAGGTGCAGAGTCCGCAGTCTTTATTCTGGTCCAAGCCCGTGCAAAGTTCTGGAGCGGGATATCAGCCCAGCCCATGTATGCGCCACAGCTTGGACTCTCAACTACGGAAGAGTTACACGTTACAGGACGATGTCGACAACGTCTTTCACACTTCTATGCAAGTCCGGCTGAAAGAAAACCCAAAATCGCAAGCTAGGCTATCTCAATTGTCGAGAGCATGTAACTGCGTCCGCATGCGAGCCTCGATGGAACACCTCCCAGCTAGGAATTCCCACAGTTCGCCTCCGGAGCCCCCAATTTGACCGTTTTCGAGACTGCTGAACCTCAATTGCCGTTGTTGCGGCTGCCACCACCCCATCGTTTTCCAGGCCGATCCGAGAAGTGGCCTTGCTGTCAGCTGATATCTGTCCATACACCTATTCTTTCATAATATTCACCGCTACCTTCCCGAGCGCAGGGGGAAGTTTCCTCTGATCAGACGCTGGATATACCTTTGTCCCAATCAGCCCACAACTCATATCTTTTGGCCATCATGCTTGCTATACGTTATTAACTTGACGTTGTCGCCTTGTCTCGGGCTACGATCGGACACATGCCTTCGAGTGCTGCGGGGACGATGAATCTCTTCGCCACGTCCATTATGGCTGTTGGCTTGTTATGAATCTGCCACGATTGTTGTGGGCGGCTCAAATACCCTTGATTAGGTGCAGCAGGGACTGGGCCTCTCGGATCTCCCATAGGCGATGCGAAAGCAAGAAGAGGCGAGAGTGGGAGGAGATCTTGGATCTTGATGTTGGATGGGAATCAGTGCAGTACTGCGGCTTGTCAAATCAAGATGGAACATGCAACTCCTCAGCATTGCTCCTTGGACGAGACTGTATGGTTTGAGGACATTTGCCTCCCAATATATATATGCCAGGACGGCGGCCAGACCAGATATCCTCTCATCAAATGTTATTCACCGTGTGCATCTCCACGCACAGCTCAGGGTCCAATGATCCTGGTCTCTGTATTTCGAATCAATCTACCGCACGCACCCTCGCAACCTAAGCTTGGACACGTTGAGAGAGACTTGCAGGAGACGTGCTTTACCATTTTCACATGGCTGAACCAAGTCCTGCCTCCGGCAACACCGAGACGTATCCCGCCCTCCCTCTACTCAGGTCTGAATAGCAGCCCGCACATATGATACTACTGTACATGTCCTATGGACCTTTGAACGTACGGCCCGCTTAAATACAAGGGCCCTTGGAATGGCAATCCCTGCGGAAATGGGAACGGACGACCTGTACACGAGGTTACACAGCATGAACTACTAGGCAGAAAAGCAACGACATGATCCATTGATCCCGGGGGTGGCATCTTGCATCTACGTCTTGCGTCTTGCGTCTTGCGTCTTGCGTCTTGCATTTATTTACATTTACATTTACATTTACATTTTGCATTTACATCTTGCATTTACATCTTGCGTCTTGTTTCCCCTCTGAACTTTTCGATCTCGTCTCTCGCGAACGAGATTCGCGAGGTGGAGACTCTCAAGGTCGAGTGCACGGTCACTTGATGCGTGCGAGTGCGAGTGATCTAGCAGGCATGGCGAATTGGACGAACTGGACCAGCCCGTCTATGATGCTCGGACGTCGCCATTCTTTGCAAGTTGGCGCGAATCTAGAATCTAGACCTGGAGCCCTGCGCCGTCGAGGATACAACCGGGATTAAAAGGGTTGAATAATGAAGCAATCGGGAGCCAGACGAGGATAACACCGGGCTGGCTGAACGACTGGTTCAAGCAACTGGGTACTAAGTATATCTAGGCTCGCGGATCAGACAGACAGAACAAAAACAAACAAGCTCATAATTACGATTGTGAGGAGACGTGCGACCTCAGCCATCGCCCGACGATCGTATGCCTCGTGGGGGTCGATCTATATAAGTCATGACCCTGTTCTGGAGACAGGTCTTGTTACAACCCTTATACACACACACACACACACACACACACATATATATATACATGAAGGGCCAGCCAGAGTCGAGAGTCGAGAGTCGAGACTTACAACGACATACCGTTATATTGCCCCCCCAGTCCTGTCCTTGTCCTGTCCTCGTTACAGGCCGGTCTGGACCAAGTCTGGAAAAAGGAGGACTTTGAGAGCAGCAGAGAAGACTCGGGCGATATCGTCAATTGGCCCTTGGCAGGGTCACAAGTGCTGTGTATGCTGTATCTCGTCTCCGTTGTATACTGTATCTCATCTCCATCATTTACTGTATCTCATCCAATGTGTGGCTTTTGCATCTGCAGTACCCTCCCTGTCCTACAGTCCCACATTTTCCCGCGGCCCTCGAACGATCAAACGGTTCTTGAGCCAGAAGCATAGCATATCGTAGCTTGCTCGCTTGCTCGATTGCTCACTTGCTGTACACGCACACCCCACTACTCATCATCACCCCAGCCTCCAAGCTCTCTCACCACATCCCCGACATTCGGCCATCCGAGCCTGCCATTCGCCGCGTCCAACCCACTCCGCTTCACCATGTCCTGCCCGCAGAACTCCACGACGGTCGACACCGCGACCTTGACCCCCCTCACCACATCCTTGATCCGTCTCATCTTGTCGGTCTCATCGTTGGCTCCCCTCGCGCCGAGCAGCCTGCCCAATCCGCGGACGTGCCAGAGTGCCGGTCCTCTGAGTCCCTGACAGATGATGCTCGTAAAGGCCACCAGTTCGGTCTCCAGCGGGGTCAAATGCGTAAAGTCGGCGAGGTAGAGGCCGTACACGATGGTGAGCTCGTGGAGGCCGACTTGGGGCCGATGAGGGCCGAAGGACTTGAAGATGTTTTGCCATAGATTGCCGTACACGGATGTGATGGTTTCGATGCCCCGCGCGTGCAAGGTGGGGAGCGTCGTGTTGGACCTGGACGGGCGGATTAGGACGGAAGCGCGGAAGCGCGGAAGCGTGCAAGTTAACAAGGGAAAAAGCGCCAGGATACAACATAATGAAGGATCGTATGAACTGGAAGAGGGGTACATCATCGAGGATACAACATAATAAAGCATCGTGTTCGTGAAACGGCTTGCAGCCTACTGTACCTACCATTGCTCCTGGTCCAGCTCGCCCCTTTCTTCCACGCCTCTGCCGTCCGTCTGCACGTTCGCGAGCGGGATTAAGGCGCTGAGCATTTGGGGCGCGCCGATCAATGGCAACTGCTTGAGGAGCAGGTCCCGAAATCGGTCGGACAGGCGGGCTTGTGCCTCTGGTGTGGAAAACGAGGCGTCGTGGGTCGTGAGGTAGCTCCAGAACCCGGCGACGAGGTGCGGTCGGTCTGAGACGGTCAGGACCGTCGCCTAGGATGATGTGAGAATGTCAGGGAGGGTTTGTCTCGTCGCGCGGTGTAGGGCGGTCCGAAGGGAAGAATGCACGACATAGTCCCGGCATGATCAGACCTGTGCGAATGCAATAGAAGGCCGGCACCAGTTCCTCTGCGTAGCCTCATCGGGCCACCTTCGCTGCCCGCTCTTTCTACCGTCCACGCATCGTCCTCTCAGACGGTGACAGTACAGAAGCGTTCTACGGGGGAAGCGCTGAATGTGGTTGCTGGCAGACTCACAATGATCAAGTACCAGCTTTCACCACCCATCTCCTGGAGCAACTGTGCCTTGACATCACGGCTCAATTCATCCCACTGTTCGTTCGACTCGAACGGTGGTGTTGGCGTCGAGGCGGTGGGTTGGGCCGCCATGTCCGCAGTCGTAGACCTGCTGACCCTTTGACTTACTGGACTGGAAGGTATGAGAGTATCACAGAAGCAGTCGTCACAAGAAAGATATTATTTTGACGCAACGAAACGAAACCCGCCAGCGTTTCAGCCCTGAATCTCAACCGCCGCTGCTTTGGCCAGGGACGTCCGCTCGCAGCAGCCTCATATACACAGTAAGTGTCAAGTCCGTGCAGGGCAGAGTTTTCCGATTCCGATCATAAAGTTACTGATTCGGATGATCAGCGTAAGCGCCGACACCGGGCGAGTCAAACCGGGTTATGTCGTTGCTGCTGCTCCGAGTTCTCAGAAGGTAAGAGCCACGGGAATATCTTGATCGGGGAGTGGGCCAGATGATGTAGCCCTCGCCGTGCGATGTTGCGTCCTCAGGGTCGAGTAATTGATTATTGCTTTGAGGATCGGACGCCGTTGGTGCTGACTGAGTACCATGTACAGTATTAGACGGGCCTGGCTCTCGACGTCAACGGGGGGACACCGCTAGAGCAGCACTGCGCCATGGGCATCGTGATTGGGCTGATATCCAGTCTAGCTGCTTAGTGTTCCGGGTATTTCCCCGCGCTAAGATGTTAACATGCTAATGTAGTCCGTCCATTTCCACCGCTGCCGTCGATCTTTAGGATGCGCCTCCAAGACCACCAAGGATGTGTCGATGTCACGGCATGCTGCGGCTAACAGGATAGGGATACATGACATTATTGTCCACGGGCGGAACAACAACTAAATTTTAGCTTTAGCCTCAGTATCGTGTCAGAATGACTGGTTATGCAGGCCCAGTCATTATCGACTTGGGTGTCGTCACCCTGGCATTGTCACTACTCGCGAGCTATTAGTACCAACAGACGCTGGACGCTGGAGCCTGCCTGTGCATCGAGAAGCAGCTGTTCATGTCGACTACCGCAGGTGGTCGGCTCTGGTGACTGTACCTATCAACAGGGCTTTTCGTTGTTCCGTTCGTTCACTGCCTCCTGTGTGAGTGGTTTTCGGTGATAACATCCAGGGTCACGTAGCTTGGCGTCGAGGTCGTCACCATCATTTATGTAACCCATTGTCGACTGTGGTGTTTGTCGTTGGTCAGGGGCCCGCTATGGAAGCAAGCTTTCGCCAGGGTAGATATATCTCCCATGTATACTCCGGAGTCCACAAAATGTCATTACCCAAGAGGTGAGCTCAACCCTCTTCCCAAGTCTGTCACAGGACTCGACAGACGGGTCCATCCGGCGACTTCCACCCTCCTCACAGGCTCGGTCAAGCCACAGGAAGCCCTCTAGGAGACGTCTCAGCTGGGACCATGAAGAGATGCCCTCGGCGGCCGCATATGCTGTCAATCTCTTCGAGAAGAATCGTGTCCTCGTCCGGTCTGCTGCTGCTGGACAGGCCATGGCGCCGATTGTGGAAACCCAGACCAGAAGCGGACGCCCTACATCCATATCAGTGTGTTGCGCATCCACATCCAACATACGTAGCGACGCCATCAGCCGATCAAGTAGAATCTCCAACGGCTCTCGGTTGGGCAAGGGGTAGATAACAAAATGCGTGAAAATCAAAGCCGTCGTCTGGCAGAGTTGTTCGTCGACCGAGTCGTCAACGAACGTGTAAGCCAACAGACGATGCTCAATGGTATCTCGGAGGACCGACAAATCTCGTGACAAGGGCGGGGAGGGTTCATGTGCTGTTGATCCCGGCTCCATTTGACCGTGCAGTGTTTTAACACAGATACAATAAACACGTATGTCGGAGAGGATGACCAAGAGGGGCGTGTAGTCGGAGGTTCGCAGGAGTGCCCGAATGAACCTGTCCCGTACGTCTTTCTCTACGCCGTTTCTTAACGAAGTGGTCTCCTTGCTCAGAAGACGCCATCTGCTCGACGGCATGTCCATCCACGGACGACTCAAGGTCTTTGCACTTTCCAGGATGTCAAACTGATACAGCGCCTCGGCGAAGCCTGGCGCCTCGTTCCCCGCGTCGGCCAGTCCGCTCCTTGATCGGACGATCTGCTGCATGGCCCTGCAGTGCATGTGATCGTTTTGATGTTGGCCCCAGAGATTGAGGAATTGCAGCCCAGAGGGAAAGGCGGGCCAAACAGACCGAACGTACCTTGGACTGGCGTGCTGCAGGTGTTGTCACTTTGCTTGGCCAGGGACATGACTGCGAAGAAGATTTCGTCGCTGGAAATGAGGCTGCCCGATTTCCTGGCGACTGCATTAGTGGAAGAAGCGTTGATGCCGACGAGCACTTGTCTGATCGCGGTGTTGGCGTGCCGGAGTCGGATAGTTGTATAATCCCGACCGGACAGATAATCGAGATCCAGACTGGTGGCAAGGATGACGCGGGCACCTCGAGCATGCGCCTGGGCCAAAGGTCGCCGGGCGCCTGAGAGACGGCCCAGGGGGTTGAAAGGCCCCGGTGTGAAGAGTTGCATGGTTTGGGCCAAAGTTTATCTTTGGCTGCGGTCGAATGCGTGGTGTCAGCGTGGTCGATCTAGGACGTGGAAAGGTGTGGGCTTCCAGCTCATACCGAAGAATAGAATGTCCCATTCGAGAGCACTCAGGGAACTGCCCTGGCAGAGCGGGTAAGTCGGACTGGCACTCCAAATACCTGGAACTGCTGATTGCTTCGAGCGAGCCCCGTCGTTCACAATTGCGCCCGGGCTGCGCAGTATTGATGCCAGCTGCGCGTGAAGCTTCCGCGTTCCTTTCCGGGTCAACACCTGTAGCGAAAATGGGTCGTCGGGTAGCTCGACGTACGGCGTGCTCGCTGATAAATGCGGTTCTGAAGCTGTTTCCGTTTCTTTGGGTCCGACAGTCCTGACCAGTCTTCTTCTCTGTGCTCGAATCTGGACGGTAGCGCCGGTTCCTCCATGTCTCTGATGGATACCTAGTTAACGCTGTACATGTGTCTGGTAAAGGTGGAAGACATGGCGACAAGAGCGACAAGAACAATGACCTGTGCCCAGTCTATCTGAGTGTTAGGCCCTCCATGGCCTGAACCTGCCCAGCCAATTGGAGGTGAAAGCGAATCGACAGGGCTGTCAGCCAGCGGCATGATAGTCCACAGCCTTGCATGGTCTCGGCGTCAGCTTCGCAGCCAAGCCTGAGGCTATACAAGCGAGTTGATACAAGACCATGTTTGGATGACCAGGCGGACAAATTTGTTGGTTGATTTCAAAGCATCGTCTCCGCGAGTAGTGTTGGCAGACGAAAGATGGTGAAGGAGAACAATCTCAAGGTCCCTAGGGAAGTGGGTATATAATAACCACATCCTCAAGGAAGAGAGTCCAGAAAGCAGAGTCCACAAACAGATTTCAGAAGCAGAGTCGATCACGCCCATTCGTAATATGACCTCTTCAGATCCATCCTCTCTTGCGGGCAAGACAGCCCTAGTCACTGGTGGTAGCCGAGGCATTGGTGCCGCCATCGCCGTCCAGTTTGCGAAAAAGGGCATCACAGGCATTGCGGTGACATACGCCAACAGCCCCGAAGCCGCCGAGCAAGTCCTTGCCACCTGTCGGGAGCTAGGCGTGCAAAAGACCGTGGCAGTACACGCGGACCTCCTCGACACCGAAATCGGCCCTAACCTGATCCCGAAGGTGCTCGCCGGCCTGGAGACCAAGACGCTCGATATTATCGTGAACAATGCTGTTGTTGTCGATTTCAGTCTGATGGAGCCTTTTGAGGGCATCACTCTCACCGCGTTCTCGAAAGCCATGCAAGGCAATGTCTTTGGCCTGATCAGTATCGTCCAGGCAGCATTGCCCCATCTTCCTCCACACGGCGGTCGAGTCATCAACATTTCCAGCATCACCTCCAAAACACCCAATACCGACCCTATGATGGTTTATGGCGCCTCCAAGGCTGCGGTGGACAGCATCACGAGGTCCCTTGCGCTGACGTACGGGATCAGGACTGGGGCGACATTCAACTCGGTCAGCGTCGGAGGAACACTCACTGATGCGATGAAGAAGGTCATCGAGCTTGTTGGCCCGGCTGCGGAGCAACACGCCATTGACGATTATACCGCTGAGAAGCGGATCGGGGTGCCTGAGGATATTGCTTTCGTGGTTGGATTCCTCGCTAGTGAGGAAGGCCGTTGGATCAATGGGAGTCATGTAGCTGCGAATGGGGGTAGCAGGGGATTGCTTGCGCTTCAGGGATGAAGTAAATCAGTACAAGTCGGGACATATGGAATCCCGGAGGCCAGCCTTTGGACAACAGACTTGCAAATACTGTTGCGCACCACAAACGTCCTGGTAACTCACCTGTCCAGGCACATCGTGGCGTGGTCGCACCAGAGAGGGTGACATGACAGAGTGAAGGTAAGAGTGCTAGAGCATGTATCAGCTTCGAAAACAATGCTTAGAAGAGTGGATGCATTTGAAAGAACGGGCCTCACGATCTCGGAATGTGACACAGGCGTCGCTGGATCGCAAGCTGCTCGACCATATGGCTGCGGCAAAGGCGATAGATACAAGGCAAGACAGCCAGATGCGTGAACCGTTTCAACTTAAACACTGCCTATTAGCATGGCGACCGGCAATATTGAATCCGTCCGCTGGGCAAGCTCCTTCCACCCTGCATTTTGTACATAACCGTATTAGACACTCGTCTGCTCAAAATCGATCTGCTCGACTGGTCACCGTCCGAGGCGTTGGACCTGTGGCAGCTGGAATTGCCTCTGACCTTCTCGCGGCAGGACTGAATTGTCACTGACGGCAAAGTGGCATTGCATGGCTCGGGTTCTGCATGGAGCTCCCTTGCTGGGCCCAGAGTAGCTGATTTGTAGATTTGGTCGCGGCGAGGACTTCCAGCATTTGGTCAACGTCCTGAAGAACTAGGCATTGTTGCGCGTCAGATTTCAAGCTGCCAGGCCTCGCTTCTCAGACTCGGAGAAGAAAATGAGCATGCGCCACAGCTTGCGAACAAGCACTTCGGCTTCTTCGTCCAGAGCCTATTGTATGGTCCGTTAGCCATGTTTCGCACTGAATGCATACACCGCACAAGGACATGTGTACTTACCCCTTCCAGCTGTCCCACTAGATCTTGCGGCTTGCCTCTCGTGGTCAGGGCATTGACAACCACGTCCACTAGCATCTGCTCCTGAACACCCAGATACTCGACGATCTTCTTCTCGACGAATGGCTTCAATCGTTCTTCAATCACACTCTCGTCCACAAACTCCCACTTGACGTCCCAAGCCCACAGCCCTGCTTTGTCGTTCGGGATATCAGCGGCGAGCTGTCGAGCGGCTTGGGCACGTTCTTCTTCGGACATGCCTGCACTCGTGGACGCATCGTATTGAATCGGTATCAGTGTCCTCCGAGCGCCAGACTTGGACTCTTCTTCCTCGTCCTCAAGCAAGCCTTCCACTTCCGCAACGGTGCGCTTGGTCGCCTGGGATGCATTCTGTGCTGCAGCCTTCTGCGCCGCAGCTGCTCCCAAAGATAGCTTGAAGCGGGCAGGCTCGCGGCGTTGTTCTCGAGATTCATCCTCCTCGCGTTCTTGCTCGCGGCTGAACATCTCCGCCTCCTGCCTGGAGAAGAAGTCATCGGCCATCGCACCAGCCTTTTGCTGCTGATGGAGTTCACGGGCTCGCTCGCGTTGCTCTGCCGCACGGTCGGCGTCGTCATTAGCGATTTCGTGTTGGCGGAAGCTCGCACGATTGCGGATCCAGTTGCTTCGATCGGCGTAGTACTCTTCGACTTTACGGGCTGCCTCGAGATCGTCGTTCCAATCGTGCAGCCGCTTTCGCATCGCCGCCTTTTCTTCATTGCTGCGGGATGCTTCGTCCTTGTCGCGAGTTTTCTCTCGCTCCACAGCTGCTGTTCTTGATCTTTCCCGGTTGAGCCATCGGCGTTCTTGATCTAGAAATTGCTTTTCGAGCTCCGCGTCTTTCTTCGCCTTACGTCGTCGCTCGAGTTCTTCGTCGCTCGCATCGGTGTCCTCGTCTTCGAACGCAGAGGCGCCGCTGACTGCTGTCCCATTCACGAATGTTACGCCCTTTTGATAATCCCGGGGAATCTGAACCCCGAAGCCTTTGGGACCGGCTGGGGCTCCTCTCGGGCCAGAGGGAATTCCATTCGTGCCGGCTGGTCCAGCAGGGGCTGAGGGCGGGGGTGAGGCCAGACGATTGTGGCGATCGCCATTCAACATGCGGCTGCGTTCCTGCTGCTCCATCTCCTCTTCTCTCTTCAGCCGCTCCAGATCACGGCGATTGCTACGGTCGCGAAATGCCGCAATCTCCTTTGCCACAGTCTCGCGCATCTCTGCTGGTATGTCGGACAACTCGTCGTCGATCGCAATTGGAATGGTAACCACCTCGCCATTAGCGTCGACTTTGGTTCCATCCACCATGTTGATATCGCCTTCACGGTCAATGTTGGACAAGTCATCCTTCTGTGCCGGTACCGAAGGATTGCGGAGGTCATTTAGAACCGCGTGTAGTGCCTCTCGAGCGTGATCAAGCCGCATCTGTGCCGCGTCGGTATCCTTTCCCCCCCGCGATTCCTCCCACTGTTGGATATAGGTCAATGAATTGTCGTCTGCGACGATCTGTGGCCGTGTCAGTAAACATCCCTCTCTCTATTGCACATCATTTTGGCGTACCAGCAGTTTCGACATTTCGACGTGGGGCTCCTCTTCTATCTTCGCTTCACCTAGAGCCTGCCGTTTGACTGGAACCTCAACATCCCTTAGTACTTCTATGGCAGTACTGAGGCTTTCGGGGTCTTCGTACTCTGCGAAACCAAACTTGCAAGGCTTGCCATCAGCGTCCGTGGCGCGGATCCACCTCCGTAGACTTCCTGCAGCATTCAGGATTCTCTCGATGCCTTCATCGCCCCCCGCACCCTCGGTGATGCCGCCCACGAAGATGGTCTTGATGATTTCTTCCTTAGTCTGTGGCTGTATCTGTGTGACTCGGTCTCTTTCACCTCGAAAATCCGACCGTTCTCCGCCACCCAGTCCTGGCCTTCTACCGCCTCTTTCGCGTTCCTCGCGTCCGCCACGATCGTCGGATTTCGATGGACCTGACGTGCCTAGTCGTATGACTGGGGCGGAGAAGTTGATGTTCGGCATATTGGGCGGCGGTTGGAAGCTGGGTGGAAAGCCGGGCCTCCCTGGTTGATGCGCCTCTTGCTGTTGTATGCCGGGCGGAGCGCCCATGCCTGGAGCTGCCATACCAGGAGGTGGCCCCATTCCTGGCGGTGCTCCCGGGAAGCCGCCATAGTCTCCTGGTGCGCCATATTGTCCTGGTGCTTGGTAAGGTGGATTGTACATTCTGGCGGAGAAGTGAGGGTTTCTCGCGAGGTAGAAGAGATGCTTAGTGGTATCCGACTAAAGGTCAGCTCGAAGTCCTCGCCATAGATTCCAGCATAAAAGATGAGTGCGCATGGGGAAAGAAGCACGACGGTCTTGCTGGTGTTATTCTTCGCTACTTTTCGCCCATCAAGCACGCTCACAGAAAAGTGATTGAGATTGAAAGCAGCGCGGCGTCGGGATTGACATTGATCCGATCCGAGTTCCTGGGCGGAACGATAGGAGTACCATCATCATGGAATCGTTCCTCAACAATTGAACCACAGTAGTATGTTAGCCGCGCTCTCCAGGCTCTATGAAAGCGTCTTCTGTATCCAACGAGCTGATGATTAGGTACCATTGATCTACTCATATTACGCCTGATGGAGGAGCTTCGCAAAGGCGAAAGGCAACGATCCGGCCACGGCACGCTCTCAGATATACGGAGTATCTTCTCAGCGAATTCGCTCCTCGGCATCGACCAGACAGTATGTGACTTGTTGGTCGACGGAGGAAGACCAACTCCATTATGCCCATATCAAGGACGCAATGATTTCGCTGCATTACTTCAGCAAAGATAGTTTCTAGGTGGTGACTCAGGACTGACCAGGTATTACGCGATATACCCAAAACAAGTGGAGGGTCTACGGATTACTTGTATCTCTCAAGGTCTTATGCAGAATCAGCAGAGCTGAGACAGAACCGACCGTGCATCCTTGTCAACCAGCTCATCGTGGCTGAACGTTCCCCTCCACCCATGTCCGTTGATGGACGCGCAAGATCTACAGGAACGGCAACAGGTCCAGAGAAGGATGAACCTAGGCGGCCCATCGCCCAACCCCGGATGATAAGACCGCTGTATATACGGACCAGGAGCTGGCACAGCCACTCGCACCCATGTCCGCACGGAGGGGACAAGCATTTAGTCCGGCTCCATATAACGTACCTCACGACCAAGTAGGTAAAACAAGGCTGGTAAATAGGACCGATGAGTACTCCGTACAGAAGCAGGATGATAGACATGAACCACAGGCTACTAGGTAGGCATGGTCTCCGACAATCATGTACCTGGTATGCATGGTAGGCTCGGGGAAGTCTTGCGCGAGGAACGTGACCTGACAAGGCTAACCTTCGGACCTCGATTGTCGCTATTGAACAGTTATGGTCAAAAACAGACTCGACTCTGGATATTATCGGACCTGTCAACACCATGATGTCGCGTATGTCCTGGGTCGTCCAAGTCTGATGTGATCCTTATGTCAATTGCTAGTCAGAGAAGGGAGGGATTGCCGTCCAAATTTGGACGGATGTTGGCTGCTTCCTCAGTATTAGTCAGACCGGTCAAGCACGAGGAAATGTATCAAATGGGCAAGCTGCATGACGCTTAACTTGCAGATTAGGACACCAGAGTCAGGACAATTGTTTTGGAGGTGGAGCAACCCAGCGAGCGGATCACGCTGGCAGAGCAGTCCCAATCTCAAAGGCGCATCCTCCGCAAGGCAGATGCGAAGACCAGCGGCACATCTGACCAGGTGAGGTGCTTCTTCGCCCTTTCTGGGGTAAATTTCCCCTGGATCAGAGATATGTACCTGTTTATGACAGGATGGGTGCCAGCACGATGCAGTCTGCAAGGCGGCCTCTGGCAGCCTCACATTGACTTGTTGACAGCCTAGCTCCAGCCAGTGGTGCCTCGTCGTGTCGCTTGAGGGGTCCGAGATTGAATGATGGAAGCAGGGAACCTTCTGAAACCGTACTATGCAAGTGGGTGAATTGCCTGGCAAAGTTTTCCACTCTTGCATGCGTGCTGCTCGCCGCCACTTTTGGAATCGGCGCTCCACCGGCTGACCGTCCACAGGCCAGGATGGAGCCTTGATGAGCCCGGAACAAGGCACCTAAAGCCACCCATCTGCTACGGGCTTAGGGCTTCTGCAGGCGAGACCCTCCCCCACAGCTCGGCAGCTCCCTGAAGTTTCGGTCTGTGGCTGGCTTCGAGCAGCACCATCGACAGACTATCAGAAAGTTAGATGTTCCAACGTCATTATTTCTTTGTTCGATGGGTTGCAATGCTGGTCGGTCCACCGTGCAGGCCTCGCCAGCATCCGGGACGAAAGCTGAAGGTGTGTCGTGGATGTCTGGATGGGTCAGCATCCGAGATGGATATCCTGTGCAGATCCGCGGCAGAGGCCAGAAGGCGAGCTGCGCGTATTGGTTGGTGGGCCTTTCCTCGTGAGATGCCGTGCTCTTCTCGGCACGCCAAAGGCAGCCTAGGGAGGCTTAGCCGCCTAACTAAGGCGCATTACGCGGTAGCCTGTGACTTATCGATGTGGCGGCCAGGGCTCCTCGAGGCACTACCCAGGCCTTCTCCGGGCGGCCAGGGGGGGCACTCTTTGGGCACAGTTACGGGTCGGCGTAGCATTCGAGGCGCGAGAATGGCGATGCACCCCCCGCTTTCATGCCTTAGAACCCAACCACCAAATTCCGTCCGGCTTTGTCGACCTCCTCTTCCCCCCCTGCGGCCCGGGATGCCGTTGCACAGAAGCAGCCATCATCGTCGAGACACTGCCAGTTCTGAGACCGGCGGAGGACCCATTTTCCCGTTAATCAGAGTTCGTGGCAGTCTGGGGAGCATCGTGACCTGCCATTCGTCGTTTGCCCTTCCCCGAGTCGCACAACGCATCCCTTCTTTGCAACAGTGCGCATCCTGTAGGTGTGGAAGAGGCTGTTGGTGGAGTTGGCCCAGTCTGGCCTTGGTCTCGATCTGTGCAACTCCGCTTCTGGAGGATGCGACGACCTCACGTCCACTTCATCCTTCGCTGTCCCTCTCGAGGATAGACTCTGGATTTTCACCACCATGGCTGCCGTTCTTCCTCAGCGCGCGGCTCTTACCGAGCCCACGGCCGCTGGGTACTCCAAGACCTCCCGCCGCCAGTATCAAGCATGTGATCAGTGTCGAAAGAGCAGACGAGCATGCGACGCTGGCACGTTGAGAGTGGCCAACTTTCCATTTCGCGAAGACGAGCAACCGGACGCATCTGCTGCGACGTGCGAGGCGTGCTCAAACTGTGCCAGAACCAGCAAGCGATGCACCTTTGTCTGGCTCAGCAAGCTCTCTTTGCAAGGCCTGCCAAAGGGCGTCAAGCGGAAACTGGAATCGACGGGCCTGCCGAACCTCGTCGCCGATGCAGCACCAGACTCGAACCACCAGACTTCCTCGTATCAGGGCGACTATTCAAAATCAGATCCATCGGCGCTGCCACAGCTGTTGCCCGCCACCCATTCATTTCACACGGTTCACGACGCACCACCGAATGGACTGCCCAAGTACCATATTACGCCGATATACGCAAGTCCGGAGCAGACCGTCAACTACCCCTCTACCTCTCCCGAAGCGCGCTATTCAATAGATTCTAACGCCCATCAAGTCGCGCCTTCTATTGCAACGGCGTCGGCCGACGGCGGCGTGGTCACTTCCATTCAGTCGATCCCAGATGTGGCCTTCCGGCCGCCTCGTTTACCTGATGAGACCACGAACCACATTCGATGGAGTCCGCCCAACCTGGGTCGTCATGACACAACATCTACCTCTTCAGGGTCAAATTCCATCGACTCCATCAACACCGTCTCAAAAGTCGAGCCTTCGCCCAGCTTGACTTCTATCAGCTCCGAACCAAGCGGCGACGATGGTGCCACGCCCGCCTACTGCTCGAAACGGGTCAAAGGTGGAAGCGTGCCCGCCGAATACTATGATACTCTGGTCACACCTCAAACCTCCGCAAATTCGCGTCCACGCAGACAGCCGAACACTGCTGCAGTGTCGCCAAGTTTTAAGCGGCAGAACTCGACAGTGCTCTCGAATCGTCAAGTCCATTTCATCGATACCGCGATGAAGAAGATGATAGCAACTGGACTGCTTCAAATATATCATGACAGCTTCGAGAACTCTCTGTCATGTTGGGTGACGGAGCGGAATTGTCCTTACGAGATCGAGCTCAGAGGCCTCAGCCCCAACGCCAGCCCGGCATCAACGGCGGAAGAAGCTGCAGTCCGTCTGGGCGATAATAGGATCTTGTCGCGAGTCTCCCGTCTGGACGCCGCCTTTGCTCGCTTGAGAGAACGGGAATTGTCGGTCATAGAGAATCGGACCGCCACCAACGCACTGAACGCGGCCATCATGGCCTTTGCCAGCCAGTGGTCCCACAGCTCTCACAACGCGTTTTGGAGGAGCAGGGAAGGAATGTCTCAGATGCGGGCTTGCCAATCTCAGTCACAGGGTCTATTCTCCCAGTCCGAATGGACCAACAATGAAAGACACATCCAGAAGATGCTCTGGCACGATGCTCGCACCGCGATCCAAGCCAGTGCTGAAATCGACTCGTTCAAAGTCATATTAGCATACATGATCTTCGCGCTGACGCAAAGGCCCATTGACGTGAAAACGAAGACGACCCCGGAGACGCAGACCTCGCCGACAGACAGTGCGACGGATAGTCGCAACGGTTTCGAAACCCCTTCTACGGACGACAGTACCGAACCCCGCGCCGATCCTGCCATGGAAACCATCGTAGACAAAGAATGGAACCCGTTTTATGCGAGCGAACCCGAGGCATTGGCCTCTCCACCCATCTATCTCGAGACGGCGGTGCGAAACCTTTTTGCATGGAGGCGCAAGATCGAACGGTACCGTCGACTACGATCGAAGAACAAAGGTGCTCATGGGCATGGCTCTATGGGTCCTCTTGCGGTCAAGGACCATCAGACGTTTAACCTCTTGTTTTGGCTTGGTGTCATGTGTGACACGACGTCGTCAGCCATCAGCAAGCGGCCATTGGTCATCTCAGATGAAGACTGCGCCATGATTCAGGAGAGTGTTGATGCTGCAGGCGACGGTCCGGAAGGCGAGGAGATCCATTACCAGCAACTCGAAAAAGATCGGCCGGACGACTCTGGCAGCCTGTGGGGCAATTATCTGTTGAAATTCACATGTGTCCCGGACGGATGCCCGCCGCTCCGATGGCCGTGTAGCTTCGACGAGGCAGCCTCAGTGCTTCAAGAAGCCATTCCGGTGAAAGTGTTGATGTTCCGCAAGGTTGCCGCCCTCCAGACGCTGGCATATCGGAGGTCTTCACCACATCAGCTCGAGAGGTGCATCAAAGAGGCGCTTGATGTTTATTCGCATTGGAACAACCTGTACGGACAGTTCATGATCGATTGTGTCGACCAGCACAACATCCTCCCTCCACACGTCAAATCATGGTATGTCATCCTCGATGGGCACTGGCATTACGGGTGCTTGTTGCTTGCCGAGACGATTTTGCAAGTCGACAAGGAGGGAAAGACGCTGGAACCTCAACGAAACCTGCGGGCGAGTTGCGAGCTTCTCAGGGAGCTGAGACAAAGCAATGCGGTCGCTATCGCCAAGATCGCACAGGCCTCACTTTCTGAACATATACCTTCGGTCCCCGATAACGCCGAATTCCACTTTGCGACAAATAGCAGCGCTATTTTAACGGAACCATGGACGGATATACTTGTTCGCGCCATGGGCAGCGCATGTAAGATATTCATCGACTGGTTGTCAGCCTGGCATAATTCGGCCGATACGAACCACGTGTGGGTACACACGACAAACAGCTACGAGAATCTGTATAGCCAAGCGGAGGCATGCATACAGGCCATGACGCTTCTTGGCCGCAAATCGGACGCGGCAAAATGTACGGCGGAAGCCTTCTGGACAAGACTCAGCCGCGCCACTTCCTACAGGCGGGCATCGGCTGGAACAGACAAAGAGGATTGGTCGCCCGAGACTTCATCGCGAAGAAATGACCAATAGTGGAATTGGGGGATCAGTGTGGTCGCATCGCGTCATGCGGTGGGTTCGTTGGGAACCTGTCAAGAGGACAGGTGGGAGGTCGATATCTTGTGGCCGAGATCTTCCTGTTATGATATTGCTTGATGAACATATTCCTTCTCGGTTATCAAGCTTCTTTATTTCCTGGTTCGTGGGTTTACCAATACTGCCAACAAGGGCAAGTAGGATAGTTCCGACGGGAGAGAATGTCACTGCGGCTGTCCTGTAATCCACAGTCCTACTGAACTCACGAACTATCCAGTCCAAAAATGGTCCCAGAACCATCGCAAGGCTGTGTGCGAGCCTTGCGCCGCAAGCCACCAAGACGGCAGCATGTTGACGTGACGTCATTCGAATCTACCTTTCACGAACGTGATAACCGGACAAGCAGGGTTTCTCGTGCATTGCTCAAGTTGAACGAGCTGAACGAGCTGTATCGGAGACAACTTATGCACGTTCGATGAAGTCCCGGCATACCCTGCTCTGCATCATGTCTACATGACGCCTGTTCTCGCTTCCTGAACCTAGCTCCCCTTCAACGACCGGGGTACCTTGACAGATCGTCATAGCCACACCATGTCCTTCATTGACGAGTAAGTCCCTCAAGATCCAGGAGCTCGGCCTGTCTAACTCGCTTTCTGCATAGCGACCTACGCAGGGTGGATGCTGCGTTGGACAAGTTTCAGCTGAGAGAGGCCGAGGAGAGGGTGTCTACCGCCGCTGCAACCTCCAGCGAGGACCCTCGGACATCGCAACTCAAGGCCGTTGTCCGCGCATTATCCACGACTTCCAGCTCCAGACCCCTCATCCGCCGCACTCGACTGCGCAGTCTGCTAGGTCAACTTGCCCAAAGAGATGGAGAGCATGTCAGTGCCGAGACCGCGTCGCCTGCCATCGCCAACCTGGAATGGATCGCGGCTGGCAAGGCGACCGCCCAGGTCTATGGCCTGATCCTGAGTTCGCTTCTGGACCGGACAATCCCACTCAGCGAGTCAATATGGTACTGGGACGACCTACTGTCATCGTACGCGAATATTGCCCTCTATACCATCCAGACCTCTCCTCTCAGGTTCTGGCAACAGGCGAAAGAAGTCTACGCGGACGCACGTCATAAATTCAGACAAGGTCAAGTGCTTCAGACGTCTGCCCGGGATGCAACCAGGACCGTCACAGACAGCTGGCGAGAATTCTACGCGCTTGTCCAGAACAGTGTCCAGGAACGATCCCTCGCGCAGGCCCAAACGAAGATTCTCTCACCCTTTTCCATCGCCCGCGTCGAGGTCAGGAGGAACCTGGACCATATCCGCCACCTCAGGAAGTCCAACGCCGCCACGATTGGCAGACTGGTTAGGGAGTGTCTGGTCTTTGGCGGGCCGCCGGAAGACCGCAAACGGGGTGCATTAGTTCAGATGCTAGAGCCCGGGGATGATGACTGGCAAACGACCATTGCGCGGACGGCGTACTTGCTCGATATTTCCACAAGGGCTACGCATGAGGACGAGGAGGACTATACGTCCATTGACCCGCAAACAGCCTCTTCAACCGAGGTGGCCGGGCTGCTGATTAAGGTGTTGGACCAGCGGCTCCCCAAACAGGAACAAGAAGCGAACAAGCTGAGCTCCAGGTACGGAAAACCCTCACGACTTATTCGATATTGGATACCCGGTGTGGTGCTCGTACTGTCCGGGAGCACGCTGCTTCGAATATTCATCAACCGCCGTGCAGAAATACTCCAATGGTTCCGTGAACTGGGGCAGACGACCATCGACTTCTGGACGAACTGGGTGGTTGAGCCCGTCAAGAAGCTCATCGGCACGATCCGGCATGACGAGCAGAGTGAGATTGCCATCCAGAGCCGGGACAGCCTGCGTGCCGACCGCGACAGCCTGGAACGGATGGTCGTCGACTTTGCGGTCCAGCATCCTGAAGACGGCAAGAATTTCACCGAGGCACAGGTCGCCGAGATCAGAGCGAAAGTGAAGGAAGGAGATCTGACGCCTGTGCTGAAAGCATATGAACGAGAGATGCAAAGCCCGATCAAGAATGCAATCATGGGCGATTTGATCCGGACATTGCTGATCCAGGTGCAGAAGACGAAAGTGGATGTAGAGGTCGCAATTGGTGGGATTGACTCGATACTCAAGAGTCAAGAGTTACTGTTTGGGTTTGTTGGCATTGCGCCTGGTGTGTTGATCTCCTACGCCCTGTTTCAATGGTTCGCGAGCACGTTTGGCGGCCGCCGTGGTCTACGACAGGGACAACGGAAGGGCGAGGCGGTTCGGCTCATAAGGTTCGGTAACCTCCCTAAGATCCATGATCCCCTACTGACAGTGGTCGAACAGAAACATTGATCGTACCTTGACCTCGACGGAGCTGGACCACGAGGAGGGCATTATTTCCGAAGAGCATCACGGGTTACTTCTGTGCGAAGTCCACCTGCTACGCCAACGCGCTTCACAAGTCCTGCCGAAGAACGTTATGCGGGATTTCCTCGAGGACCTGGATGATCTGCTGGATGTCAAGCAAGGGGTGAATAGGCAGATCCAGGCCTTGAGAAGAGTAGAATGGGTATATGCGAAGTGGTTGAGGTGAGGCTCCCCCGTACCAGGCGGGATGCGGCACCCATGCGTCGTAGTCCTGACAGCCTCACGTATGATTGAGGACGATGAATCCATTAGAGGGAAAATCGTGTGCAGTACGGAGTATATTACAGAGGAAAAGAGGATGATTAGATGCGGTGGACGAGGGCCTGAAGCCACTCGCTTTCCTCGGGCCAGCCCCCAGGACTGACGCCTATTTAGTTGCCATGTTGAGCCCAGCACGTGGCCCCGTTAAGAAGACAAGAGTGTCAAGCGCGACAATGGCATCATTCTCGGCTTCACTCCGGGCGTTGAGATTGCCTGCGACTGCGCCGGCGCCTGATCCAACGTGCAACATCCCAGATCCTAGATCCCAAATCCCGAATCCGAGCGACATCATCTGTCGCATCCTTACACCCTTCATCACCCTCTCTAGTCTCTACTGCAGCCTTGAGCTCAAGGAACCAACATCCTCGCCCAGTTTAACGTTGTCGCTCGTGCTGGGTGCCTGCTGGTCCTCATCCACCTCACCACCTCACCACCGGCCACCAAGCATTAGGCGCTTCACTGCAGCGGACCACTTCCTACCGTAGCCCGCCACCGTTAGGGACCAGCGACCGTTCTTTGCTGAGTGAACCACGACCCGTACTCTTCCATCCTCTTCTTCCGGCTCACAGACTGTCGCCATGGCAGGTCAACGGAATTACGACTTTCTCGTATGTTGCGTTGCACCTTCGACCGCGTGTGCAGACCGATGTTGTCTAACCCTCACTCTCTCTGCTTCTAGATAAAACTCCTCTTGATCGGCGACTCGGGCGTCGGCAAGTCCTGCTGCCTGCTGCGCTTCTCCGAAGACAGCTTCACGCCCAGCTTCATCACCACCATCGGCATAGACTTCAAGATCCGCACGATCGACCTTGACGGCAAGAGAGTCAAGTTGCAAATATGGGATACGGCCGGCCAGGAACGCTTTCGCACTATCACAACCGCATACTACAGAGGCGCCATGGGGATTCTACTGGTGTATGACGTGACCGATGAGAAGAGCTTTAACAGTACGCCTCCGCTGATAGTCCCCATCCGCACAATTATCTAACCCGCGGGTCTGTGACAGACATAAGGACATGGTTCTCCAACGTCGAACAGCACGCCTCGGAAGGGGTCAACAAGATCCTCATCGGCAACAAATGCGACTGGGAGGAGAAGCGCGCCGTTTCGACGGAACAGGGCCAAGCGCTCGCCGACGAGTTGGGTATTCCGTTCCTCGAGGTCTCGGCGAAGTCGAACATCAACATCGAGAAGGCCTTTTATTCATTAGCGAGCGACATCAAGAAGCGGTTGATTGATAGTTCCAAGGAGAGCGGCGGTGCTGGAGTCGGGGGCCAGGCAGGTGGCCCGGGTGTCAGTGTCACGCCGAACCAGGGCGTAGGGGGCGGCAAATGCTGTTAGGCCCGCATTCGGCAGAGGAGCGAGTGGCAGGAGAAGAAGCGACGACAGCCAGCGGCGAGTGAGTGCAAACGCAGTGTGCGGCCAACGTGGATGTCAAGACTCTCAGATTGGCACGACTCCACCGAATGGCTTGCAGCCCTAAGAGCTATTCACACTCACACCGTACACCCATACAGCCATACACACACCCACACTCACACACCAATATTCAGGCCGCACTGTCTGGGATCGACTGCTGGGTACCTGTCCTTCCTAGTGGTCCCATAACGTGGGAATTCTACTGGAGTAGACTGAGGGCTTGGTGGATGACTGTCTCTTGACAATCTAAGGGTCGACCATGCTCGATGCCTCCTCAACCCGACATCCTACCTTTCCTACCTTTCTTTCTTGGCACGGCATGGGTCTACGATTGGCGTTTAGGGAAACCGGGGTATTGATTAAGCTTTTGCTCTCGGGATGAGGAGTATTTTGGTATTTCACCAGGCCTGACGTCCGGGGCTTATCGAGTAGGCAGGCAGAGAGACAGACAGGCGATTGGGAACGGCAGAGGAGAGCTTCGATGTCGTGCTTGAACGTGAGCATGAGCATGAGCGTGATCGTGTGGCTCCACCACCTCGTACGAGTAGATGAGCATCCGCAACAATCGAGTCCGTCCTGGTCTATCCGGTGCAGTACAATGCAGTCCTATTCGAGCTGTGCACGTGCGTATCTCTCTCTCTCTCTCTCCCTCTCTCTCTCTCTCTCTCTGTCTGTCTGTTTGTGTGTGTGAAATAGTGTACAACTGTATTAGCCATTCACCATTCATCCTGGTCCATGGCCGATTATCTCGACATAGACCAGTTACAGTAATTATAAAAAGTCCCGAGGACAGACAGATAGACTGACAGACAGACAGCAAGGAAGATATGTATAGAACGAATGCAATAGACGAGACACTCCCCTACAGATGCACATATCATGTCATATTATGTCATGTCAAATCACATGCGAGGACGTCCAGATGACACGATACAACAGAGTACACTGAACGAGAATGAACCCTCCAGTCAATCTAAACGCATGCCCATACGAGACGGCCTGCGAGAAAGAAGTCTACCAAGTACATCAGATGAAGCGGACAGAGAAAAGCGAGACACTCTGGCTGGCTGGTTGGCTGACTAAGTGTAGAGGGTGTGTAGGAAGGAGGAAGTAGATAGAAAGTAGAAAATCTATTCGATTGCCGTAGGGTAGGTAGTTAGCCTGGAAGTGAAAGCCATGGACACTGGGGTGGCTGACTGTAGAAAGAATCTACTCAATTGATGCCATACCTTATTTACTGTAGCCGGGCCGGGGGAGAAAGAGAATCGCAAAATGCCGCAATTTCCGCGCAACAGAAGAGGGACGGAGGGTAAACAGCAAAGATTCAATACTCCGGTGGTATGCTGGTCGTGTCGTCAAGAATTGCTCGCTGATTGATGTTCATGTCACTTGGATTTTCCAGTCCAACTTCGCGTCACTCCCTCCCTCCCTCCCTCCATCCCCTCCCACCATGTCAAGTCATCTGGCTGAATTCTGTAGCTTTGTGACTCACTCTCCCTCGGCTGACTTGTCTGAGGTTGTCTGGCCGAGACTTCACTTCGACTTCGCTGCATGTTCTTGCCTTGCACTTCTCCATCTATGCTTCCCCGTGCGTCGGTGCAGCCTAGTATCCCACTCCGACGAGGTAGGCGCCTAGTTTCTCGACGGTGTTGGCTGCCGTGCCGGGCTGGACGGTCTCCGGGTAGTGTGTGATCAGGAGGGCTTGTTTCGTCTTGACGATCACGACGCCTTCTCGGCCCTGTCAATCGCCAACAGTTCATTAGCTTTCGCCCCTTTGTTTTACTTCGCTCGTTGTCCCCCGCAATGCGCCGCGCGGCGGCCCTTGCCTACCTTCTTGCCGTATAGACTCGTGTCGTCGGCCTTGATCACAATGTACTTCTGGCCTGCGATGTGGAGGCCTGTGGACTGGACCTTTTTCGGCGAGCTGGTGTCCTTGTACGCGCCGACAATCTCTTGCAGTTCCGCGGGCGTGACTTGGAAGTTCGGCGACGTGGCCCACACGGAGGTACCTTCGGCGTTGAAGATGGCCGCTCGGTCGACGTGGCCGGTGCCGACGAGGCTGGAGGGCCAGTTGGTTAGTATAGTGGGCGAGGCTAGGGCGGTTTGTCATGTTCGGGATGGCCGTACCTGGTGTCAACGTATGCTGGGAGATGGTAATCATGTTAGTCTGTTGACTCCGCCTCTCTTTGTGGCTGACGGGTGGGTAGTGGCTCACCTTGCCAAGACATGGTTGAGAGAGGTGTTCTGATGAGAGGTCTGTCCGGCCTGTGACGAGGGCGGCGGTTGCAGGTTGTGTCGGAAGAGTAAACAGATACAAGAGTCAAGCGAGGGGGGTGCGGGCAACCGGGTCGGAGCAAAAGGCCTGACTTGTTGCTGGGCTTGGGTCCGGTGTATAGGGGGATTTCGTAGGTCGGTCGAAGGCGCGGTTAGGTAGGTACCGGGCGAGAGAAAAGATGAAGATGAAGTGTTGTGTGTGATGTGTGTTGTGTGATCCGAATCAACAGTGAATGAATTGGCGTCGAGGTGGGGTCCGGTTACTTTCAAATGACGGAGTATCTGGGTGCCTGATTTTCAAATGTCACCCCGCTATGGATCCGAGATAAACATGTGCCCGCAGTGGGACGAAAATTACTCTTTGGTCTATTGTGTTCAGATTCCCTTGAGAACATTGTTGCACCTTGAATGCCCACGCGAACACCGATCTTTGTTGCAATGAAATGGACTTCGAACAAGCATGCCGTCTAGACTTTCTTCAGAGCCCTACGTACCCTTCTAGTCGTCGTTCCTAGGTCCTTCCGGGATATGCTCCAACCCGTACAGAGCAAGTGTTTAGTGCTTGGAACATTGCCTCTACACACTTCCTCCAGGCCGACAAACACTCTCCATGGATACATCTTGTGAGTTCTTCTCTGCCATTGCCGGAGTCCAGCTCGAAGACAGGCGTGGGAAGCAGAAGCCAGGATGGAAGACAGTCTGCACAATGGTGGCATACACCATGAAGCTGTGGGGTCGTCAGTTGGAGGACATATCAAACTCGATCTTGAAGGACTTACCATCCCTCGAACACGATAAACGTGGCCTCGTCTTGCATCACATCATTGCCCCAGCCGCCGGCCATCTCGACAATCCGGTAGATACATCGAATGAAGATGGCGAACCACGCTGAGCCCACGCCAAAGGCAAATAGTCGAAACTTGCGTTGTTTGATTGTGGTGGCAGCCTCTGGTGAGAGGGGATGCTGTTTGTGGGCCTTCCATCTTCGCATAACATACCAACCGGCCATGCAGCCGAAGAAAAACAACGCAACCACCTGCCAAGCGATGCCGGCCATAAGCAAGTCGTCTCCGGTTTGTTGCATAGATGGGTCGTCATCGTCGGCAGTCGATGCAATGCCACCACCAGCACCTTGCAGGACAAGCGACAGCAGATCGGCTGAGATGAAAATGTAAGTGTAGAAGCGCGCCTTTATCACCGAGAATTCCTCTCCAAAGCAGAGAACCATGTGCTTGAGGGTGAGATATATGGCGGCCGAGTTGAACGCTGGGGCGATGATCAGGCAGCAAATCTGAGTAATGAATCCGGAATCGTTGAAGGGGTTGTCGTGCAAGATGATACGGCCAACGTAACCAATCGACGCACAGACACAGCCCGCCGTCAGGGCGACCATATAACTCCAGGTCCTGTACCGAATACCGAGACCCAGATTGATCAGGGCGAAAAGAGCAAAGAAGCCGAGGAAAAAGCCGTTGGCGCCTATATCAGGGTGATAGCCGTATACAGACAACTCGACAGGACAGTATTCAGTGATTTCCGTGCATGTCTCCTGGTTCCACACTGTTTCGTTCGACATGTTGAGGGTTGGGGGTCAGGGTAGGGAATTGATGAGGAATGATTTTGAACGATGTTCTTGGTTCTTCTTGCTTCAAGCTGATCGTGTTCTGAAAGTGAAAATGGCGGCGGAAGAGTGGAAAGGAGACACTTGACCATTTATACTCGTGATGTAGAATGCTGAAGCTCGCGAAAAGGCATGCCATGTTATCTGTTTTGCTACCCTAAAACGACGCGCATTGACTGTCACATAACTCCCCCAAACTTACTTCGTGGTGAGCAAGATGATGCTGTGGCTGCAGCGCTGCGCCTGGTTGCGTACCTCGTTCAGGCCAAATGATACCTGGTACCCTTTGGCTGCTGTATTGCGATGAGCGAACAACACCCCAGGTGGGCTGTCACTGACAAAGTGACCAAGTCGCAAAATATAGCCCAATGCAGGCTGCTGGCGTCATGTGGATGTGCCAGGACCTTGGCTGATACGTGCAATGTGAGGCCTGGCCATGGGAATGGTCGGCCTGATTGTGTAGACAGTGGTAGAGCCGAAATACGAGGCGCTGTGAGAATTATTGTGACTGCGGCTGGAAATATGTGTCTCTCGTATCTCGTATTAAACGGTACTGCTGCATCAGGAACGGGACACTGACTAAGCCACGAAAACGTGACGTACTGTCTCGGTGTAGAAAGCGGGAACGGAAGATCGTTGTTGCTTTCCGGTCCCTCATCTGTTGTTCTTGTTTTCTTCGTGCTGTTCTGTTGGCAAAGCAATGGTATAGGAAGTCCTGGCCGGCCTACATCATCACCGCTCTGTGGCTTCTCCCACGCTCATTACAACCTGACAAAGCACAACACAATCAAAGAGGATAGACTAGCTGCCAGGTCTGCCTCCCAAGGTTCTCGGGCGCATATTCGCTCCGTGCTTGTCTGAAGGTTCTAACCCGAAATAGCGACGGCTTGCGACAGATTGTATCACGGTACGCACGGGCGAAACTTTCTACGACCTAGTGTACGGACCACGCGAGCTTGTCATTTCTGGCGCCACATATGCAGCCCCTTCCAACGCCTGACAGCTGGGCGACAGCCTTCGTACCGGTCGAGAAACCTTCAAGCCTTTCATCTCTATCCGGCCGTTCCATGCCCAGGGAATCAGGCCTTGAAACACAATCTCCAAGACAGAACGGCCAGTGGGCGTGTGGTCGGCTCTGCCTCCGATGATACCTGCTATTGGTCCAGCCGTGCATTCCCCTAGAGATCCGACGACGACTTCGCTGTGGCTGACGCGGTGTTAAGCATTGGCTCGCTAATCCGGAATTGTGCTGCCTAACGACCGCCATGTCTATATATCGTGGCAATTACAGGAGAGGCTTGCGATAGGACACGTCGGAACACAGTCTCCGCTAGTGGTCCCTCTTCAGCACCGCCTTGGGTCAAGGATGGTGTACCACGGCCCTAGCGCTGGGTGCAAGGCATGCCGAATGCGTCGTGTGAAAGTGAGTCCATAATCTGCCCTGGCGATTCGCATGCATTGAGTATCAATACTAAGTGCACAGTGTGATCAAGGGAAACCATCGTGCAACAATTGTATCCGACGACGTACTGTGTGCCCCGGGTACGGAGATGTGTTTGACGGCGCGCACCGGAATCAAAACAAGGTTGTGATACGGAAAGTAAAGAAGCAGAACGTCGCGGAAGAGGCAGATCCGGCTAGCAGCACTCCAGGTAGCGACCTGACAGCGGAGATCTCGCCAGGCACCACTTCAACAGCGTCGAATGACTCGGCCACAACCAAACCACAAGGCCCGCTCCAATGGATCATATATTCTGCGACTCCGGAAGAACGTGGAGGCAGTCACGGCAAGGCACTGCAGCTGGGGAAATCTCGTCCTGCAAGGTCCTCAGAAACCGAGCAGACGGTTCCTCTATTGTCGATTCCGGAATCACTGAAGCAAAGTCCCGAGGATGCCTCAATTAATTTCTTCTTCCGGTTCTACACTGGAACCATCTACGACCCCCACCTTCACCATTCCTTCGCACTACTGTGGCAGCCACTGTATCTTAGGTCGTCTGCAAACTCGCCCCTGAGACTCGCGACCGCGGCTGTGACGGTCAACATAACCATGATGTGGAGTTTCCAAGGCTGCGATGCCCGACCAGCACGGAAACTGTTCACCGAGGCCATAGCGGCGACACGAGAAGCAATCAACAATCCCACAGAGAAGAATATGGATGAACTGTTGATGACCATACTGATCTTTGACCTCTACGATTCTCTCGTGCTACATTATGTACGCAATGCCCCGACAAAGTACGGCAAGCACAAGGACGGAGCACTGGCTTTGGTCAAACATAGGGGGTTGTCCAACTATGCCTCCATCGTTGGCAGGGCCCTCACCAATGCGACCCGACACAATTTCCTCGATTATTCACTTTCGCACCGAATCCCAATGCCAGCGGGATCGGAGGAAATCTTTTCCCACCCCGCCATTGGCGAAAGCAGAGCAGCCCAGCTCGACGTGCTCACCATCGAGACCGTCAATACCCAGGCCCGTCTGTGGGCCTTACGCCGAGACGCCTCGTCTACCATGACGAGAGCACAGCGTCGAAAAGCGTACGAGGACATCATTGCCGATGCCATCCGCATCGACGAACTATTCATGACATGGAAACGTGCCATCACCTCCCCCGACTGGCTGCCACTATTCGTTTCCCGTGAGGAGGTCCCGCCGTCCATTCTGACGGCCGGCTTCTATGGCACTAAATGCGCGGTCTGGAAGGACTTGGCCGCAGCTGAAGTGTACAATCTGCATGCCTCGCGCCGGATTTCCGTCCTCCAAATGATCCGCCAATCCCTTGCCGATGAGCCCACGCTCCTGGCAGAAGCCAACTATCGAGCGTACCTGGCCAAAGCCAACGCCGCAGTCCAATCACTCGTCGACTGCATCTGCGAGACAGTCCCATTCCACCTGGGCGACACGGTTGTGCCCACCAACCCGATGTACAGCTCCGGCGTCGCGATGCCGAGCAAAACCGTGACAGACCCGTCGACGGGAGAAACGCGCCGTATCCCAGATCTCGAGGGCAGTGATTTCAAGATGAGGGCCGCCGCGTCGGGTGGCTGGATGATCTTCTCCCACCTGGTCGATATCTACAGGCTGGCCGAGCCGGAGGATGACGCCGAGTCCATCGTGTTAAGAGACGGCCAGCTCGAGTGGGTCAAGGGCCAGATCAAGAGGCTGCAGACGACGTTTCTGTACTGCGATCCCCTATGGTAAGTCTAAGCTAGGTCAGAGGTTTCTGCCGTTTTCTCTTCGCATTGCGCAAACGCTTCAACTAAATCACTTGGGCGTACCGTGCGGCAACGAGCCTGACCAAACTTCTGCAGGTTCCAACGTATTCCTTCGCCGCATATGTCGGCGGCGGCAGCAGCAGCAGCGCCGGCAGCCATAACCGGAAGAACAACGTGACGTATCTTTTATTTTTTAGTCGCGTCCGACTTAGGGTTGGTAGTGGATGGCTGGAAAACAGAGTGTGGGAAATAAGCGCGCGACAGTGCCTACTGACAATTCTGCGCGAGCTGGTCTCAGACGCTTTCACATGTCTGGGGAGTCCGCGGTCCGAATGTGACCTCAAGGCACACACACCACGGTCGCTTCCAATCACAGCAAGAATTTGTCCCTCTTACGATTGACATGCGGACCATGCTCGGGGCATCGGTTCTCTCTGGCGCGTTCTGGGTATCAACGTGATGGAAGAACATTCCTGATTACCCTAAAACCCGAGATGCAGAGGAACTTGGCTTTTGTGTGCGATCAAGTAGTCGCAGATTCTTCTATCTCGCACTCCTTAGAAACTCAACCACCCCCCGGCTATACCCTACTAACTCGGCCAAACGTCGCTCCTCCTCCAGCATGACGTCTCGCCAGGTCATGACCGCGCGCCGAAGCTCATCCACTTCAGACACGAAATCCCCATGGACGCGCAAGAACACATTCATCCACGTATTCACCAACTCAAAGGATATTCTTGCGCGGAGCTGGGCGGTAAGGAAGGTGATGAACGCGGGCATCTCAGAGAGCGCGATGGAGCGGATTTCAAGGTCTGCCGCCGACGGTGGTAGGGCGGAAAGGTATGTCGCTAGGGCGGCGGGGTCGCGCTCGGCATCTCGGGAGAACTTTTCCAGGAGAGAGGAGAGGTCGCTGCCAGAAGCGATGCTCGATACAGCCATGCGGGAAATGCGAGAGCGCTCGGTCTCATCGACGGCCTTTGGCTCAGGTCCGTTGAGACGAGGCGTGTCACCGCCGTTAGCGAGGCTTGCGGACGTGCCCAGGAAAAAAGGCGCGGCTTTGGGTTTCTCCGGAGGTTGAATGGGTTTATTCCTTGCGCGGATGCTGTCGAGGTTCAAGAGAGTCTGCCACCGGGATTGAGGCTGGAGGGAGAGCGTGAGGAGGGACTTGTCCAACTGTTCGAGTTTCGACGAGACATCCATGCCGTCAACTAGGAATTCTTCTGCCTCTTCTGCAGCCACACTGGATTCGTCAATGGCAAGTTGACTCGCTGCGTTGAATGCGGCAGGCGTCTGACTGAGGTCGATGATCCCTTTGATGTCGTCGATCTGTCGTGTCGGCACGTGCGTAAAGAGAGCTTTGTTCGTCCAGATGAATATCCCTGAACTCCCGGCGTGGGTCGTGGCGAGAAATTCGCCAGTGCTGGAGAACGCCATGTTTGTGCATGTCGCTGCTGTCTTGAACGCGTCGATCAGATGGCCCGTGGCAAGATCGAACACGCGCACGACAGAGTCCATGGAGCCAGCGACGATCCATCGCCCATCATGGGAGAAGCAGTAATCATAGATTTGGCCAGTGCAACCCCAGAGCTCACGGACGACCTTGCGTGTTTCGATGTCAATGACGCGAATGCACAAGTCGTCGCATGATATCGCTAGGAGACTGGACACGGGATTATATCGGATCGCAGTCGGCGCGGCGTCGCCGAAGCTTTTCCGTTCGACGATCTTCCCGGAGGAGAAGTCCCAGATGATGATTGTGCCGTCCAAACTGGCACTCACCATGGTTTGATTCAGATTGTCGACCACGATGCCGGTAACGGCGGCTCGGTGGCCACGAGGTACAGCAGCTGCCTGCTCTGGATTTGCTTGCTGCTGCTGCTGCTGCTGCTTTAATTGCTTCGCCTGGGCGGGCGTGAGTCGTGGCGGGTACCGTTGTCGATGCGCCCCCGACTGTAAGTTGAACATATCGAGGCTGCCGCCAGCGGAGCCGACAACGGCAAAGGTTCCGCAAGCAGTTATGGCGACGCTGGTAACTGGTTTGTGATCGCCCGTTTCAAACGCCCATCTGCCTGCTTTCTTTCGTCCCCAGGACCACGTCCTGGCGACCTTGTCATCGGCATGGGCTGTAATGACGCTTTCCCAGCCGGTCATTCCGGATTCTTCGGCGCTGACGTTCTTCGAGTTGGACCAGACTGGGCCAGTGACCGAGCCCATCCCACCGTCTCGATTTAGTGAGCAGGCCATGTCGATGATAGGTGGTGCTTTCAAGTCTTCTACCGCTGACGCGTCGTCTGTGAGGAGACCTGACTTTTTCGCTTTGTGCATGATGGCGCCTTGACTGAGTTCTGTACTTTGGCCGTCGCGGCGAAGCGAGAATCCCCAGAGACTTCGATCCTGGGATGCAGACAAGAGCCACTTTCCAGTTGCGTCGGAGCCGTCTGATGCCGCGGGGAGAAATTTGAGCCTTGTAATAGAGGAAGCGTGTCCGCTTCTGTGGTGGAGAAGACGCGGAGTTGGTGAGAAGGGAGTCTCGTCGAATACCCATGATTTGAGGGCGTTGTCCAAACCTGAGGAAACCAGAACGGGTTGCCCAGCGAGAAACTCGATTTTGCTCACGCCAGTGCCTTGACCCAGGCTGGAGGTCTCGTGAGCACCTCGGACGACTCCAACCACTTTACCTCCACGATTGAGATCCCAGAGTGTGATATCGCCGCTTTCGATGCTGGACGTGGCCATGATCCCCCCTTTTCGCCCATCCTCCCCAGCACCCATCCCGTCCGTTCGAAACGTGATGGAGGTTATTGGCTTCCTGTTGTTGCTGTGGCGCAGTTCCAGAACTGTCTCGTCGGCTTCGACATCGATGATATTGAGGGAGCCATCGGCGTATGATGCGGCCAATAAACCGATCGCCGGCGCGGGGGCAAGGGCAGTGACAGCTCCGGATCGTGCCGAGGGCGCAAGAATTGTGTGGACAAGCCTTCCTGTACTGACATTGTAGACTTCAATTGAACCATGTTTTGTCCCAACGAAGATCTTGTTCAGAAATGTTGGCAGAGTACAGACCTGGCCGGCCAACGACCCTCCGGACCCAGTACTGATCGAAGTATAATGCTCGTACGACTCGCTTTTCCAGACCTCAATGGACTCTGAACCGCAGCCGACGAGCCAGGACCCGAAGACGATTAGCTGGCGTATCTCCTGTGGATGGGTATGCTGGATGTCTAGTTCTGCAACCAGCTGCCCTCTCTTGAAAACCCACAGTCCTCGGGGCTCTTTCGGCTGCGAGCCTCCCCAGGTAACGAAGACTCGGTCTCGGTAGGCGAAAGTCGCAGTAATAGTGCCGGGGCATTGCGGCCGAGTGAGAAAGACGAGGTTTAGGCCTCGGCGCAGGTCGTACGTTTGCAGCGAGGTCCCAATCGAGGTGGTGATTTGGAACGTCGTCTTGCCGAGCGGGACCGAAGTAAAAGGCACATTGGTCGGCGACACTAGTCCCAGGGTCTGGAGAGGGTGTGTCAGTAGAAGATACCTCAGTCGTGTGATAAAGACTGACTCTGAACGGAGCGAACAGCCTTGAGCTAGTCGCAGGCCTCTTTCCGGTGCCATCCTGCTCTCTACGCTGTCGCTTCGCAAGTGGAAGCTCAACAGCCTCGTCCATGTTGAGCTCTACCCAGGTGAGCTGCCCGTCACAAGCGGCACATACTCATACGGTCGTGGAAGGGCGTAATTACCATTTCTGGCCGCCAGTGATTTTTTTCGATCCGCCGCGAGGCTGAAAGACTCACCGCCCGGCAGAATGACAGGGCCGCCAATGACGTGCATTTGAAGGCTCTGCAGGTGCCCTAGCAGTGCCTAAGCAGGCCGCCCAGGCCAATGCCAGTCCAAAGGCACCCCCTGGCACTGTTGGGCATCCCACCCTCCAGGCGGGCCCCTCGTCTATTAGAGCCACGTCCCCCACTTACTCATCAGCTCACCACCCAGATTTTCCGTCGTCATCGGCTTCGGCTGTGGTGGTGGCTGCTTCAATGGGACCCACGATCCAACGACGGTGCTTGACCTGGCAAATATGACACGGCATTGATGGGCAGCATGCGGCCATTGTCTTTTCATCTTCATCTTGCCTTCACATTCGACACATGTTCTTTCGGGGTTTGATATCCGGCGAGATCAGGTTACCGCCGCCGGCCGTGTTACTTTTATATCGTCATTCGTTGACTGCATTTTTATGAGCTGTCTCGACCATCTGTCCGCAATCGACAGTCTTCACCGAGACCATCGCTACCGACGTCGGGTATTCCTTCCATCTACTAGAACAGTACACCGTGCACGTATCAGCCACCTCTGATTCATCTCGCCATGGAGGGCCATTCGCCTCTCAGACGAACCCCAACCAATACGTCAGAGCACAACTTTATCGACGCCAACCCACTTCCCAACGTTCACTCGGCAAATTCTTCTATCACATCTGCTCCCCGACCTCCCCAGCGGCTTACCGGGCGGACACCGTCGACACATTCCTTGTTGGCCGCGAACAGGAATCCCGAGGTGCGCAAGGGTGCTCATTCCGGGACTACCAAGGCTTCGGTCGACCGCTCCAGCATCAGTATGCCGCCTCCGAGCACCAAGCCTCTAGCCGACCGAAGACTATCGGCCTCGGTTCAGTCAGCCCTCTCCATGAGGAAATCAGAGGAGACCGCTAGAAGCCCTCCAGCATCTGTCAAGAGCCTGGAAGGGGACCGGTCCACCCCATATAACGGCTCCGTCACTGCGTATGCTGCGACAACCGCTCATGACCCAACTGTGGTAACGACTACCGCGTCCACGTCACATGCTCCAGGTCTGCCAGTGCTTTCACCTCCTCCGTTCAACCCAAGCATTCCTAATCAGTCAGATATAGTGTCAAACCTCTCATCTCAGATTGCTTCCGCCAGCCCAACTGCTCCCAGGAGTGAAACCCAGCTTCCTTTGGCACCAACGGGCCAATCCCTGGGGACTACCGCCAAGGTCGAAGGTGCCGAGACTGCGCTACCTGTGCGGCCTCCGAGATTCAATAAGCCCCGTTCTCTATCCTCCACTCGTCGTCTGAGCACCACTGGCTCCTCCAAAAATGAGAGCATCAATTCCGAGGTCAAGACTCCTGTAGGCAGGATCGGTGTCTGCGCACTTGATGTGAAAGCAAGGAGTCGCCCTAGTCGCCAGATTTTGACTCGCTTGCAAGGCGATGGTGAGTTTGAAGTGATCGTTTTTGGCGACAAGGCCATTCTCGACGAAGGTATGTCCCCACTCGCGTGCTTTGTACAAGTTGTTGACAAATCCAGACGTCGAAAACTGGCCGATATGGTGAGTGGTAGCCCATGCTCGCACGCGCTCTGCTAACATGATGCAGTGACTACCTGATTTCATTCTTCTCTGACGGGTTCCCACTTGACAAGGCTATCGCGTATGTCAAGCTGCGGAAGCCATTCGTTGTCAATGATCTGGCTATGCAAAAAGTCCTCTGGGATCGGCGATTGTGCCTAAAGATCCTGGATCAAATGCAGATTCCGACTCCCAAGAGGATCGAGGTCAACCGCGATGGCGGTCCGAAGCTCGAGTCTCCGGAACTTGCGCAGCTCGTGAAGAAGATGTCAGGGGTCGTCCTCGAAGGCGCTGAGGATGGCACCGGCGGTGGTGCACCTATGACAAAACACGTCGAATTGGTTGACGACGGCGACACCCTGGTTGTCGATGGCAGATCAATCAAAAAGCCATTTGTAGAGAAGCCTGTCAACGGAGAGGACCACAACGTCATCATTTACTTTCCTCGGAGTCAAGATGGTGGTGCCCGACGGTTGTTCCGGAAGATTGGAAACAAATCCTCCGAGTTCGATCCAGATTTGACCGTCCCACGATGCCTCAAGGAACCAAACAGCAGCTACATCTATGAACAGTTTCTCAAAACGGAAAATGCTGAAGACGTCAAAGCGTACACGGTTGGTCCAGATTACTGCCATGCCGAAACGAGAAAGTCACCGGTCGTGGATGGTCTTGTCCGCCGCAACACACACGGCAAGGAGCTCAGATATGTGACGAAGCTCACTCCTGCCGAAAAGGAAATGGCCTCTAAAGTATCTAGGGCATTTGGGCAACGCATCTGTGGGTTCGATCTGTTACGGACTGGAACCGCCAGCTACATCATCGACGTGAATGGGTGGAGTTTTGTCAAAGACAATGAAGACTATTACAATGACTGCGCGAAGATTCTCAGACACATCTTCATCCAGCACAAATTCAAGGAAGACAACGCTGTCTTCGAAGATCCGGTGTCTGAAATTAGTGTGGACCCCGCGCAACGCCGTCAAGGGACCAGCAACTCAGCGCGGTCGGCTTTCAAAACAATCCTCAAGTCGCCAAGCATGACAAAGTTGTCACAACACTTGCCGCACTCTTCTCGCCATCATCCGTCCGGCCTTTCTGGTTCTTCGAAGCCGTCTGCTATGACGACACCGATAAGTTCCCCACCAAGCATAGAAAAGGGCTCTCAAGCAGCTATTCATCCAGTGGGAATGGACAAGAGCGTTCTCCCACCACCAGCTGTTCCGGCTCCGGAAGTCGATACGGCACCAGAGCCCGTTGCCGCCGCCAAGGAGACCACTTCTGACCCTCCGTTACCGAGTTCGAAACACTCATGGAAACTCAAGGGTGTTGTAACGGTTATCAGACATGCAGACCGGACACCAAAACAAAAGCTGAAGTTGACCGCTCATTCGCAAGTGTTTGCTGATCTGCTCAAAGGTCATCATGAAGAAGTACTCTTGAAAGGCGAGGCTGCATTGGCTAGCGTTCAGACAGCGGTCAAGATTGCACTACGGGACAAACTTGAGGACCCAGACAAGTTGCGGAACTTGCAAAACGCACTGGCGAAAAAGATGCACCAACCAGGCACAAAGGTACAAATCAAGCCAATGTTCCGCAAGCGAAAGCCGGAAGAGATGTCGGACTCCAAGCCATTGGCTAGCCCTCCGATCATCGCAGAAGAGGAGGTTGCACCAAACGAAGAAGCCCGTCCTGTCGAGAGGCATGCATCAACGTCCAGTAATAAGGAGATCCGCCGCGTCAATACCAGGAGCGACTCCATGTCCGGCGCTACTTTCTCCCGCTTTTCAGCGGCTGAGAACGATCTCGTGCTCGACAAACTGCAGTTGGTCATGAAATGGGGCGGAGAACCAACGCACTCGGCTAGATACCAGTCACAGGATCTTGGAACCAACATGCGGGACGACTTCAAGTTGCTCAATAAAGAGGTACTTGACGAGGTCCGAATCTTCACCAGCTCTGAGAAGCGCGTAAAGACAAGTGCCCAGATTTGGGCCGCCGCCTTCCTGGACCGACAGGATATCTCGGAAGACTTCATCCAGGTCAGAAAAGACCTTTTGGACGATTCCAACGCCGCAAAGGATGTGATGGACAAGGTCAAGAAGAAGCTTAAGCATCTACTTCGAGAAGGAACCGTTCCGGACTCCTTTGCCTGGCCGAAGAACGTTGCAGAGCCATATGTGGTCATGCAGAGTGTCGTCGAACTGCTCAAGTTTCACCGTCGGGTCATGCGGCACAACTTCAAGAAGCTAAGCACCGGCGCTGTCGCCTCGCTCAATGCATTGAACGGGCCCGCCGATGCCAAGGATAATGGAAGCATCGTCGCCGTTGCCTCGATACAGTCTCGATGGTGTACCGGTGAAGATGCCGAGCTCTTCAAAGAACGATGGGAGAAACTGTTCTCGGAGTTTTGTGACACGGAGAAGGCAGATCCAAGCAAGATCTCCGAGCTCTACGACACCATGAAATATGATGCCCTTCACAACAAACAGTTTCTGGAGTGGGTCTTCACACCCGGTCAATCGCTTCTGGACGAGATGGCCAAAGAGGAGGAAGGGCTATCATCCACCACTTCACCTGAACCTGAACGAGCCGACGACGCGCCTTCTCCCTCGCACAGCCCCCGTCACGAGAGTGTGGTCTCGCCTGCTGGTGAAGGTAGACACAGCCTCGCGCATAAGATCGGCCTAAGAAGACAGTCGGTCCTGAAGCAAGCTCCACCAACACCTCCTTTGACCACGTGGGAACAGGGGGCTTCCTACTTCAAATTATTCCCCGGATCTGGAGACAGTCGCTCTAAGCAAGATCAGAAACTCGGCCGCCTCCGAGAGCTATACCGGTACAGCAAAATCCTCTTCGACTACATTGGGCCCCAGGAATATGGCATCAGTGACGACGAGAAACTCGAAATCGGCCTTTTGACGTCTTTACCATTGCTACGCGAGATCGTCGATGACCTGGAGGAACTACAAGCCTCGGTGGACGCCAAGTCATTCGTGTATTTTACCAAAGAGTCGCACATTTACACTTTACTCAACTGCATCATGGAGGGCGGGATACATACGAAGATTAAGCGATCGACCATTCCGGAGCTCGATTACCTCTCGCAAATCTGCTTCGAGCTTTACGAAGCCAAGGACGCCGAAACGGCCGAGTCCACGTATTCGATTCGCATCTCCATCTCCCCTGGCTGCCACACTGTCGACCCCCTGGACGTTTCCCTGGACTCGAAGCACGCCATAGGCTCCGCGCCGCGTCGATCGTTGACCAATCATCAAGATTGGAAGGAGGTCATCTCGTCCCTCAAGGCCAAATTTAACACAGTTCAACTTCCCAAGAGCTTTTTGGCCGTCAATGTAAGCGATAAGCATGAGCAAGAGGCCGAGATGCAACGAAGAGCAAGTTATTTGCAGAGCGAGGCGGCCAAGCAGAAGTATACAAACAACAGCGCCAATGGTGACCTTATGGAGGTGAATGCCGAAGACAGTTCTGGGGGCCCGCACGCTGGAGACGCGCTGGTGCGAGACCTTGACAATGCCCAAAACGCCCAACCTGAAGCCGGCACGGCTGTTTCCAATCCATCTGATCAGGAGACAACTGTAGTACAACCACAGTTTGTATCGGTTGAGGAAAAAGTCAATATCAATGGGGACGCCAATGTCCAAGCGAGAGGAAGAAGCATTTGAGTCAAGACCCTGTGCTACCGATGGCCCTGGATGGTATGGGAGTCAACGCTCCCGGTGCGACGTGCGCCGGACTGTTCGTGGATCGGGGGACGGCAACAGGGCAAGAGGCCATTTCGAGGAACATTGCACCCTTTAGAAATGACCAAGTTGGATTGACGGACCCCGGGGTTTATAAGGCGGCACATGACGCAAGATGTACTATAAGATGCAATCCCTGGTGAAGGACGAATCTCATCGGCCTGTTTTCTGGCTCATTGAACATTGCGCAGGTGGTGTTTGTGAATGAACCAGAAATTTCTCAAGAGGGATAATGTACCGAACCAGAGTTATAGGCGGGCGGAGCACAGACGGAGATGTAGAGTATAGAAGATACAAGTTTGAGAATCCGCAGTAAGTGGGTGGACAAGCGTTTTATTCGGATGCGATATATACAGATCACCCAACTGTCATAGTACTGTAGTTGTCCCGGAAAGCATTCGACCAGCGAGGAGGAGAGAAGCTGTCTTTTGGTCCAGCGGCGAAGAAGCAGCAGCAGCAGCAGCAGCTACATAGCAGCTAATTCGCAGTCCAGTCATAACCCTCTTCGTTCCCAACGATAAGTCGGCACTTGACTTGCTCGACGAGAGGAGTGTGTTCTATATTGTCAATGTCTCCAGTATGCTTGAGTAGGGTATGTACTTACCTATGTAGCCTTATTTCGTACGACGTGAGATGTGGCGGGAAGACACCTTATCCGAGAAAGACTCAAGAGGCTTGTGGTATGATGTGGTGTGATGTAATGTGATGTGAAGTGATGTGCGACGTGGACGAGTGGACGAGTGAGGAACTACACATGGATCCGTGGGGCTCTCAGATAGACGGTCGGGTCGATATTGTCGTGAGTCGTGAGTCGTGAGTCGTGATGTTCCGTCCAATTCCATTTCATTCCCATTCGCGTGATGTATCTATCTGCGGCGTAGAGGTCGGTTGGTGGGTCGGTCAGTCGGCGGGTCGGCAATCGCTGGTGTGACTGGGCTGGGCTGGCGGCTATTGTGATTATGATCCAGTACTCAGTATGTGGTGGTAGTGGTACCTCTGCTTGTGCTCGTGCTTGTACTTCTGCGGGCCGAGGCCGAGTCCGAGTACTCATACACTGGGCTTACTGCAGTGGTCGTGCTTTTTAGGTGTGGTACGGTACGGTACTGTGGGCTATAGCCAGAGACCAGCTGCCAGTACCAACCCATCCCTATCTGTTAGATAGCAGTTGGGTGTTTTTGCACATACTGACGTTTCACTTCTGTGCAAACCGTGCTCGTCCACGGCGTTCCCATTTATTGTTGAGCGCGTTTTGGTGCTGACCCGAGCCTGGGAATGCGGTCGTCATGGGTGGGTACAAGTATTTGGTTATGGGTACTGTATGCTGGGTTGGTCGATGATCTGGGATAGATGCTTCGTAGACGAAGGTTTCCTGTTGTCGATTCTCAATAGGTACTGCACTTTATCCGGTAACCTTCGATGGTACACTGCGGATCCTGTGTCCAAGGTCGATTGACGGCAACCTGGGTTTTAGCGAAGTCCCGCCTTTCAGATCCGGTCGGGGAAAGTGTAAAGTACTGTAGTGACTGGCTGTTGGCTTCGTGGGTAGAGCAGCGTGATGGACGATATACGCAGCGTGCCAAGTCTCTTATGAAGGTCTCATCGTGAGATCCAAGACACCTGCGAGGATCACAGGAGGGAAGATTGGGGCTGGATACATATGTCCCGGAGCCGCCGTTAGCAATACACCGTCGATGGCTGAATCGAAGGTGTGAGTATTTACCACGTCCGGTAGAGGAAGATACGCCAATGGCTACACAGGCCACACGGGCTACTCGACTTTACATAAAGTACTAATACGCTCGAGGAGCCGATCGAAATGCCGCTTGAATATGCAGAGTGCCATCCCAGCTGCATGGAAGTCCTCATAGCACTTGATAGCGTTGAGGCGGCATTCCAGGTCGACGTACGAAAGAGCATGAAAGGCCGATGGAAGGGACAAGGATGAGGGTGCCAGGGCTATGCAATTGCTGCTTTGAGTAGTCCATTCCTTCGTCATTCGTCCTCCGGCTCTTACGAACCGAAGAAGAGTCCAGACAGAAGGAGAAATCGTGTCCTGGGGCAGCACGAGGGCAACACAACGACCATACCAAGGAGCTCGACTTCTCGGACTTTTTCGACAGCGACATACCCAGTCCAGGGTACGTAGTATCATAGCGTGGAGGAAAGGATTCCAGGACGATTCAAGGAAGAGGCGCTCGTGTAGATCGCTCGCAGCAGAACAGTAGATATAGGCTGGATCTGCCCGGCATGATGATCTCCCTACATAGTACTTTACCAGTCGTCGAACTGAAAATAACCACGAGCCACGAGCCGAGAATTCGTGAATCGTGGTTTCGGAGTGTCCGAATCTAGTTAGACAGGAGCGGAAGCAATTCTCCGATAGGCCAACAGGAGCGCTAGCCTGATTCGCCTAGTAGCGCCAAATCCGGGGCATCGCGCTGCTCTCGATCACCTCAAACCCACCCAGTCACCCAGTACAGTGAGTCGTGGGCCGGGATGTTGGGTCGAATTGTATCGAATCTGCCCTGCTCATTGATATGTGGAGGGTGTCGTGGAGACTACCGCATTTTCGTGCCGGGACGAAGTGGGAAGACAAGAAGAGATCCAGTGCGCTCTGAGACCGGGCTGGAGAGATCGCATGGTACAGTCTTGTCATGGTGCGATACCAATTCGCAGAGTAGAATTGTCAGACTGCGGCAGCATGTCACGGAATTCTGTTCTCCTCCCGCGAGCAGCCAAAGTCTTCATAGTCATTCAAGTGTCATGATCAACAGACGCTCGGCCAGTCCATGAATGTCGTGATTTATTCTGTACGGGACACCGTGTATTTGCGCCTCATGTCTTTCCTTGGTCCAGCGATCGTCCTCGTTCATTTGCATCTCCTTCACACACACACAAAAAAAGAACGCCGTCAGATAAAGGCACTCGAGTGCATGCCAAAATCTGCTGGGAAAATCACATCGTAGCCTCCCGGGCTTATCACCGAGCCCGTGAACTGGAAACCCGCAGCCCGCCGGCGCAGGCCATAGATCACCGCTTTTTGACCTCACATGCCCAGCCTTCGATTCCTTCGCCTTTGGAACCCGGAGGGATATCGAGGTTCACATTCTCCATGCCCTTGACGCCTTTCAAGAACTCCGAGTTCGACATGCCGCCGGCATTCGCGCGCGCTTCCGGCGGTAACTCGAGCATGGGGGTCAGAAAATCACCAATCTTCTTGGCTTCCTCGACCGAGAAATGATACTTCTCCCGGAGGACATCGGGCAGGGCCCAGTGTCGTAATCGATGAATGTTGCGCAATTCGCCTTTGCGGTTGAAGATTTCTTGGGACCACTTCCCGGAGAGACACAGAGATTTGGGAAAGGGGCCGAGGAGCTCGATTATTTGTGCGATGTGGTCGTCATCTTTGCCGTACTTTGTTCCTGATTGCGGATCAAAGAGATAGTCTCCAGTAATGAGTTCGAATACCTGCGATGCGTTAGTGGCGTGTCATGCTTGTAGGTTCCGTGCCATTGTCATACCATGCATGCCATACTCCACACATCCGTACTGGCACCCCATTTGGCGCCCAGGATCACCTCCGGCGACCGATACTGTCGCGTCTGAATGTCGTTTGTAAAGTGGTGACCGACCCAACAAGCATTGCCCAAGTCGGCAATCTTGACAGAAATGATCTCGCCCACGGGATCGTCCTCGTTCTTGGCCGCCTTCAACACCTTTTCCGCGTCGGTCGACTTCTTGCTGTCCAGGGAGACTCCGGCCAGGTCCTTCTCGAGCGGGTCTGTCGTGCCTTCTCTCGTCTTCCCGCTTGCCGTCTGCTCCTCGTTCGGCTTGTTCTCCTTCGATTTCATTTTCAATTGCTCAAGCATCGAGAGGCCCTCTGCTGATTTGTTGGAGACGGAATCATTGATGACCTGATTGAGGCTGCTGGGCTGATGGTGGCCATGGCCACCCAACTTGTCCAGGTTCGTGAAACTGGCATTCAGTGGGCTCGGCAGCGGCTGGCTGCCGGTGATCAGCGTCCGTCTTCGTCTTCGCCCATTTCTGTTGTCGTCCTTTGTCGGTTCTTTCTCGTCTTTCACGAAAGCTTTAACAATTTGCTCGACATCCCCGATCTCGATCAGAACATTCTCCGGTTTCAAATCTGTGTGGATGATGCCACATTCGCGGTGCAAGTAGTCCAACCCGAGGAGGACCTGCTTGGTGATCTGCTTCACCAGGGGCATCGGGATACCCCGGTGGTTCCAGCGCTTGATCAAGCCCAGCAGGTTCTCACCCAACACTTCAAACACCATACATACGTGCACGCCGTTGGGGCCTTTGTGTTCGAAGGAATCGAGGAGACTGACCACATATCTGCGGCCAGGATGGTTCGGATTGGCTTGGACAACCTTGTTTAATAGTTTGATCTCGTCTATGGCGGTCTCGGTGTAGTGTGCCGCCGATCTGACCACCTTGAGCGCGACGTGTTTCCCAGTGGCAGTATCTCGTGACAACCAGACGGTCGAGAAGTGACCCCACCCCAACTTGCGCACCACGACGTATTTGCCATTGTTGTATGTTTCGCCGACATGGACCGGGTGGTATCCGCCCTTGCAGTAGTCTTCCGAGTCCTCTTCGTCTGCCGTCGTCTCGGCGGGGTCGTCTTCGGAGGTGGAGGAGGAGGGGGATCTATGAATCATATGTGAGTTATTTGACGGGGCCTTGGCGTGAGGTAAGGGAGAGTCCATGCTGACGACGATCAGTCTCGGGGGCTGGATGGAGAACAGGACAGGAGAAGTATTGCATCTGCGATCAATCACGATATCATGTGCAGGGATGACGAAGCGCGTGTGACGGAGAGGCAGAGGCAGTGACGCTTGCAAGTGAACTTACTCGGGCTCTGCTTGGGTGGGGCTGTCGTGAAGACTCGACGACGCCGCGCTGTCTGTGGTGATGATGGGTTTGAGGTTGTCGCCTTTTCGCCGCTTCTTCTGACCGTTGCCGTTGGCCGCGAGGGCGGCGGTGGTCGCAACCTTCTTGGCCTGGTTGATGGCGGCTTTCTTCAGGTCCGTCCCGTTCATCATGGCAAAGGCCGCGGCGTTGGTGGCCAGCAATCTGTGGGGGTTGTGAGCGACTGGTCCCTTTGCAGGGCCAGCTTCCGATAATGGAGGAATTGTGGAGGGTATTTCGAGGTGCAGTCGAGATTAGAAGGGGATGACTTTTCTTGGGCGCAGTCGGGCCACGAGGGTAGCCCCGGCTGGCCTGGTGCGGCGGTGCGTGATCGTGATAGGATCTGCGGAGGAGCGTGGGAGAGTTCGACTTGTCGTTACGGCGGCGTGTATGCCCACTCTTCTAGAACGATCAGACGGGGCTCGCTTCGGGGGACGGGCCACTCGATCAAGCGCCGGAAAGAATGCTGACAGCCCAGGCGCGATGATGTTATGTCTAACTTTTCCGTCTCCTCGTGGTCCCTAGACTTTGGTCCTCCTGTGCCCGATGTGACGGCTGCGGCTTTCTGCGGCTTCAGTCAGGCGTGGGTCGGGAAGAGCACAAGCGCCGATGGACAATTCTGCGACCAGTGCTGCGTGCTGCTGAATGACGGATGTGATTCGTGGGATGGAAGCAGGGCACCCAACCATGCGCCGGCGGCTATTCGAGCGAGGGCATTGATAGCGAAAGCAGAGGTCGGGGGATCGAGTCACCACATCCAGCGTGTGTGGGAGGATGTCGAAGCCAGGTCGCCCAAGAACGAAACGACAAGGACAAGTCGACTGACGTCGTTACGGGAAACGCGACTGATCGTGAATCTTCGGCGGAGGTTGAGCGAGCTGACGGATCTGAGGCCGACGTCTTATACGCTGAGGAAGCTCATGAGTCGGCGCTGTCGGCGATGGCGATATCGATTATGAGTGCTGCCGGGGTCGGGCCACAGCGAAGGCTCTTGGATTGTTGGTTTACTTGTATGTGATAAATCAAGGTGGGATAGCAAGCAGCGGTAGTGGGGTATCTGTGAGGCTTGTTTGTTGTTGGTGTGCAAGGTGCTCACTCACGACGGCGAGGGTGTGAGAGGGTAGACGTCAGACGGAGATACTGTCGAGTCTTCTCTTCTCTACCATGACTAACGACAAACACGAGGTGGATTCCGAGCTCAGCATGATTAATGTCTTCGTTTGCAGTCATGGAGCAATGTATGATTCCCACATTTCAAGCTGTTCCTGGCAAGCCACCTGCGCCATCCACACGCGGCAGACATGGCGGTAAGTCTATCCGTACTGTGCTCCATCCTCACCGAGTGCGAACGATTGTGAAGGCGTCCCATTCTCTCTCTCATGTTCGATTCAGGCTTTCCCCGGACCCGACTAGCATAGACAGTCTCGAAAGCCCAGCTGAGCGCTTCTGCGAAATCACTTCCAAGGTCCTCAGCCGAATTCCTGTCGGACGCAGAGTCACAAACATGAACGCTTCATCTAGCACAACACCCAACTCTCCATTCCGGTGATCCCGCAGAAGAGGTGCTATCCCTCATATCTTACTTGCAAGATGGGCCTCTTCTCTCCGCCCGACTCCCCCTTCGCACCTCCGTCCCTCGTCTACCAATTGATCTACCACCCACTCACAACCTGCTTCACCATCTTCCACAACCTGCTGCTCTACCTCCGGGGCGCACCCTACCTCCCACCCAAGAACAAACTGCCCATCCGCGTGGTGTGCATGTCCGACACCCACTCGAAAGTGCCCCGTTACGCCATCCCGAAGGGCGATCTCCTCATTCACTCGGGCGACCTCACAAACACGGGCACCCTGTCCTCCATCCAACAGACGCTAGACTGGCTGAAGACGCTGCAGAAGCCATGGCCCGGCTCGTCGGACGGATTCCGCCACATCGTGTTCGTGGCCGGCAACCACGACAGCTACTTTGACGAGCGCAGCCGGAGCGTCCACGACCGCAAGAACTCGCACCGCACCCTGAATCTGGGCAAGATCCACTATCTCCAGCACTCGTCCATCACCCTGCCCTTCCCGGGCGACCGCAACCTGAAAGTCTACGGGGCGCCTCAAATCCCACAGTGTGGGGGGAAAGAGTTTGCATTCCAATATCAACGCGGGCAGGACGCCTGGACAGCAACGATCCCGGACGACGTGGACGTGCTGATCACGCATAACCCGCCCAAATGGCATCTCGACCTGCCCGCGAGTGGGGGACTGGGGGACGAATTCGAGCTGAAGGAAGTCTGGCGCGTCAAGCCGACGTTACATGCCTTTGGACACGTTCATTCCGGCCAGGGAGTCGAGCCGGCCTGGTGGGATGAGAGCCAGAAGGCATGGGAGACATACCTCGCCGCGGCGTACAATAAGCCTGCTGAGAGGGCTGCAAGTCATCGTTTGCCACTGACCGAACTCCTTGACTTGGCACTCTGGTGGAAGGGAATTGAGTCCGTTGTGGCCGATGTGAGGGGTCTATTGTGGACGAGGTTGTGGGGTGGTGCTAGGCAGGGGGGATATATGGTCAATGGCGCGCTCACGTACCAGACAGGAAATCAATTGTTGAATAAGCCCAAGGTGGTGGTACTGTAGACATATATACTCTAGAGAGTAGATCGTTAGGCGAGGGAAGATTTAATCACTTAGAGGGCCCTTAAGAAAGTATGCGATCTCAAGGATACAATCGGGAAGGAGCACTGCATCGTACTCCATATTAAACGAAGCGGACTGTTTCTAAGATACGGACTTCTACCGCAAGAAAGACAAGAACGCCACCCATGAGCTCCGAACCCGATAGCTTAAACCAGAAAAGCAGCCACGAAGATTAAGCTGCCAAGCGCAAATACAGACGCCCCAGAACGACCCGCAGCACCCTTGAACCCGTTGATTGGCGGCACAATACTGCCCATCGGCCTCGTTGCATTGACACTGACAGGGACTGAGATAGTACCCGGCACAGTCGAAGACACGTTGGTCAATGAGAGAGTCGACGTGGTAGTATTCAACGCGACCATGCTGGTGGACGAGTAGTTACCGAAGGGAGCCATTGAGCTGGTCAATGGAGTCACGGTGGGCGCGTGGCATTCTCCGCTGGGGCTCGTCATGGAGACGGTGACAGTGCGTGTTGTGGTCGAGGTGATCGTCGTCGTGTGGCTCGTAGTTGCGTCAGTTGATGTGGCACTTGGGGAAGATGGACTCGAAAGGGAACTGGTGGTAGCATCGGTCGTGGTGGTAGAGGAAGAGCTCGACGTAGAATCTGTCGTCGACGCTGAAGAGGTCGAGGTGGAATCTGTAGTGGACACGGACGTGCTTGAACTAGACGTAGTCGATGAGCTCGACGATCCGGTGCTGCTACTGGCACTGCTGCTGCTGCTGATCAGGTGTCTGAGTTCCTGAGGACACTCGCGAGGCTTCCCATTGCGAGGAATGCATCCTATGCCGGTAGTGGTACAGTTGGAGGTGGAGGGGCATGCATCTACGGCTTGTTAGTGCTTGACAGACGCGATGGGATGAGGGTCAGCTTACATCTATTGGAACAGCAGACGTCGCCAGCCACAGGGTTGTAGCACGCATCTGTACCGCATGCAACCCAGTTGGCGCCACAGGCAGCACAGCCTTCCTTTGCCGAAGGCTTGCAAGCTATCTTTCCGCGAGCGGTAAAAGATTCATGATCGGGATGGCCGTGAACCACGATGGCGAGGACGGTACCGACAAACAATGGGATATACGAGCGCATCGTAATGTATCAGGACTGTACTGGTACTCAACGTCGAAGGGGAACAACACACTGTATCTCTCGATATCGACTATCCCAGGCCGCGGCTCGGTAGATGGAGGAATGGAAAATGGTCAGGGCGAGACTCGAACATCTTAAGGCAAGTTTCACGATTGGTAAACAGACGCCTTTGTGCCGAAAATGGAAAACAGATAAAGACTATTGCGAGCTGGACCGTAGAAGCCGTTTCTAGATTGCACGGTAGTACAGACAAAGCGCCAGCTGGAAGACAGACCGTAAACCCGAACAATATCGGCTTCGCAGACCAGTTGGTGATGGAAACATTCGGGAACGCGGTACTCCGTACCTTGGACTTGATGAACAGGTAGAAAGGCGCAATAGTGGCATATCAAGCGTCCACCAGCCCCGTGAATTTGCCAGCGACATTGAAAGTTGCCGTTCGAACGTTCATGTAACTTCTCCAGCCAGGCACAAAGAAACTTGGAGCTCACATACCCTCAATGGCAGAGTGAAAGCAGGGTTGCCAAGGCAGTCCTTTGTCCGCGGGTAGATGAGACTGGCGGGCTCGTCGCTTGCTTGCGGATAGCATGTCGGTGGTGGTGGTGGTGGCTGTCGACAGGAGAAGTGGCAGAAAATACGGAGAACACGCCAAGAAATTGGGTTTCCGCAACCGGAAGCCACCGATCGTGAATCAGTCACGTGACCCGCTGACTCAGAGAGAAGTTATGGGTGACGTCAATGCTCTTTCGGCCTCAATCTCGAGGTGAGTCTTCAAAACGCCAACCTGACCTCAACCTCGCAAATTCGTTCGACATTTCCGGGATACGAGATACAATTGCCCTATAGTGCATTAAAGCTGAACCCGAATCGACGGCGTAGTTATTGATTTCAAGTCATCTGGCGTCGGAGATTTCGAGGTCACCGCTCCCTAATGCAATGCCAATCTTTCCCTAAGCCGCCAGCAGCAATCCGTCCAATAGTACCTGGTTATTCTGTATCAGTGATGGGCGGTCGTGTACTTGATAAGCGCACCATGGGATTTATCAATGCCATGCAAGCGATACCCCGTCTTCTAACTCCCTTTGTAGTCTTGGATTGCGTAGGAGGACTTGAGGTGATTACAGGTTTCGCAGATCTGAGCTAGCTGCTGCCAACCCAGCGCCTCTCCAGCCGACAAGGAGAAAACGGCAAGTGTTTTATTCCTTTCAAATGTCTTCGGAAATGGTAATCAGGACCCCTCTTGCGGTTCACTTCACTTTCCATGCCCAGCTGCAAACAGCCGGCCCCGAGTAACGTGCATTGCCGTGGGTGAGGCAGCTTGGCACAATGAGGAGCACGACTTCAGCCTGCTGCCGGACCCGGCAGCGTGATGTCGAGGTCGAGGAGTTCCAAGCGCAGCTGCAACAAGAACATCCACAGCGTAACTCTTACATCGGCGTCAAAGAGAAGCAGCCTCTGCTCCCCATGTCGTCAGTGACATCGTTTGCTCCGGGCGGGAACAACTCACGGGTCCGCCGCTCCCTTGCCGTGGCCCTGGTGGGCGCGCTCTGTTTTATGATTTTCGCACTCCATCGACTGCGCGAGCTGCAATCCCAACGACCGTTCAGCTTCCCCACGTCAGAGTCGGCTACCGGGTTTTCTAGCGATCTCCGGGTATGGCAATTTGACAAGCCAGACGACGTGAAGGTCATTGGCCTGGTGTTCTTTGGGAGAAAGAGTCGCGTGGAGATTCTCCGCTGTTACCTTGAACGCAATCTGGTCGATCACGGAGGCTGGCTCGATGAAATCCACTGGGTGAAGAACACCGACAATCCCGACGACCTCAAGTACCTTGAAGAAATCTTGGCTTCTTCTCCGCGATACAAGACGGTCGAGCTCGAAGGAGTTGGCTTTGTCGGTTACGGTCAGGCTTGGGGGAAGCTAGAGCGCGAGAGCTTGTATGTCAAGATTGACGACGACGTGGTGTGGTTTGACGACGACACGATACCGCGCATCGTGAGCATGAAACTGGCGCATCCAGAGTATCTGCTCGTAGCTGCCAACATGATCAACTCGCCACTCATGGGCTGGGTCCATTATCACATGGGCGCGCTACACCCGTACCTACCTGAGCTCGCCGACTACCAACCTGGCATTTTCCACCCCAGGAAACCGTCCCGTAAACATTGGACATACTGGTCGTATCCAGAGTGGACAGGGCCCGCCGACTACTTCTTCGGCATAACTCAAGAGCCACCATACGATGGCCACCGGTGGCTGCGCCTGCCCGAGGACACCGACATGCACCGCACACCAGCGTCGGAAATCGAGTACGCGACATGGGGCACGGGGCTCAAGTCGTGGGCCATCGCCGCACAAGAGCACTATTCTTTCCTGGAAAACCTCGCGGACGACAACCTCGACGTGTACAAGATGGGTGTCCGCAGCGTGGATCCCAACGGCGGCAAGCCGTGGTTCACACTCGACAAGCGTCTCAGCATCAATTTCATCACCATTTGGGCGGATGACGTTCTCGACAATCTCCCAATGGACACAGTGGACGAAGAATGGTTGACCGTCAACTTGCCCAAGAAGCTACAGCGTCAAGTCGCCGTCAACACTGACGCTCTGGCAGTGCACTTCACCTTCGGGACGCAGGGTAGTGTCGACATGACCGATCTTTTGGCCCGGTATCATGACTATGCGCTGGAAGAGAGATGCGCCAGGCGGATTTGACGTGTGCTCGACAACTAAGGGGTTTTCCGCGCTTTAGCACCGAGGACAGATTCCGGAGGATAGAGCATGCGTATCCTGTTTCTACCGTAGGGGCGCCCGGCGCATCAGTCACACTGGTACAGTTACATAGGACATGCTGTAGTGAAGAGTGATCTGACACGGAAATGTTTCCTAATGCGAACGAACCATATGGGTGCCAAGCGAGTACATGACTGATGAGTCAGCGGAATCCTCCGATACAGCAACCACAGACAGCTCCCACGCGGAGTCATGGAGTCTCACAGGGCCCCCCCAGCGCCAGGCGACACCGAGTATTCGGCTCAGTGCCGGTCGCAGTGATGCGCTGGAAGGGCCTTTGCATGGTATCCTGCAGCAGGAGAAGTCAGCCTAGACACACGCCGGTGACTGGGCATCAGGCATCCCGCATTGCTTCTCACAGCCGAGCTACGGGGTCTCATGGTCATCGTGGACTTCGTGAAGTACTGAGTACAGTAAGCAATTACATACCTTATGCGTGGTGCATTCCCGGACCATTCCGCTTCTGGAACTTGCGATGATACTAAGTATCTTGCAGTGATTGTTTTGGAAGTTGCGTATTGCCCACTGTGTACGGAGTACTCGGTTCATGTTTTCTCGTGCTTCATGTGCTCCGTTCGCGTTTCAACGGCTGATGCGGAGCAGCATGACCCAACCACGCTTCGCAGCTGAGGCCTGGGCATTATGCTACCGATCGTACCGCCTGCTGCGTACCGCCTGCCGCGTACGGACGTACTTTACTTGGCCAATTTGCCTAGCGCGGCGTAATCCCAATCCTCCTTGATGAGATCGGCCGCCTTTTCCGCAACCATGTATACGCTCGAGACGATATTGCCGGACACGTTGTTTGCAAAGACACTGGCGTCCGCGACCCTCAGGCCCTCCACGCCCTTGACTCTCAGTCTGGAATCGACCGTGTCTCCCATTGCGCAGGTGCCACAGCTGTGATATTCGCCGAGGATGTATTCTTGCACCGCCGCCCGCCGCCCTTGCACCGTATCCAGCGGGAACTTCTCCGGCTCAGGTAAGATGCGGTGGGCGAGCTTGTCCTTTAGCTGTGGCGCTTGCGTGACCTTCTCCAGGAATTTCAGCCCCGCAGCCATGAGGGCCACGTCGGCTTCGTGGCCCATGTAGTTGGGATGCACCTCTGGTGCGACTGTCGGGTCTGCCGACTTGATGTGCACATGGCCTCGGGAGGCGGGGTATTGTAGGCCGACCACGAATGTGACACCATCTTTGGCACCCTCGGCTGGAGGAGCGAAGAGTATCGATTGATCCGACACACCGTCCTTGAAGTTTCCTGTCGCGGCGATGAAGATGAACTGGAGGTTTGCCGACTTGTTGGATTTGACGTGCTTGATGACTTGATCCAGTTGCTTCTTTTGGAACGGTGTTGCAGTCTTCTGCGAGGCTTGGATCGACTGGACGATTTCGTCGAGCTCGCCTTCCTCCAGGAATAACGTGGCAGGGAAGAAGCCCTGGACGGATTGGATTGCGGTGAGAGGACCCCCTTGCTCTTCTGCCAGGGCTTTCTGCGCCGCGGCCATCATTTCAGGTTTGTAAAGTGAATCGCCTGATATCTGGCCGTCCGCGAGCTGGTATGACGTGCCGCCAACGGCATGGTCTTGGTAGTTCTCACCAACTGACGGCAAATCAACCAAACACTCGACTCCCGCAGCCTTCAGGATCTCTGGATTGCCGATACCCGACATCTCTAGAATCTGGGGCGAGTTGATGGCACCGCCAGCGACGATTACCTCTCGCTTGGCTTTGATGGTATGTCTCTGGCCATTGTTGATAAATTCCACGCCTGTCGCTCTTTTGTCCTCGAGGATGACTCGCGAGATGAGGCACTCGGTTACGACTCTGAGGTTGGGTCGGTGTTCGTTTGCTTGGAAGTATCCTCGAGCAGCGTAGCTACGCATGCCCTTGTTGGGACCGGTTCGAACAACTGCGCCGAGGGTATTGTAGAAGCCGATGTGGTCGCCGCTCCATGGGTCGAGAGGCTTCTTGTCGAAACCCGCGACGTAATCTGCGGCTTTGATCGCGTCGTCCTCGATCGGAAGGCGGAAATCGTTGAAGCTCGTCCGTACAGGGCCGCTCGTACCATGATTCTCTCCAACAAACGGCATTGTCGAACGTTCGGTGATCCGCTCGTCGATCGGCTCCAGTGTTTGGTGCTTCAGCATGTATTGCTTCATGTTGGCGGCTGACCATGAAGCATCGTTTGCGAGTTCAGCCCAGTCGTCAAAATCCTGTGTTGATCCCCGAACGTACCTAATTGCAACGGCAGGGTTAGGGTGTCCGATACGTGCCTGATTCAAAGGCAAACTCACATCATATAGTTGATCGCGCTTGAACCACCCAGGGCCTTGCCACGAGGCACTTGGTGGACTTTGTTCTTGTTTCCTGGCTATGGCGGGAGCTCAGCTAGCGCACCAGCCGCGACATATGGTCACTTCGTACCTGCGGTATGGTGTCCCAGGCCCAGTCATACTCCTTGTTGCCCAGCATCTGGGTGAATAGAGCGGGAACATCAACGAGGGGATCACCAAGTCGATTCTTACCAGCCTCGATCACGCCCACGGTGACGTCTAGATTCTCTGTCAAACGGGCTGCAATGGCCAGTCCGGCGGTGCCACCTCCACAAATGAGGTAGTCGTAGCTTTGATGGGTTAGGAACTCATCGACGCCGACAAGGGCAGATTTCTGCGCCTCGTGGACGCCGTTGAGACCATTTGCTCCATTGGTAGTCGTCATATTTGCGACTTGGTGGCAAGATAACCCGGTGTTGTGGCTGGGGTCAATTTAGGTGAATCTGGTTGTGTGGACATGAGATGGAAGAGGGTCTGGTGGGAAGTGAGGGCAACCCTTTATACACACTTGGCCCCCGACCTGGCTGTGGGTGGTATGTGCTCCATGCACCATTGTATTCATGCTGTACCGTTGTACTGAATAAGGTAGGACTCCATGGGACGGCCGGGTCAGAAGATTTGCATTACTGTTCCTTCGTATAACGCTGTAAGAAGCCAATGGTACACTCCCAGGGGAAGCTCCGACTAATGAGAGGGTCGACTCGAAGGAGCAATACAGTAAGTCGAACAGTATCCGTAATGCAGAGTGAGCCCAGACCCAGGGTTAGTGTTATAAATAAACACGCCCAGCTCGGGAGGTAGCATAGCCGTGGAAGGAATCCGTTTGACTTTGGCTAGTACTCTGTATAGGTTTCTCCACACCTGTCGATGTCCCCGGATGGCCATGCTGACTGCGTCCTGGTGGATCCACAATGTACTCATAGTTTGCAAATCGGTGCGTCGGAGCGCGAGACGCGATATGGCAACTGACCGGCGAAGAGCAGAGCTTCCGCGGGACTCCTGTGGTCCTGTTCAGCTGTGTATAGAAACAGATGTGATCCATTGTTCGTATGTCGCAAGTCTCGTCGTAGGAGCTCGTACAAATCTTTTGGCTCCCTCTTGTCGCCATCCATTTCCCTCGTCGTGAACAACAACCGACAGTTGAACCCTCCCGCCTTCTTAAGCACTGGGTAGTTTCAGCCAAGGACCCCGCATTCGCTAAATTGGTGTCTGTCATACGAGTAGGAGTTAATGTGTTAATGCCTGGATTCGCCTCGTATTCGAAAACACTGCCGGTGGGCACCACTCCATATTTGTCGCTTACCAAATGTACACGGCGCAATCAAGCGGCTGCAGAGGAGGACAGATCTGACTTGATACTTTGTGCATTCGCCGTATGAAGGATGACTCTGCAGATAGCAACACCACAATGTCGTTGCAGCAAAGGTCCAATCCCCGGCCGTAAGCCATGATCCCCCTGTCTAATCGATGGCGGACGCTTCATTGACCGCGAATTAGTGATGTCGCAACCTATACCGATTCAACCATAGCGATGGCGTATCTACGGCGGGGTTGGAACGACGCCACCAGAAAGCCAAGACGAGCAAGAGGCTGTCTTTGGCATCACGTTGATACCCCATCTCGCCGGTGGCTGAACCTGGGCTCAACACCTACCTTGGGCCGGGACCGACTTTCAGGGTAATACATAAGCCAGCTGCAGGCGTAACTTCGAACCACTGGGTAATTCAGGATCCCTGACACAAGATGTAGCAAGATCGGGCAGTGTGATTCGGAATTTTGCGAGCTCAAGAACAGCCGAAGAATGGTGAAGAAGCGGGTATATATACCCTACTAAGCAGGAAGAGAAATCGGTGAAAGAAAATCGAATCTGATTTCGCTCCACTTCCGTAGACGGGACGCGGCATCGCGACACTCCGAGCCCATTTCTCATCGCGTCTTCAGCCATGTCCGTCTTTACCATGAGGTCAATACCAGCCGTCGACCTTGTGCGACACTTTCTGGTATTGAGACATGTATCTGAAGTGCAGATTGTTCTGAATCAGCTATTAGAAGGGAATGGTACAGAACAATCATATTCACTTGGAAGTCACCTACAGCTCACCCACCCATCACCTATCGTTGGTGTCGTTGCAAACTTGCTTACATAACATCATTCAGGCCTTACCCCGCGACAAGAGATATTGCTTTCCCTCCTCTCATCTAGGCCCAAGGTCATGGTGTCGATTGACGCTCGAAGTCGTATTGAGAACCTTGGCAGCTGAGTTCCTGTCGCCTGGCGTATAAAGGCACATCCCAGCCTCATTCGGGCGTTGGTGGACAGGCGGAGAATCTGATTCCGTCTGGGTGCGGGCACGAAGCCTGGTTACTGGCGCTGGCGCGTGATCGAGTCGTTAGCCACGATCATGGCGCTACCAAGTCGGCAACAGTCCCTGCCAGGACATCTGCTCCCTGACCGTGAGATACATGTGGTAGTGTCAATTCTCTCGGGTCGTCACAAGGCCAAAGAATACTATGAGGAGTCCATCAAGCCGCTACTCGATCAGCATGAAATCCAGTATTTTACACATCAGACAAAGTCTGCGAGGACCATCATCGAGCTGACAGAGAAACTCTTCATTCCAAACGCGCGGCGCGGGGTCAAGCAAACAATTATCCTGTTATCAGGCGATGGCGGAATTGTCGACATTGTTAACACCTTCACCACGGTGCTGAACCGCAGTAATGACGATATGCGAGCCCCTTCGATATTTCTCAAGCCTGCCATCGTCCTCATCCCCATGGGCACCGCAAATGCTTTGGCCTGGAGTTCCGGGGTCGCGCAGGATGCTGTCAAAATCATGATGGACGGGAGACCTAAGTCTTTACCGTCGTTCAAAGTTACTTTTAGTCCTGGCGCTCAGCTTCTTGTCAACGAAGGTCAAGACCGAGAAGCCCTCGGTGATACGGAAGATGGCGAAAGCGTCACTTATGGTGCAGTGGTGTGTAGCTGGGGTCTCCATGCGAGCTTAGTGGCAATGAGCGACACGACCGAGTATCGCAAGCATGGACTAGAAAGGTTCAAGATGGCAGCCGAGCAGCTACTGACAGAAGCTCACGTTTACAGAGGGAAGGTCAAGTGGCGGAAACAGAATAGTGACTGGACGGAAGTGGCTGGGAGAGAGCACGCCTACATCCTGGCTACGATGGTGTCCAGACTCGAGGAGCATTTTCAGATCTCGCCAGATAGTAGGCCATTGGATGGAACTCTGAAACTGGTGCTGATCGGTGCTGAGCCTGCCTCAGAGATAATGCGAATCCTCGGCCTAGCATATCAAGCCGGTCAGCACGTGACAGATCCAAAGGTCGCATACGAGGACATTGAGGCTTTGCGAATCGACCTTGACGAAGACGACGATCAGTGGCGCCAAATCTGCGTGGATGGGAAGATTATCGCCGTGCCTAAGGGAGGCTGGATGGAGGTGACGAGGATACCTGGAACAGGCATGGATGCGAGACGCGTCGTCGAGCTGGTTTGCTGAGCAATCGCCCAAGCGTGGAAAGATAGAAGGCTGAAAGGCGCCGGGAGTATTGAAATAGATGGACCCAGCCAGCTTGCCCCCCGTATGTTGATTTCATACATATACTCCGTACCGAACATCCTATTGTGACCTGTCAAGTCCAGTCGTCCCTAACACCCCAACAGCAGACCACCGCTCCACCGCGCCACGTGACTGGATATGGCACGAACAGGCCGGTGGACGCCTTACTCTTTGCGGCCGAACCAGCCGGACTCCCGCTGACGTGCCGGTTTCTCGAAAGACACCAATTGATGTCGGTCCAGCTTCGCATCGGTAGCGCAGGCATCTGTCATCAACAAGCCGCTCAGCCGGTCGCAGACTGTCAACTACCTGGTTGCAACAGGCTGTAATTATCAAACTTCTGTCGCCGAGCTCATCCTCGAGCTGTCCCTTCGCAGCACAGTAGTCGCCGGGCGAAGGCCGCCATGTTAACCTAGCACTCTCCGCCGAGCCTGCCATCGCCTTTTAGGATTGCTGGGACGCCTTTGCAGCATCACGGTACGCGCGCACAACGTTCGAGAATCTCATCGGACCCTGTATCACGTTGAGGGCCACATCTCTCCGCGATAAGATCTGATCCGCAAACATGCACGGTTGGGGTGCGTCCGACAAACACTCCGCTTTCTCTTCTTGGCTGCTGCCATAACTAACGACCTATCCAGGGCTTTTCTTCTTCCTCCTCTTTCTCCTACTCATCTTCGCCGTCGCCGGATGGGTTGCGTACACTCGGTATAGTGCTCGCAAACAGGGCCTACCCGCGCCGTCCTTGAAATCATGGAAAACCTATGTCCCGTTCCTGAGAGCTCAGGCGTCATCAAATTACCCGGCACCCAGACATGCAGGACCGCTGGAGTGGGTCCGAGACCAATTCGCCAAGTTGACTCGGAAGAGAACGGCAAGAGGCGCATATGAGGAAGCGGGTCGTGGCGCGGATGGGCTAGTTGGTGGTGGCCCACGAGGTGGAAGGGAAGCACGAGGAATGGAAGATGATGCGTGGGATACGAGAGTCGGCAATGAAGAAGCATATGGACCGGCTGGAGGCTACTCTGGGTATGAAGAGCAAGAACTTGGCCTGGCTCCGACACCGGGTCTACAGAACGATGCCTACGGCGGTGGTCGCAATCCCCCGGGAGACTACCTAGGCGCGCCGGGCAGTGGTACCAGGAATTATTCGGATGTGGATGTCAGTGGGCGAGGCAGACCAGGCAGTTCATCACGGGACAATCCTTTTGGCGACCAACACGAGGCGGGAGCGCCGAGATTGCGAAGTGTGAGCCCCAGGCCCGAGCCGGAAGGGAGCAACAAGGCGCACACGAAAGGAAACATGTCTCTTGACACTCAAGGGAGCGGCAGCGGGGACGGTAACACCAGTCCCATCAGCACGAGAAAGAGCGTGTTCCGGGAGGGTATTTGAGACTGCGATGGCACAGGACAGCGACGCCGTGACGAGGAGATGGAGATGAGAAATCCATTTCGCATTTAGAGGTTGACTGCGGTGAACATTGCAATTTGGGTCAACACAGGTTGGATATGGAACCGAGGGATGTACGGATGGACTCATGGGCTGACGGACAGCAGATGGGCCAAATGAATGCTATAAAACTGCGGAGTTTCTGGTCACATTGAGGTCTTACTGGTAATTACAGGTAGGTACCAGGACAAGAAAAGTACACTTGATGCCTAGCCCCCCGAACCAAACAGCCCAGAGGCCACTAGTCGCTTTCTGCATATGGCATTCCGAATTGAAGCGCTGAATCATCTGTCGCCTGCTGACCAGTTCATTGGGTGGTGCGACGATTGTGCGGCTTGAGCGGGGCTCGATGTGCTCAGCTCGCGCTTGTTGCATCATTGCTGGCTGGTGGCTTGCTAAACATTTTGCTGGCAGCTGCTGCCCCTCCATCCGCATCCGAAGTGATTGAAAAAGTCATCCAGCGCGTTTGCAGCTGCACATTATTCCTTGCTTTCCTTCTCAGTCTACTCGTACCTGTGAGCCACTTGGAGATTCTTTGACGACAGCTGCCCTCTCCATATAGGTAAGCAACCCGGACCGCAGTCCCTCTGGCCGTCTGATTATACCCGCCCCACGTCGAATTTCATTCCTGTGTCATATTAGCCGGGCTCTGGCGCTTTATCTTCGTCTTTTTCTTGCGTCTCTAGACCGCTGACTCCTGGTGACACGCAGAAACTCCTCAGAATCTACCTCGCACTGTCAAAGATGCCTGGCTTCGCTCAGGCTACAGACCTCAACGCGTGGCAAGCTCTCGTCGAGCACCATAACGCCGTGGGCCGCAACATCGTTCTCAAGGAGTGCTTCGACAAGGACCCTCAACGGTTTGAGAAGTTCAAGAGAGTGTTCAAGAACAATGCCGACAACACCGAGATCCTGTTTGACTTTTCCAAGAACTTCTTGACCGAGGAAACCCTCGAACTCCTCGTCAAGCTCGCAAAGGAAGCCAAACTCGAGGAGCTCCGGGATCAGATGTTTGCAGGAGAGAAGATCAACTTTACCGAGCAGAGAGCTGTCTACCATGTTGCTCTCCGCAATGTCAGCAACCAACCCATGGCCGTCAATGGCAAGAGCGTTGTCGAGGAGACCAACGAAGTGTTGGAGCACATGAAGGAGTTTTCGGAGCAGATCCGAAGTGGTTCGTGGAAGGGCTACACCGGCAAGAAGCTCACCACCATCATCAACATTGGTATTGGTGGCTCTGATCTGTAAGTCCTGCCATTTCTGAGGCGTGCCATGGCATTGACCCGTTTTCCAGTGGCCCAGTCATGGTCTCCGAGGCCCTGAAACCCTATGGCAACCGAGACATGAAACTTCACTTCGTCTCCAACATCGACGGAACTCATATCGCCGAAGCCCTTAAAGACTCTGATCCCGAGACGACCCTCTTCCTGATTGCTTCCAAGACCTTCACCACTGCAGAGACAACCACCAATGCCAACACAGCCAAGAAGTGGTTCCTGCAAAGCGCCAAGGAGTCTGACATTGCGAAGCATTTCGTGGCCCTCTCGACCAATGCTTCTGAGGTCAGCAAGTTTGGCATCGATACCAAGAACATGTTTGGCTTCCAAGACTGGGTGGGTGGAAGATACTCGGTCTGGTCTGCCATTGGCCTGTCTGTCTGCCTGTACATCGGCTACGACAACTTCCACCAATTCCTGGCTGGTGGTCATGCCATGGACCAACATTTCAAGACGGCTCCTCTTCACGAAAACATCCCTGTCATTGCCGGTCTGCTTAGTGTGTGGTACTCGGACTTCTTCGGCGCTCAGACTCACTTGGTTTCGCCATTTGATCAGTATCTGCACCGCTTCCCAGCCTATCTCCAGCAGTTGACCATGGAGTCAAACGGCAAGGCTGTTACGCGAACCGGCGAGTATGTCAAGTACACGACCGGCGCCATCTTCTTTGGTGAACCCGCCACCAACGCTCAGCACTCATTCTTCCAACTTGTACACCAAGGCACGAAGCTTATCCCCACCGATTTCATCCTGGCTGCCAAGTCACACAACCCTGTGGAAGGAGGTCTCCACCAGAGAATGTTGGCGTCCAACTTCCTTGCTCAAGCGGAGGCATTGGCAATTGGCAAGACGCCAGACCAGGTGAAGGCTGAGGGTGCTCCTGAAGAGCTCGTTTCGCACAAGACGTTCCTTGGAAACCGACCGACTACCAATATCCTTGCTGAACAGATCACGCCAGGTACACTAGGTGCCCTGATTGCTTACTACGAGCATATGGTATTTACTGAGGGCGCTATCTGGAACATCAACAGCTTTGACCAGTGGGGTGTCGAATTGGGCAAGGTCCTGGCGAAGAAGATCCAGAAGGAGCTTGAGACGGAAGGCGCTGGTGGTGACCACGATTCCTCGACTGCCGGTTTGATCGCTGCTTTCAAGGCGAAGAATGGTCTGAAATGAGGGTTCCAGAATCTGTTGGAAGTCGATGCGAAGCCTTCGAAAGAGGAGCGATCCAAGCTATGAGGTGACTCAAGCATCGGCATCGGCAGCTACAAGCGAATAGGTATTAACGCCGGGTTCGTACAAATGGTTTCAAAACGACTAGGCAGATATTGGTAAACGCTATATGACCCACGATGAGAGAAAAGCAATTAAGGACAATGTTCACAACAGGTCTGTGGTCTCAGTGTAATGTCTCCAGCTCACGAACGAAGTGGTCGTCTCTTCCCTCATTCTTTTCATTCTACTGACTTGGATCGGTGTTTTGGGTGTTACAAATACTGTGACTGAGCACGGTATCCAGCTTTATGACGACTGTGGTGCACAGCATGTCTTTATGCAGGCTCCCGTGAGGTCCAGTCACAGCTGAGGGCAACAGTCCGATTGCCCTACAGTGATATGTAATGGAACATACTGGACAGGTAATGTTTCACGGCATACGCCTTGGTCTGGTCCCGGACGATAATGCTCTTTACCTTCTTCACTGCTTTACTCTTAACTCATGCTTTGCGATGTGCAAGACCACGTCTTCGTCACTCGAATAGTTGCGATTGTGAGCTCTGGACCGCTCCAATCCTTCACCATGCAGGGACCTCTTTCTCTTTTTCCCCTTAAGCGACAATGAGCCAAAGCAGGGGTCAACCGACGATGAACACCCAAGGTATGTCTATTGAACTGACTGTCTTTGGCATAACACTACCGACCACTGACCAGTAGAAACAAACAGCTCCTTCCTTCGCCATGGCTGGGTCGACTACAATGGCGTCGTACAGCCACACGGCGCCTCCATCGCAGGAGAACAACAGTACAATGACGCCTGTCAGCCAACCTCAGATTCAATGGTCAACCATCACACCATCACCCGCTGCTGTGGAAAAATTGCGCCTGTTATGTCACAGCCAGAAAGAGCTGAAGAATGAGGGCTACGTGATAACACCGCTGGACGCGCGCCAGATTGAGGCCAAGTTGAGGTGTATGAAATGCGGGAGTACGTATGAAGATGTCCATCCTCTACGCTGTAGGCTGTAGGCCTTTTGAGGGTCGTTGCTGACTGTGTGCGGGCGTCTGTGTGTGTGTGTAGAACGCGCCAGCCGCAAACCAATCCCCAAGCCCGTTGTCCTCGCTGCCACCACGGCCAACCACGAGATTCAACAGCCTGGTCCGAGCAAGTTGTGTGATGTTGCGGTCGGTGGGTGCGGAAAATCCGGCCACACAACGGATACCTGCTGGCGTCTGCACCCAGAATTGAAGCCTAGGAAGAGAGGCGGGAAGAATGAGCATAGTGTCAACCTTGACAGTAACAGCATCAGCACCGACGACACAGCGGAGAGAGCAAAAGGACCATCAGATGCCGCCACGACCCAAGCACCAGCAGGCACGAAGACCAGACGTTCCAACCCATGCCAATACCACATCGGACGCGTTCGAGACAAGGTAAGAAGGGGCCGTGTGGGGCATTTGATCTTGCGTGGTATGCTAACGACCATTCCCTGGTCAGCACTTTACATGCTGCAACCGCCACGTCTCGCAACAAGGCTGCATCGAAGACGAAGACCACGACCTCCCTGCCCCGGACGATCCCGCAACCCTCCAGAACTGGCATTTCCACACGACTCCACCAGCAGCAGCCTCATCTCGATCTCGATCCCGATCCGGCGCCCGTGGTTCCCACGTCCAAGCGATCGCACTGGATTGCGAAATGGGCACTTCGCGGACCTCGGAATCAGAACTGATCCGCCTCACGGCCGTTGACTTCTTCACGCGCGCCATCCTCATCGACAACCTCGTGACCCCGACCGTGCCCATGGCTCACTACAACACGCGCTACAGCGGCGTCACGGCCCAGGCCATGCGCGCCGCGATCCGCACTCGCACGGCGATCCACGGCCGCGCCGCCGCGCTCAGGGGTTTGCTCGAGTTCGTCGGCCCGGAGACCGTCGTCGTCGCGCACGGCGGGAGCAGCGACTTCCGTGCCCTGCGCTGGATCCATCCGTGTATTGTCGACACGTACATCCTCGAGGGCTATGCGGGTCCCGCTGGGATGGCCGTTCCTGGGGGAAAGAGTCTGCAGAACCTGTGTCGGTGGAAGTTGGGCATCCAAGTGCAGGTGAGGGACCGTGCCAAGGGGAAGTTGGGCCATGATAGTTTGGAGGACGCGCTCGCGACGCGCGAGTTGGCTATCCGCTGGGTGGAGAGTATTCCTGGGGGTGGTGGGTAAGAAAACGGGGAGCTGGACGACAAGCTGAGAAGCCGTGGATTGCAGTGGCAGTGGCAGCGGCGGCATTTCGCTTACCCCTTCATGCTTCATGAGGTCACGATGTACCCGGTATGAAAGCACGCATCTTCGAGATCGAGTCGAGAACGAGTCGAGAACAAAGAAAGTGGGTTACTCTGATTAGCTTGCTAGTGCCACGGTGTTATGTAGTGGTATCACGGTTGTACCCCCTGTACCACAGTATGTAATCGTCTATCGAAAACATACCCAGAATACCTCAATAAACAATGCAAGTCGTCGGCGGCAGCACTCCCCTTCGACACTCCGCAATAAAGATACTGTTACCTCGTACCAACCTGTTTGGAACGCCCTATATGAGAATAACAGTACTACAGTATAGCTGTGTAGCTAGCTATATAGCTACCTGTATAGGTACATAGCTGTATTGATTGCCCGAAGCGGCGAGGGGACCACATCGCATGTTTCAGTAGACGGTCACACCATAGTATTGTCAATATGCTGACTTTTCGGGCACCGAGTTGCACAACCACACCCATCTCGAGCGGTGATTCCATTCCATGGCCCCCTTGAATCTTCGTAAGTCGTCGATTTGGCAAGCTCATTTTCCAAGCCTCATTTATGCTCTGCCGGCACTACTACAGTCTGCCTCAGCGCTATTGTCACCCTACCTTCCTACCGATTTACGTAGTATATGCAGGAATAAGGTCCAGCTGACTCTTCGTCTGGGTCTAACGTTATCGACAACCCCGGTGCTCTCTTCCCAAAGTCGTTATCGTTCTTCTTTTCCTTCAACCTCGAACAGATCTCTTACCATACGTGACATGCCACAGTCAAAGGTAGCTGAGTGGGGGCTGACACGGACGAGGCTGAGCTCTCCTTTCCCGGGAAGTGCCACGTAGACTGGGAGCCCGGCTGAGTCTCGGCTCCCAGTCTACGCCCCGACCCTAGGTGCTGCTTGAATGCACACAAACCATTACGCACCAAAGGCTCGGTCCGGAGGCAAGTAGCTTGATGCGCGTTGTGGCCGACGCTCTCAGTCTCCCAATCTGTGGTCCGGGCGCGAAGTGCTTGTCGACATATAGCCACCGTCGTGGTTCGTGCGGATGGGTGTCTTGACTTGATCCAGGACAGCCCGTAGTTGGGTCGTGAAGGCTCTAACGAACGGCCCGCTTCGGAGCATCCCCAGTGGAACATCCTATAGAGTTCCACATAATCGTGCGGTACTGGGAGTCGTTCTTGGCTGGAGAGACGGCAGAGATTCGTGGAGTATCTGGGTCTTCTTTGCAGGGGTTTGCTCGATACTGTAATGACAAAGTTACTTCACCCTCGTGGGACATTGCCAATCGCCTCAGTTGAGAGAGTCATGGCTACAACGGGGCCATGCTTATGAACCTTCCGGTAGCTCGATGGCTTCATTTTAGTGCCCGATGAAGCCAAATGCAGGAGGTGGAGGGCGAGCTGGATCCTGGCTGTTGTGTGAGCGCCTTGATTCTGAGGACCGGGGATTCCTCTGCGGTTTCGGCCGCGACTGTTCAACACAGACAGGCAATTCCAACGCCGACGGTTGTCTTGGCATCTGAAATCTGTCGCCCGTGCTTCTCGAATGCCTTCGAGGGCTACCCAAGGAGGAATCGCCCGCCTCGCCGTAAACTTCCATCCCCTCCGGTGATGTGCTCATCTCCGGGCTGACTTCGTCTGCGGCAAATCCATCGGCCGCTGGGGACACGCTTCCAGCAAGGATGTCAAATGGCTCGGCGTCAGCCCGTTTGTGGTCAACGATATCTCTGCACAAATGTCAGTATCAGGGCAATGCATCGGTCAGAATCCTCCTCGCCGGACTTACGGAACGCCACGGAACTGCAAATGATCGTCCAAGCGCCTCAGTCTGTGTGTAGCTTGCGCGTCATTGCCGAACTGGACAAATTGGATGCTGAGACGTCTTTCGTCCTCCTCCAAGGTGTTTGGCCGAAGTTTCCTGAGATGTTCGCTGAACTCCACAATCTTATCGTCGACGGCCAGGCTGTTTTTCATGTCCTTCCATTTTCCGTCTGTCAACACGATGATGGTCATTTTGCGAGGCATGGATTTCTTCGATGGCGCGACTGTCTCAAGGTACTTGCTCAGAATGCTGCCCAGCACAACACTCATGTTGGTCTCGGCTCTCTGCCCGGGAGTGTGCTTTTCGTTATCCAGCTCTTTCTCGAAGGAAAGAACTTTATTGGTTGCTTTGAATTTGGTGCTGCTGACTGTAAACTTCAGCTCCATGCCGTCCTTGTCAATGTTTCCAGCATATTTAACAAGCTGGCCGAGTTTGATCTTGACATGCTCCCAGTGTTCAGCCATGCTTGCGCCATTGTCAACAAGGAACAACTATGCAGAGAGTCAGCTTGTTCCAGAACAACCTCCGAGAGTCGCTCTTACAATGTCACGGTCTTCGAAATAATGTCGCAGCTCAGGATCTCCCCTTGGCGTTTCCTTCCGCCGCAACTTCGAAGCAATCATGGTGCTGAACGTCGATGATCGCGATCTCATTGATGATGTTGTAAACCCACGTTGTGGAGGAGTGAGCAGCACAGACGACGGCGTAGTCGAGACATCCTCGTGAGATTGACTGTGTTGCTCTTCTTCCTCGACGACGTCGAGGTACCCTGCTGCGGAGGAACGACGAGGCGATGCGGCGCGGGCGGCAAGACGTGCATCGTTCGCTGTACCTGGCATCAAGCCTCGCGACGTAATGATGAACGACTGCGAAGTGTGACCAACCGCCTTGCTCTGGTGACTAAGTCGTGTTTGCATGAGTTGTGAGGTAACACCCCGAGCAGCTAGTGGAGCCTGGGCTCGAAGCACGACACCGGGGCGGTTATCCACTGACGCCTTGCTCTCTCTGGCCCGAGACTGGGAGGCTTCGACGAGACTCTTTTCCCAACGGACTTGAGTGTTTTGTATGGCGTCTCTGACGCAGTCCGCAACCACAGCATCGACTGCCAAGCCAGCAGCATTCTTCTTGATCATGTGCAGCTCGTCGCATAGCTTTTGGGCAGATATGCGGTGGGCGGGCTCGGAAACAAGCATGGCGTTTTCGATCAGGTCAAGAACCTTCTCCGTGATTTTATCACTCTTTCGCAGCCCTTGTCGCAAGAAGCTGTGCCAGTGACGAACAGCTTCAAGGACCTTCTGGCCGTCGTGGAAGAAATCACCTGGCTCAAGCGAGATCTCTGGCTGCTCAGAAAAGGCCCTGTCGTCGATGACGTGCTTGATTGCTTGCCGTCGTAACTCGGCGAATTGTTCAAGCCCGCTGGTACCATACACGGACCATGTTGCTGCAATGGAAAGGACACACCCAAGCGACCAGATATCATTGGAGCGTGGAATCAGAGACGATCGCTTCCCTCGCCGTTTCTGGTGTTCGAGGATATAGCATTCGGGCGCACCTGAGAGGTTTAGAACCACTCGCTGCGTGTTAGACGAACTGCAACCTACCAAAGGTGCTTGTTCCTCCCATATAGTCCGTGGCGTCCTTGCTTTCGAGATCCTGCTTTTCAAAGCGGGCGAAGCCAGGATCAGCCAACTTGAACTCGCCCTGGACGTAGAGGATATTCTGAGGCTTTATGTCGTTGTGCCATCTCGTACACATTAAGCAACATTTCGAGCAAAGATGGGGTCAACATACCCGAAATACTTCTCCGGACCAAGGTTTCCCACATGATAGAAAGCGTGGATGTCTCGGATTGCATCCGCCACGAAGAAGACATGCGACCAAAAATGAAACTGTTCTTCCACCAGGACTGGAGGTAGGTAGAAGTGAAAGTATTGGTCGAGATCGAGCTCCCCAAGTTCCAGCACGAGATGGAAAGTTTCATTCGCGGACTCGTTGACGGACGGCCGTGCTCCGACTTGGGAGTAATCAAACAGACACTTGATCATACCTTTGTTCTTGCTCAGTCCTCGGAAGGCGTTTCGCTCGTTCTCGTACAACCCTTCATTGCCATCTTTGTAAGTCTTCAAAGCAAATATGTGACACTGCCTCGGTCAGTCAGCTCTCCAACAGCAATGATGTGTCCGAACACTTACAGGCCCATAGTCCGGGTCGTCGAATCGCGAGCGCGGTACTGCCTTTGCGAGCGTTTCGGTGACGAACTCTTCTTGCACAGTGATCTCGTAAATGCGAGCTGTTCCACCTTCACTGATCTGTTGCTTGAAGCAAATGGGAACAATATGGTCAGCGGTGAGACTTTGCGGCTCGTTCAGCTCGAATGCCAGAGGACAATATTTCCATTGCGCCTTTTCGAAACGTCTCAGGAGCTCCGGGTATTGTCTAAAGACAGTGTGTCTCTCGAGAACCGCGAGAGGAACGGGCAATCTATTGTCGTTGACCTCGTTGGATCGCAAAGCTTCGATCAAAGCACCGGAATCGAGCTCGAGGAGAATGCCGAAGACGAGCAGGCACTTCCTAGGCCCCTCTGTGATTTTGTTTGACACGAGAGAGAAGCTCTTTTTCCTGCCGCCGCAGGCGAAGAGCAGTCGATCAACATTTGTCGGCTGACCCTCCATCATCCAGCGCTTCAGCTTCTGCACTTGTATGTATTGCCTCTTGCAGACGGCCGTGACCTTCCATTTTTCCAGCTCCTGCTTGAATTCGTCAAGAGGATCGGGCCCAGGCGCCACGGAGGTCATTGCGGCAGGTACGCCAGGCTCAGAATCGAGACAAGTCGCTTAAATCGACCAAGCGGGAAGGCGGAGACGTTCGCATTGAATGAAGAGAGCTCGCGCAACAACAGCGTAAGGTAGCATAGACAGAAGACAAAGTGAAAAACTCAGAACCGGCTCAAAACAACAGAGCAATGAGAACATCACTCCTGAGGGAGGCGATTCGATGCGCAGTTGGCCGTTTCGCAGTCAGGCTGGCGCGCCCCAAGAAGCACATGGCCTGCGATCGAGCACATCGGCTGTTGAGCTGCTAAGCGTTGCCCTCAATGCGGCTGAACCGGTGGGGGAGGCCATGGTGTCTGCCCTGGTTCCTCTGCGCAAGGGGCGCTCGCACCACTCGCCTCGAGGAGAAGGCGGGGATATGAGCAGCCATTGTAATTGGACATCCCACCACCCAGCTGAAGACAAGTTGGGCAAGGACTGAAGCGGGTTCGCAGGTGGTCGTGGTGGCGGCTTCAGGGATCAGGAGGAAACGGAAGGCGCGCATCCACCGAATTTCTCGACAAGGTTTGGCCTGATCATCCAGACGAGGAGCTCTGGCAAAGGAACGGCTCGAATCCGTCGCCGCTGAAGCGATGCGAAGACCAAACGCTGCTCTTTACACCAAGTGTTCTTGGCACTGGTGTACTTGTCAAGCCTGCTGTGACTGCCGTGTACGCTCACACATTACTGGTACAGTAGGAGTGCGAGTCGTCGGCCATATGCTCCAACGTACCGGACGGTGGGCTTCCAGTGGCCTTCGGGGGCTAATCAGCGCCTATCAACACACATTGTCAACCTTGCGCAAAGCCTAACACGGCCTGAAAGAGCCAGAGGCCTAGGTCATGTATGGACTGAGAGCGCCCAGAGCGATCTCCCCTCCTGACTCCAGAGCAGAAACAGCAGCCATCGGACATGGCACAGTACCAGTAGGCTCTCTCGAAGCTTGAGAGTGACTGAGGCGTGTCGCTTGTTGTGGGGGGCTCAATTCTTCTAGGTATCTAGCTTAGCTGTGGCCCCTAAGAGTTTGTGGCATTAGGCCCCGAGGCTAAGGCAAGCACTAACTAACTCGCGGTAGCGGGGTTGCGGGTTGAGCTTCCGGGCCCACAACAATAGTTAATTACTCTGCAAATCTATGCGCGTAGAGAGCTACGCAAAACATCTTCCCGCACTTCGTACTGTGGACAGAGTCGCAATCATGAAGCGAATCACATTTCATCGCAGTGCAAGCTTCAGCCAAACCCGTACATTCTTCGTCGCACCCCACAATGGCTCATTTCGCGGCCAGTAATCACATTGGCCCAGATTCAGCACCAGCAGCTGATCGCTAGGATGGCTCATCGGAAGAGCACGCAAGGCCTGCCTCCCCATGAGGGCATGATGCAATAACTTATGACCTCGTGTCTCTAGGGTGTGTGGAAGAAGGCTGAAAAGGCAACGACCAGGATGCGGTCGTAGGGGATTGGGCAATACGAAGGCAGCCGCCTTCCCATTCTACACATTCGGGCCAGTTCGCGGGCCAGAACAGGTCACCCACGATAGCCTTCCATGCCTCTCTGACCACGGGTAGGGTGCAATAAAGGACGAGGGTATCCTCAGCCAGGCATATCTTACATCTCCCTCCGAATGGTGAAATCGTCCTTTAGAGCTTTGCAACTCATCATTGCAAATACGCCATGGCATACCCTTCGCCACCACCTCGCCGCAGCACCACCCAATCCATCCGCACCGAGCGAACATTGACCAGGCCTCTGAGCCTGCTCAGACGTCGAACCGAGCAGGACCATTCACCGGTCATGCACGACCGCCCCTTGCGGGCCTGCTACTTCCCAGTTTACCGCCTGCCGTGGGACAGGCTCAGAGACTACCTTGAAACAATATTCCCTGATTTGAGAGGGACCTTCGTGCACAGTGTACGGTGTTCTTCTAATTGCACGACGTCGGGCGCTGATCGTCACAACCAGATCGCAGGGGACAAGTACGTTTTCTACGCATATAGGCCATTAGAGGAGGTGTGTCGTCCTGCCATTAGCTCTTTCGCAATCCTTGCTGAAAGCCCAAATAGCATGAGGAGACGGAGATTCTCAAGTTGCGGGATGAGGAAGCCAGGGATCCGGATCGAAGAGAGGACTCACCTGAACCGCCAAGTCGCTCTGCACGCACCTAACGCCAATGGTAGGGCAACGGATAGATATTATAGGCTGCCCCACGCTTGATCGCGAGGCGGCCTTCGTGATGGGTTCGGCAAGGAGGTCATCTGAGGCTGAGGCTTGAAGGAGCACACGAGGCGCTCAGGTGTCGCCCATGAGGCTGACTTGCAGGCATTGCTTTGCATGGCGGGGAATCAGACATCGCTGCGTGGTTGAGCATAGCCGCCGCCGCCGCCCAACCACCTCAGGACTCATTCCTTGCAGCCTTCATGTGAACTGCCACACTGCTCTAGATATAATATATCTTTGGATCCGCACGTTCGATATTCAGCATCAACTGGCGATCGACTTTCCCCTGCAGCTGTGCTCTTAGAAGAGGCAGGACGCCGAGCAGCGGAAGACCTCCTTTTCGTAGGGATTCGGGGCAGCTATGGGCACAGCGACTGCAACCCCAATCGGCCTTAATCTTACCACCGAGTTCAGCTCCAGCTACAGGGAGTTTGAATCTTTTCCAGAGAACCTCTTCGACCGCCATTCTTACGCGCCGACTCTTCGAGCATACAAGCACCGACTCGACCTTTCTTCTGCCCAGCTACTTGTGCAGCATGAAGATGTTGCAGACGTCCCCTTCAGAGACCTGGATGGCACTGGAGCGATGTTCGCCCGCAAGAATATCTTTAGCGACCAGAAACTTCGAGAGCACCTGGGAGACAATGCTGTAGAGGATCCCTTAACATCGAGATTGGTTTCCGGGGCTTATGCCACCAAACCCGATCCACAGTGTCGCTTCATCTTCATTTGGGCCAAGCACTCCAGGGCACCTCTCAAACTAACACGCCGGATGTTGATGCGGATAATGAGCTATCACCAGGTCATGCCACGATACCTCGAATTCCTCTTTCTCTTCGGCCAACGGGCCATACCACACGACCTCCGGTACAGTGGATTCCGCGAGCAGACCAGCTTAGAACTCCCAGCACCGGGTCAGAACCTTCCCGAGCTGCGGAGGAGCGGGAAACAGTACCAAATCTGCTACAATCTCAAGTCAGTGGGGTGCTCATCACCACCAGACATTGCTTTGATGCACCAGCAATGGTCCATTCGTCACGCGGCCATATACCACCAATTCGACGTCAAGTTCGGCACAACTCTGTGGATCGTCACCAAAGGCGACCTGAGCTTGAAAGAGGACGTACAGGATGTCACTGGACCCAACGGTCGGCCGGAAGACAGATCATTCGGGACACCCCAGGAGGCTTTCCGGGCAAGCTTGCCGATCCACGCGCTTTTTGCACACTGGGCAACCAACGACTGGCGGTGGTATATGCAATGGCTAGAGGATAGCGTGGACAAGGAAGTAAGCCGGCTGTTTCCTTTTGTAACACGCCCGTCTGTGCAATCCAGCTAGCCGCTGACTCTACGCCATAGACACAAGCCACCATCCTCGAGAACAGGAACGAGAAACTTCGTAGCACCGTATACACGCCCAGCGACCTACAGCGGATTCAAATCTGGGAAGAAAAGGCCAACGAGGTCATTACCACCCTTGAGTCCAACGCCAGCGTGCTCGGTGCTATTCTCGATTACTACCTAGCTTTGGCGCAGAATGCTAGATTTCCCCTGAGAAGCAGCAACGCCGACGACATCAAAATGTTCGCCGCACAGTTAAGGGATCTAATTGCAGATAGTAACATGCAGAAAAACCGGGCAAAGCTCCTTGTCAACATCGCCTCGCAGAGGAAGACTTTGGTAAATGCGCCCGCCTAGTCTGTATCCATGTCAATCGAAGGCACTAACACCTCTCCCAGATCCTCCAATACTTGCAATCACAGGCCTCGGAGAAGATGGAGACCTTGACAATGATGGCGCAGAAGGAGGCCGTGGCCATGCGCATCGTCACGGTCGTCACGCTGATCTACCTGCCGGCGACATTTGTATCCGTACGTCTAAGAGTCTGGTGCCTTCCAATCGTGTCCCTTTCTAACTTCCGCAGACTTTCTTCAGCACCGACGTTGTCAAGTACCAGAACGAAAGCGGGACAGATCCCACCGCCGGCGGCACAAGCTATTCGTCGGTCGCCATGGCCCGATGGCTCGAAGTGACCCTGCCGCTTACGGTCGTGACTTTCCTGCTTTCCTGGCTCGCTTACAACAAGGCGAAAAAGAACATCGGCGTCCAGGCGCTCGCCAAGGGAATTGTCGGCCACGCAAATACATACCCTTGAGTAGCGTCCCCGAACATGAGTCGCCAGTATCTCTCACCAAGGCTGTCTTGATTGGCGATGGCGGACGTGATCGAGCTATTCCCACGAACTTCACCGGCTGGGGATCGAGCAAGACGAGTATGAATGCTGTTTGAGATGAAAATCAGCAGACCTTCTCACATCAACCACAGACTCGACTTTTCTGGACCCATCGGGCACCTTACAACTACTCCCTCACGGCACGCTGGGTGGAAACGAACCCTACATATCCTTCGGCTGATCCAGCCAAGGCTCAGAGCCCAGAGTCTGTGATCCACACCACAATACAATGCAATGCAACACAATGCAGCCCTATCCTTACATGACGAATATGGCTCGGCACAACCCGCTTTTCGATCCCCTACGACTTTCCCTCCCTCCGACATAGCGCCGGCTTCCCTGTACGTGGCTGTACTATCCCGTCGCTTCTCGACTCTACTCAATTCTTCCGTACGGGACACAGTCCAACAAGAGTGGAGGTCGAATGCCAGCGTAGCCAAAGGGGGAAAATGCATGACCCCTCTACCCAGGAAAGGCTCTGACGGGGCTGCCGGCCCCCACAGATCTCAGCAGCGGGATTTGCAGCATGGATGACACGGACGTACCCGTTCAGGGACAAAACGAGATAAGACAGGCATATGATCTAAGGAGTATGTATTCGGACGCACCCGTTGAACGGGCGCGGCTAGGCACCCAAGCTGGGATGATTTGGAATTCGTCTACGGAGTACTGAACAATGGGGGGTTTTTTTTTCATTTGATCTTGCATGGCTCGCTTGGGTTCTCCCGCACTTGATGTGTGGATCTTGGGTAATTTTGGGCAAAGAGTACGACTGACTGTACGAGTATGAGTACAGATCAGCACCAGTTTACGGCGTCGGATCGTTCGGGTCCGCACAACGATTCTAGTTGACCTTCCACTTACTTCTATTTCTACCCTCTAGCTTTGTAGCCTTTATTTCTTGTCCGGCCAGATTGCCCGCTTGATGTGGAGGAACGTAATCATACATACACATACATACATACTGACAGACAGACAGACAGACAGACAGAAAGACGGATAGACATGACAGCACTTCACATTGGCGCAGCAGAGCCCAGCATATCTCGCCGTGTTATTTGCCTGGAGAGTCTCTCATCAAGGCGGTCCCCCTGATACCTCGTCCTGTCCCAGCTCAAAGCCGTCTCAAATCTAGGAGGTAGGCCTGCGCGAAGCACCGTGGTGGACAGCCGACGAACCCGATGGCAATGACAGGTATCGGAACAGCGGGCGACCGTTCGGAGCGGTGCCCAGATCTCCATCTTGGACGGGCCCCATGTTCATCGCCTCGGCCAATGCACGGCCATGGCCATGGCCATTGACGCTCGACGAATCGGCGCTCCACCGCGAGTTCAGTACCGGCATGGGCGGCATCAGGCCGGGACTCGGCGGGAACGGCGAGTCCGGAATGTTCGACACGCTCTCAGACGGGGTGATTGATTTGCGAAGGCGACGAGGCGAGTAATTGACCTCGGACTCGGGCGGGGTCTTGGGCCCGAAATGTGCGGCCGAAGGCGTGCTGGGCGGGCGCGGGAACGTCGTGCCGACTTCTGACTCGGCGCTGCCGACGACAGAAGGGATGACTGGCATGGCGGCTCCTTTGTTCTGGTTGCTCAACCCAGGCCCCTTGGCAGCTACGGGCGTGGGGGGATTGTTTTCTAGCCCGCTGGGATGTCTCTGGTGGCCTGGCTCTGGAGTGTGGGATGCGGCATAGTCGGAGAGATTGAAGTTGGAGGCGTAGGTTCCGTAATCTTCAGGGGGTGCTCCAGCTCTGGTACCGCTGTTGCTTCGAGAAAGGGCGGGTTGGCTGAGGAGGAGGGGATTTTGAGCGTTGGACTTCGAAAGGTTGCGCACGAGGACCGGTGGAGGAGCACGCGCGTTGGTGATGGGCAGAGCCACGGCCGTGCCATTGGTGAATGATGGAATTTGAGTGATTGGTGTGGAAGGGTTGGATCGCTCGTGACCTAGTGATTCGTGGGACGCTTCGGCAGCCGTCTTGGTGGCATATGCTTCGGTCATCTCTGGAGCGGTCGTCGGCGACATTCCGTCTTCTTCTTCGGGGAGTCTTTGTCCTCGTCGTGCACGGTAGATTGTCCACCTCGCCCGCAGGGGTACGCAATATCGGAACAGCAGGTAGACCGCGGCAATGGCCGCTACCGACCCAATCACCGAAGGGACAATTATGGCCGTCTTGGCGATGGGGTGGTTTGAGGCTTGAGGCAGGTCAATGGTTGCAACATTACTGGTGGACACTGGTGCGGCAGGGATGTCAGACGTGGTCGTGGATCCGATTGACGACGTAGATGCCGTCACCGAGGCCAGTCCTGTGGTCGTTGGCCCTGAGCTCGGTGTGAAGAATGCTCCTGGAGTAGAAGTTGCAACACTGTCCGTGGCCGAGGTTGGTTCCGATGGAATGGTGGACGTTGTAGTTGCAGCTGCTATTGAAGGTTGAGATTGAGTTGCAGTTTCTGTAGCTGGGACAAAAGGATTTTCGCCGACGCCGTCGTCTTCATCGTCGGAATCAATTCCTCCTTCATCTTCGCTCTCTGAATCCAACTCATCGTCGTCACTCGAGTCATCTTCAGGAGTAAAGTTATTCTCTGGTGTTCCTGGGGGAAGTCTTAGCGTTGAAGGAGGACCAGGTGGGAGATATGGAGGTGGTCCTGATTGGGGTACTGGTGCTGGTGGTGTCGGGACTGGCGCTGAGAGCGGTGGCGCCTCACCTTGCCGCTTCACATGTTGTGGTCTGTGGAACCATTCAGACCTCTCATTATGCTCTCCTTTCACTGGAGCAATTCTTGATCTGTCGAACCGTCGGTGACTCCCATTCGCCGGCATGGTTGGCAGATCCGTCAGAATCCAAACTTTTCAAGAGGTCGTATCGGCCAAGTAAAAGGAGAATAAGCACCGATCAATAAGAGATCCAGAACACCAAAATGAGAAGGAAAGAGGACCAGCCTCGGATGCGAGAGAGTCCGAAGGGAAAACGAGGACAAGGGTTGTGCAAACCAGCGCACAGAGGAAGAAAGAGGAAAAACAAAAAGATGAGAGGGACGACGAGAGAGGCTCAGACGTCTATGAATCCTACGACCCAGACACCCGGTGATACAGACCGAGGACATGGCGAGAGCTTCCACGCAGCCAAGCCGCTGCTGAAGGAGATCCAGACAGTCAACGTTTGGAGCGTGGTGGGGACAACGTTGCCATGAACCCACCGCAGTTCCTCACGACGATGGGAAATGTGGAATGCGGTGAGTCTGCACTGCTTGGCCGATGCTTGAAGAGTGACAGATCTTCCCTGATGCCGATGACTGCGTAAGATGGTCGCAGGCTGGAGCAGATGTGAAACGTCAAAAGAGTCAGAGACCGCGGTGCTGCTTGGCAGGGGGTTATGTCCTTGGATAAGGGGGACCAATCACTGCACTGCAGAACGCACCGAAGACCCCGGACTGGAGGTAGTGGCAAACAGGCCAGGAGATCACGCTGATCTGTGCACCACCTTGCGTGCTTACTTTCTGCGTTGAACTAATAGTGTTAATTGCACAGAGTGGTTAAGTCACTTCGGTCACTAATCTGTGTGCGAGAACGTGAATATGAGGGCTTGGCGGTTCTATCTTGCCAAGACCCGTGCACGTGACAACACATGTGACCACACACGTGACCAGAAGTAACTGAATTGTTAGCTTTCCGAAGCTGCTATCCACAGATCGCTCGAGGCAGCAATATATATCACAGACACCAACTGCGTAGTCTGCTGAACCCCTTGGCAGACGGTATGGATTTTTCTTACCACTCTGCAGCAGGCAATTACAGCCTATCAATGCATGAGCCTTTCAGCAGGCACTAACAACGTCTACTATTTGTGTCGCATCACACTTGTGAGACAAGATTTCTACGTCACCTCGTCCGGAGGCATGGGGCGCAGCACGGTCACCGTGCTCGAGCTGAGGATCGACGCCCTGTACTCTCATCAAGCCTTGATCGCGCCTCCCAAAGCACCACCCCCAAACTGTTGTCCACCAGGTCTTCTCTGACCTTGCTGACCTTGCCTCGCCAGATTTTGCAGACCGGTTCTGCCACCAGTCCGTCCACCCCTTCCTCTCTGTTGTTCCGGCCGTGTGAAGCCACCAACCATGCCTGCCGTTCTCGTCTCGAGGACCTTTTCGTTCGACTCGAGGATGCCCATTGCTCTCTCACTAAGCGTGATGACCTGGCTCTGTAGACGTGACAGCTCGACGCCCTTGCGGAAGACAACCGCATCATTGACTTGATCCAATGCAGCAGCAAGTTCTTCGTGCGAGATCATCTTGGAGATCACCGCGGAGATCTTCTTCGAGTCAAGCTCGAACATGCCGGAGAGACTCGTTATCGACAGAGTATCGTAGTAAGGGGCATACGTAAAGAGGTATGTCCGTAGGCCTTCTTCCTGGATCTGCTCGGCAAGCATCTTCTTAACCTTCTCTTTGTTGTCCGCGCCGAGCAGGTCCCAGATGCCAATCTTGCTAATCAGCTCTTGACATTTCTTCCAGTCACCCTGAGCGAGTGCCTTTGCCGCTTGCATCACATGATCACGCGTGTTCTCGGGAGGACCTTGGAAGACTTGTCGCTCGGTGTATTCGAGCATGCGTCGGAACGTTTTGGAGATGACGCGCTTGCGTACATCTGGCGATGAACCGGTCTGTGCCAACAGCGGAATCTCAAGAAGCATGCTGCAGGTGAGGTAGACGCATTCCAAAAGTTCGAGATTGATGTGCATGTGAAAGGGTAATTGGCGTTGGCGCTCTAGTCGTTCTTGTTCCGGTGTCACTTGTGAATAGCGCTGCATGATAACACCCTGAGCAAGCAGTTCTTTCTGTCTCCCAGAGCCACAGATCTCTTGGAGTACACCCTGGGCTTCGTAACAGAGACCTGCGCGGAACGCGCAAAGACCTATTTGGACGAGGGTGCGGTTGAAGAGGATCTGGGTCGAAACGTCAAAGGATGAGATGTTCTCAGTCAAGTGACTCATCAGTGCAAGATCGCGCGCTCGATAATAGTCATCTTGCAAAGCCAAGAAGTAGATCTCGCAAAGCATGGCACGGGCGCGAATGATCCCTTCACTCTGCTCGAACAGATGGTTGCACAGTGTCTTGACAAGAGAAGCGACTTCGACAAACTTCCCTCTCGGAGTAAGGTCGGAGTTGAGTGATGAAGGAAGGGCGGCCCAGGTCTTCTCTTCGAGGATCTTGACGACCTGCGTCGGCTTGAAGTAGATGTGTTCTAGTCGGCGGATAACGGTTCGGTTGACATTGTCTTGCTTTCCCTCCAACTTCTCCACTCTCTTGTTGATGGTTTCAATGTAGATCAGTGTCCGTACAATGTCAGTGTATAGGAGCTGCTCATCGCTGAGTCTGTCGATGTACTCGGCTGTGTGAGGGTCTGTCTGCTGCAACGAGCGCGTCAACTCATCATCAAGTCTCTCAACAAGAGACACGATGCTGCCTGGGACCTTGAAGACCTCATCGGCAGTCGGAGTCGGTTGTTTGTCATCGTCTTCCCATTCTTCGGCCGCTTCTGTGACGACGTATTGGGGTTCGTCTTCCAGAGTTTGCAGCAAGGTCGAAAATTCTCGCTGAGCGGATCGCCATGAGTCTTGAGACATGTATGCCTGCACTGAAGTGGTGGTGACATCGAACCTCGTGGAGATCAAGGTTAGGAGAACCCGTATTCGCTGATAGGGTGTATTTGCGACGTCGAGCAGTCTCTCCATAATGCGGATCTGCTCAGACCGATCGGTATTCTTCCTGCCTCTGGATTCAATGATGCTGCGGAGATGCTTGAGGATGCTCTCGGGGGTGTAGACAAGAGCCTTGCCACCTTTGCCGACCGTCGCGAAACCCTCTTCATCAATAGCGGCCTCGATAGCATCGATTCTCTGGGCTCTGTTTTTACGAGTTTGCCGTTCTACCTCCAAAGGCTCCTCCTCGTCAGACTCCATAAAGTCGTCTTTGTTTTCTCGATACTTGTCGATTTCCGTCACATAGTCCTTGTTGTTCTTCTTAATCTTTTGCTTCATGGCATTGAAACCCTTTGCAGCAATGGGATTCATCTTCTTTGCCCCAGCTGCCTTTTGCTTGTCATTGGTTTCCGTGATCAGGTCCTCGAGATCGGCAATCATCTTGATGTAGAGCTTGGGGGTGGCACCTTGCTGTGTGACCTTGACGACCTGTCGGTTCATCTTGTCGAATTCTGTATGCGGGTTAGACGGACTGGCCTGGGCATACACGACTAGGGCACAAACCTGAAGCAATGACAGCCCAGTCACCAATCTTCTGAGCGTTCTCAATTGCCTTGATCGTGCCTTCTAACTCTGCGAATCTCTTATCCTTCGCACTCTTGACCACTCTCTCCCGATCTTCGTCTTCGCTCTCGTCTGAGTCGTCGCCACCCGGCCCTGAAGGCTTCAAAAACCGGCTGGCGCCCAGGCCGCGGCCCTCATCTTCGGAGGACTCTTCAGAGGACTCATCCTCGTCCTCATCTTCCTCCTCGGATTCCTCCTCGGATTCTTCCTCCTTTTCGCTGTAAAGCTCTTCCTCTTCAGACGAACTGCTCTCGCTGTCGGAGTCGCCTCCGTGGAAAAACCGTGACGACATTTTGTATGATCCTGGGAGATGGGGGAAGAGAGCAGGTACTAAGATTCGCAGAGACAGCGGCGAATACAAATATCTGCCTAACTGCGCCGAGGCTGGTGCCATGTATTCGAAAATTGAAGTGGGCTACCGCCAAGACTTTGACCAATCACGTGATATGTTCAAATGACTCACAAGTTCGAGATTCACAGGAGGATATGACTCGAGGACATTCTGTGTCTGTTTTTGTTCATTGAGATCTCACTCCTGGTATGGATCTTGTAAGCTATTCCCTGCAAGTCATGACTCTATACACCACGCGAAGAATATCCTAGTATCAAGAAAGAGACCTGAGCCCGACCGCGGTTACAGACAGCTTAGGCTTCTTCGTACGGTCAACCCAGTTCATTGGCTTGTATCTTCTGCACCAATTGCTTTCGAATTCCGTTCTGAGTTCGATAACGACCCGACGGGTCGTCCTGGCTCAGACCGCAAGTCCACATCTGAACCAACCAATTCAACCTGAGAATCCTCAACTGTGGACGCGAGACTGAACCCTATGCCACTGCTGTACTCCAGTTCCACTTAAGCTCGTGATTTCGTCGTTTGTCATCACAGCGCCGACCAGCGACCTTCACCAAATGACATGTCAAAGCCATTCCATCTTTCGTGCATCACCTATCGCTTTTCGAAGTTCCTCGTCCTCATGATGTAATCGGTCACGAGAGCAAAGCTGGGGGGGGGGGCGTCAACCTCACCCAATTAGCCTCGGGGGTATTCTGATCATGAAACGAGAGCTAGCAAGCAGATGCTCTCACTGGCTCTTGGATTTTCAGCTTTGCACTCGGTCCAATCTCTTGCGTGGTGGTACGTGTAAAATCAGTACGATCCGACCGCCCTCAGCTGATTTGAAGCGTGTGCGCCACTCAACAAAGCCCAACTTCTTCCCAAGGGGCGCTATCAATGCCATTGCGTCTTGCCCATAAAGCTCTCACCCATGGCGCCATCCTCCAAAGTCCGGATGAAGTCGCGGTTTCTCTGGTTCCGACTGCCACGCCTTCGAGCCGTTGATGGCGAGTCCACGTATCCGTCTGCTGGTGGTGGATAATATGCCGGACTTGGTTGCAATCTAATTGGCTGGTTAGGGTCAAGATGACTGGCGACACGTTGGATAGCTGGAGGGATGCCAGCCTGCTGTTGATCCATGGTTGAAGCTCGTTGACGACCAGC